TCAGTCTGCAGCAGGCTGCAGCACAAGGCGCGGTCCGGCGGCGCGGGCGCGGTCCGTGCAAAAAGCGTGGCTCGGTCAGTGTTCTCAAACTAGTGGCTGCGCGAAAACAAGCGCAAGTGCACTTACCACGTCCGTGTGTGTTCTGATGGGCGGCCTCCGATTCCCGCTGACCTCACAAGCATGAATCCTGGGAGCGCCGTGTTCTATTCGACGCTTCGTCACCCCACGCGACACTGGAGCCCTGGCGGACGCATCACCCAAGGGCCTGATGCAGAACAAACGCAGACGGGGGTCAATGATTTGAACAAGACGTGACGCACCGAAACTTCATCGACGTGCCCGCGAGCGAGAGACCCTGATTGCTCAACCTGCGCTCACGTACGGGAGGCGGGTCCTGAGGCCTGAGCGCAGGCGAGCGCAGCGGGCCAGGAACAGGTGCGGAGCCGAACGTGTGCGGAGGCGCGTTTTGCTCGAAGCGGCACCGCCGGGGACCCTGCACAGCGCACGCTCGCACTCGGCGCACAAGTCCGCCCAGGCACGCACCCCGCCCGCGCCCGCGAGCTCGCGGGTAGCAACTTGTGCTGTGAACGGCGGCCTGGTTGTGAGCGATGCGTGCAGCGGTGCGGCGTCTTTGACGCACAGCACGCGATGGCCACGCACCTGGCCGGGATCGACACACTGGCTGGCGGAGGCGGCGGAGGCGTCAAACGTTAACCCCGCGGGGGAGCGTGCGCACTGCGGGTGGGGAACGCGTCATCTCTCATCCCCGCCCGCCCGCGAAGCTGCCGGCGGGAAGAGAGCCGGAGGGGAGTGGGAGCGGGCGAGAGGGACGAGCGAAAGCGGCAAGTGGGCAGAACGGGACCCACGCCCGGGCGCTCGCTTGCGTCACTCCCTCGGATCTCGGCTCGCACCGACGTCGTCTGCGCGCGGTGGACTCGACGGCGCCCGACGCGCTCCCCTTCGCGAATCGCGAGGCCCTGCAGCGAGCTCCACCGCGCGCGCAGACAGCGCGCGTTGCACCCGCGGCGGACGCTGCTCGCCGTGCCCCAAACGCCACGCTCAGGGCTCGCGCAGGCAGTTGCTCCACTCTCAGGCCCCGGCACCGTCCGGGCGAGTGATTGTGCTCGCAGAGCATGTCGCGTTTGTATCACGCCTCGCGTCCTTCTCGCGCGAGCCACCCTGCGGGGAGCGCGGCTAAGAGCGAGCACGGCCTCCTCCTCGGCGATTATCACTAGCGCGCCGCCCTGGATGGCCGAGTTCCTGACATGGACAGTCGGCCACACACACATCGGCGCATCAGCAGTGATCATCTCTCCGACTGAGTACGTCCTTTGTTCGCGATCGAGGGTATGTTCTCTGTTAGAAGTCGGCGGCTCGGTCGAGGTCGGACGAGGGTAAAGGCAATCGATACGACGCGGTTGGTCCCTATGGGCACCGGGAGGCGAGTACAGACGGACGCGGGGGAGAACGAGGTGGTGGTGAAGGGCAAACGCGTGAGGCGAGTGCGGGACGAGGGACGATGGCTATCTACACGATGACTAAGCACAAGTAAGGTACGACCGAGCTTGCCATACACGTGAGCAGATTCCAACATTCTCTCCTGAGAGAAACTTGGCAGGATTGAGGACGTCTGGGATGACTGAACACATACATGAGTATGGCAAGTTGAGCGCATCATGCATCGTACATCAGCCCTTCTGGATCGCGCATCAAGGCAGTACGCCGGCGTTCTTCGTCGATGACAGCGCGAAGGGTTCTCCAGATGTGTTCCGTGCCTAGCGAGCATCAGCGAATGAGCAACACCTACAAACCAAGCAGATGCATGGACGCATTGCTGATCTGTCCATCATTGCCTGTACAGTGAGAACGTCGACAAGCGCGATGTGCGCATGCACTCTTGCTTAATCGCACGGCTTCGAATGGCTCGGTGTTGATGCCAAAACCATACCAGGACAGCACGACATCTCGACTGACATACGACCTCCGCATGAGAGCGATCAAAGAGCGCGCGAACCACCCCAATCGATAACACAGGGCGCATGTCCGCATCGTCTGAAACCGACATATGGCCGAGCATGAGAACGAACGAAGCATCGCATCGATGTAGCGTGAACACGGCAGATACTGACGCACCCCGACTCGAGGTCCAAGGATCCGACAGCCATCGCATGCATGGCATTTTGTATGATGATGGCTGGAAAGCGGGAAGATTGCCGCTCCGGCCAATCCTACTCTGATGTCTTGCGCACGTCGCGGCTGTGATAGACAGAGGTTATGGGACAGTACGCGCTACGGCCGGCATGGTCACTGACCGGAACGTGCGAGGGCACGGTGACGGCGTAAGACAGCCCGAAAGCGCTTCTGGCTGGGCTCTCTGTGATGTCGGATCAGTATGGCCCCGGAGCACAAGAGCGCCATCGTCCATACACGACAAAAAGATCGACAATCGACAACGTACATTGGTATACGAACGACACAGAAACGACCTTCATCCCATTGTGAGAACCGTTGGGCTAGCGTTGGGCTATGGCGACCCTTCCGCTGCAACGGGCGCGACGTTGTCGACGTTGTTCTCGATCTGCGGCAGTACATACAGCGCTGCCGTCTGCGTGTTCGGGTAGTGCGGCGCTGTAAAAATCAAAGGCGGCGTAAGCTCCATTGTCCGTAGCTAGTCGCTCCGAAGAGCAGACTCAAACGATCGGGAAGAAGGCACTCACTGCGCTGCACCCGCGTCTGCACGCCCTCGCTCCCCGGGTCCGGCGCGGTCCGCACGAACTGTTGCACGTCCCCGGCTTCCTTGAGTGTCCCGTCCGGCATGTGTGCGAGGACGTGCTCCTACACCCACGTGAGCTCGCGCACCGCGCCCCCGTCTAGGTACTACGCCTACCTGCGTCGCGGGAGGCACTTGTTCAACGCGAGGAACAGCGGATGGAGCCTCAAGGCCCCACTTCTCCTTTCGTCCAAATACATCGCGCGGCGTCCGTTGTCGGATGCGGCGGGGCCAACGTGACATCTGGAGGTGCGTCCCGTGCCGCTACATCTCCATTCTCGTTCTCGTTCTCGTTGTCGTCGATGTTGATCTCATCCGGTTTCGTCTTTTCCGTGTTCTTCTCCAAGGAGGCTCTACCGCTCCCGTGTCCATGTGGAAGCCTGTCCAAGCATGACTACAGCCTCGAAACGAGGGGCCTATCATCAGCGGCGCGCCGAACGCGCCCTTTTTGATGTCGTTGCGGAAGCACGGTTTCCGGCGGAGGAGACCGCCTGTGTCGCCGCGGTGCTCGGTTCCCTGCAGCCAGTGAGAGGAAGACTTTGAGCGAGGTGAGCCGTCGGGAGCGATAGTATGCCCGAGGGTTGACAAAAGTACGGGCGAGAGGTAGAGAGGCGGGCGACGTACGAGGGAGAGGGAGAGGATGTTGAACTAGCGGACGTGATACAAGCTCCGCATCGAGCCGTGAATGTATGGGATGCCTTCCGTACCCTGCAAAAATGCATAGAGCAGACGATGAGGACGTGTGGCATACACGTTCCGGCGAGGACGTGCGCACCTTGGTGAAAGTTCCCGACTTCCTTGCAATGCGCACCCCAATTATTTGAACGCAGCCCGCGTGCCCGAGGAAGCAGATGTTCGGCGCGAGCCATCCACTATGGTACCTTCGACACACCTCCATTGAGAGAAATTTGCATAAGACTCACAGCCCGCAGGAATAGTTCTACGCATCATGGTTCCCTCCAATGACCACAGTCAAAATCGGCACAGCCGTCTCCCCGGTATAATACCTGCCCACCGCCTCAGCACCTAGCCTGCACGACAGAAAGAGCGCGTACGCACCTAGTATCTAGCGAACCCACCGAGCTGTCTGTGCTTGTCCGGGACGGCCACGCCCTGCAAGCCGCCGCAGACGATGAGGAGGCCGACCTTGTACCTCCTTGTACCCGCTTTCCTGCTCGCAGAGCGCAGTGATCCGGGCGTAGATAGCATTGAGCTCTATGTGGAAACAGCCCTCGATTGCGATCTGGAGGACGGAAGACGGGGAGCTCGTGATGAGCCTTCATCGCGTTCAGCGCCGGGTGGTATATGCGTTCAGATTGGGACCGCCGCCATAGAGGGCGGGCGTGCGAGTGAGGCGGACAGAGAAAGAGATCGAGGCACGCGTTGAGGTGAGCGGCTCGCGCAAGCTAGACCTTTATGGGCGTTTATAGTATTGTCCGCGCTCGTCCGCCGCGGGCTGGCCTGCCACTAGATCTTATGTACATGCATATAAAAAAGACGTACTTATGCGCCGCGACCCCTCTTGATTTCGCCCTCATGCATTGCTGCTCCTCCGGGATTACGACACAGGCCCGAGTGCCAGGGGGACAAGAATCGCTGGAATATAGCACCAGGGCGGATGGAGAGAGCGCACTTCTCGTCGTAGGTCCAAGGCACGATCAGGGAGAACTTGGAGATCACAGCGGTGACTGGTTGACTAGCTAGCATTTGCACTCCTTTTCGAACGTCCTTTACGCCCCCATAATGTCCTGTTAAGTCACTCCGACTTGCACAAGGCTATGAGCCTTACCTGCTGCCGAAGTGAACAGTAGACTGGTTTTACTCGCATGCCCCAGGTCTTCACAGACGCATTCCCACGCTCATTCTACTAGAACCCCAGGATTTCGCCACCCATTAGTACTTGTGGGTACGGCCGCGATGGAAAGAACGCTCCAATGTCGTTGTGCACCTGTATTACGCTGGACCCGATAAGTCATGTATTGTATGATTAAACAGAGGGGAAGCGACTCAGAGAATAGAGCGGCGAGGTGTGCCAGATGAACGACTCGAGCGGTAAGATATGGACAGACGAGAGAGCAACGGGACGTGGAGACAACGGGGGGCGGGCGGGAAGAGACAATGGCGGCTAAAGGCGGGGACTCGACGAAACGTAACGCGTGCATGGAAATACGAACTGCAGAAACGGGTGTGGTGGAGACGTAAGACATTCAATCGTGCATACGTATGCGCCTTACATGGGATCGACGAGACTGTACAGTTCTTCAAAGAGCATATCCGCCGAACTGCCGTCCTGTGCAAGACCACGATGCAACGCCGAGTCCTCGAGAGTCTCGGCCGCACCCGCCAGGTGCGCGACTTTGCAACAAGTTGCGTGGAGTGCAAGGAAGTCCGGATGAGGCAAGTCCATGCTGCCCTCCTTAGGAGGCAGGATCCCTGGAATCCCGAGATCGTCGCGAACTTTGAACGTTATTTGAGCGGGCCACCCATTCCCCTCTCGAAGTTCTGGTGGATACGTTTTCACATTGTAGGTGTTAGGCTATCCGCGGGCGTTAGCATGTGACAGTATGTTGAGTACATCATAACGACAGACCTCGCCAGTGCTCTCAAACCAAAGGCATAAGCGGTCCATCAGCATATGAGCCTCTCCAGAGAGGGTCAAGGCATTGCTCAGCCGGTGACATTTGTGCCCGTTCAATTCACTCCACGCGTCAGGATAACCAAAGCGTTCCAAGATCGACGAGAAGCCTGTCGCCAACTCGCGCCGGAAGGAAAGTCAGTGTTTGTCTCAGACAGGGAAATGCCATGTCGCACCTTCGCCTCTGGATTAGCGAAAGGCGTCAATTTATTGACGGGTTCAGGTATAATATGTGTACAATGCGTGGGGGCAAGCCGACTCGCAGCGCCTAACGGAAATTTGCTCGGGTACTTGCACCACATCCCGAGATCAAATTTCCCGGTCAGTATGCACTGAAACCCGTCACGGAAGAGTGCCTTGAGCGCATGGTGAGTAATGCGGTCTACACACGTTGATCAATGCAAGACACGCACAAGTCGTTTTGCTTCCGAGTGATTTTGCAGGGTGGTGACGAGATGGGGTGTGATCTCTTCCGCAAGGCTATCTAACGAGGGGCGAGATGACATCCTAGGTGTGAGGTCAGCGGCGGATTTGACTGGAAGAGTAATCGATAAGCAGCTGTATATCAAGGCAAGAAGAAGCTCACAACGCCGAACACAGTGGATGTAGTAGAACTGCCCAAGCTCCACAAGTCGCTCAAACGATCCTAGGCAGCTCTCGATCTCAGTTGAAAGACAAATACGCGCCGTCTCGTTGACAGGTTCGATGAGGAAGCCGCCAAGAACGCCAATGTAGCGTCGCTGTTTTGAAATGTCCTGAGGGTTTAAACCTTCTCTCTCGATCGCCGTCTGTTCAGCCGGGAGGATGTAGTGGATATATGCACTGCGAGATTGTGGAGGCATATTGGACACCGAGTCGTCGTCTTGACGGGGCAAACGGAGGAAAACTAGCTCGGACATGATGGGGGGAGGGAAAGCGAGGGAGAGCCCCTATGACTGATCAAACGGCGTGCTGGGCCCCAGGCACTGCTTCGACTCAGCGCTTGAAAACATCTCAGTCGCTTCAGAGCGTACCATCCCCTGCGTCGCGACCGACATGCGGACCCGCCACGTCCGACTCTGAGAACAAAATTCGGAAGAGATAGAGGAAGGACGGGATGGGCGATTTTGACAACCTAACCGTGGTACGTCTATCCTTTCATTGATGATATGTATTCGTCAAGCTCAAGAACAGCGACCCCTCGCCCGTCGAAAATGACCGTGACGTCTAGCTCGCGCGCGTCCGACAGCGCGTCAGTGCCAGCGAGCCAACCAAAATCGCTGCCCCGTCTGCTCCCGCAAGCCTCTTCCACCGTAGAGGGGTCCTCCACCACTACTTACCTCCCCACTCGAAGACGAGCATATTCACGTTGAGGCATCAACATAGCAGGTGGATGGAGAGCGTTCATCCGGAACACAGGTACTACCTCGTCTTCATTCGCACTCAGAGCAAGCCAGGTGGCGCCGCTCCCTACCTGCAGGACTTCAATCCGCGGTGCGACAACCTCCAGATGATCGCAGGCGACCCCAACCCCGCTTCAAATAAGAGGCTCACTGGTACTGCTCGTCTGCTCCATCGCGGGCGCGGCCGGGACGTCCGCTCCCTACGACATGATGAACCACGGATTGGGAGGACCGTCTATCACGGGCACGGCCGTGAAAGTGACCGCCCTCGACGGGATTATCGCGAAGCCTACGATGGACCCGGCTGCGACCTAGATAGTGGGGTCGATATGAAGGTGCGAGCTAGATCCGCGCACCTTCGACAGTGTACAGCTGGTCATGGACAGCGGGGGTCGATATGCGTGACCACAGGTGAAGGCGATACTTGGGCTCAAGACAATAAACTGACGTGTATGTGCGGTGACGCCAAAATACATGACGGATCGTCCGAGATCGCGATGAGATCTTTAAACGTATCGTATCCAACAACTTATCCAAAGACGGGTGAGGGCGACACCCACGTACTATGCGTGCTTTCCCTGCCTGACTTGCAACACCACGGGCACACTCGCCCTCGCGGTTACGAAGAAGTCCTGGTACTCATCTTCGTACCGCCCCATATCGTACAGCCCGCCCAGCTGCCCGTCGACCGCCCCCTCCGGGGCTGTGCGCACTTCGAATCGCTGGAGGAGCGAGCACAACAGCGTGCTCATCTCCTGCATCGCGAGCGCGCGCCCGACGCAGTTCATCGGGCCCTGCGAGAACGCGGTGAACGCGCTGCCGTTGTGTTTGAACTCCGCCACCGAGACGCCGCCTGGGAGAGCGACCTTCGAACGGAGGCTGTCGTTGTCGGCGAGGAGCCAGCGGTCGGGCCAAAAGCCTTCGGGCTCGGGGTAGAAGTTGCGCGGGTCGCGGTGGAGGGACCAGGTGTGTACCCAAAGGTGGGTGCCCGGGGGAAAGTACCTGCAACGAAAGTCCATTAGGATATAATCAGATCTAGCGAAAATGAGCTCACAATAAGCCATTAATGGCAGTCCCTTGCCCGTCTGCGGGCACCATACGTTGTGTGCCACCCGGGACAGGTGGGAACAAGCGTAGACCTTCGTTACTAAAAATAATGTCAGAGAGATTGTTTGTGATCAAGACGAGGTATCGCTCACATTACCGCATTGAGGTAGGACATCTCTTTGTGATGACGCGAATCCAACGGGTCTTCACCCGGTGGGTAATATTTATCCACCTCTGCCTGCAGCCGATTATACGTCTCCGGGTGGGAGAGCAGACAGGCGAATATGCTCGTCATGGCAGAAGACGTAGTGTCCGCTCCCGCAACCATCGCGAGGATGCCGTCATCAATGAGTTGATATTCCGAAGCGGGAGGTCGAGACGGATCGTCTTCGCCGCTCTACAGCGCACATGTGAGCCCACAAGGTACGGTCAGAAAGCAATGGTATCGGACTCACAAGATAATGGAAAAGGTCGGGCTTTGACGAACCACGCTTCACGCGAGCCCGAGCGAACTCGGCGCAGCGGTCGATGAGGGCGGTGACTGGTGCAACCACAGCAGGGACATAGCCAAGAAGGATACCCAACCACGGAAGATGGCCAAAGACGGTCGCCATACTACGTTAGGGGCACAAGCGGTCCGACTTTGACGTCAACGAGGGGCTGCGTAGAGCGAGAAGGACGACGAACCGCATATTCCCGTCCAATATTGCCCAGAAGTTGTCCTTTCCCTGCCCGCTCAACAACTCTGACCCTCCGCCAAACGCCATATCCGTCATGAAGTCGTAGCTGTGATGGCAAGCACAGCTCAGCATCGTTCCGTAAGACAAGGAGGAAGAGACGTACGCGAAGTAGTTGACCCACTCGTCCAGCCTCACGACACCGCTCTGCTCTTCCAGCGCGTTGCACATCTGGGCTGATCTCTGCGCAATGAAAGCATTATACCCTTTCACCGCAGCCGGACTTAGCCCGCGGAGCCACGGGCGTCGACGCCTTGCGTGTTCGTCATGGTCATGGATGGCGATCATCATCCGTGGCTTGTACTCGAGCATGCGACCATAAAAGTCTGCGCATATAGTGACCTGTCAGAGCTCGCCAACGTGAAACCAATGTCCGAATACGCACGAGTGCCCTTTGGGAGACCCGGGCTCCCCAGTATCACCGAAGCCGCGGACGGATCGCGGACGGAAAGCTCATTCGGACCTGCGGTGGCGGGTCAGCGAGGTGGAGAAGGGATCTCGAAATGACAAACCTGTGCGGACGACATCGCCGTACCGTTCGTGGAGGGACTTGATGTACTTGTGCTGGTCGCCACTCAAGGACAAGGCCGCCATCCAGAACTTAGAGATGCGGGCGACGACAGGCCCTGGATAGCGGGAAAGGGGATGGAAAGGGCTGAGACGGTAGGCGATGACGAGAATACCGAGACTGGAGACGTAAAGCGGGAAGACGATCAGGAGGGTGCCGATGGGACCGCGGGTGCCGAGAGGGCTCGGGGCGAGGGCAGAGGAAAGCAGCGCGGGGACGAGGACGAGGAAGGAAGCATGTTGGAAAGGAGTGTAAGGCTGGTATCGTCGAATGACTTGGTGCACTACCTGAATGTAGGGGCGGTTGAAAGCACGGTCAATCATAGCAGGTCGTCTCCATCACGGAGGTGCTCACCAGCGCTGTCGTACCTGCGAGGGCAACGAGCTCGCGCATCGACGGCGCAACAGGTGTTGGGTAGAGGGGAGATATGTAGGAGAAAACAAGGTGTGGTCGCTCACACCTGCATCCAACATTTCTCTCAACCCCCAAGCCTCCGTCTTGGCTCGGACGACCGTTGGCGTGTTGCGTGATGGATCATGGGACGGTGCACGAGAGAGGCGAAGCGGGGGGACACGTGCTTGTTGTGGGGACGAGTGGGTGGGAGGAACGATCTAGTATGAGAAAAAGACGTACGCGCTCAGCGCTGTGATCCTTCTCAAGTTTGCCTTACGTGACTTTGCCTCCGGGATTCCGACGGCGACACGAGACCACGGCTTGCGTGTGCTGGCGCATCAAGAGAGAGAGAGAGAGAGAGAGAGAGAGAGCGCCTACGATACAGCAGAGGTTGCGCTTCGTGGCGGCGGCCCGGACACCCCGCGAGTGCCAAGCTTCCCCGAACATTTTGCAAGAGGAACTCGCAAGTACCAGCTGTCAAGTAGACCGCGAACAGACTCCAACCTTTCTCCTGAGTCTGGGGATACAGACCCTGCGGCATACACTGAGTGCACATACATATACTCTAGATACGCTTCTTGCGCCCACTACGCAGTACTACCGCCACGTTATTGTCTCGACGATAACCGCTCACCTCCCTCCGCTGACCCTCATTCCTCGTCGATACCAGTCTCCATTGAACCGAGTTCATCCGCCCCGAACACGCTCGGTGACGCTCCTACACAAAGGGCTTTAGGCGTGGATGGCTGTTCCATTGTGAAAGGTTCGTAGACGGGACCGGGGAGACTAGACAGGATCGGGGAAACTAGACGGGACCGTCAAATTTGCGTTCCAGTACGGCAAGGAGCGCCCACGAGCTGCCCGCGCCGGTGTGTGCGCCGTGGTCATGGTACTGCACCGGGCGATCGTCATTCACAGGAAGAAGTGGGCGAAGAAGAGGTGGTCTCGTTGCGCAGGGGTTTGTGCTCGCGACGTCAACGTGTTCACGACTTGCGCAGTACATTGATTTACTGGTGTGGGAGGAGCAGGGACGTGTGGTATCCCGCATGGAGTGCTGACTTGTAGGCTGTTGTTGTACGCCGGTGATAGAGAAGACGTCCGGTTCAGACTAGGCGAACTCGAGCGAGGAGACCAGCCGAAGTGGGCCGTGAACCTGGTTGCACGACGCTCCACTACACCAACAGCGGGCGAGCAGGCACTTGGTGGACGGAGTGGGGGGCAAACTGAGGATGGAGACCAACGAGGAGAAAGACAAGGAGGCAGGCGCCGGGCGGCTCCGCAAAGCGAACGTCGCGTAAGCGCGCGCGATAACTCTCCCTTTCCCTCCTCCCTCTGCCCACCGCTCCTTTCCCTCTGCCCACCACGGCGCCGACACCCACTGCTGCTCCCCCTCTTCTATGATATGCCCAGCGATGCGAACGAGGTAAACGAGGCTGCTCTCGGCTTGCTCGGTCTCATTGCTACCCCGTCCTCCTCTGTCCCCACCAAGCGCAAGCACTCCGAGCCCGCCGCCGACCTTCCACCCCCGTCGACCCCCCTGCGCCCAGCACAGAGGCCATTAGCTGTATCTGCGGCAACACCAACGACGATGGTTTCTCGATCGGCTGCGACAAATGTGCTCGCTGGTGCCATGCTGCCTGCTTCAACATCTCTGAGTCCCAGGTGCCGGACGAGTGGCTTTGCTGGACATGCGACCCCGCCCGTCGACAAAGACCGCGCCGTCAAGGTTCAGAGGGCCCGCCAGCGCCAGCAGGCCAACGGTCTCCTCAAACGAAAGCCCAGCCCAGCCCGTTCCCGCAAGCCACCACCATCCTCTGTCGACGGCAAAGAGTCCAAGCGCAAGAGGAGGGCTTCCATCAACGTCGTCGCCAGCCATCACCTTCCCTCCGTTGAAGACGAGCATGTGGACATCGACGAGCCTCTATCGAACACGTATGTCCCCATTACCAAGGACGTCATCCCCGCAGACGACACCCGCGACCACCTGCGCCGAGTGGCTGCAGACTGGCGAGGTGTGTCTGCTATCAGCCCGTCCCCCTCCCTCACCCCGGGCTGCACCACCCCCGCAACGATCACGCCCGACGCCGCGTCTCCGTCTCCCCAGATTGCTGTCCATCCCCTTCCTTCCTCTGCGTCCGCCTATCCCTTCTCCTTCGCCAATGGCAATGCTTCGGTGCGTCCCCAATCGTACGCCGTTCACGCCATCCAGCCCATTCCTTCCTCCAAGCTCATCGCCTCATACCCATCAACTATCATCCCCACCGCCGCCTACCTGCGTGATCCTCTCAACGCGTATGCCCACCTCGGCATGCCCAAGCCTTACGTCCATCTCTTTGGCCCTCCCCTCGACATCGCCTTGGACGCCCGCATTACGGGCGACGAGTCCCGTTTCGTCCGCAACGGATGTCGGCCAAATGCCATCCTACGCCCTTTTCTATGTCCGTCGGAGGGTGATAAGGCGGTGGAGACGGAGCCCATCGCCTTCGGTATCTTCGCCCTCCGCGATCTCAAGGCGAACGAGGAGGTCGTTCTGGGTTGGGAGTGGGACGATGCAAACGTCGTCCACAACTTGCCTGCCTTGATTCAGAGCCCTTGCGAGTTCTCGTACGTCCGCTTTCCCTCGTCCCCGACCCCCACTCATCCCCTGTGTCCGAACAGAGCTCATCATCGCGAACATCTGCGGAAACAGTTCACTGATTTCCTGCACTCCCTTTCTTCGACCTTCACTACATGCGCCTGCGGGGCGAACACTTCCGACTGCGCCTTCGCTCGCATCGCCAAGTTCGTCGATCACGGCATCCCCCCCACCCCTTCTCCTTCTCCGCCCTCTCAGTTTACGAAGGAGAAGGGCGCGCCAAAGAGCCGTGTACGCTCCGACAAAGCCTCAGCTGATCTCGGTCCCCTGATAGGCGTCGAGAGGGGATTCCGCACGCGCGAACGCATACCCTCATCAGGTGGATTCGGTGGGGTCGAGCTGGTTCCGCCGTCGCCTTCAGACCCGGGTCCGTCGCGCATACAGCCGGACCACCCTTTGCTCCATCCGTCTGACGGCCTCGCCACGCACACGAACCGTAGCAAGAAGACCAAAGATTGCATTGGCAAGGCGGTTGACATTGACGTGAGCGAGCGGGAGAGCGCAGCAGGTACGCTGGGGTCTTCGTCAGTTAGCCACGTTTCCTCATCTTTCATAGGCCCGATCCGCACTCGTCAACTATCGGGAGAATCGACAGACGACATGGAACTTGACTTCTCGGCGTCGGAGGAACGGCTGCCTCCTCGCATGCGCAAAGCCTGGATCGCGCGCAGTAGTGCGATGCTGCGACATCAACACGCACCGCGGGAATTTTCTGACTCTATGGAGGTCGATTCGCCATTGGTGGATCCGGTTGGTCAAGGCGAGGGCAAGCCTACAGTAAATCGAGAGACCTACTTCGGTGAGTTAGGTAGCCGTCTTACCTCTTTTCTATGCCTTATTCTCGCGTTACACAGATTCTCGTGAGATGCCACCGCCTCCAGTCCCATACTCTCGAACTCCTCCCCTCGTTCCCGCCCCGGGGGCTTTCGATCTGAAGTCCCGACAGCACTCTGAGGGCTTGGCGTCACCATCGATACCGTTTTCCAAGCTCTCTTTGCTCTCTCCCGTCATCCCTGCCCCCGGTGCTCCTTCCTCCTCTCGTCTTGATTGTCAAACATCCACCGATTCGACCTCCACCACCAGTACGCCCTCCACCACCACGGCCCCCAGAGCGTCTTCGTCTAAGGCAAACACGAAAGCATCCGGCAAACTCACGGTGAGGAAGCCGCGCCGACCTACGCTTGCTCCTCAGCCTAGAGGGAAGGGGAAGGAAAGGGAAATCGTCAGGGATGTGGACGGGGAGAAGAGTGATGACGGAAGCCATGACGGTAAAGTCCGCGCTGCTTCAAAGAAATCCAGCTATCTCCCCGCCGTCCCCTCCAACGACGCCATCCTTTCGCCATCCCTCGTCCGCGAAGGTCGAACCAAATCGAAATCGTCGGAGTCAGATCATTCCCCGCTCGTTGCTTCCCCTGCTTTGCCGTCTCCCTCCACTCCCTTAGCCGCGCTTGCACCTCTTGGATCGTCACCACCTCCACCATCTACGCCAGTCATGCCACTACCTGAACTGCCCCCGACCCCGTGCCACTCGAACAATCTCAGGTCCTTTCAACGCCTCCAGACGAAAATCATCCGACGACTACGTACCATGTCGACCCTGGTTTGGTTCAGGATGTTATGCAAGTGGACCATCCATCTCGGTCACCGGCGACCAGCCCACTCTCAGTTCCGCGGGTCCTCGTTTCTCTTCCCCCATCTACTCCTCTTCCTGTCACCCACGACACAGAGCCGGAAACCTTCCATCAAGCGATATCCACGTCGAATGGCTTTCCGTCTCCACCACCGTCCTTACCGTCATTGCTACTTCCCAACCCTGCCGATATCGACGTCTCTATGTCTGAGGCAGCCCAGGATGCGGTGGTGGTTCCCGAGGCTATCCCCGATACACCGATGTCGCCCGTCAACGAGCATGACACTTTCCTCGAGTCGAATGGCGGCTTGGAGCAGTCGGTTGAGGAGCCGAAGGATTCGTCGCCGATCCCATGCCCTTCACCACCAGCGGAACACCCGCAGCCAGCGGAGCCCCCTCCGCCGCCCAAGGTGAAGCTGTCTCTCAAAGACTTTGCCATGCGCAAGAAGAAGCAGCGGGAGGAGGAGCGGATGGAGCGGCAGAAGGAGGAACACGAGAAGGTCGTCGCCTCTCCGGAGCCCTCGAGTATGTCACTTCACGAGACCCATGAGACCGGTGCGAGTGGACCACCGGATGCCGCGGAGGATGGTGGTCTCGTCGAGACCGCCGACGAGCCTGCCAACAAGGAGGAGGCGCCTCAGGTGGCAGAAGGTCAAGTGCGCGACGTATCTGTGTCCGATCCCACTTCAAAGCCTCTTCCTTCCCCGCCCGAACCACCACCCCTTCCGGTAGATGTTAAGGGTGTTTTCCATCCGGATAAGCATCCGCCCTCATCACTCGAAACCAAGATCGAGGCGATTGACGTGATGCCGAGCAGTCCACGGCAGGCGACCGACGACCCTCATCCCACCACCGACCGGTCACCTACTCCGAGCCCTGCGAGTCCGCCTCGCACGCCGTCGACTCCACGGTCCCCTCCGCCTTCACAGCCAACGCACGAGGACGGCGAGATTTTCAGCCCGCCCCCGCCAAAAGCTCCTCCACTGGCGCCTCGTTCGCGCACCCCTCCAACCCATCCGCGCTTTTGGAACGGCGGTCCGAGTTTGTCTCCCCCTCGCCCACTGCGTCCGCTCCACCCAGGGCAGTACGCGCGCAACGGGGGGACAGGGCGCGCGGTGCCCAGCGCCCCGCGGGCCCTCCGCGAGAACGCGTACGGCGGGGCACCGGTGATGGGTGGGTACGGTGGCGGACAGAACGCGCCGTACTTCGCGCCTCGAGGCCCGTCCGCCGACCGCGACCGACCGCGAGACTGGGGACGGGACCGGGAGGGCGACCGGGCGTGGATTCCTGGGCCGTCTCGAGGACGGGGGCGGGGGACGTGGGGGCGTTGAGTGTGCGTTGGTGGCGTGCTTTCGCTGTTGTGTCCTGCGTATCTGTGCTTCACGTTTGCGTTCGCGTTCGCTGTGGATGTGACTGCTTCGTGGCTTCCTGTTTATTGACTATCGTATTACGTGCGCCGCGCGTTTGTAGCATCCCCTACGTACTAGTAGTAATCCAGTCTGTCGATATCGACGCCTCTGTCTCGCATGCGGGACCATCGTGCTTTGCACCTGCACTCGGCGTAGTTGCGACAAGCCAGGGCGAACAACGCATGACTTCGGCAGAGCTGTGACCCAGGCTCTAAGCTCTAAAAGCCCGCGGCCCGGACCCGACGCTGGACCCCGCGCCCTTCGAGCGCACGAAAGTGGCCTTGCTTGCTTCCTCCCACATCCCTCACCGCGCACCGTCTCGACGGGCCCGAGAGCACCCTGCATGCAGCGCACCACCCTTCCGTCCTACCGTGCCCTCTCGAGGCGTCTACCCCCACACGCGGCCCCCCACTGCGCTCTCCCCGCCGCGTTCTCCTTCCGCACGCCGGGCTCCCGTTGGTCAAGCTCCTCCTCCTCATCCTCAGAAAACCCTCAAGGCTCGACGTCCAACAGCTCACCCGCGAGCGCGCCCCTCGCGTTCGCCGCCGGCGCCGCCGTCAGCGGTGCTCTCGCCTGGTACCTCGCCTCGTCGCCGGCGCCGCAGACCACGGGCGCGCCGGGCCCGATCGTGTTCAACGACACGTACGGGAGCGCGGAGGACTTCCGGCGCGCGATCGCGGAGCTGCGCACGTTCTTCCCAGAGGACGAGGACGCGGTGAGCACGGACCCGGCGCACCTGGAGGAGCACGGGTACTCGGAGAATGATTACCTCCCTGGTGAGTCGCGCGCGGCGCGGGTGCGGGAGGGTGCGGCGCGCGGTGCTGAGGACTGTGCGTAGGTTCGTGGCCCTCCGTCGTGGTCTACCCGTCCTCCACGGAGGATGTTGTCAAGATCGTGAAGACCGCCGTCAAGTACAAGATGCCCGTCATCCCATACTCCGGCGCGACGAGCCTGGAAGGGCATTACCGCGCGGTGCGCATCGTCCGGCCGGTTCTTGCCGCTCTTCTCGTGCTCACGGAACACGCAGCCTTCCGTCGGCGGGATTTGTGTAGACATGTCCAAGATGGACAGTATCATTGAGATTAACGGTGAGAAGTGAGCCCCTCCCAGTGAAGCTGCAAAGCTCACCGTGCACGCAGAGGGCAACTCGGATGTGGTCTGTCAACCTGGCATCCGATGGATGGACCTAAATGCGACATTGGCAAAGAAGGGTATCCCTCTCTTCTTCCCCGTAGGCTCAACGTCACCCGTTTGTGTACTCGCGCCTGACGACCACCTCGCAGCTTGACCCTGCTCCGGGTGCGACGATTGGCGGTATGCTCAGCACAGGGTGCTCAGGCAGTACGTCTCCCTTTCGACCTCCTCTGCCCCAGCGCGGCGCTGACCCGCGGTTATTTCAGCGAACGCGGTACGATACGGGACTGCGAAGGCAGAATGGTTCCTGAACGCGGTGCGTGGCCGTCGTGCGCGGACGGGTGGATTGCGACATTCTGACGCTCTCCTCGAATAGACTGTGGTGCTCCCCTCTGGTGAGGTGATCAAGACTCGCCGACGGGCGCGCAAGTCGTCAGCAGGTTTCGATGTCACGAAACTGTTCATCGGGGCCGAAGGCACTCTCGGCATTGTTACGGAAGGTGAGCAGAACAAGCGCGCAACATATGGATGCAAACTGATGCTCGTTTGTAGTCACGCTACGACTCGCGCCCCTACTGCCGACCAACGTTGCCGTCGCCCAATTCCCTGACATCCGCTCAGCGGCCTCGGCGGTAGCGGAGATCGTCAACACTGGTGTCGGGATCCGTGCGCTTCTTCTCCGACAATTGACCTCTCCTTCCCTGACTGACACGCGATGCGACGCGCAGAGTGCGTCGAGCTCGTAGACGTCCAGTTCATGAAGGCGACCAACGTCTACGGCCAGTCTTCGCGCAAGTGGCCGGAGAAGGACAGCCTGTTCTTCAAGTTCCAGGGCCCGACGCCCCGCGCGCTGAAGGAGACCGCGGAGGTGGTCAAGAAGGTCACGCAGAAGCACGGCTCGTCCGGCTTCGTCCTCGCCTCCTCGGACAAGGAGGCGCACGACCTCTGGCAGGACCGGAAGAACGGGCTCTACTCGAGCATCGCGCTCCTCCCTGGCTCCCGCGCCTGGAGCACCGACGTCTGGTGAGACCCTGCACGAGACAGACGCCTCGGTGTCTATTCGTTGACGCTTGTTGCGCCCTGTAGCGTCCCGCCGTCGAAACTTCCCGACCTCGTCATGCAGACGACAGAAGATCTGCGCGAGCACGGCATCCTCTACACCGTCCTCGGACACGTCGGCGACGGTCTGTCCGCCGCCCTCCCTCCGTGCCTCCGCGGACCCTGATGCCGCCCTTGTTCCCGACACAGGCAACTTCCATACGACGCTCATGTTCGTGAACGAGGACGAGGCGGACAACATTCACGAGGCGGTGCGCCGCATGGTGCACCGCGCGATCGCGCTCGACGGCACCTGCACCGGCGAGCACGGCGTCGGCATCGGCAAGCGCGAGTACCTGTACGAGGAGCTGGGGGTGAACACGGTCGAGCTGATGAAGACGATCAAGAAGACGATCGACCCGCACAACCTCTTCAACCCGGGAAGGTGAGCGGTGCGCGTGCGGCTCGAGCTGGGACCCGTGGCTGACTGCGCTTGCAGCTGTACCCAGATGCGCCCAAGCCGTCGAAAAAGGAGTAGGCCCGCTTCTGTGAGAGTACCGCGCCGTAGACTACGCGTACTCTGCTAGCTGGTAGAGGGTGGGCGATCTGCACGCATTATGGACCGATCTATTAGACAGTGATGAACGGGTTCGGCTGGTGCCTGATGGGATTCCATGCACGTTTCTCACAAGGAGTGCAATGGCATGGAGTGCGTCTAAAGGCATCTGAAAGTAAAGTTGAGAAGGTTCAATCCCTGCATGCGCCTTCGGCTTCACTATCGTTCATGGTGTCTGTAAAACAAAGGTTGAGATGGGCAAGACTTCACTACTAGAAGGCCTAGACACACACAGTGGCCACATCGTGTGCGGTGCTTCGCGTTTGAATACCCGCGATTGGACAGACGTTGCATGGTACGCTCCCCTACTCACCAAGCAGCTCCTCGTGAGCACGATTTGCCGGGGCACCTCCACTCGGGCTTGGACAGGCTGGAGGTACTGCCTACGCCTGCAGCTCTAGCCCTTGACGGCAATGCTTTTGTCGGAACCATCAACTGGTCAACGAGACGGGTGGCTGGCGACATTCACGGCTGACTGACGCTCTCAGCGCGGTTGCCCGTTGTTTGACGATGCGTATCAGTCGACAGTCGATGTCTGACAGTGAGGAAGAAGAGGATGCCAGTGAGGCGCGGTCCACATCCGGCACGTGGGCGCTACTTGCACCTCTCTGTCCTCCGCCCTCGACTCGCCGCCGTACCCAGTCTCTGCTTTGTCCTCCCCTGCGGCCGCTACCCCACTGCGATAGGCTGCATGGACGACCAAGACCTCTTCGACTCAGACCCCGACCGTGACGCTCACACCGTCGACCGACCGGCTAAGCGCGCCCGCTATTCCTCGCCCTCTTCGTCCGCAATGCACAACGGAAACCGGTCCTCACGTTCTCCTGGCGGCCCCCTGCCCCTTCTGTCGCCCTCGATCATTGGTGTCGAGCCACTCGACGAGTTCATTCGCGAAATCGCCGACTTCATTCACTACACCATCAGCACTCGCCCTCCAGACGCGGGCGGGGCGGTCGAGGTCGAGGCCAAGATTGGAGTTTTGAAGGACCGGAGCTCGGGTCAGAGGATACAGCTCCCTGTGCTTGTAGAAACAAGTCCGTCTTTCTCTCCTCCGAGCCTCCTCAGTCCCCTGACCACGCAGCCAGTCCTCCAGCCGAATGGTCTGGACATGCGCTTCGAGTCCAACATGACAGGTGTACGTCCTCTCCTCCTCCCCTCTGTATCCTCCCGCCCATCCCCTCGCGCCCGACAGCGCCAACACCAACACTTCAACAAGCTCCTCAACCAGCTCAAGCTCGACCAGCCCGCGCTCGAGATCTCGTACGAGCACCTCCACCTCCTCGACAACTTCTTCGCCCCTGAGGGCGGCGGTCGCGGCGAAAAAATCCGCGTCACGCGCGACGAAAAGACGGGCCAGGTTCGCGCCTGCGTCCGCAAAGTCCGTCTCGCCGACCTGAACATCTTCTGCCCCAAGCGCGCCGTCGACTGGCGCGTCAGTGTCAACCTCGAAATCCCCGGTGCGTCTCTCCCTCGCCCGCTCTACCTTCCCCTCTCTCCACTCGTCCTTTCCTGCTCCAATTATCGCGCCCCGCCCGCTGTCTGTCACCTGTCGCCGCAGCGCGCTCTGCACGCGCCTCATCTCCCTCGAAGCCTATATGCGGGCACGTGCCGAGCGCGACGTGCGCGCGCAGCCCTCTTTGGTCGCGCGCTTCACGAAGGCTTCACCGCTCTCTCGTTCTCAACGCCCCCCGCAGTGCCGCCGCCAATAGGGACGCCGAGCCATTCCCGGCGGAAGGACCGGATGAGCTACACGCACCAAGAGTTCGTCGTCGACCTCACCCAGGTCACCGCAACCGCCGGGCCTGGCTCCAAGGTGCGCCGCGTTCCGCCCCGTGCCCACGTACCGCTTCTCCCGCCTCCTTCCGTCCCCCCTTCTCTCCCCCTCTTCTCCGTTTAATATCCCCGCGGATTCCTGCGACTTCCCGGACCCGCAGCCCGTTCCTAAATTTCTGCTCGTCCTTCCCCGCCGACCGCTCATCTGACTGTCCTCCCGGCGCTGACTGCAACCGCCCCCGCGGACAGGCGGAGATCCTCCACGAGCTCGAGCTCGACTCCGGGACTCGGACTACCTGCTCTCCTCCGCGGCGAAGCGCGGCGACCCCGCGCTCTCCAAGGAGGAACAGGGCGCGTTCGACGACCTGATCCACGCGTTCGTCAACAACGCCCGCATCCTCTGTCGGAACGCGCCGAACGACGGGCCCGCGCCACGGTAGCGCGCGGCGGGCGTAGAGAGGAGGCGTTCCGTATGTTATTTTTGCTGTCGCTATCTGTATTCTCCACCTTGGAATATTCCAACGCGATGGTCCCTGTTCACAGTCGGTTGGGCGGGGGTCCACTTCCGATGAGGTTTAGAATGTGGTCAGACTCCGATTTGGATCGGGCGGTGGAGTGGTGCGGTGCTGCGCGGCGGACACCATGTGGCCCTAGACACCACGAGCTCTATACCCCCCGCGCAGACTAGGTAACCCTGCGCACAGAATTACTGCCTGGCCAGGTCTCTTGAGCAGGCGAGGTCGTGCGCCGCGGCCTTGCGTCCCGAGCTTATGGCGCCACTGTCCGAGTCGTTCCTTTGATGTTTTAAAACAGGGTAAGACTCCGCTACTTGGCTTGCAGGTCACAACCCCAAACCATGGGACGCGCCCTGGCGCCCGACGACGTTCACATATCGGCCTTCATCCACTTGGGGCCTTCCTTGAGCCCCAACAGCCTTTCGAAGTCTCGGAGGGACCCGCGCCACGGACGGAGGACCTTCACGGGCCGCTCCGCGCCCCGTACTTGCGTCCAGTCCGGGCGAGGATCCATCGATCTGAGCGTCCGAGGTGCGTATGTTGAGCGAGGGAAAGGAACGCCAGCGAAACCAAGGACGCACCGTGGCTCGACAACGTTCACCACTCGGCCTTCATCCACTTGGGGCCTTCCTTGAGCCCCAACAGCCTTTCGAAATCCCGGAGGGAGCCGCGCCACGGACGGAAGTCCTTCAAGGGCCGCTCCGCACCCCCGTACTTGCGTGTAATCCGGGCGAAGACCACGTGTAGGTCGCCATCCGGGTTCGCGTCGTACAGATCCTGGAGGTGGGCCCAGGCGACGCGGAGCACTATGGATGCAAAACCGGCGTCTTGGCCAGCTGTCTTGACAACCTCCTGTGGCATGTATACGGTGCTTTCGGATTTGGCGAAGCGTCGGATGTCGGCGGCGGTGACGAGGTAGCTGTAGACGCCGTATTCGTTCGTGAGCTCGTCCGGGATGGGCGGGATGTCGCCGCAGACGCTACAAAACAGGCAAATGTGTAAGTTGACGAGATGGAAGGATTGATCACTACCCGACGCACGCTTTACGACACGGCTCTTCCAGGTTGTTCATGGCGGTCCTGAGCAAGAGCTGGCCAGTGGCACTGCCGCGCGCCTGACTCAGCTTTTCGTACCTGCCACGGAGGCTCAACACAGGCCGCTCAGGTTCCCCGTACTTGGGACGAGTATTGTAGGAGGATGCACTGTCTAGACGTACTAGTACACTTCGTCGTGGTCGTCATTGTCTAGACTCCACGGCGCTTTGGATATAAGTAGGACGCTACAGAGTTGAACGACTGACTCATGCCAGCGCCGATGTGTGTTTATGAGTAGAACGACACGAACTATCCATGCAGGATTATCGATGGCATTGCATCACTACAAAAGACTGCTCGTAACTGACAAATCACCCCCAGTGCCAGGGCAGGCACTCAGAGTTGTGGAGGTGCCCTCGAACCGAAGCGGTAACACGGGCCCAAGATGAGGTAGACTCCAGTACTTGGCTTCCATTTCACAGCTCCGTCCGCGATCGAAAAGCTCCGGGCGAGAGACTCCCGCCGCACTATGTGAGTCGCTGTGAGACCGAGCATCCTAGATGCGTATGTTGAGCGAGGGAAAGGAACACCAGCGAAACCAAGGACGCACCGTGGCTCGGCAACCTTCACCGATCGGCCTTCATCCACTTGGGGCCTTCCTTGAGCCCCAACAGCCTTTCAAACTCCCGGAGGGACCCGCTTCGCTGACGGAGGTCCTCCACGGGACGCTCCGCACCCCCGTGCTTGCGCCTCGTCCGGGCGAGGATCACGTGTTGGTCGCCGTCCGGGTTCGAGCTGTAGAGATCCTGGAGGTGGACCCAGGTGACGCGGAGCACTATGGCAGCCAAGCCGGCTTTGAGCGCAGCCGTCTTGATAACACCCCGTGGCATGAATATCTGGTTTTCGGATTTGGTGAAATAGTGAAGGTGGGCGGGGGTGACGAGGTAGCCGTAGACGGCGTGTTCGTTGGTGAGCTCGTCCGGGATGGGCGGGATGTCGCCGCAGACGCTATGATTCAAGCGAGAGTGTAAGTGGACGAACGAGAAGGATGCACCATATGAACCCACGCTTTGCGCTGCTGCTCTTTCTCGCCCATGGCGGTCTGGAGCAAGAGTTCCGAGGTGGCGCAGCCACACGCTTGAGACGTTGAAGCTGGTGGTACTTACGCGCGCCTTGAAGCGGAGTTGCAATGGACAAGGCAGTCGCATTGGATTGTCGTGTCGGGCTTGACGAGCGCACAAGGCGTGGGTTCCTACACCAATTACGCGTGCATGCAGGTGGCAGCTCGTGCTAAAAAGCTTTTGCAATATTGATGGATGCGGTGCGTGGTAAATTGAGTATGTGACAGCCTCAAGCACGCTCTCACACTCTCGCGCCTTTCATCCACCTGGAACCCTCCGTGAGCCCTAAAAGCCTCTCGAACTCCTGGAGGGAGTCGCGCCACGGACGGGGGCCCTGCACTAGCAGCTCGGCGCCCCCATACATGCGCCGAACGGTCTGGGCCAAGACAACTGCCACGCCTTGCGGCAAGTACAACGTTGGGCGGTGAAGTTGGAGCGTGAAGCGAGTCGAGCACGTTGGGACCTGCGCAATTGAGAGATTAGGAGGTAAGCCCAAGCCGTTTCCCTTGTAGGGTCGGCGGGACAACGTCGGGAGCGATCGCAGTCATTCCTACTCCCTCATCGTGCCCAGGACACCAATCCATGCTCTCATAGGCCACCTCCTGCCTCGTGTGCAAGAGCACCCTCCTAGATGGCCCTGGTCTCTGCTCTCGAGATCACACGTGGGCCACGGGCTGATGTCCCTCCGTGTCCTCATTCGCGCACACCAGCGTCGAGACGCGAGACTGGAGCGACATCAGATTCGCGAACAAACCGCACGTCGGGCACCCGTTTTACACAGCGACACGGTCTGCGGCCCGGCCCAGAGCCGGCTTTCCAGGGCCGCGTTTGCGGGCGTTGAGATCTCTGCGTCGTCCGACGAGTCGACGACACATGCGGGTGATGGATGTGTCCCACCGACACGCCTTCTAGCCCCCCTCGAGGCATCGCGGACTCGGAGTGCGAATTTGTCGACGCGGCGCGCGCGCGCAGCGGCCGAGGACAGGTGCGAGTGGCGGCTAGAAGCACGAGTCCGTGCTCACACACCAAGCAAGTACTTACACGCAAGGCCCCCGCCGTTACCGCCGTACGCCACCATGCTAGCGACTGGTATTTGACGGCACAGTTGAGACGGAGCGCGGTCTGGATGTGGCGGGTCTCGTCGTCGCCTGGTGCTGGACCAGGCGCAACGTTGGCGTCGCTTGCCCTCCCGCAGGAGCGGGAGACGGTCGCACGTCACCCCCTGGCGGGGTTCAGCGTACGATGGTATGTTGGTCGGATCTGGCCGCTCGAGATACGGAACTTAGAGGATGTGGGCGTGTGCGAGTCGAAGCGGGAGCCGAGTGGTGGGCGACTGCGGGGGGTGGCGTATGCGGGGGCGGCTCGACCGTCGAGGGGGGGGCGACGGTGAGCTTACGTCGTGAGCGGGGGCTAGAAGACGACTATCGGGAGCGGGGTCGCTGGACGGGCACGGGAGGACGACGGCGGCCGGGGCACGACAGGGCCATGTGGGCGCGCGGGGGTGACGGACAAAAATACAGGCCCGGGAAAGCGGGAATGGACATTGGGGGGATGAGGAGACGTTCGAGTGGAAGGAGAGTGTGTGGGCGTGCGATCCCGAGGGCGGCGCGTGTGGTGTCGGCGTTGGTCGTCTAGGCGCGCGAGGGTGGGCGGAGAGCACATCCGACCCGCGCGGGGGACGAGGCGGGGAGAGTGCGCGGCGGGCAGGCGGAGATCTGCGGGGCAGGAGATCGGCCAGCCCGCGGTGCTCAAGTTGAGCCCGTGCTGGGCGCCGAGTCTCCGTGCTCGCTCCCCCGGCGCCCGCCCTTGTGCTCGCCCCTCCGCCGTCGCCGTCGCCGTGTCCGCCCCGACGTCGTCCCCGACGGGCACGCGCAGATGGCCTCCTTCCACGCCCGGTCCTCCCACGCCCCCTCCCACCACCGACCCAGCGTCCGTCCGATCCCTCCCTCTTCCCTCCCCCGCACATCGCTCACCCTCCCTCTCCCTCAGCCGGTCGACCTCCCCGGGCCCATGCCCCTCCTCTTCTCCTTCCCTCCTATGGCTGCCATCCACTCCCTCCCCCCAGAGCTCATCCGCTCCATCTTCGAGCTCTCCGTCTACTCCCAGCCCGACCCAGACCACCGCCTCCACTCCCAGCACACCGCCGAGGTCACCATCTCCCACGTCTGCCACCAATGGCGCCAGATAGCCCTCGACAACCCCCTCCTCTGGACCCAGATCCACTTTCGCACAAAGGCCCACTACGAACGCGCGGACAAGTATCTCGCCCGCTCCTCCAGAAACTCGCGTAACGCACATCTCCTCCTCGATGTCTTTGTCGACACCTGCTCCGAGGACGCCATCCAAAAGCATCCGACCTCCTCTTCCGCGACGACTTCCTCCCGTCTTCAACGTCGTCCTCCCTTACATCCGCCTCTGGCGCGAGCTCCATCTCAAAGTCGCCGACCTCCCCTGCAAGCAGAAGGCCCGCGAGGTTCTCTCCACATGCGGCGTCGCCCCCAACCTCCGCACCCTCCAGCTCTGGCACGTCCAGGACTGGCAGACCCCCGAACGTCTCTTCAACCACATCGGCCCCGCCCCCGTCGTCGTCTTCGGTGGTGAGCTCCCCTCTCTCAAGCACATCATCCTCCAGGGCGTCAACCTCCCCTGGCACTCGTCCCCCTTCCTCCGCGGCCTCACCTCCGTCGAGTTCGCCCTCCACTCCGACAACGTCCGCATGCCGTTCTCCCTCTGGCGCGACATGCTCCGCCAGTCCCCCCCCTCCAACGCCTTTCCCTCCACTACTCTGGCCCCCGCGCCCACGCCCAGGACTCTCTCCCCTCCGACGGCATTGACTGGTGGGGCGCCGACCTCCCAGATCCCACCACCCCACTTCCCCCTAACGCCACACTCCCACCCGCCGCAGACCCGGTCCAGCTCCCCGCCCTGGCCGAGGTCGACCTCCACGACCTCGACCCCCACTACCTTGTCTCCCTCTTCCGCACCATCCACGCCCCCAACGTCCGCTCGCTCTCCCTCGAGATGGCGATCGACGACGACGACGACGAGACGGACGAGGACGCGCCCGACTACGCCCCCTTCCTCCACTACCTCGTCGCGCCCCCGCCCGCCCCCGGCGCCGCCCCAGGCTCGCGCGTGCCCCCAAGTTCCCGCGCCTTGCCCACCTCGCCATCGCCTCCCTGCCGTGCTCGACCGACAGCTGGCGCGCCTTCCTCTGCAGCGCGCGCGAGCTCACCTCGCTCGCCGCCGACTTCACGCGCATCCGCGACGGCGCATTCGAGGTCCTCTTCGAGTCCGTGTCCGCGCCTGGTGGGGCCGACGAGGACAAGGACGACAAGGACAAGGGCAAGGCGCACGCCGAAGAAGCGCCGGATCCCGCGCCGACGACAGAAGAGCCGATCCTCCCGCACCTCCGCACCGCGCACATCTCCGGGCTCGAGTGCGAGGAGCTCGTGCGGCTCGCGGACCACCGGCGCGCGGCGGGCTGCCCCATCGGCCGGTGGGAGGTCAATATCGGTTACAAGGACGACAACCCGGCGGGCTGGGCCGCGTTTGCGGCCGCGCTCGATGCGGAGAGCGAGAAGGCGCGCGCGGCGGCGGAGGCGGCGGAGTGCGGGAAGGGCGCGGATGGTAGGGTGAGGGAGCCGTGGCGGTGGGACGAGCCTGCGGAGCGGCTGGTGTGGGTCGAGGACGATGAGGATGGCGAGGGCGATGGCATGGGGAGCGATGAGGACGAGGACGAGGAGGAGGAGGAAGGAGCTGATGGAGTGGATGACGAGGAAGACGAGGACGGGGAGGAGGATGAGAGTTAGAAGCTCTGCGTAGGTCGTCTCCGTTCGCCGCTGGCGCGTCCGTGGTGCGTGCACGGACAACGAACCCGCGCCGTCAGTCGCCTCCGTATCTGCGAAAAGCGGCTGCTTTCTGAGATCTGAGGCCTGCGCCAGCGGTCTCACACATTTCCATCTTCCCCCGCATCCACACGCACAAGTTGAACCTGCTCCGCGCAGGCCCTACCCCAACTCACATCCTACGTCTGTCACACACCATACAGGTCTCCATCTCATCCCACGTTCCCCGTCTCGCGCCACCTCATCTGTACAAGTTCATCTTCACGCACAACCTATCCTGTCTTCTGGTCCTGGTCTTACCTCTGTTGTCTCTCTACATCGTTCAATACCCCCGGCACAAGTAAGCGCGTGGACCAACGCAGTCTGTCTTTGATTAAGCACGGATACTTCGGTAGGCGTCCATATTAGCCGCGCTTTTCTTCATCGTGCGCTCGTCGAGCCCGACACAACAATCCATAAGTTCGGCTGCCTTGTCTATGAGAACTCGCGTGGCAGTGCCACCCATCTTCGACTCCAAGCCGCCATGGACAAGAAAGAGCAGCAGCGCAGGGCGTACGTTTGTATGGTGCATCGTTCGCATTCGTCCCCTCACACTCTTGCTTACATTGTAGCGTCTGCGGCGACATCCCGCCCATCCCGGACGAGCTCACGAACGAACACGCCGTCTACGGCTACCTCGTCACCTCCGCCGACGCCCACCGCTCCAACAAATCCGACAGCCCCATATACATGCTGCAGTCCTACATCAAGAACGTCGCCTCCGAAGCTGGCTTGGCTTCCCTAGTGCTCCGAGTCACCTGGGCCCACCTCCAAGATCTCTACGACTCGAACCTGTACGGGGACCAACACGTGATCCTCGCCCGGACTACACGCAAGTACGGGGGCGCAGAGCGGCCCGTGCAGGACCTCCGTCAGTGGCGCGGGTCCCTCCGGGAGTTCGAAAGGCTGCTGGGGCTCACGGAAGGCCCTAAGTGGATGCAGGCCGAGCGGTGAACGCGTTGTCGGGCCACGGTGCGCCGAGTCCTTGGTTTCGCCGGCGCTCCTTTCCCTCGCTCAACACACGCATCTAGGATGCTCGGTCTCACAGCGACTCACATAGTGCGGCGGAAGTCTCTCGCCCGGAGCTTTTCGATCGCGGACGGAGCTGTGACATGGAAGCCAAGTACTGGAGTCTACCTCATCTTGGGCCCGTGTTACCGGTTCGGTTCGAGGGCACCTCCGCAACTCTGAGTGCCTGCCCTGGCACTGAGGGCGATCTGTCAGTTACGAGCAGTCTTTTGTAGTGATGCAATGCTATCGGTAATCCTGCATGGATAGTTCGTGTCGTTCTACTCATAAACACACATCGGCGCTGGCATGAGTCAGTCGTTCAACTCTATACTAGCGTCCTACTTAGATCCAAAGCGCCATGGAGTCTAGACAACGACGACCACGACGAAGTGTACTAGTACGTCTAGACAGTGCATCCTCCTACAATACTCGTCCCAAGTACGGGGGACCTGAGCGGCCTGTGTTGAGCCTCCGACGTCCGTGGCAGGTACGAAAAACTGAGTCAGGCGCGCGGCAGTGCCACTGGCCAGCTCTTGCTCAGGACCGCCATGAACAACCTGGAAGAGCCGTGTCGTAAAGCGTGCGTCGGGTAGTGATCAATCCTTCCATCTCGTCAACTTACACATTTGCCTATTTTGTAGCGTCTGCGGCGACATCCCGCCCATCCCGGACGAGCTCACGAACGAATACGCCGTCTACGGCTACCTCATCACCTCCGCCAACATCCGACATTTCCGTAACCTTGAACTCAAAGACCCCATACACTTGCCACAGGCGCATGTCACGGCAGCCGGCACAAGGGCCGGTTTTTTCTTCATCCACGTCGTCCGGGTCCACACCCAGGATATCGACGACGCTAACCCATATGGCGACCTACACGTGGTCTTCGCCCAGATTAAACACAAATACGGGGGCGCCGAGCGGCCCGTTCGGGACTTCCGTCCGTGGTGCGGCTCCCTCCAGGAGTTCGAAAAGCTATTGGGGCTCGATGAAGGCCCCAAGTGGATGAAGGCCGAGTGGTGAAGGTTGTCGAGGCGCGGTGCGTCCCTGATTTCGCTGGCGTTCCCTTTCCTCGCTCAACATACGCACCTCGGACGCTCAGATTGATGGCGACTCGCTTCATGTGGCGACAGTCCCTCCCTGTCTGGAGCCTTCCGATCGTGGAGAAGGCGGAGACATGTGGGCCAATTAGCACTGGAGTCCACAGGTCTCATCTTGCATCCTAATTGAATCTGAATGCATATTTTCGTCTCAGTTCGAGGGCACCCAGCGCTAGCAATCCTGAACGCCTGTCCGGTACTGAGGACGATTAACAAATCATGAGCAGTCTTTTATAGTAATGCGATGTGAATCATCGTATGTTCGATTAAGCACTCTTGTGCTTCGTGTATGTAGGCGTACAAGCAAGCCGGCCCTTCGTCCGTCCGTCCGTCCGCTGTCCGCCTGCCTCGTCCATTACAACAAACGGTCACCAAACCGCACCGGTCCGCGCACGCACGAAGGAATCACGTCTTCGCGCCCGCCTCGCGCAACCGCGCCTGCTCGAGCGCGCGAAGCACGTCCGCTGTGAACGAGCTCCCGTCCGGGAGCTCGAGGGCTTTCTCGAGCTCCGGCACGGCCTCGGGCGTGAGCAGCAGCTCCGTCTCGCTTTCTCTTGCGCCGGGCGGGGGCCTGTCGTCTTCCGCCGCGGTGGGTATCCTGCGCGGGGCGTGCTTGGCGTAGACGACGTCGAGCGCGGTGGACGTCTGCGGGACGATGGCGCCTTGCCGGAGGAAGGCGGAGAGGTAGTCTGACGCCTTGTACGCTATCGGGGTAGGCATGAGCGACAAACAGCACCGGAGAGCGAGTACAGGTGCAATCGACGTACCTCGGTAATGGTGCCAGGACCTCCAAACACAGAAGAAGAATGGGAAGTTGGGGATGATGGCTGTTCGGCCGCATGCACCAGGGCGCGGTCAGCACACGGCGTGAGTGGGAAGCAGAAAGAAAGGCTGGAACGCACGTATGATAGCGAAGGGCGCGGTTAACGGCGCGACAGCGAGCCAGAACCAGAAGCCCTTCCTGTGTCTTGGGGCGCGCTTCGCGAGAAGCGCCTCCAGATGTGGGACCGGTGTCGAGCACGCCGACGGCGGGTACACGAGTGGAATCTAATGACCATGGGGAAGGGCAACGTGCACACCGAGCGGGGAGCGGGGAGCGGGCTGTCGCGTTAACGGATTGACACGCACCGAGGGCGAGGATTGGTCGCTCACCGTGACCGCCGCGCTCGCGGGCGCACCCTCATCAACCTTCTCCTTCGCCTTATCGACCTTTTCTTTGCGGTGCGGGACATAGTCTGAGAGCTTGGGGCCGATGGAAGGGTCGACGGACTTGAGCGCGAGCTCCTCGAACTCGAGGCGGTCGACGAGCCGCTCGCCGTACAGAAACGCTCTCCGCTGCAGGGTCGGAGGTGAGCGTCATGCGGCAATGAAACCGCGACTTCGCAGGTAAAAATCTCGGGCGCTTCATTGTCGCGTCCGAGCTCGAGACCGAGAAGAGGGGAAGCGGGCGGACGGAGGAGGAGGGCGGCATGGGAAACGGAAACGGACCTTCCAGTTGCCTTCGGGTGCCTTCCCAAGCCCCGCCCAGAGGTCTGTCGCCTTGGTGGTGATCCAGGGCAGCCAGGAGTTCGTAGCGCGTGTGTCGGGCGGGGTGACAAAGTGGTAGTAGGTCAGTTGCTCGCGCGCGGAAGAGGCGGGGGTGAGCGGAAGCGCGACGATGCGGAGGGCGCGCGTGCCGGCGCGGGCGACTCGAGTGGCCGCGACCATCGTGCGCAAGACCTGTTCCTGCAGGAAGGCCGCCAAAGGGGAGCGGCAAGAGGAGGTCGAGGGGGGAAGGGAAAGGAGGAGGAGGAGGAGGAAGACCGTTACGGACGTCGTCCTGACCGTTGACGGTACGCGACCCAACGGCACTTCCCGTCGCTTCCACGGGGCCGGCGCCGTCGCCGTCGTCGTTTTGATCTGGACGAGCGGACCCCCTTCATTAGGAGCACTTGCAAGCCATCTAGCTACACCCCGGTCTCTTGAAGCTTGACGGTCGTGGTTGTATGCGCTGATTGCCAGGACCATGCAAAATCCTGGGTATTCGCACGTGATCGCCACTGGGAAATCCTGACCTGCAAGCAGCGATATCTGCGAGCCTGTCGCCGGCTCCCTCCAGCCCACCATGTCTATCTCGGAGCGCGTCTACATCGCATGGGTACGAGTCCCTCTGCCTGATTTATACGCGCATACACCCTCTCATCTACCTTCCAGCCTCCAGATCCCGCCTCAGAGCCGACCTCCACCCTCGTCCTCACCGCGCACAACAAGCAGTTCGTTGACCTCCGATTCCTCACCCCTCTCTCCCCACTGTTCCTCTCCCTCCCTCGACTGGGGAACCGGGGGTCGTTCCATCGGCACCGCCGACCACGGCATCTGGACGCACGACATCGACTCTCGCACCGCCCACCCGCATGACGACGCCCCCGACGAGGGCGACAATGCGCCGCACCCGACCCTCCCCGGCGTGATTCTTGAGAAAGGCCGGATGCTCCACCCGGCGAGCGGCGAGGTGCGCGCGTACGAGGAGGCGTGGCGCAGCTCGACGTGCTCCCCGTCGGGGCGACGCGGACGAGCGTGGTGCTGGGACAGGGCTGGACGGCGCGGATCGGGAGAGGGGGAGCGAAGGGCATGGTCGTCCGGGTCGGTCAGTCCTGCCAAGGTATCGTGCGCATCGGGGATGTCGTGTGCGCGGAACGGTGGGCGTGGTCGGAGGAGCACGCATGGACACGGACCGTGCGCGTGGGGAGCTTCGCCTTCCCGTGCGACTCGACCTGGTCCGACGGGCTGCGTGAGGGAGACGTAATCGTTCGCAATGGGGTGTCCTGGCGGTGCAGGCCTTGAAGCAATGGTGACCACTATTGTGAGTAGATCGAGTAGATTACAGTCCCGCACGCTGTTTGTGGTCTTGTGTGTATGAATGGCGTTACTTGCCGGCATCCCTGCGGAGGATCGCGACCCCAATATGGCTTGAACACGAGTCCGAGTCTACGCAGCTCGGAGACGTTTCAGCTGCGGATCAATTAGCCTACGATCACCTCGGACAGTGGCACTCGTGGGTCAGCTCGCGCAGTTGACGTTGATGTCCGGTCCGCAGCAACATCTTTCGTTTGCTCACCGCCAATATTTCAACGTTCGAGCACAATACAGGGTGAGTGTCATAGTTGATACTTATCCTGTATGAGCTGAACAAACTGCTTTCGTTCACGTAGTGGTATCGCCGACCAGGACGCCCCACATGGCACTCAACGCCGTGATCGTTAAGGTGGCGGTGCCTCAACTGCGTGCACAGCAGTCTTCTTGACATCCGCAGTGCATCCAAGGCACAAAGCGTCCATCGGTGGTGCAACGTGTAATCAGTGCTATCTCCTCTTATATGGGTCTGACTCGCCACTCGATAGCTTTCACCTTCCTTTTCCTCACAACTCGTTCTCAGTGAGTCTTCCGGATTCCTGTCTCCGCCCCTCTGCCTCTAACGTTCGCCGCCCCCCTAGTAGTTGTAATGTCTACCGCCAGCTCCGACTTCAAGTCTCCCATCGACGAGAGCAACCTCCTCCCACATCCCGCCTCCACGCACCCCCAACTCCCCGAGTACACCCCGCTCCCCACTTCCCCCTCGCTCGCAGGCACCGGCTCCCCCGCGCACTCCGTCCTCTTCGGCGCACCCCAGGTCCTCGAGTCCGGCACAGACGCCGAGCCGCGCTGCGCCGAGCCGCTCATGATCGTCAAGCTCCTCTGGACCGGCCTGCTCGCGCTCCTCCTGCCGCCCGCGCTCCTCGGTGCGCTCGCGCTCGCGAGCGTCGGCGCGATGCTCTTCGGCATCGGGAAGCTCCTCGAGGGCTCCGGGCTCGCCATCGCCTTCGCCCCGCGCTGGGCGTGGCATAAACGGCGTCCGCGAGGCAGCCGGAAACTTCCTGCTCTGGGCGGGGGGGCCCATGCGTGGATCGCGCGGACAGGACGTCGAGGCGGGACAGGTGGCGGGGCCGATCGCTTTGTGATCGAAGCGGGGACTTAACGGGGACGGGTTAGACATGTTGCGTTCTGGCAGGACGGATTATTGGGGGCTTGTGGTCACGATTTGTAGTTGCCGTTGCGAGGTCAATTGTACGTTCCTGTTCCAGACAGGGAGAACCGGCTGGGTGGGTGGTGGTGGCCGGCCGCAAACCGGAGTTGCTTGTAACTTCGAGCGCCTATTCGTCACTCTCACTGCATGCTCGCCATTCAACCTTTCGACGGTAATACGCGACAAGTTACGAAGCTGACGAGCGTACATTTTCGTCGGGTAAATGTGTACATCGATGCTCACAGCATATCCTCGTGATCGACAGGGTCGCCCTGGATAGTACGACCCTCGTGAACATAGTACGGACAAAGCACGAGGTACGGTTGTGAATTTTGGGCCGTCTGACATCTCATTTTTAGCCCCCAGCATTCAGACCACTGTCATCCCCACTGAGGACGTGCCAAATTCCGGCTCTAGTGCATTCAGAGTGGTATACTTGGGTTCCGTGTAGCGCACTATTTCATATTGTCAAGGCAATAACTTGAATCCCATGGGGTTGAGGCCGGCGTCCAACGCGTTTGCATTCGGAGCCAGTGCGCGCCGCAGCGATCTTCACCCCGTTGTCCCTGCACGTACCAACTATCATAGTAATGGTCGGCCTCTCCCAGGCGACCCCCCTCCTGCTATCCTAGGACGCCGCCCAGGCGCAGGACGTCTTCCAGACGCGGGACCCCCGGAATACAGTGCTGCAGCGCACCCCGAAGACCCCGCCACCCAAACCCCCACGAACCCCTCTTCTCTTCTGGCATCTCGCTCGAGTCCTCCGAGGTGCTCGCGATCATCCACCTCATCACCGCCGGACTCGTCGCGCTTGTGCTTCCCGTGACGCTCATCTTCTACATCGCGATCGCCGGCGTGGGCGTGATGCTCTGCGGGCTCGGGTGGCTGCTCGATGGCCTCGGTTGCGCGCTCGTGTACGTGCCCCACCGTGTGTGGACACTCAGCGACTCCAAGCGCACGTCGCGCGCCGGCTCGAGGTCGTTGCCGCGGCGACGTCAGGGATGAAGACGGAGGCATGGCGCCCGTCGCCGCCGCCAATGGATGTACTGTAAATACTACGGATTGGAACACTGTAGATACTAGATTCGCCACAGGCGCGTCCACCGCGAACAGCGACCCGTCCCTTCACCCACATCCCAGTCCACGACCCATCCAAAAACCTCACAGCGCAATCGGCGGGCCCCCTCCCGCGCCCCGCTCCACCTCTCCCGGATCCGCGCACCCTACGACCGTCACGCCCGCCATCCTCGCCACGGTCTGCGCCCGCGTCCGCATCTTCCCCTTCACCCTCTCGCCCACGACCCGCGCCGCGGTCTCGCACCCGAACGACATCGCGCGCCCCGTGCCCTCGAGCACCTTCCCGAGCCCGAAGACCATCGCGCCCGCGGCCGCGACCGCAAGGACGCCGACGAGCAGCGGGGGCCCGACGAGCGTCGCGACGCCGACGCGGAGCAGCTTGACGATCGTGCGGGGCTCGCTGTGGGGCTCGGGCTGGCCGCCCGCGCCCGGGGCGTGGGCGGTGTCCGGCAGGTAGGTGAGGACGGACTCGGCCGGCGAGGCGGGGACCGCAGTGTAGCCTGGGAGCGCGGGGTGCGGCGCGGCGGGCGCGGAGGAGGGGAGGGGTGCTTTGATGTCGGCGGGGTAGTCGGCCATAGTCCGAACCTGAACGTTTGAATGGTCGAGCTACGGAGAGCGATGAGAGAGAGATCGCGCCGAGTAGTATGCAGAGGATGCTTACTGTGTGCGTGAGGAAACCAACTGCTATTTGAGACTGAGGGCGACTGCAGCTCAGAGAGCCCCCTCATATACCACGCAGCGAGGCCACTGCGCTTTCAGCTTTCAGGTCTGCCGTGCAGGTGATGTGCTTCGCTCGGTGAGAACAACACGCAAGCACTCGGGGATCCAACACGTACCGATTGACATCTGTCAACTGCGCAAAAGATAATGTTGCTGTGCGCGCAGTTTGTGAGCGGCAGCATTGGTCTCTGGAACAGATGACCCGTTTTCCTCAGCGGGCACGAAGAGTGACCATCAAATACACGCGCACAAGAGTCCTACTGCGATCTTCGTAGCCGAAGCACTCAGCTGCGCGAATGCCACCTGACATCCGGGCGGCATTGGGCGCCGATGACTCCGCCCATCCACCTCTTACCTCCGATTACATCAAACCTCCCGCCAATCTCTTGCTCATACCTATGTCGCGGGGTGGGCACCGTGCTTCCCAGATCCTCCCGCACCAGTCAAAGTGGACTAGCTGAACACCATCACCCGCAGTGAGCACGTACGTTGGCGTCGCGCAAGTCTCCGAGCCCGAGCCTCAGCTAGGCATACAGCCGTCGAGACAATGTCGACGTAGACCTGTCGAGCTCTCCATGGGCTGTGCGCAGGGCGCAATAAAGTCGCACAGTGTGGAAGATCCGGCACGGAGCATCGGCTCAAACAGGGAGACGTCAAGAAGCGGTTGGATGATGATGTGATCGGCAAACGCGGCGCCTAGCACTTGATCTTGAATACTCGTGCCTGTTCAGGCAAAGAGTAGTGCGTGGCAGCACCACGTACGCCTTCTATACGTCCGTCGCCTGGGGTGAAGACCGTTGGATCGACGCAGCTACTATATCGCCGGTGTGCAGTGGCGCACCTCCGAGAGCGGCTTGTTGATGTGCATTCCGCGCACACCGCAGGGTCAGCGCCGTTCCCATCCTCATCGGGAGTTCGGCTGAGGTGGGTCGAGAGGCGTGTATGCCTTCTTTCGGAGGCCCCCAGAGACGCGCCCGCGAGCTGAGCACCTGTCCCTCACGGGATATCAGTTTCCCAGACTCGAGTGATCCGGGGGGCCGTGCCGAGTCTCCTTGACTCAAAATCCCACCCACCCCCAACTATTAGTTAAACTACAGGGTGCTTTCCTTACAGGGAAGTATTCGACGCCTCTACTAAGTATGGCATATGTCCAGTCTCCCCCCGTATGTTTTCCCCGCCCGGCCCCGTGATGTCCCGAGTCCCGACCCCTCCGCCATCAGAGCCCCGCCCCTCCTACGTCATTTCCCGCGCCGGCGCCGCGCGCTCTGCCGACTGCCGCCCCATCACTGCCCCGGCATGCCTGGACACCGGCGCCCCATGCCCCACCACCCGTGCTCGTCGTCCCCAACAGCGAGCTCGCTGTCCCTACACCCTGCCTCCCGCTCCCCTCCGTTTCCCTCCGTTCTTTTTGCAATCTACTTGTATTTCAAATGCGCACCTAATGACACACAATGCAATAGCTACACTTGCCTGAGTGTGCCTGCACTGAGCCCATATACCCCCCAAAATGCGTGCAATATAGGAACATATACAAGCATTCAATTGATCGGCCAAGTTCTTCAACATATAGTTGTAGATGAGAGCTGCTCTAGTATAAAATCGCAGGTGGATAGCTAGAGGGGTGCAGGTATGATGTCATATGTTATTTCAGAATGACATACTTCACAGTGACATGGTATATACATGTGTCGTCTTATATACACCCAGGATCGTACCTAGAGATCATTAAGAGCGCATTGAAAGAAGAAGCAAGTGAATAGATGATGTTTTGGTGAAGATGTGATATGTGTTCAGAAGGGGGTATTGCATTGAAAATGCGGCCTTCATATGTTCTTGTGCAGACCTCTGATCACTTTACATCTTGTTGCATTACGTTCATATGTATGTGGAGAGCTCAGATCGTCAGTTTGGTGCTTATCGGTGAAGGATTGAACACAGGCCATGGTATGTCATTATTCTATGACATAGAGTATAGCGATATGACATGTGCTCCGATTATTATTATGAAAAGCGGAATAAGACGGGGTGTTCTTCTGCTCAACGATGCAGAAGGAATCTCGAGAAACGATCGAGTAGTCGCTGAGATATGTCAGGTGAGGTTAGAGTGTGCAATGTGCTGTAGGTGGTTCAAGGGCGTTCTTTGTGCAACCTGCCGTTCTAGACCCATCTGACATATCTCAGCGACTACTCGATCGTTTCTCGAGATTCCTTCTGCATCGTTGAGCAGAAGAACACCCCGTCTTATTCCGCTTTTCATAATAATAATCGGAGCACATGTCATATCGCTATACTCTATGTCATAGAATAATGACATACCATGGCCTGTGTTCAATCCTTCACCGATAAGCACCAAACTGACGATCTGAGCTCTCCACATACATATGAACGTAATGCAACAAGATGTAAAGTGATCAGAGGTCTGCACAAGAACATATGAAGGCCGCATTTTCAATGCAATACCCCCTTCTGAACACATATCACATCTTCACCAAAACATCATCTATTCACTTGCTTCTTCTTTCAATGCGCTCTTAATGATCTCTAGGTACGATCCTGGGTGTATATAAGACGACACATGTATATACCATGTCACTGTGAAGTATGTCATTCTGAAATAACATATGACATCATACCTGCACCCCTCTAGCTATCCACCTGCGATTTTATACTAGAGCAGCTCTCATCTACAACTATATGTTGAAGAACTTGGCCGATCAATTGAATGCTTGTATATGTTCCTATATTGCACGCATTTTGGGGGGTATATGGGCTCAGTGCAGGCACACTCAGGCAAGTGTAGCTATTGCATTGTGTGTCATTAGGTGCGCATTTGAAATACAAGTAGATTGCAAAAAGAACGGAGGGAAACGGAGGGGAGCGGGAGGCAGGGTGTAGGGACAGCGAGCTCGCTGTTGGGGACGACGAGCACGGGTGGTGGGGCATGGGGCGCCGGTGTCCAGGCATGCCGGGGCAGTGATGGGGCGGCAGTCGGCAGAGCGCGCGGCGCCGGCGCGGGAAATGACGTAGGAGGGGCGGGGCTCTGATGGCGGAGGGGTCGGGACTCGGGACATCACGGGGCCGGGCGGGGAAAACATACGGGGGGAGACTGGACATATGCCATACTTAGTAGAGGCGTCGAATACTTCCCTGTAAGGAAAGCACCCTGTAGTTTAACTAATAGTTGGGGGTGGGTGGGATTTTGAGTCAAGGAGACTCGGCACGGCCCCCGGATCACTCGAGTCTGGGAAACTGATATCCCGTGAGGGACAGGTGGAGCTGAGATCGGCAGCTATGTCCAAATCCCGAGGGACGGCATGATAGATAAGGATCGGAGGTGGAAAGTTCCGGGGGCGGTAGTCCAGGATGGTCCTTATTCTAGCTGAGACTAAAACGGTCGGTTTGAGCGGCGGTGGATTGTGATTGGTCTTAAGCTTGGCAGCGTGCGGCCGATTTTTCTCGTCCCGATATCGTATGAGGAGATTCTGGTAGCGCGGAAGAAAAGGAAAAGACTGACAGGCTATCGAAGGGGAGTCAGAGGTCGGTACCGGTGTGACTAGCAAGAAGTATGAAAAGTATGTGGGGATAACGGGGGTCTGTGGCATGTACTCATGACCGCGAGAAGGAAGCGTTTTGGGACGATCTTACAATACTCGCATCCTGAATGAACAAGTGTGGGCCGTGGCCACCGCGCATGAATTCTCCATGTTTAACAGCGGGTGCTCCCCGAACGCAGAGTCCCCGAAGGGGCACCGATTGGTTCTTGAACGCACAAGGCCCTGACACAACAGGGGGCACAGACCCACTTTAATATTTCCGGTCCGCCATAAAGCTCGGATGCGGTGACAGGTTCATTAGCGAGGGAAAGAGGGAGATTATTTCAAGAGGCGTTGTTGGAGACCATCACGGTTAGAGTCAAGACAGAGCTGAGAGAGTCTTGGAGTGCGGAGTTCAGCCGACGGGTGTTCGTATTATGTAAGCAGAGTGCCGGAAGCCGGCCCGCTAACCGCCACGGAGTGCTGCTCGACGGAGCTCCTTCCTCGATTCGTTCACCTCCATTCTCGACGTACCCACCTTGCGCCCACAAACATCTGACACCATGCCTCCCGCCGACACAAACACCGCACCTGATCCTGCTGGCGTTTCGGCCCTCGCTGTCCGCGGCGTAGCGGAATCGGGCGGTCCTTCACCGGTGCGCAGAACGCGCAAGCACGCTTCATGGTCGTGGAGGGACGAGTGAACGAGGGGGGAGGGCGGGGTGTCGCCTGCGAACTCGTTTGGAACGATGGATGGCCTAGGTGAGTGCCTCGCTCGCTGCTGGTCGATCAACCGTCCCGCTTCGTGTGCTGTGCCGCGAATCGGGAAGTTGGTTGTGCGCGGGGTCGGGATGGCTCCCGGGTGGAGGATGACATGGATTGTGCGCATATATGCACTGGTATGAGCTTACCGTGAATGATGAATGGCCACGTTGATCCGAAGTTCGAACCCGAACGGTCGTCGTGTGCATTCATATCCGCATACACCACCCAAGTACGCCGGCGATGGGTGCTGTAGCGCGTAATCTCGGAAGAACCTGCAGCGCTGCTCCGCTGGTAGCGGACGGGACTGAGTCTGCGCCGGGTGCTATCGAAGTTGGTTGGACAACGGGCGCAAGCTAGTCGTATCGCATCTCGCATCGACATCTCCGCCTGCCAGTTTGAATGAGAGCGCGCGCGCACTATGCAGACCTCGGATCTGCGTCGCCCGCCAGGTGACGGGGAGACGGTTCGCCTGGGTACGGGACGAGGGTTGGTCGTGCGTCATCGGCAGTCACGAGCGATCGGAGGTGGGAAAAGAGGCGCGGACGGGTGCGAACGCCGGCCGTCCAACCCCGCGCAACTCCGCGGGGGCGGGGCCAGGCGCCGAAGACGGCGGAGGACGGCGAGTGGTCGAGGCGGGCGAGCCATGTTGGGACCCGAGGTCGCGACTGGCGCGCAGAGCCCAGACGGAGGGAGACGGACGGGCGAAGTCGAAGCACGCGGCCCTCGCGCGCTGACGTCCGCCCAACCTCGCCCACCGTCCGCTCTCGCCTGCGCGCGGTGGCCAATCGACTGTCGGGGAAGACGGCCAAAGGACGGCCCTCGGAGTCGCGCGCTTGGCGGCAGGCGACGAGCACGCCCGTTCTCCGCGGCGGCCTCTTCCGCGGATCGGGCCCCAGTCCGAGGCCCACGCGTACGCCTCCTCCCGACGCACATCCTCCCCTGGCCCCTCCAATGCCCCCGGTCGCAGTCCGCGCGCAGGCAGGAGGGTCCCGTCCCAACGGCTGCTCTCAGCTCCAGCTCGCAACAGGCACCGGTTCTCGTCCTCGTCCCACGCCCGGCTCCCAATCTGCACTCCCTCAATCTCCTCCGTCCCGCCCCTCGGTCACCGCCCTTTGGCATCCAAGCACTCAATCCCTCCTTCTCGAATTCTCCTCCCACCCCCTCCATATAACGTTCCCCGTCCCCCATCCTCCCTCTCTCAGCCCCTCTCCCTCCCCCCGCGACGCCACCATGTCTCTCATCCGCGCTCCCCTCGTCCTTCTCCACGCCGTCCTCTACCAGCTCGCCAGCACCCCGCCCAACAAGACCCCCTCCACCGCCCGCATCGACTCCTCCGAATCCCCCTTCATCCGCATCGCCCCTCTCATCTTCAAGGTACCTTTCTCTCTCTTTCTTTCGCCCACTCCCGAGCCCGCTCCAGCTCGCTCTCGCCTTTTCGTGACCCTTCACATGCCGGCCACCGGCCCTCTTCTTTTCTTCTTCCTCCCCGGCTCCCACTCCCACGCCCGCTCCTCTTCCAACTTTGACTGATCTCCGTCTCTCATCCCAGATCCAGCAGCCCCTTGTCTGGCTCTGCACCCTCGCAGACATCCTGCTCATCCTCGCACAGCACCTCCCCCGCTCTGCCCTCTCCACCGCCCTCCCTGCCCTCCTTTGCCCGAGCTCCTCCCCACCTCTCATTTCGCCATCCGCTCCACACCCGCCTTCCTCGCCGGCCTCTCCCTCGTTACCGCCGGCACCCTCCTCCGCCTCACCTGCTACCGCTACCTCGGCGCCCTCTTCACCTTCGACCTCACCCTCCTCCCCAAGCACACCCTCATCACCCGCGGGCCCTACTCCGTCGTCCGCCACCCCGCCTACCTAGGCTCCATCCTCGTCTTCCTCGGCCTCGGCCTCGCCGACCTCTCCCCCGGCGGCTGGGTCGCCGAGTGCGTCTCCGCCGGCGACCACGCCTCCCCCTCGCTCCTCGGTCCCGCCGTCGGCCCGCGCCTCGCCACCAGCTGGGCGCTCTTCGCGGTCTGGTTCGCGTGGTGGCTCGCGGTCGGCGTCCGGCGCGCGCGCATGGAGGACGCGACGCTCCGCAAGGAGTTTGGCCGCGAGTGGGACGTGTACGCGCGCCGCGTCCGCTCCTGGTTCGTCCCCGGCCTGCTCTGAGCGCGTGCGCGGCGATAGGGGCTTGTGCGGCCGTCGATCGCGGCGGCGCGCGGCGGACGCAGGGAAGAGAAGGCTCGAGACGAAGGGGCGAAGACGGTGGAGATGAAGCCTGCGGCGCGTGGCCGGCGCGCATCCCACATTGACGCTGCTGCTGCCATATCGGTCAGGCGGCCGAATCGTCCGCACGCCCCGGGTGCTCCGCGGACGCGGTCGCTGCGCAGGGCGTCGCGCTCTTGCGTTCATATTTGTCTCGTAATCGCAGCGTGTGCAGGCGCTGCGTCTATATAGGGGGGCATGTACGAATAGTAGTCTCTGCCGCATTTCTCTAATCCTGTCGATCGTAGATATTGGCACCAGCATCAGAGTCTTATTTGCAGACCATATCATCATCATGGCAGAGACAGTGCTGTTTACAATTCACGCGTGCCACGTGTGAGAGTCAACAAAGGCCAGATCGAATGAGATCTCTGCCAACCTGCCAAGGGTCCCGGTCTCGCTCTACGTACTTTTACACGCACCCAGCGAACCCCGTCCTGCCTCCACCCTCGCCTCGACTCGACACTGCCACTCCCACGCGCACACAAGCCACCACTATTAGCGCAACACCTGATTCGAAGCCCGCCCACGTCGTCCTTCCAGGCCTCAAGCCACGGCGACCGTCTGCGGTACGCCGCTGTTCATCGAGTGCCGCGCACGCTTCTCTTCCATCTCTTCCAGCCGCCGTGCCTCTTCCTCCGCCAGCTTCGCCTGCACCGCGTGCCGCGGCGGGACGCGGTTTGATCGACCTCAAGCGCGCGGAGCGTGTCGCGCTCCACGACGCTGAACTCCCCGGGGTCCGATGTAATATCACAACGTTGGATCCGATGAGCCATATGTACGGTACGGTAAAACAGAGGAGACACTGCTCCGATATATGGAAAGACACGAACGTAATGCGTCGAGCATGGGAAGGTGGCAGCGTCGGGCGTAACGTATGCGCACTACAACGGATCGACCAGGCGGGACAGTTCGTCAAAGAGGACGTCCGCCGAACTGCCGTCCTGCGCAAGAACATGGCGCGACTCGGAATCGCCGAATACCGAGTCCACGGGAAACTCGATCGCACCCACCAGGCGCACGACTTTGCAGCAAGTCGCGTGGAGCGCGAGGAAGTCCGGATCAGGCAAGTCCATGCCGCCCTCCTCAGGAGGCAGGATCCCCGGAATCCCGAGATCTTCGCGCACTTTGAACGTCACTTGAGCGGGCAACTCAAACCCCTTTCGAAATTCTGGTGGATGCGTTTTCACGTCGTAGGTGTGTGGCTGTCCGTGAGCGTTAGCATGCAACGGTGCACTGAGTGCAGCAGACTAACCTCGTCAGTCTTCTCAAACCAAAGGCGTAAGCCATACATGATCGCTTGAGCGTTTGAAGAGAGGGTCAGGAGGTTGCTCGGACGGTGACAGTTTCCCCCCTTCGTCTCAATCCACTCATGAGAATAACCAAACCGTCGCAAGACCGACCGGAAGCCTTTCGCCAAGCTAATCTGCAGGCAGGGTCAGTGTTCGTCTCAGATAGGGATGTGACATATCGCACCTTTGCCTGGGGATCATCAGCGAGCGTGAAGCGGCCGAGGGACACGGGTATGATATGTGCACAACAGGTGATATTGAGCCAAAAGTCAGGACCGGACGGGAATTTACCGGGGTAGCGTATGAATGTATCTGTATCGTACTTTTCGGTCAGCATGCACCGATATCCGTCCCGGACGAGTGCCTTCCCGTGTATGGTGAGTGATGTGACCCATACACATCAATCAATGCAAGATACATACAGGATTCTCTACTCCAGGGTTATTTTGCAGGGTATCGATGAGGCATTTGGCGGATAAGACTGGAGGAGTGATCGATGAGCAGGACGTTGAGGCGGTACACGTAGTAGAAGGCGCTCACAATGCTGGATATAGTGGTCGTAGTAGAACTGCCCAAGCGCAACGAGCCTCTCATACGATCCTTGACAACCCTCAATCTCCACTGATAGGCAAATACGGGCCTTCTCGTTGACAGGGTTGGCGAGGAAGCCAGCAACAATGCGAATATTGCGTCGCGCGTTTGAGATTTTCTTGCGGTTTGGACCTTCATCCTGGATAGCCTTCGTTTCCCCTGGGATGATGTAGCGGAGATAGAGGTTCAGTGGCTGTTCAGGCATTGTGGCCAGCGGGGTGTCGTCTGCAGGCAGGGGCAAGGGGGGGAGGGGAGTATCTAGAAACATGATGGGCGGAGGGAACGGACAAGAGGCAAGAGGGGCCACCAAGCCATAACCGCCACCGACCCTCCAACACCGTGCTCACCGGAATGCATGCACTGCTTGAGACAGCCTGCACCCCAGAGCAGGTGGCTGCGTGCAAAAGGAGTTTGGCCGTGAGTGGGACGCGTGCGCGCGCCGCGGACTCCGCTACTGGTTCGCCCCCGGCATGCTCTGAGCGCATGGGCGGCGATAGGGGCTTGAGACGAAGAAGCGGAGACGGTGGAGATCATGAAGCCTGAGGCCTGAGGAGGAGGAGGAGGAGGAGGAGGAGGCGGAATATGTGCGGCGGCGCTTGGCGGGTGCGCATCCCACGTTGACGCTCCTGTATACTATCACTCCCGGGGTGTTTGGACAGGCAAGCGCCGACCACGAAAGTTCGATGCACCCCCGTCTCCCTCTACGTCCGATAACAATGAAATTTAAGGTACGAGTCGAGAATGTGTTCTTTACACTATTCCGAGAGTTTTATGTCGAACCGAAAAGCCTTGCGTGAGCGGCCGTCGATTTACTTCGTCCACCCTAGTGTTTGGACATTCCTCCGAGAGCGGTCACGTTCGGGGTCACAATGCCGTGCGCTGCCGACTCAAGCCCCGCTCGGTTGGCGCCGGGGAGACGCGGGCTGCCCACTCGCCGTGATTTGCGGTAGTGCGTCGGAGTTTCAACTTATGGGCAGCAGGCGCTTTCTGTCACTCGTCTGTCACCCTCCTCAGAGACCCTCGTCTTGGACTCAGCTTCCACACCCACAAATTGTCTCGGAGAAATTTCATACATACTTTAAATAGCCTCGAAACACATCGTGTAGAATATCAGAGCTTTTGCTCTTGAATTTGTGTGAGCCGAGAGGCATCAAGGTATGCTGAAATGCCACTCACCGCACCGGAGTTTGCAGATCGGAACGACATCTCCACAGAAACACACAAAACTCGATGTATAGGTAACTGAGAAGCAGTACTATCTGTGTGTAGTATCTTGTGATTATCGGTGCAAGGACGGGGCGGGGACGGGGCGCCCTTCGCGTTTGTCCAATCACTAGGGGCTGTCCAATCACCCCGGGAGTGATAGTACTGCTATATCGGTCAGGCAACCGAATCGTCCGTACGCCCTGGTGTGTGAATCATAGTAATTTCTGCCGCATTTCTCTCATTTTGTCGCTCGCAGATATTGGCACCAGTATCAGTTTATTTTGCAGGTCATATCGTTAAGAAAGGCCTAGGCTCACTGAATGACTCTCCCAGATGCTAACAACAATGAGATCTTGAAGAACAGAAGCCGGAAGAGTTGAAAGAGTTCTTTCTAACGTCATGACGGGGGTCGTACCACGACGTTTTCCAGCATATCAAGACGTCTGCAGATGTCTTCCAACCTGCCAAGGGTCCCAGTCTCTTTCTACGTGTTCATACCGGTACCCGCGCGCAGTACAGAAGACGCACAACCTTAAGCTACCGATATTCGGATTCGTACACAGCCGATCCCATATGTCCGCCGCCCTCTCGACTCGACTCGGCACTGCCGCCCCCACGCACACACAAGCCACCACGAGCGCGGCACCCGTTTCAACCCCTCCGGGTCGTTCCTCCAGGCCTCAAGCCACAGCGACCGTCTGCGGCACGCCGCCGTTCGTCGCGCCCGCCTGCGCACGCTTCTGTTCCATATCTTCCAGCCGCCGCGCCTCCTCCTCCGCCAGCTTCGCCTGCACCGCGAGCCGCGGCGGGACGACGCGCCTCCGCGCGCCCGTCCGCCCGTACTCGAGCCGGTCGACGCCGAGCGCGCGGAGCGTCGCGCGCTCCACGACGCTGAACTCCCCCGGGTCCGCGCGGTCGAACGCGAACGGCTCCCGCAGCGCCACGGGCGGGTTCGTGATCACGCGCGGCACCCCGAGGACGTTCGGGCTCGCGGAGTGCAGGGTGAGCGGGTGGAGGAGGACGACGTCGCCGACGTCGCCCGTGAGCGCGACGAACTCCCGGCACTTGCGCGCCTCCGCGGGGTGCGAGCGGAACCCGGGGTCGTCCTCCGGCTTCATCGTCGACGCGGTCGACGCACCGGGGAGGAGCGCGGGCGAGTCCGCGGGGACGAAGGAGAGGCGGAGCGGGACGACGCCCTCGGGGTGGGCCGCGAGGTAGCGCGCGACGGGCGCGAGGCCGTCCGGGGCGATGTACGTCGCGCCGCCGTCGGGGCGGACGTCGGAGAAGAGGGGGACGACGAGGAGGGCCTGCTCGGGCGAGTCGAGGAAGTGGACGAAGAAGTCGCCGTCGACGTGCCAGTTCGCGAGGTGCGCCGGGGTCGGGTCCGTCGAGCCGAACGCGGAGGCGGCGCCGGGGGGCGCGGAGGCGGGCACGCCGAGGTTGACGATGAACGAGTCGCCCCACGCGGACGCGGCGGGGTCGATGCGGTCCTCGCCGCCGAGGAGGTCCGTCATCGCGTTCCACGCCTGCCACAGCGCCGTGCGCACGGTCAGTCCCGGCCGCGCGCGGCACGCAGCGTCGGACGCACCTTGGGCGCAAAGTCCTTGACGGCAACTTGCCGGCGGGCGGGCATGTGCACGCGCTCCTTGTCCCACGTCGACGGGTCCTCCGGGTCCATCCCGAGGCGGACCCAGAGGTCCTTTGTGAACTCCTGCGCCTGCGCGCGCGAGAACGCGTTCTTGACGACGAGGTAGCCGTGCATCATGAAGAACTCCACGTCCTCCGCTGTGTGGGTGTGTGGGCAGGGGCAGGGGCGCAGTAGAACATGCGAGGCCGCGGGGAAGCGGAGATCGACGATCGGGAGTATCGCGCGCGAAGTCCAGGCCGGTGTTGGCGTTGGCGAAGGCGCAGAGCCGCGCCATGCATGACGCACCCGCGACAAGAATACCATTGGCATTCGTCGCATCCGAGGAACAAACACGAAGCGACGCGGTGAGTGGACACGGACGGAAGCGGGAGAGTGCACTCACGGCTGATGTGCTTGAGTTCCATCGCGAAAGTAGGCAGCGTGGGGCCTCGCCGAGGGCCTCGCCGCCGTTTATGTACCCGGCGCATCCTCGGGGCCTGCTTTGTGGTCACGCCGCGCAAGGTTGTCCCCCAGGCTCGAGTTCGAGCCCGCGCCGGGGTCGGTGGCATATTTAGCTGCGAGCGGGCAGCGGACGTAAGGCGACGGAGAGCCGTGGGCGGTCATGCAGATAGGCTGTCCTCGGGGGATCTCCTGTGAATTCCGACTCCAATGTGCACCCACGTAGCTCCGATGATGAGATCTTCCTCAGGGCAGTCCGAGGACATGGGCGACGGGATCTGGCCTGACGGCAAATGCGTCCGAGGAGCTACCTACTTGTCGGCCCCGAGGGGGGATCAATTGAGCGGGGTAGCTCTTATTGATAACTCACCGGGGTCTCCCTGGGCAAGTCTTGCCCGCTGGCCGATTCAATCGCATCCCTTGAGCACTCTCAGGCAGCAGTAGAATCAGCGTATAAAATTAAGGGCAACGAGAGCACGATAGAACATATCTCGAACACGCGACCGTCCGCCGCATTCAATCCACCTTGCGCGACCATCTCCTCGGGCTCGGCCGCGGGCTCGCCCGCCCGCTCGGCGACGCCGGCGGCACGACGACCTCGACCCGCTGCGGCACCTGCGCCCACTGCACGCCCACCTTCTCCTCCGCCCTCGCCCCGACTCCATATTGGCCCATCTCGATCTTCTCCTCCCTCTCCTCCTTGCCCCAGTACTGCCACATTTGCACCCCGAGCACGACGTTCAGCGCGAGCGCGAGCGCGAACCCAGCGCTGAGGATCGGGTCTCCGACCTCCGCCGCGGTGGTGAAGAGGCGGGCGAGGCAGCCGACGACTTGGGCGACGACCGCGAACGCGGAGAGCTGCCCGGTGCTCTGCGCCCGGTGGTTCTGCCGGATCTGGGGCAGCTTCGAGAACAGGCTAAGGGGGAGCGTCGCGAGCTGACACGCCGCGAGTGCGCTGGGGGGCACGACCACGAGTGCAGCCGCAGCCGCGGCCATACCGAGCGCGCCCTGAGTTGCGCGCGCAGCGGCCGGGGTGCTCGCGAGGGACGGCGGGGGGTTGTAGTGCACGATGAGGAGGGTGATGACGATGTTCTGGAGGGTGAGGAAGAAGTTCTCGCCGTAGGTGGAGAACGGGAAGGCATTGCGATACGAGTACGCGAGCGTGATTGCGTACGAGAGCGTCTCGAGGACGTATGCGGGCAGGGAGAGGCCGCGCGCGGACCGCGCGGAAACGACTGCGGCACGGGGGTGGGTTGAACGGGGCGGCGGGGGAGGAAGAAGATGAACGCACTGAGGAGGAGCTGAGGGACCTTCATGATGGATCCACCGACAACGATGCCAATGCCAAGGCCCTTGGAGAGGCAGTACTTGAGGCAGTCGGCATCGCTAAAGTTGAGGTTTTCGACGATGGACCGGTAGCATTTCTACCATATCCATTGGATTGAGTGCGGGAGCGAGAGGAGACCGGGCAGGGCGCGCACCTCGCCGACAATGGACACGCCGAGGTCCTTGACGAACCACGGCAGGTTTTGTGTGATGGCCGTCATCGCGAAGAGGAGAGGGAGAGGGAGGAGGAGAGCAACAAGCGACGAGACGCGCCGCCACGACGCGGACGTGTCCCCCGCTCCCATCTCGTCACGTGCGTCCGCTCCCGATATGGCAACTCATTTTTCGGCCGCTGAGCGTGAGCACACCGCCGGCCACAGCGAGCGCGCCGTCTCTCCTCTGCGTCTCCCCCGTCCCTACCATATCCCAGATCCGTCTCTGCCCACCATGGCTGACTACGATCTGACAAAAACGATCATCCCCTACTGCGATCGGCACCTCGTCTTTCCCCTCCTCGCCCACCTCGCCGAGAGCGAGCTCTTCCCGGTCGAAGAGCTCCAGGCAGCCCAGTATGAGCTCGCAAAGGAGACGAACATGGTCGACTACGCCGTCAATCTCTTTGAGCAGCTGCATCCAGAGGAGGAGGTCCCAAAAGGTGGGTACTTATCTGCCTCTCGTGTGCGCATACATCCAGGACGCAGGGACGGATGTGGAGGGATCGGCTCAGGCTGATGCGGCCGCATTCAGAGTTCACCGACAAGCGCGATAAGGCGGTATTAACGAACGAGCAGCTGCAGCAGGCCGCGCAGGCCGTATTAGATGTGATTGAGAAGCCCGAGGTCGCGCAAGCCCTCCGGCAGGACAAGAACCAAAACTTGCAGTTCCTCCGCGACAACTACAATGTACGGCCCATCGCGTCTCATGATATCCCCCTGGCTTAAACGCGAGGTCACTGAACCGCTTATCTCTCCCAGGTCACGGTCGAGCAGATCATCGCGCTCTACAACTTCGGCAAGTTCCAGTACTCGTACGGCAACTACTCCGGCGCCGCCGACTACCTCTACCACTTCCGCATCCTCTCCACAGACCCTGACCTCACCATCTCTGCCCACTGGGGCAAGCTAGCCTGCGACATTCTCACCGGCAAATGGGACACCGCGCTCGAGGAACTCAACTCCCTCCGCGAGGCCATCGACGCCCGCGCCTCCTCTCACCCACAATTCACCGCCTCTTCCGCCGCGGTCGACCCCGCGCTCGGCCAACTCCACTCCCGCACCTGGCTTCTCCACTGGTCCCTCTTCGTCTATTTCAACCACCCCCAGGGGCGCACGCTCCTTCTCGAGACCTTCCTCTCCCCGACGTACCTGAACACCATCCAGACCTCGTCCCCGTGGGTGCTCCGCTATCTCGCGACCGCCGCCGTGCTCTCGCGCAAGTCGAGCTCGGGTGCGCTCTCCTCGCGCGTCCGCCACTCGATCCGCGAGATCGTCAAGGTCGTCCAGATGGAGGAGTACCAGTACACGGACCCGGTCACCCGCTTCCTCCGCGAACTCTACGTCGAGTTTGACTTCGAAGCCGCCCAGAAGGAGCTCTCGCTCGCCGAGACCATCGTCGCGAATGATTTCTTCCTGGGCGAGTTCCGGGACGAGTTCATGGACAACGCCCGCTACCTGGTCACGGAGGCGTACTGCCGGATACACCAGCGCATAGACATCGCGTACGTCGCACCTCCTCTTCTCCCTCCGCCCCATCTCGTCCGCGCGCTGACACTCCCCTAGTGATCTCTCCGAGCGCCTCAACCTCTCGCGCGACGAGGGCGAGAAGTGGATCGTGAACCTCATCCGCGAGACGCGCATGGGCGCAGACGCCAAGATCGATCTTGAGAAGGTCCGTCTTTCCCTCTCTCTTGCCCTTGCCCTGCACAGTACTCACGCGTCACCGCAGAACGTGATCGAGATTCACCGCCCACCACTGCCGATGTACCAGACGGTGATCGAGAAGACGCGGGGGCTCGCGTTCCGCACCCAGGCGCTCGGCGCGGCGATGTCGCGCACGCACCAGCCCGCGGGCGCGCCCGAGCCCGCACAGCCAGCCGTCGTCGAGGCGCAGTGAGCGTGTGGTGACGGATTGGGGGATCGGGGTTGTGGAGGGGCGCAGTGGTGGTCTTGACTGTACTGTTTGTTGTAGCCTGTACTACCCACTGCTTGTATCGGCTCGCGACGAAGCTTCGTTTGTATTGGTAGGCGTTATCCACTTGTTTTTCGGTTCACAGCCTGGTGGAGGGGGCGCGCCTCGAGGTCGTCGTACAGATATCCGTATTGGTCTCGTCCCCAGCCGCTCTGTACCGCGATCCGGGAGGTGTTGTAGAGTTTGGAGACCCGTTCGACAACATGCTGCCCACGAAGACGCAGTGATTAGTGTGCTTGGAGGGAGGTACATGTTGGGTGAATCGCCCTGTCGGGGAAATACGCTCAGATGTGCCTGCTTTGTCCTCTGCTGGTGACAACTTGTAAACCCACGGTAGTGATGTGTGAGTCAGGAGAGCGGCCTCATCCGGACTACCTCGCGCTTCACGCAACTTGCTGTATTGAAGTCGTGCACCTGGTGGGTGCGGTCGGGCTTCCAATGGACCTGATATTCTGTGATCCCGAGTCTCGCCATGTTCTTTCACAGGACGGTAGTTCGGCGGATGTCCTGAACTGTCCCATCTGGTCGATCCGTTGTAGTGCGCATACATACAGTGCCCAACGCTGCCTCCACGCCTCACGTTCGTGTCTTGTCGTCCCACGTATCAGAGTGGTTTCTCTTCTTTTTAATCATGCCACCCATATGACTTATCGGGTCCATCATAATACAGGTGCACAACGAAATTGGAGCATTCTGCTTATCGCGGCTGTATCCACCAGTAGTACTCATGGGTGGCACCCCCATCCACGTTCTCACGCAGCGCGCGTGTGGTACCGGAGTTGCGCGCACAGCGCGGGCGAGCGGCGTGGTGGCGACATCCTCGCGTCTATGGAGACCTGTGGTATGCGAGCGAAGTCAGTCTACTGTTCACTTCGGCAGCACCCATAGTGTGCGCAAGTCGGAGTGGCATCACAGGGCGCCCGTCATAGGAGCGTCTAGAGGCGTACTAGACACGGAAGGTAACTTGATACAGACTGTAGGAGTGAGTGTGGCGGCGATGTAACTTGAGCATGAGGAATCGTGTATACGTATGCGCATTACACGCGATAGACGAGCCAGGACAGTTCATCAAACAGTAAATCCGTCGAACTACCGTCCTGTGCAAGCACACGGTACGACTCGGGGTCATAAATAATCGAGTCCTTGACAGCCTCGGCCGCACCGCCATATGCGCGACTTTGCAACAAGCCGCGTGAAGCGCAAGGTATTCAGGATTAGGCAAGTCCAAGCCGCCCTCCTGAGGAGGCCCGAGCCCGGGGATCCCGAGATCGTTGCGAACTGTGAATGTGACTTGAGCGGGCCAGTCATATGCTTTTCGAAGGAATGGTGGATGTGTTTTCACGTCGTAGGTGTTCGGCTATACATGGCGGTCAGCTTGCCAGAACGGTGCCACTGTGAGTGTCAGAACTCCGACAAACCGTGCCAGTGCTCTCAAACCAAAGATTTAAGCGATAAAATTTCTCTTGAGCGTTTGAAGTGAGGGTCAAGAGGTTGCACAAGCGGTGGCAGTTGCGCCCGTTCAACTCAATCCACGCTGTAGGATAACCAAAGCGTGCCAAGACCGCCCAGAAGCCTGCCGCCAATCCGATCTGCAAGCAAGATTAATGTTTGTCTCAGCCATGGAAATGATGCCCCACCTTCTTGGAATCATCAGCGAAGTTGTTGACGGACTCGGGTATGATATGTGTACAGCGTGTGGGCTCTATCCGAAGCCAAAGGTCAGACGGGAATTTATTACGATGCTGTGTCACCAATTCGACGTCATATTTTCCGGTCAGCATGCACTGACACCCATCACGAAAGAGTGCCTTTCGTGCATGGTAAGTGATGTGACTCATACACGTTGATAAATGCAACACACGCACATGCTTCTTTGCTGTCGAGTGATTTTGCGGGGTAGGGGCGAGCTGCGGGCCGGTTTCATCCACAGCACTCTCGAAGGACGATCTGGAGGGGGGAGATGCCATCCGAGGCGTTCGGACTGCGGCAGATTTGACTGGATGCATAGTCGATGAGCAGCTGAATGTAGTAGTAGAGGAAGCTCACAATGGCGAATGAAGTTGATGTAGTAGAACTGCCCAAGCTCGACGAGCTTCTCATACGATCCTTGGCAGCTCTTGATCTCAGCTGAGAGACAACTGCGTGCTCTCTCGTTGACAGGTTCGAGGAGGAGGCCGCCAAGAATGCCAATGTTCCGTCGCTCGCGTGAAATGGTAGTTCGGTTTGGACGTTCTCTCTCGATCGCCTGGTCTTCAGCTGGGAGGATGTAGGCGACATATGCGCTGCGTGATTGTGGAGGCATTCTGGACATTGACTGGTGGCCTTCACGGGGCAAACGGAGGAAAATCTGCTCAGCCATGATGGGCGGAGGAGAGCCCCAAACGCCACCCAACGCACAACGCCGTGGACCCCGTGCACTGCTGGCCTCGCGCATGTGTTGGCCTGCCGGCCACTACTAACTACGCTCACCACGGCACGGGTCACCCCCCATAGCAGCAGAGAAGTTCAACATCCGGGGGGCTGATGACCACCCAACAGGGCATGGTGAACTAATACGTAGAACTCCGACTCGTGAGCCCGCGAGCCTGGGCCCTGGGGGCCGTCTGAGCGGAGTTCAAATACTTGCTAACAACCAATTCAAGTCAGACATTTCAACTTCGCTCTCGACTTCAATCTGCTATGGTCTCTGCCAAACGTTACCGGTCGGGGGAGGAGGTGGCCTGTCTGGGCGCACTCTTGCTCTACTATAACCCTACGACGCAAACCTTCTCATTCGACTCTCCTCACCATATCTGTCATGATGCTCCCGCTAACGAACTTGCTGCCACTTTCTTCAACCGAATCCGGGATTTTGTCGCGGTCAACATGCAAGGACAGTACACTGGTCCAGAGCTCTTGAAGGTATGTGCTCTTTTCGTCGTTTTGCGACTTTAATCACGTATCCCCGCAGCCCTTACCCGGACTACAGCCGCCACTTCTCGATCCCAAAGGCACTCTTGGAACATGGGGGAGACGATTTGAAGCCCTCACCATGGAGGATCTGCGCGCTGCGACGACCGTTGTCTATCCAAGTGAGGAGTATGGTAATATTCTGAGTCCGGAGAGGTTTCTTATCGCTGTGATGAGTGCGTACCGACCTATTTTTATGATCTACAAATCCTCATCGTTCCAATGTAGCCAAAGCGGAACCTACGTCTGTTTCATGCTCACGTCAGTACCTTCGATTATCTCATGCGCTGTCAGAAATCCTCTCACAGAGTAACATCAGAACGTGAAACGCTGGCTGGGCTTATCCGAGCTCTTGCCCAACCACCCGCCATCGCCGCTCAGCCTGACCAGTTCAGTCGCCGCGAAAACAAGGCCGGTATCCTAGACTACCGTCCACAGAACCCGCCTCCTATCTTCATCTACCACACCGTCTACGCCCGGCTACTGGCTGCGGTGAACAACCACGACCCTCAGCTCCCTGTGGACCCCGAAGAGTTGGATATCGCTGCCGATTTTATTGCTCGCGGGCGCGTTTATGGCTCAGAGGAGCCTTCGGCCCTCTCGGATGTGTTGGAAGAGGAGCTTCTTTGCACCTATCATTCGACTCCAGTCGAGGCCCCGAACGGGTTCAAGCCCGTCTCTGTGTTCATACGAGTGAAGCCGGAAGATGACAGTACGGACCCTACGGCGTACGCGGAGTGCACGTACATCGACACGTACACGTCTCTCGAGGTGAGCTTTATATTGGCGTGATCACCGAGTCGATCTGACGCCCTCGTTCCAGGCGACGGACGTGCGCAAGGCGTGCTGCTGCCCTGCGCTGCTTGTTGCGTGCACCGGCACAAGCATCCAAGTGCTTGGTGCCGCGTTCGCAGACCACATCATCGTCCAACCGCTCGTGGACCTCTCGCTCTTCCCCCTGCCCGGCGCCGACGACGTCATCTACCGCGTAGCGCGACTGTTCCGCGCTCTGCGCACGGCCCGCGGAGAGCTGGAGAAGTACTATGCTGACGTCGTCTCGTCCGTCGCCTCCTGCATCCCGGCCCCAGCCCTAATCAGCCCCCACTGGACCGAGTTCGTCCACCCGGAGCACGGCCTAGTGGTACTGCAGTACACCGGCCGTCTGGGTGTGGAACACTACCCTAGCAGGGCAGTCTTCACTGCGATCGCGACGATGGCGGGAGCACCACCTGTGGACGTGGTCGTCAAATTCGCGCCTCAATACAGCAAGCAGGCCCACGAGCTGCTCGCGCCGGAATTCGCGCCGCGGCTGTGGCACTGCGCCGAAGTGGAGAGCGTCGGGATGTGGGCCGTCGTCATGGACTTCGTCCCAGGAGAGGAGCTGGACGAGGGCGAGGTGCTAACGCCCGCGCAGGGCGATGCGCTGCGCTGTGCGGTGGGGCGGCTGCACGCGCAGGGGCTAGTGTTCGGAGACCTGCGCGACGCAAACGTGCTCACTGTCGGCGACGGTGTTCGGCTCATCGACTTTGACTGGTGTGGTGTGGTCGGAGAAGCGCGATATCCTGCTGATCTCCACATGGGTCATGCCTGGCCCATGGATGTGCGTCGAGGTGGGCTAATCCAGAAGACACATGATTTATATTGGGTCGAGCAGTTGACAGATAGTTAGCGTCCCAGACCGTGTCATCGCATCTCCATGTTCGTTTTCTGTATACATATTCGAGGAGACCCTCGATCATGGAACTTTCCCCTCAGAAACTGGCCAATTTGCGCCTGATTTTTGTCAATAGATCTATCTGCGTGACGGGTTCTTTCGATGCAGAAAAGTATCGCGAATGATCGTACCCCTACCCTCGTCGACGGCGGTGACTCTCAAGTGCACTGGCCACTTCAACGTAGCTGAGAACCCTCGTCCACTGCAGCGGTGTTTACGGCACAGACGGAGAGGGCCGGCGTAGACCCTAGGGTGGACGTAGTCGTGAGTCGGTTCACGTTCCAGTACAGCAAGAAAGGCCACGAGCCGCTTGCGTTCGACTTCGCGCCGCCGCTATGGTACGGCTCAAAGAAGAACGAGACAATCATGTGGATCGTCGTCATGGACTTTGTCCACGGGAAGCCAGTCGACGAGAACACGGGCCTGAATGCAAAGCAAGGCGCGGCCTTGCGGTCGGCGGTAAAATCAATCCACGACAATGAACTCGTCTTTGGAAATCTCTGCCACTCCGAGAACGTCATCACTGTTGGTGACGGGATAAAGCTCGTTGATTTCGACTTGTGCGGAGAAGTAAACGAGGCGAGGTACCCGCCTAACCTCCCGTTCACTATGTTTGGCTATCACCCCAACGCTCGTCGTGGAGGGCTTATCGGGATGGAGCACGACATCCATGTGATGGAAGATCTTGAGCGTGGCGCATCTGGCAAGGAGGAGTAACTGACAGCTCGTGGGTCAGGAGGAACTTACAAGCATCTGTGAACGGAAGGGATTAGAACTTTGTGTATGCCTTTCGCCATCCCGAGGTAGGCGCACGGGGGATAACCAACATTACATACATGACGTCGTAAACACACTTAATAATGGCCCAGTCACAACTACAGGATATGCTACAGCAATGTCGCTCAGAAGGTCGTAAACGTAGAGATGAGGAAGGTCATCGAAGGAGCCAAGCACGTACACAGTGCACATGTTCAAACATTGCCCTCGTGCGTCACCTGACGTGCAATCTTCTCCTCGTCCTGAGTCTGCGCAATGTGCAAGCTGAACTCCTCGTGAACGCCTGGCCTTTCCCACTCGTCTGCCTCGCGACGCAGCTGGTTGCGCACCCAGTGGATGGTGATCGCGGCCGAGACCATTGCCCAGAGCCACGAGAGGCCCCAGCCGATGCCGTAGCCGACGTCGTCCGCGGTGGTCCAGGCGATCGCGATGAACGCGGCCGCGAAGAGCATGCCTGAAGCGCCCCACCAGAGCGAGGTCTGGCGGACGATGTGGCGCATGACGGCGGAGTGCTCGTAGCGGATGCGCCAGGCCTGGCGGAACTCGACGCAGCCACCGCCGTCGACCGCGACGACGTCCTCGACGAGCGTGTAGACGGCGGGGGGCAGGCCGGTCCAGGGCGGCATGGAGGAGACGCGGAAGGGCATTTTGAGGCGGTGGGGGAAGGCGCCAGTGAGGAAGAGGGGGAAGCAGAAAGCGATCATGAAGCAGGAGAGGGACATGGCGACCGTGTGCACCGAGCCGGGGTTTCTAACGTGGGGTATGGGTGAGAGGAGAAGATGGAAGTATAGGGAGGACGCACAGTGAGGAGCCAATGACGAGAGGCGTGAAGAAGCCGGTCATGGCAAAGCCAATTTGGATCCTGGAGGTGGGGTCGGGCGTGGGCACGGAGAGAATCCGAGGCAGAGGAGGGAACGGCGTACGTGAAGGCGTCAGGACCGAACCTGCTGGCCCCCAGCGGTCTCCGCTGGTGATGGCCATCCCTGATGAAGAGGAACCAGGAGCGTCGTGCTAGTTTGTAGCCGGAGTAGGTGCCGACGAGAGAGGTGATGATGGCCAGATTAGTGGTGGTGCTCACATGGGCGCCCCAGCGGATGGAGTAGAAGAGGATGAGAGGAAGGATGCCGGCCTCGACGAAGATGAGGGAAAAGAAGAGGATGATCGCAGCCTCTCGGCGATGAGACTTGATGGTGTAGTTGAGCGGTGGTGGGCGGGTGGGGTGGAAGGAGCTGTCGTCGGACGAGGACGCGGACAGGGCGGGAGGATGGCTGACGGTCATCGCGGTCGAGGGAACAGACCGTGGTGGGCGACGGCGGCGAGCATAATAAGGGAGGGAGGAGGAGCAGACGCCATCGTGGTGGGGCGGAGAGAGAGAAACGTCCACGCCTCGCCATCTCTGCGTCCGTGTCTGACGTCATCATCCCACCGCGCAACGCCCGCACGTGCCCATGCCCCAGGCATACGCGTCCGGTCCGCGCTCTCAGCTCTGCCGCCTTCTGCCACTTTTTCCGCCATCCAGCCTCGATTCTCTCCACACCTCCCCCTCCCCCCGCCGCTCTAGATGGACGTCCCCCTCTTTGGCGATGCCCCCAACAAGCGCAGGCGCGAGATAAACCTCGGCGGCAACCACACCTTCTCCACCTCGTACAACGACATCCTCTCCGAAGCCAAGCAGAGACGACTCCAACGCAATGACCTCAAGCGTCGCCAGGACGCGGCCATCCGCATCCAACACGCTTGGCACGGTCACCTTGCCCTCACCAACGTCAGGCAGGCTCTCCGCGCCACATTCGAGCACGATGTCACCACCCTTACCGCCCTCCGATGTCTCGTCCTTCTTGGCCAGGATGAGGATGCGCTGGGCAGATGGTCCAAGGACGTCTCAACTTCAAGACGAGGTCTGTCCCCTGCTCATTCTCCCTTGGTCGTGCTCTCACCAAGTACAGACATCCTGCTGCAGTCCGATCCAAGCCACACGGTGCTGCTTCAGCGCGTAAGCCGCCTCCTCCTCCATTCCCTCTCTTCGAACGCTAGGTGCGCTGTTTCTTTTTATCCGAATCACCCTCTGATCCAACTGCCGCTGCAGATCACCCCATGCATCCGCACACATGGATGCGCTTACCATCCTCCTCTCCGAGAACCCTCACCGCGCCACCATATCGCAATATCTCATCTCCCACGGTTTCTATCCCTTGCTTCGACAAGCGGTCCTTCAACTGGTGAGCATACATCTCCATCTTTTCTCCTCCCAAGACTGAGAGTGTTCAGCCCGTCTCCGCGTCGACACTTGCACCGCTCACCCAACTCCTCGCCACCCCCTTCGCGTTCGACAACTTGCTCCCGGATGTCCTCTCCGGGCTCATCCTTCACATTCTCACTATACCACTCCTACCGAATCGCCTCCTTCCAGCGCTTGGGCCGTTTTCTGCCCGCCTCCCGCTTGCATCCCTCCACCTCTTGTCCCCCGACATCATCACCCACTATGCACTCTCTTCCGCCGAGTCCAAGGTGCACCTCCTCGCGAATCTCGCGGCTTTCATGCCTCCCAGATATGCGTCCCTACCGACACCCGCATTTGCGACCTACCTCCAGCTAACTGCGTTACTCATGAACGCGCTTCCGACTCTTGCTCTGGAACCTCCAGAGAACAAGACCAATACAACACGCAACTGGGGAGACGAAGACGAGGACGAGGAGCCAGACACGCAGGTGGAAGTTGTTGCATCGTTTCAGCCGAAGGTGGAACTGCCGCAGCTCGACGAGAAGACCCGCAAGAGGCTCCAGACGCTTCCGTCGCCCGATCACATCACTACGATCCTGCGCGCGTCAGATAAGCCAGGCCTACTACAACCTATCGTTGAGTTCTGCTTTGCGCTGAGCACGGTGTGGCCGACGCGGCGGGACAAGGTGCTGAACACGATGGTGGCGTGCAGTCGCGGGGCACTCGTGCGCGACATTTACCGGCAGTTTGTCCGGAGCACGCCCCTGGGACGGGATGAGACCTATGCCGAGGTTTCGAGTAAGCCTCTACCCATCCAGCCGTCTGCAAGTTAGCTCACTGTCATTTAGGGCCAGAATATGCGTCACACTGGCCGCCACTCCTGCTCCTCGCCGACCTCTACACCCAAGCCCTCCTCACGATGACCGACGATGAGTTCTTCGGCTCGACGACGTCCAACCCGGACGTTCCTCGGAACCCGCTATCCCTCGACGAACTCGCAGCTTTGGCACGCACGCTGCTAAACATCGCCTTCGCACTGTACTGGCGCGAAGACCCCGACGCGATGCAGGAGACCGTCCCAGGGCTCGGCCAGGTCCGCTGGGCGCACGTCCGGGAGAACGCGACCAAGGCCCTCCAGGCGCTGCACGCGCGCGACTCGCGCCGGCCGTTCGCGGGCGCCGGGCAGTGGCTCGTCTCCGCGCACGTCGATATGAACACGTTCATCCAGGCCGCGATCGTCGAGGAGCGCCAGCTCGCGCAAGGTGAAGACGGTGCGATCGGGGGCGGAGTGGGCGCGCGCGCGCTGAGCAAGCGGCAGATCGCGTACCTCTCGCCGCGCCTCGGCGTGCTGAACAACATCCCGTTCGCGATCCCGTTCGACGTCCGCGTGGGGATCTTCAGGCGGTTCGTGATCAACGACATGGAGCGCAGGGGCTTCACGCAGTGGCGCGGGCGGATGGGGACGACGCGGGTGACGATTCGGAGGACGCATATTGCGCAGGACGGGTTCGATCGGTTGGGGGATGTAGACCTCAAGAGCCCAATTGCGATCACGTTTGTGGATCAATTTGGGCAGGAGGAGTAAGTCCTCAGTCTCAGCTTCACGAACCTCGACTAACTATGATTTGGTAGGGCGGGGATTGATGGTGGTGGGGTTTTTAAGGAGTTTTTGACCAGTCTAGGGAGGGAAGTCTTCGACTCGGACCGCGGGCTGTGGTTGCCGAACAAGAAGAACGAGCTGTACCCAGCGCCGCATTCGTTCGCGACAGAACGTGCGTTCCTTTAGGTAGTAATCATTGCAAGCGCTGATGGCGACACCATTTAGCTCACAGCCTGGCGTGGTACCGATTCATTGGCCGGATACTGGGAAAGGCGCTTTACGAGGGCATTCTCATCGACGTGGCGTTTGCGGGGTTCTTCCTGGCGAAGGTCGGTCATCTTTCAATGCACCTCTGACCGTGCGTTTAGACCTCTGTTCGCAGTGGCTCGGGAAGCAAAGTTGGCTCGATGACCTTGTTTCTCTCGACCCTGAGCTCTATCAAGGCTTGCTCTTCCTCAAGCATTACAAAGGAAACCCCGAAGAGCTCTCATTAAACTTCACGGTCGCCGAGGACGGTGCGTTGTTCTCATCTCCCTCTCAACATCAGGCTGACTTAACTGCGGAATCAGAGTTCGGGGTCGCAAAAACGATCGATCTCATCCCGAACGGGAGCAACGTCGCCGTATCGCGCGAGAACCGGCTGCAGTACATCTACCTCATCGCGCATTACCGACTCACGAAGCAGATCAAGCGCCAGAGCGACGCGTTCTTCGAGGGCCTGTCGGAGATCATCGACCCTAAGTGGCTACGGTGAGCTGCTCCCGTCCCCTCAGTGATCTCGCCATGCGCAGGGCTGACGCGGATCCCACAGGATGTTCAATCAGCAGGAGTTGCAGATCCTGCTTGGCGGCGTTAACTCCCCGATCGACCTCGACGACCTCCGCGCGCACACGCAGTACGGAGGGCTGTACTCGGACCACGAGCCGACGATCGAGCTCTTCTGGCAGGTCGTCAACACGCTCACCCAGGAGGAACGCCGGAAGCTCCTCCGGTTCGCGACGAGCTGCAGCCGTCCGCCTTTGTTGTGAGTGGAACCAGGTTCATTCGCAGGGAGACGCTTCGGATGCTAACTGGGCGCGGTTGACAGGGGTTTCAAGGAGCTCAACCCGAACTTCGCGATTCGGGACGCGTCGGCCGACCAGACCCGGCTGCCGACGGCGAGTACGTGCGTGAACTTACTTAAGGTTCGTCGCCGTCGTCGGATGTGTGCTCCTTTCTGATCGCTGATGGACCCTTCCTCGCAGCTTCCAAGGTACAGGGACGCGGCCGTGCTCCGGGAGAAGCTCGTTCAGGCGATCAACTCGAACGCGGGCTTCGACTTGTCATAACCTTCAGACCGTCGGGACGGGTGTGGTAGAAGAACAGCGCGTACGTGTAAACGGAGCGGTATACGTTGGATTTGTTATGGGTAATGGTGTATCGTTAGTTTGTTGTCCTATTGACGTTGCTTCGGTTTGAACCCGCGACCTCGAGTTCTGGCAGGCCACAGCGGACGCCCCGTTGCCGTCTAACGCCATCACGGACATGGCGTCGTTCACCGAATGTGCGCTTGCTCACTCGAAGACTAGATAGACAACGATGATGAGGCGGGCGAACTACCTCATAAACCACCGCCCAGCCTAAGCACACGCGTGTGGTCGCGTACCTTCTGCTCACGCGTGGTCGCTCACTGATTCTTTCACGCGCATGTGTGACAGTCCCTCTCCCACCGGGGGGGCACAGCTCCGCCTCAACTCCGCGACTCGTTCAGACGCGCAGCGCCACCAATTCACCTCCAATGAACCGCCATCACACTCATGCACCCCATCGACGAGACGAAGGAAAAGGCTCAGAAGGCGACAAGACCGTGACGCGTAAGTAGCAATAAAGGGTGTACCCTTCTTGTATACACACCGATTCTCTTTCTTCCAGCTTCTGTGGTGAGATACCGCCCATCCCAGAGCACACCAACAAATACGCCATCTGGGGCTACCTCGTCTCACCAGCCCACGTCCATCTTTACGGCCAGGGCCAACTGACTATGTGTCGTCCGCGATCCAAAGGCTCTCTCAAGCGGGCATTCCCGATCTGACGTTGATGATCACCTACGCCATCCGCAAGGACCTCCGGAAGTCGAACCGGGAAAGCGATCACCACCTCGCCTTCGCTCGGACCGTGACGAAGCACGGGGGCGCCGAGCGTTATGTGCAGGACGTGCGGCCGTGGCGCGGCGACCTCGAGGAGTTTGAGAAGTTGCTGGGGATCGAGAGCGGTCCGAAGTGGATTGAAGGCGGAGGCACCGGGCTGTGAGAGTGCAGAAGGCACGGTGCACACTTATGTATGAAACTAGTAGTGCTCACGTCGAAGTCCCATTTCGAGCTCTGGTCGTACAGGAGCCAAAGTTTGACGCTCTTGCTGCTCTGCTGCTATGGAGCCAGACCAGCGCCATTGTAAGCGTAGCCAAGGCGGGTTAGTGGTCGGCAGGCTGAAAACACGGGTGAGAGGTACCAGGCGATTGGTCGAAACCGTGCACGGGGGTCCACGGCGTCATGGGCGCCAGACTTGGGTGGCGTTTCTCTTCCGCCCATCATGTCGGAGCAGTTTTCCTCGTTTGCCCCGCGAAGACCACCAGCAATATCCAGAATGCCTCCACAATCACGCAGTGCATATGTCGCCTACTGAAGACCAGGCGATCGAGAGAGAACGTCCAAACCGAACTACCATTTCACGCGAGCGACGGAACATTGGCATTCTTGGCGGCCTCCTCCTCGAACCTGTCAACGAGAGAGCGCGCAGTTGTCTCTCAGCTGAGATCAAGAGCTGCCAAGGATCGTATGAGAAGCTCGTCGAGCTTGGGCAGTTCTACTACATCAACTTCATTCGCCATTGTGAGCTTCCTCTACTACTACATTCAGCTGCTCATCGACTATGCATCCAGTCAAATCTGCCGCAGTCCGAACGCCTCGGATGGCATCTCCCCCCTCCAGATCGTCCTTCGAGAGTGCTGTGGATGAGACCGGGTCCGAACTCGCCCCTACCCCGCAAAATCATTCGACAGCAAAGAAGCATGTGCGTGTGTCGCATTTACCAACATGTATGAGTCGCATCGCTCACCATGCACGAAAGGCACTATTCCGCGACGGATGTCGGTGTATGCTGACCGGAAAATATGACGTCGACTTGATGAAACAATATCCTGACAAATTCCCGTTCGAGCTGATCACATCCACACGCTGTGTACATATCATACCCGAGTCCGTCAGCAACTTCACCAAGGATTCCGATGAGGTGGGACATCAATTTCCTCTCTGAGACAAACACTAATCTTGCTTGCAGATGGATTGGCGAAAGGCTTCTGGGCGGTCTTGGCACGCTTTGGTTATCCTACAGCGTGGATTGAGTTGAACGGGCGCAACTGCCACCGCTTGTGCAACCTCTTAACCCTCTCTTTAAACGCTCATGAGGAGATGGGCACATTAGATCTTTGGTTTGAGAGCACTAGCACGGTTTGTCGAAATTCTGATACCTACGGCATCGTTCCAAGCTGACCGCCACGTATAGCTGAACACCTACGACGTGAAAACACATCCACCACTCCTTCGAAAAGCATATGACTGGCCCGCTCAAGTAACATTCTCAGTTCGCAACGATCTCGGGATCCCCGGGCTCGGGCCTCCTCAGGAGGGCGGCTTGGACTTGCCTGATCCTGACTACCTCGCGCTTCACGCGGCTTGTTGCAAAATCGCACACATGGCGGGTGCAGCTAAGGCTGTCAAGGACTCGATTATTTATGGCCCCGAGTCGTACTGTGTGCTTGCACAGGACGGTAGTTCGGCGGATTTACTGTTTGATGAACTGTCCTGGCTCGTCTATCGCGTGAATGCACCGCCCGTCCCAAGCCATCTACTCACCCAACATGCTATCTTCGGGTACCTCATTAAACCTTCCCGACTCCCCATTGTCGATGAAGACGACGTTCACGTTCCGTTCATCGTGTGGACGGCCGCCGATAAAGCCAGCACAGTGTGCGAGCCGCTCGTGGTCTACGCCCACCGGAATGATCTTTGCGAGGTGAATCGGGCTAGCGAGCACCAACATCGTCTTCGTCCAATGTCGGCGCAAGCTTCGCAACGGCGAGCCTCGTATAGTTTTCGGAAAATTCCGTCAGTTTGAGGAGCTGCTAGGGCTCGAGGGCGGTCCGCAGTGGACGGCAACCGAGGCCGTTGGCCGGTGAGCCACGGTGAGTCTTTGTTGCGACTGCTCGGGTCTTCCTTCCCCCGCTCATTGCAACCCGCTGCGCCATCTCACCTTAGTCGGGGCATGGAGTAACTGGGTCTCGTCGCTCGAGGTCGATAGCCGGTCAACTGCAGTGGGCCCAACATAGATCGTGCTCCGTCTTGATTATCCCACCTCGACGCGCGTACTCGGGTCGGTGCCCATATGGATATCAAACGGGTATCGCGCCGCTTTGCACCTGCGTGCTCGGTATGGTGAATCTGCCAGGTTCCCCGCGTGTTGAACGACGCTCCGTGCTGAGGGCACACATCTCGTCATTAAGCAGGATTCGAGGGAACGTACACTTCATTCATAGAGCCATATTGATACAGTGGGTTCACAAGTTGTCAACAGCAGACGACAAAGAAAACACAACTGAACGTGAACGCCATGAGCGCATTTCACCGACAGAGCGGTCCACCCAACACGTACCTCCCCCCAATCACTGCGTCTTGTTCGCCTTCGTGAGCAGCGTGTCGTCGAACGGGTCTCCAAACTCTGCAACACCTCGCGGATCAGCCTTCCGCCACTCCACCTACCCCCCGTCCAAATTGCACGAACCAAAGACCACTCACGTTTCTTCAGCTGCTCCATCAACCCCACATCGACCAGATCGTCCACCCGCCCCCTCCCCATCGCGCCCGCCTCCCACCCGCCTCCAGACGGGCCGTGGCCCCCAGGCCCGCCCGCGCGGCCGCCGTCCTTCCGCCTGCTCTTCGCATCGCGCGTCCCACCCAGGCCCATGAAGGACGTGTTGCCCCCGAGGCGGCGCTTCGGGCCCGCGGAGAGGGAGGAGAAGAAGCTGCCGAGCTGGGAGAACGACGTGCCCTGAGGGTGGTCGGGTGGGGCGTGGTGCGCGGAGCCCCCGGGACGCGGGAACTCGTCGAGCTCGCCGGCCTCGAGCTCGACGGGGGTGTCGGAGGAGTCGTCGGAGGGCGTGGGGGAGGCGCGGTCGGAGGTCATGGTGGTGGCGGCGAGGAGAGAAGCTGATCGTGGGTGTGGAGTCTGTGGCGCGTGTCACTGCTTGTGCGCCGATCTAGCCAAGTATATTGTCGATCCAAATCGTCACGTCCTATAATCACGGATACTCGGGTGAAATGGGTACTATAAGCATGGTATCTATGGCCGTAATTCAAACAATTTCATGATCTTCCTCACACAATCACGAACCATCGACAGAAACCTCCTTCTCCATAACCTCCGAAAAGGACTTCCTATCGTACTTGACCTCCGCTGCAGACACAGAATCATCGTCGACGGTACGCACGGGCCCCTCGAACCACTTCCTGGCCGAGACCACCCAGGAGATGGACGCGAAGAAGAATACGCCCATGATTATCACGACAGCGTAGTCTGCGGACATGTCCGGTCAGCTGCGAAGAACAACGACGAAGGCTGCGGCAGCATATACTCACTCATCGTCTCCGCGGACGGGTTGCTCTCCGACGGGAACAGGAGAACCACGGTGATGAACAACACCCACGACACCGCGACGATGCCGATCGGAAGGAACCACTTGCCCAATGAAAACGGTCCGGGCACAAGCCGCGTCCGTCCCGAGGTGATGCGCAGAAAGATCGGCACGACGTACGAAGTGTACAGACCGATGACCGATGCGCTACGAGCCTCATCAGCCAAACCATCCACGATCAACAAACGCGGAGCGCACGACTCACCCAGCGAGCGACGACAGCGCCGCTTCCGAGAACCCAAGCAGCCCGCACAGCCCCGCAAGCACCATCACGAGCCACACCGCGTTCACCGGCGTGCGCGTGTACGGGTGCATGCGCTTCCACCAGCGCGAGCCGGGCAACGCGTTGTCGCGCGCGAACGCGAACACGACCCGGCTCGCGTCGACGCCCTGCGCGGCGCCGGTGACGTACTGGACTACGATGATCAGCGACCAGATCGCGAGCATGCCGCGCTTGCCGAGCACGTCGAGGAAAAGCTGGCCCATCGGTAGCGGGAGGGAGGTGTCGAGCAGCGCGGGCACCGACGCCGCTGCGAAGGAGGCGGCGATGTAGAGCAACCAGCCGAGCGACGCCGTCGCGCCGACGCCGACCATAATCGCGATCGGGGCGCGCGGCCGCCCCGGCGTCTCTTCGGAGATGTGCGCTGCGGAGTCGTCTGCGGGGAGTCGTGAGATAGGATGATATCTGTGCGAGCGATGGAGACTCACAGCCAGTCAGAGTCCACATTGGGGAGGTGAAAGCGAGCAAGAACGCCCAAGCGCCTGCGCAAACGTCAGAATCTCTACAACGGAGGGTGCACCGATTACGCACTGTTGTCCATCCGCTGTTGTTTTCATACATGGTGAAGCGGTCTTCGTGTCGACTCGTTGGTCGCCACTGCAAACAAGGAGAGCGATGATAGCGGCAACGGTAGTCCCGACTAGACAGCACGTCATGAACACACTCCGAGTAAGGAGACATGATCCAACCATTAATCGCAACATAGAACAAGTTCAAACGAGCAAGCACCGAAGTAGCCGCCGAGCAGACGATGCCGTGCGTGAACAGGATTGCAAGAAGAATGCCAAATGTGGCACCAGCGCCCAAGTTGACGGCACCATCGGAGCCAACGCTGAGCGCGTCGTGATCATCTGCGCGCTGTAGCACACGGCGTGAGTACCATGTGACAACTCGGTGGGTGCAAGACACGAACCATGTAAAGTCGATCGAGCAGACCAAGGTGACCTGTCCGGTGACGTTGGCCCAGCCGGTGATCCAGCTCGCAAGCGGAGCCCACTTCTTCGGGGCGAGCTTGGCAGAGAAGTAGTACAGCCGGCACTCGTTCTAAAGACACGTCAGCGTACCGTTGAGTGCTCGATCCAAAGGAAGACATACGGCATGGCAGAGGTCAGCTCTGCGAGAGACGCGGCGATGGTCATGACGAAGAGGGAGGGGAGAGCCATCCAAATACCATCCCGACGTGTCCTCCTGTCAAAGGACTGCATTGGGATCTAGAGACATGGGTGATGCGAGGACTGATGACACTTGCCGGAGACGAGAGGGAACGACATGGTTGACGAGACGGAGGCCACGACACCCATGATGGAGAACGCGAACGCGATGGTCTCAATCATCTACAATACCGCGAGGCGCGTTTTCCGTCAGTGAAGGCTTTGTATCGTTTTGGGAAGGTACTTACGGAGAACTCGCGCTTGAACTCGCTCTTGTACCCGAGCTGGGCCAGGAGCGCGTCGTCAGCATGCTTCACCTCTGAGAGGCTCTCATGGTCGTGGTGGGCTGCTGCTGTCGACATCTTCTCGTTCATGGACATGACTAACGGAGAGGCAGGAGATCGAGGGATGCGGTCGTGCGAGGGCAAGGGCGACGTCGGAGAGTCGGTCGTTCGTGCGCTCCTCCAGTCTAGAGGCTTAACTTGTTTCTGCTATCTCATGCCCCTGCTATCTCGCAGCAGAGTTCAAGACCCTAGACCTCGGTCCGTCAGTCGGCAACGGTATAGCCAAGGTTGAAAGTGGACAGTTGACGTGCGAGATCTCGCGATTGCGCAGATGGAAAGGGCGAAGTTACGGCAGCGATCCCGGAGTTTCGAACATGAGCATACGCGTTATCTCCAGAGGGTGACATCAAGGCGAGTCTCCTGATAAGCTTCTAGGAATTGGCGTCGCCCCCGGGCGGCGACGGGGTGTCAAAGGTCTCTGCAACGAAACACACTGATTAGCCGTGGGACAACGTGTCCTTAAATCTCGAGAATTCCCCACCTCATGATGAAGTTTGCATACACACGACGTTGGAGATATCGAGTAACGAGCTCATGGTTGGTGTTAGAGTCGTCTGCTAGCCATTTGCGGGGCACCAGCCCTTCACAAGCGCTAACAAAGGGACGCGCGAGGCAGGACCACGTGCCGCCGGGCGCAGCTCGCGAGTTCGTTCGACTCGCAACTTGATCATATTTGGCGAGTCACTTAGTCACCTCGCCTCGCCTCAACCCGCGGCAACACGGTTCAATGCTACTGTCGCTGTGTGAGTCATAGTACACGCTGCACACATCCGATCGTGGGTACTATCTAGCGCAGTCTCTTCCTCATTCGTTCTTGACAACGGTCTAATCTTCGACAGTTCGGAATACCAATACACCCTCTCATATCTTGCACAACTGCTCTATGTACTCCCTATCTGGCTCTTTTTCCAACCCGATCTCCGGACGTAATCGCGCCCGGCTGCGTCGGCGCCCTTGATTGCACCAAAGACGATCTCGGGGTCGATCACCCTATCCAAATTCCAGATCGTCTCCCCAGGCGCGCACGCGAGCTTCGCAACTTCACGGAGCTCATCGTCCTTGACATCAGGGATCCCGAGAAGCTCGAAAGTCACTGGCAAGTCGACGGAGACCATCCACTCGATGTACCGGTCAAGCTCCGCGGTGGTCTCGCCGTCGAGGATGAGCTGGCAGATGGTTCCAAAGGCGACTGCGAAGAGATTGGTCAGTCACCCTATGGAACTGCGCTCGTCAACTTACCCTTCTCTCCATGCAGTAAGCTGTGCAACTGCTCGATAGCAGTCATTCCGTTGTGGATCTATCACAACCATGTCAGCGCCGTTACCTAGGATCCGCACCTCCTCTTGAGCGCTCACCGCATGCGCCGCCGCAAGTCCACCCGACTCGAAGCCCAAGCCTGAGAGGAGCGTGTTGGCCTCGACGACAGCCTCCAGCGCGGGCGTGACTGCGTGTGCCTTGTTCGCCTCGTACGCCTGCTTCCCGTACCGGAACAGGATCTCCTCGCACTTGGTCCCGATGGCGACCGACACCTCCGTGGGGAGCCCCCCGCCGAAGTTGACGCTGTTCCCACACCGGCGCGCCTCGACGTTCGTCGCGACGGCGTCGCCCATGCCCGCCGCGAGGAAGCGCGCCGGCGCGCGCGAGACGACCGTCGTGTCGACGAGCACGACGGCGGGTTCTTGGCGAAGAACGTGTAGCAGTCGAACGTGCCATCGGGCGTGTAGAGAACCGAGAGCGCAGAGCACGGCGCGTCCGTCGATGCGGTCGTAGGCAGCACCGCGACGGGCACCCCGAGCGCGTCCGCGACAGTCTTCGCGGTATCGATCGTCTTGCCGCCGCCGAGCGCGATGACGAAGTCCACCTCCGCGCCGCGCCCGAGCCCAGTGATGCGGTCGACCTCGACGCGCGAAGCCTCGCCGCCGAATAGCGCGCGGTGGACGGAGAACGAGCCCTCGAGGGCGCGCACGAGGTCCTCTCCGGCTATGATCGAAGTAAGCGTGAGCAATATGTACTAGAGGCTGGCGTGCTCACCAATCTTTCCGACTATCTCATCGCAGATCAGGAGAGGCGCTTTCCCAAGCGTCGAAAGGTACTTGGGGGCGTTCTGGATGGCGTAAGGGCCTTGTATGTACTTGGATGGTGACTGGAAGAGCCGCTCGGTGACCTTGTTTGGGTTAGGCATGTGTGTGGGGGAAGAAGAGACGTCGCGCGGCCGTTGTGAGTAAGGAGCTGGTTTGCATTCAGCCTCGACAAGCCTCCTAGATATACCCTCCGTGTGCAATGTCATGTCATTCGTCACGCGGGAAGCCAAGAGCGTCAGAGGTTCTAAGCTCTCTCTAAGGACGCTGGGCGAGCCCAGACGAACAACAGATCCACTGCGACGGTCTGGACCCTGGAGTCATTGGTCGAGAGCCTGGCCATGGTCCGGCCCGAGAACACCGCCCGGGCCGTGGTGCGGGCTAGCTCGCACTTCTACTTGTTACCGGAACCACCCTCCACGGTGCTCGTATGGACTGCATACAGGTGTACTCAGCGGTCTAGTTTCGCGAAGCCGAGCGTACATCATCGAGAAAGGCTGAGCGAGGGTTGAGCTGATGCGAGTCGATATTATAAGCGCCGGACTCAGGAGTCGCTTGTTCGAACCCCCGCGGTATCAACTCGTCAACGATTCAACATACTGCAATATATATCTACACTTTTAGAGCCATTTAATACTACCGTTGAACAGGGAGTCGTTTTATTCCCCACAAATTATGGCGGTCTACCATTCTTACCTGACTATGCGCTCGTGTTTTCGTTCGAGCGACGGCGCTCATGGATCTGGCGGCGCTTCGCCTCCGCCTCGTTACGTTCGATCCCGCGCTGCACCTCTTTCTGCCAGTCAGTGCCCATCCAGACGACCCCGTACTCGCTGAGGCCGACGATGAACAGAGCGACAACTTGGCCTGCACGAAAGTGAGCGCTCTGTCTCACGAGTCCAGAAAGAGCGCTCACCGATCCAAAGACCTTGGAGCCCGAGGTGTGTCCTCGGATGAAACGCCAGCGTGATTCCGAGAGGAAGCGCGAGGACATAGTACGCCACCAAGTTGAAGAGCGCCCCGAGGTGCTGACGCCCCTGTCCACGGAGTACACCGCCGCAGGATCCCGCAAGGCCGTCAGCGATCTGGCGTCAAGAGTAACTAGTGAGCACCCCGTTCCGAGATGAGGGCGGAGAAGAGTATACCTGGAATGACGCGACGAGGGGCATCACTTGACTGACGAGGTTGACGACCTCGTCGTCATCACTGTAGAGATATCCAAATACCTAGAGTGCCGTGCGGGTGAGCACTGCGTCCGATACCCTCAGCCCCACGATGTCACTTACGTCTTTCGTAGCTATGAGGACGGTCATGACCGTGGCGCCAACAACGACACTCAACAACGCAGAGGCGTGGCTCGCCCGCTTCGCAGCTTCCGCAGCTCTCGCTCCTATGAGGTTTCCGACTCGGGCAGACGCGGCAACGCCGATGCCGAAAGGGATGGTGTTGATGACTTAAAAGAAGCGCTCAAGGTACGCTCGTGCAAGGGCGCGTGCAAATGGTACGTACTCTGGTCGGTGGTCATGATGACGGACTGCGCAGCGAGAGGCAAGGGTCCCAAGCGTCCCGCAGCAAGCGCGACGACTTCGAACGCGGCCCTGAGACCAGATATCAGACATGCCCCCTCGGTGTTTACGAGAGAGGTGACGTACCACTCGGTGCCCACCATGAGGACGCCGGGAATAGCCAGCCTGAGGAAGTACACGCAGCTGGCGGGGTCGAGCACGACTCCGGGCTGGAAGCCTGCCCACGTTCCGTTCTTGCGATGTGTGGGTGACAGGGCGGTCAGGGCCACGAGGAGAAAGAAGCACAGCCATACGTGACAGAGATGGCAAGCGGGGCGCCGAGGAGCCCGAGCGAGGTGTGGTGGACGAAGAAGACGTTGAGGCCAAGATTTACGGGAGCGACGGCGAGGAGGACGTATGTCGACATGCGCATGATGCCTGTCCGCGGACAGACAAGGATGAGCGGGGTGTGGGAGATGATGCCATACATGTGTACGTACCCTGGCACTGGAGGTACTTCTTGAGACTCTCGAAGCCGATGTAGCCTGGGGCCCCGACAATCAAGACACGGAGGAAATCCTGGACGTCGGCGCTGAGCCGCGCTTCCTGGCCGAGAAGCAGGAGAGCGGGCTCAATGTACGCCCACAAGACGGCAACGGGGATGAAGAGCAGCCAGAGAAGGAGCATACAGCGCTGGAGGTGGATAGAGACCGAGGGACGATCGCCGCCGGTGAAGGCCTGAGAGCCGAGGGTGTCGAGCGCGGTTGTGCCGCCGAGCGCAATGCACCATCCTGGAAGGAGACCGTAGGAGCGGCTGAGCCGGACGGCGAAGGAGAGACTTGCCTAATACCATGGCGAGCATAAGCGAAAATGCGGCGGCGGAGAGCTCGTCGGGACCGAGGTGGCCGGCGACGAGCACAGAGACGGTCTGAATCGAGTTCTGGAGGACATAGGAGAGGATTACTGTGGACGGAGATGGTCAGACGGGCGGTGGTGGGCGAGCGAGGCGCGTACCTGGAACGGAGTCAACGAGGAGGGAGGAGAAGAGGGGCGCGAGCGCTTGAGGGCCGTCGGAAAAGGAAGCGTCGGCTGCTGGCACCAACGTCTCGCTCGAGTCCGACGTCGCCCGGCTGGACTCCGCCATCGTCTCTCGCCTCTCGTCTTCTCGCTCGCCGACACTGCCTAGCAGCGGCTGGCGCTCTCCTGTATCTCTTGGGGAAGGCATCTTGCAAGGTGTTTGGGGATGGGGCTGTCTGGGTGTCGAGTTCGCGCCGATAAGACGACGCAACGCAGCCCTTTCTATCCTCCCCGACCGCGCTTTGGTGTGACCTCCGTTTTTCGCGCGTGTTGTGCGCACTCACGTCATTCGTCGAGCCCGACCCCGGCGCGACTACTCCGCCTCGGATCCGGCTCGCCAATTTTCCGGATACGACTCCCGCAATCTCGGCCGACGATGACCCCCATCGATCCCTCGTTCCTGGGATATACCCAACGCCCGCACCCTGTCTGTTTCCTCAGCATCATGGGTGGGACGGCGTCTCAATACACGCACGACGTGCGCCACGAACTATGCCTCTATTGGTAATGTTGTCAACAGCGTGCCCGGTCAGGTTGACCACTGACGCCGTAATCGTGGCGGTGCTTCTGTTTTTTCCATACCTGACCCAACGCTTTTCCTATCTCCCAACACGCGTCAAGCAAACGAGACCCCGACCGTATTGCTGGATCGCGAGAACATTTGCCACGCTGGTCGGCTCCCCGGAGATCATTTATAGCCAACCTCGCGCCGTTCGTCTGACCCATTGCGAACCTCTCGTCGCAAGTCTCACTCCTCGAGCCTCCCTCACTTCCACTATGAAGTTCAACGCTCTCTCTTCCCTACTTGTTCTCGTCGGTGTGGTCGTTGCCCACGACGATCATGAGCACGACGCGCAGATGCCCCTTGACTATGTCAAGTACCCTTACCAAGCCACCTATCCCGGCGACAACGATGGTATGTTTCATATCAGGCTATATTATGTTGGGCCCGACCTAACCACGCCTTCACGTCCCCAGTCACCGCTGACTCTATCTTCTCTGGCATTACTACCTTCGCCAGGCTGCCGTGGGTGCAGTGTCTTGGCAAGGACCGCCAAAGTACCTTCGACGTTGCCTTCCTCGGAGCGCCCTTCGTACGTAACCCCATGGGCTCTCTCGCCAACGATGGTGCTGATCCTCTCTCGTCCATCTGCAGGATACCGGCACCTCTTACCGCCCCGGTGCTCGCTTCGGCCCTGCCGGTATCCGCGCGGGCTCTCGTCGTCTGACCCTCTACGGCGGCTACAACGTGCCCCTCGAGGTCAACCCATTCCTCTCCGGCCTCAAGATTGTCGATTGCGGTGATATCCCCGTGACCCCTTACGACAACAAGTACGCCATCAAGCAGATTGAGGACGGTCACAAGGAGCTTCTTCACCGCCAGACATTCTCTCCCCTCGGCAACGACACACTCACCGGCAAGCCTCTCGTCCCTCTTGCTACTGACGGCAAGCACCACCCGCGCATCATCACGCTTGGTGGCGACCACACCATCGTTCTTCCGCTCCTGCGGTCTATCTATAGCGCGTACGGCCAGATCTCCGTCATCCACTTCGACAGCCACCTCGACACCTGGAAGCCCTCCGTCTTCGGTGGTGCACCCTCCGACCAGGCCGCTATCAACCACGGCACGTACTTCTACTGGGCGAGCCAGGAGGGCCTGATCAAGAACGGGTCGTCAATTGCAAGTGTCCTTTTCCTCCTTCTCCCCCCCTTCCCCATTCCGTAATCTCTGTCCTGCGCAAGAAAACTTGTGATCCTAGTTGATCGTCTCATTTCTAGCACGGCGCCATCCGTACGACGCTCTCTGGGCCTGCTGACTATGTCAACGATGACGAGTCAGGCTTCCAGCGCATCGAGGCCCGCGAGATAGACACGATCGGTACGCGCATCCACCGCTATTCTCACCGCTATCCGGCTCACCCGATCCCCGCGCGCAGGTACCGACGGCATCATCAAGAAGATCCGCGAGACCGTGGGCGACATGCCCGTCTACCTCTCCATCGATGTTAGTCCCCATTCTTTTCCTTCTGTTCACTCGCTCACTCCACCCGCGCACAACCTAGATTGATTCGATCGACCCCGCGTTTGCCCCGGCGACCGGCACCCCCGAGACCGGGGGCTGGTCTACGCGCGAGCTGCGCACGATCCTCCGTGGCCTCGATGGCCTCCACATCGTCTCGGCTGACATTGTTGAGGTCGCGCCCGCGTACGACACCAACGCCGAGCTCACGACCATGGCCGCCGCGGACGTAAGTCTCTCGCCTCGTCTTCATCTGCCTTACTGACGCCGTGTCGTGTGCAGGTGTTGTTCGAAGTCCTTAGTGTCATGGCGAAGACTCCCTTAGGTAAGATTGCGGCGTAGGCTCGTCGATAGATCCAGAACAGAATTACGGCAGTGCACGTGTGTCAGGACGGGCAAGTCTGCGGCGTGGCTCGCGCCTTGCATCCGCTGTTGTCGTTGTACGAGAGAACGTAGTCCGGTTACGACATCGCTCCGAAGTAATGAACGAATAAAGTTACGCCCTCATCCTCTTTTCTCTCAAAGCGTGGCAGCCTCTCAGCCTCGCGGCACCGCGTGCCCCTTAGAAATTCATTATTAGTGAGAAACGCCAAGTCTTGTATGATAGCCCGGTCCTAGGCGTTGTTGCCGTGCACCGCGCCGTGGATAAGGGGAGAGCTCCACTGTCCGTCATGGCCCCCACGCCGACCGTTCGGTCCGGAAAAAGCGCCGCGCCGCGCATGTTTGCGTCAAGGGGTGGCGTCGCTCGCACTGCGTTCCCACGGACAGCTTTCCTACTAGACTGCCTAATCCGTGCACGCACCTTCGCCTGATTACGCGATGCGGGAGTAGAGCGCCGCGCCGACGTGTCCACACTCGCCGCACCGCGAACGCCTCAGGGCCCTCTTGCGCTGGAAGTGCGTGGGCGCCGGGCCCTCGTTTTGCTCCGCGCAAGTCGTGCGCGGCCGGGGGCCGCCATGTGTCCCCCGCGCGCGATGTCCCATGTGAAACAACTCTGTTCGGGGAGGCCTCGAGGCAGTCTCTGCGGAGTCAGGGCGACAGCGGTCGAAGACGGGGCGGGCGGTCGGACGGACGGACACCTGAAGCGGTGAGTGCAGATCGCTCGACACGTTTCTTCTCTCCTTTCTCACTCAACCCTCGGGTATGTGGAGCCCCGGGTTTCCCGGTCGTTGTCGCTCTGCCGGTGGGCTCTAGACAGTACGCACGTTTGACACGCGTGGCTTGCGGATATACGAGTATACATTGTTGGTGATTGCGCTGATTTCGCTTAGATCAAGACCGCGGGAGGCTAGTGCGAATGGAGAAGGTGCCGACTTTCGCCCCTCTGAATTGCGTTATACCCGAACAACTCCTGACATCGTCCTTCGACCATATCGTCCCAATCAACACTGAAGCAACGATGTCCGTGGCATATTGTGGGTATCATTACGGCAACGCGAGCCCTTCGCCGCACGCCCTCCGCTCATGTGCAGTGGCGGCAGCCGCTATCGTCATCGCGGGCCCACGGCGGACGAAGTCGCAGCCCCTAGAACACAAACTACGATCGCCACTCCGGTGATGTTCCGTAAGTCCGAGTTCGTCGGAAGCCACACTGCTGATAGGGCTCGCGTACAGTTCGGTCCCCGCCCCGTTCTCCCGAGCCCATCCTCGCATGTCTCTGGTATTGCGGCGAACAGGGTGTGTGCTGCCGGCATCGGTCGCTCTATTTGACGGGCCCTGTCGAGACACCAGCTCGGCGCGCATACATTGTGCTCGCACTTGGCTCTCTGGCGCAACCAGCGACACGCCGCCGCCTCAGCTGACGGGGGGCGTGGTGTGGCCCCGCTCGTCTGGACTCCGCGTTTCGGGCTCGGCCATTCGCACCACCGTGCCCCCGTGGGCGGTGGACGACGCCTCTCGTCGTGCCGGGCTCGATGATGTCGTAATTGACGATCATCAGGGTCGAAATTCGAGGTGCTCAGCGCCGGTGCCCGACCCCGCGACAGTGCACCCGCGTGCGTTCGGCCGCCTCGGCGTCCGGGATGAGGGTCTTACGATCGTCTCGCCCGCTCTCACCGATCGCAGCGCGAGCATGGAGCTATTGATTCGACCGACCCTCCGGCGCGGCCTCGACGACAATGTTGGGGTCAGACTCAAGCGGCGCTTCGCGAACACCCGGCTCGTCGGTATAGGGGGTGGTGGTAAGCTCTCTCATCTCAACTATCTGGGTTGTTACGCCCAACCGACCCCCGTAACAGGGAACGAAGATACCCCCGGCCGCGCCCGGCCCCTTGGTGTGGCGAGATGAAGAGCATGCGGTCACCATGAGCCTCTCGTGGTGCGCGTCGTGGCAACTTGCTCAGTCAACTAGGCCGCGCTTGCACCACCACATTCCCGCCCCTGCGCCGTGAATACAGATATCTTCACTCGCCCCGGAATGTGAGTCTTCGTCCGTGTAATGCAACTCCTTCAAGCTCCCGAATGCTGATTTTGACGCACAAGGCACAGAACGACCCCGTTACGGGGTTCGCTCTCCAAGTGAGCAACTTCAAGAAGTACGTCTCTACTTGGAGCATGTCGTTCACGCGACGCTGGTTCTCTGGAATGGCGTGCGCAAGAAGGAAGCGTTGCACACGTGCACCGTGGGTTCGCCGCTGCGCGAGGTCGCCTCGTGCGCCAGCTGCCGTCACTCTTTCGAGGGCGAGGCAAGCGACAGGTACCGGCCGGCGTACGCATTACCCGTGGGCGAACAGGAGTGTGTGCAGAGCATGTTGCGCGTCACGTTATACGTTATCCGCTTTCATGGATCCTAGAGGGTTTTTAGGGAAGTACTACGACTCTGTAGCTATGATGTCCCTGCCGATGAATGGTAGTTGATAATTCTTTCACCGGAATTTCAAGTACTAATTTATTGACGGGGGACGGGAAGCGGAAGGTGAGTAGGAGAGATTCAAACTACCGCGGGGTCGAACGTAGTACCAGTGTGCTGAGATGCGAAGTCCTCACATGCTGAAGTTGGCATACGAGAGTGCCTCGTTTCCATGCTTTTTGACGCGCACGATGTGGTTGCACGCCTTCACGCAACCAGTCAGAGCCGAAACAAGATCACTGGATATTCTGTCAACAGGGTCGTCCACTTCCATTCCATGCAAAGGCTTGGCTTCTGCCCACCGCTCGCATGCAAAACAGCAGCGGGAGTCAAGGCGGCTGACATCGCCGGACTGGCATGGTCACTTTCGGTGCGCGGTTCTAAATGCAATTTGATCGAAGATGCTGATGAATATAAAGCCTTTCATCCACATGCATTAAGAATTTTACTGCTCAAGTGAGGCAGACAATGCTATTTCAAATGGAAGGAGTAGATTGCAAGATTTCATAGAACGACGTAGGGTACCAAGGACGGCCACATATTTGCCTTGACTGGCAATCTTGGAGATGCAGAAGTTTAGCCCCCATCGCCGACCAGCCACACGTGCTCGCGAGTTACGATGGATGGCCGTTGACTTCAACGGATTATTGGCCGTATACACACGAACGACGGATCAAAAACCCGCTGACGTACGAGAACTTCATAGCGGTTGCGAGGCTTAGCATGCCCAAATTACCTAAGCGGCCGCGCAGTTGGTAGATGCGGGAGGCAGCCAGGTGCAGCTTGGGCGCAGAATGAAAGGGAGGGTCGACGTTGCCAGAGCGTGGCAGTGGCAGTAACTGGGTGGTGGTGGTATAGGCGACCGATGGTGGGAGGGCGGCTGGGTGCGGCCGTTGACGGCGTCACTGCCTCACACGTGATCAGAAGCAGAGTCGCGATGGCGGGTGCACGGCGAAATCCGTCCAGCTCTCTTTCCATGACCTTACCCCCTTCCTCGTTCTGATAGTCCATGCCCCTCCACTGCGGTTCTTCTGGGTGCTATCCCGCGAAAAGGCGCAAGTTTCTTCCTCGCCAGTCTCCCCCGATCACCGCCGCACCCACAGACACCAATGGAGGGGTCTCCATCGTTGCTGGAGACACAGTATGCTCCCCCCTTTGTCTCCACCGCGCAGCTCTGACACCCTCTACTTCAGTCATCCACCTCTACTGTAACCGGCACTACTGCTCTTGCTTCTGGCCGTGACGCCAGCGACACGACAACAGATCCAACGACCGATTCTAGCTCAACAGGGCAAGTCGGCCCCACAACGGGCACCACCGAGAGTACCACAACCTCGTAAGTAGTATGCACTATCTTTCAGCTTTTTCCCGCCTCAACCCTGTCTACATTCGCGTAGAACCATTTCAAGCACTGACACTACCAATCCAACATCACCACCTGTCGACACCTCCACCTCCACCACCACCACCTCCGATCTGCTTACCACGGACACAACGTCAACAACAACACCTATAACGACTCCCGACACTACGTCGACAACCCGAACTTCAACATCTCCCGCGACGACATCGAGTTCTACGTCCGCCACTCCATCTCCGTTGACATCCCTTCCAACTTCAACCAATTCTTCCACCGATTCGTCGACTTCGCTTGTCGGAGCAGCTACTCAGGCGTCAATCAAACTTACCTCTACCTCTTCCGCCCAAACCACTATCACAACCTCCATCGCCACGGTCATCAATGGCACATCCACCACGGTATGTACTCCTGTGCTACTTTTGTCTTGTGGGTGGAGCACAAATGCGCGAGAGTTGCGGATTTGCGGACAGAGCTATCGAACATGTTGGATATATACGGGATCGCGAGGAAGGACCCCTGCTCATCACCCAAAATACGCCCGAAACCCCCTACCCCTCCATCGCTCGTGAATAGAAGTTCTGATACCCTCCTCTCCAGATCACCACCACCATCCCTACCACCCTGTCTAACGACGATAGTCGAGGATCCTCTGCCACCACGCGTGACATCATCGCTGGCACTGTTGGAGGAGTGGCTTTTATTATCCTCCTGGTGGCCCTCTTCGTCTTCTATCGTCGTCATCAGCACAAGAAGTCATCCTTTTTCAAGCGGTTGACTCCCCGGCCCCGTGCGCGCCTGCTGGAGGGCGAAGACGACGATTTGGACATGGAACAACGTTACCGCGACTACCCCGCATCGACCTCCACTCACTCCCGCACCAACACCGTCGGTACGCCCATCCCTGGTCAATCACCCCTCGCGCGTTCCTTCCAAACACCGTCGCCGTCGCTCGGCGGTCCAGCGATGGACCCGCAGCGCGCAGCGACACCTTACCGCGGCGGACTGCCTCCCGGCGTGGTAGCCCCTCACCTGATGGGCAAACGCGCGGAGACGGGCTCGATCTTCCGTGAGGCGGTTTGGCCACCCCCAAGCCAGAGCAGCCTCCTAGTCGACCCTATCACGAGCGCAGCCAGCGCGGTCGACCTTAGCAACATCGTCGACGACGTCATGGGTCGGAGTACCACCAGTCCGCCCCAGGCTGCAACAGCCGCTGCACACGGGCTACCTCCGCCGATGCGCCCACGTGGAGGAAATGGAAGCGTTTCGTCGCTCGTTGGTGCCGATCCGTTTGCGTCAATGTCGTCGCTCGTCACCACTGTGTCCGCGGCGCCTCCGCGGCTGCCCAGCGACGCTTACCATTCACGTGACACGACGGACGCGTCTGCCACGAGCTCGAGCCCGCTGTTGCAGCGGTCTACGCCGGCACCGGTTCTCGACTCTCTTCCCCCACCAAATCCGACGAGGTTTAGCACCGTCCCGGGTAGCCCAATGCCTCCGCCTGGCTTTGGCCCGCTTGTGGTCACCAACGCCGTAGGCCCGATGGAACTGAAAAGCCCTGAAGCAACGTTGTCTCCGGCGAGCCCTTTGGGGTTGTCGATGTTCGCGGCGCAGCAAGCACTTGGCCAGACCTCCCCCACCCTTGGTCCACAGACTGCAACCGCAACCGCGCCGAGCCAACCACGAAATTGGCTGCAGCGTTCGCCGAAGAAGATATCGAGGGATGTCAGGGCGAGTATTGATGAGACTGGAGTGGATGTGACAGAAGTGTCGAGCTCGGGACATTCAATCGGGCAGGCCGTGTGAGTTGCAATCTCCTTGTCTTATCAGCGTACACCCGAGATCCAGCATAGGACCCGAAGACCTCGTGGATAGTTATATGAGGTATTTATCGTTCCCGGGCGGGAAAACGTGCCTGCTCCCCCTTGGACGGATCAAAAGTGAAATACGAGGCTGGATGCTATCCTCCTCCCGCCGGGGACTTGCTACGACCTACTACGACAACGCATACACGCATCAGCATCCCCGTACTGTACAGTACTCCTCCCTCATTTGCATTCCTCACCTTCGCCCTTCTCTGTGTTTCGTACGCGCCGCCGGATCGGCTTTATAGGACTATCCCTGTACGCGGACGCAGGACTGGACAAACTTACCTATCATGTTATAGTACTTCGTCGCTCTTTTCGCGTCGATACAATTATATTAATGCTCCAAGATTTGGACTTATGCATTGCACGGCTTGTCGGTCACGGCATGCTTGTAGCCGTAGTATGGTAGGCTCTCCATCCCAAATGGCGTTCAGCATGCTGGCTGCCCGAAACGGAGGGCGGCATCCTCCGGCCCGACGGGGCTCTACCCCACACTCTCGTTCGAGCGCCTACCGGGCACTACACTCTTCTGTCCACCACCATGATCCGTCCGACACGCGCCCGCGCCCTCCAAATCCTCCGCGTCGTACAGACTCGCAGAGGCATTGCAGGTATACCACCACGACTTCCAGAACTCCCGCATGGCAACCTTCCGGCGTCACAGTCTCCCATTACGTCGAGCCTCGACTTCTTCAACTCAGTGACGCCGGGAGGGAAGCAGATACCTACGTACCGAGTGCTGGACGGCGCAGGCCAGCCAATTGAAGGTGCACAGGTCCCGGAGGTACGTACCAATCAGTCTGCGTGCATATACCGAGTACCCACGAAGAGAACCCTGGCTATATGCGCAGATTGAGGAGGCGCTCGCTCGAAAGATGTTAGTGCTCGGCAGTTGCGTCTGGTGGCGTGCCCGAGCTCACCGCCTTTCTGTTCCGCTCGTCGGGACGCAGATACGAGAACATGGTGCAACTCCCCATCCTTGACGACGTCCTGTACAACCTCCAGCGCCAAGGTCGCATAGTCTTCTACGTGCGTGCTTCTTCGGCATCCGTATTCCACATTCAATGCTTAGCTCGGCCGCTCGCACGCCCCGCAGATGACCGCAGTGAGTGGCTCAAGATAGCCAGTCCCGAGAATTCCGGTCCTAGAACTCACACGCGTTCGTGCTATAGTACGGCGAGGAAGCCGCCATTATTGGCTCGGCGGCGGCGTTCGCACATGACGACGAGTGAGTGCCGCGTCCGTGCCGACTTCTGTCTTGCATGCTCACGTTCTGTCTATATCTCTGTCCCTCTCACGCGGCCTAAATGAAGAGTACTCGGTCAGTCGCTCGTTCCTGACTCGTGCCATTCATTCGCTGACGTCGGTATGCCCACGTGGTTCTACAGCTCAATATCGCGAGTCTGGCGTGCTTCTCTTCCGTGGCTTCGGCCTTGACAACATCATGAACCAATGCTTTGGCACGCACCTAGATTCTTCCGGCAAGGGGAAGCAGATGCCTGTCGTAAGTGACGTTCTCTCGTCTTCCATCTCCGATGGTGGGGAGGCGTTCATAGATGATGAAGGGTTTCGACTCGATCGTGGCGAGCAAGTGCTGACGCCCTTGCATCTTGCCTTTGCAGCACTACGGTTCCAAGGAGCTTCACTATCACACTATTTCGTCGCCCCTCGGAACGCAGATTCCGCAGGCAGCGGGTGTCGGTTACGCGCTCAAGCGTGATCCACAGCGACGAGGCAAGAACTGTGCAGTCGTTTATTTTGGCGAAGGCGCCGCATCGGAAGGCGACTTCCATGCGGGCATGCTACTAGGTCTGTTGATCTCTTGGTCATCACTGACAGACGTAACCTTACGCTTCACCAAACTGTACCCCCACCGTATATTGAAACGGTCAACGCCACGCTGTGCCGCTTCCATAGCATCCACAATCCCGTCCCCGACGGTATTCATTGCACGCAATAACGGCTTCGCGATCTCGACGCCATCGTCGGAGCAGTACTACGGGGACGGTATCGCAGCGCGAGGCCCCGGATACGGGATCCACACCATCCGCGTCGACGGCAACGACGTCCTGGCGGTGTACGCCGCCGTGAAGGAAGCGCGACGCCGGTGCATCGACGAAGGCCGCGCTGTGCTCGTCGAGACGATGACGTACCGGTGCGTCCGTGTCGGGCTCGGCAGGGCGCTCCCGGGACTGACAGACGTTTCGCATACAGAGTGGGGCACCACTCGACGTCGGACGATTCGTTCGCGTACCGCGCGCGGAAGGAGGTCGAGGACAGGAAGCGGCTCGACAACCCTATCGTGCGCTTCCGGCTCTTCCTCGAGGCACGGGGATGGTGGTCGAAGGAGGAGGAGATGGCGCTCGGAAAGCGGCTCAAGACTGAGGTCTTCGCTGCGTACAAGAAGGCGGAGGCGCTCCCGAAGCCCGCGGTGGGAGAAATGTTTACGGAGGTGTATGGGGGTCAGGAGCCGTGGCATCTGGTGAGTGCACAGGTGATGGGTCTAACTGCACACGGCTGATGGGCGATGGCGTGGCGGCAGAAAGAGCAGCGGGAGGAGTTGCAGCGGTTGGTGCACAAGTACGGGCGTACGTGGGAGCCATGGCGGACGCAGCTGAAGAGGCACGAGGGTGAGGGGCGGGAGTGGACAGAGGGCGTGCGGTGAGCGAGAGGATGGTACGGAGCACGCCATGTACGATGAGTAGGAAGACATTAAGGTCAGGGGACGGCGCTCGGCGCCTGGGGCCCGCTGGGGGCGTCGGGGCCGGTGGAGGTCGCATGTATGTGGCGGCGGTCGATTGTTGTATATTGTGTGGCGGGTGCGTCGCCGTGGCGACGCTGGGAGGAGCTGGCGGGTGGAATTCGAAAGGGCGGCGGAAGACGACGGGGGCCGCCTGGGCCGCGGGGGGGCGGGAGAGGCCAGGGACGTGATCGCGGGCCTGGGATGCGGATGGCGCCGGCCTCTTGTGTCGCGCGTAGCGGGCGCTAGACCGACCGCCTCTCTTCCCCCGCCTTCTCCTTCTTCACCAGCAGCCTTGGGCCTCTGGATGTCTGTGCGCTCCCAGACATAGGCATCGGCTTCGCTTGCATCCCAAGCAGGACCAGCAGGACCGCGTCCGCTCCTTTGCCCGCTGCCCCCGGCCGTCGAGCGCGCCATGTTCTCCTTCCTCGCCGCCCTGGTCGGCTCTCTTCTTTTCGCCGCTCTTGCTCCCTCCCTTGCCACAGCAAAGTTCGCCAAAATCTCCTTCTCCACCGTCCAGCAGTGCGGCAACTTCACTGTTTCCTTTGCAGGCGGTCAGTCCCCCGGCGCCCTCCACCTTTCTGTCCTCCCCGTCAACGGCACCCCCGTCTTCATCCCCCTCCCTCCCTCCGCCTGGAATGCCTCTTCCGAGACCGGCGTCGCCATCACCTTCCTCCCTTTCCCCTCCGGCACCCAGTTCGTCGCCTCCCTCGATGACCGGACCAACAAGAGCACCGCCCTCATCTCCGACATCCTCGTCATCAAGCCCTCCGACACCAACGACCAGTCGTGTCTCCCACCCGCCAACTCCTTCACTCCCCGCTACTCGATCGACGGCGGTCTCTCCCAGTGCAAGAACTTCAACGTCTCCTTCGACCCCACCGTCGCCCGCCCGCCCACCGTCCGCGCCTTCGTCCCCCGGGCGGCCTCGCACTTCCTCAACAACACCGCCGTCGACGCCGTCGCGGGCGTGAGCACCTTCGTCGGAAGTATCCATCGGGGGCTCACCGCGATGCTCCTCCTCGAGGACGATGACGGGTACGCGGAGACGGCCTCCCTGGTCCCCGTCACGGGCGATGTGAGCAGCGACGCTTCCTGCATCCCCGATGACTTGCTGTCAAATGTGGCGACGGTTCAGACCGCCACGACGTCCACGCAGAAGGTGACCCCCAAGTACGTGATCCATCACCGTCTCCCGCGCAGATCAGATGCTCATTCCCTGCGCAGGATTGCGGTCATCGTCATCGCGGTCTCATCGGGAGTTGTCGGTCTGCTGGCGTTGCTCATGCTCGGGTGGTTCTGTCGGCGGCGGTCCCAGGCTCGCAGGACCGGCCGGTTTGACAAGCTCGCGGACATCCCTGCCACGCCCGACGTTGAGAAGCGGTCGACGCTCCCCATGCAGTCGGAGCCGGAGATGTCGTTGCGCCCGACGGAACCTTTGTCGCCCCTGGACCCCACCGCGCAGTACGTGCTCGACCCACCGTACATCCGCATGAGCGGCGCGCTCGTCACGCCCACCACGCCCGACCCCCGCGATCCGTTCGGGGAGCAGGCGGCAGGCCCCATTCTCGGCGCGTTCTCGGCGCGCGAGTCGATCCAGACGCAAACCCGGCTGGGCGCGACCGCGATGGGCAACACGGCGTCGGTCGGGTCTGCGCTGACGTTCAACCGGACAAGAAAGAGCACGCCGAACCCGTACGAGAGCACGGCGTACGCCGTCGCCGAACGCGAGTCCGCGTACGACCCGAACACGGAGAAGATCCCGGGAACGTCGCCATATTGGGGCCGCCTCGCACCCACCCCGGACAACTCGCTCTCGTCGGGCTCCGCGCTCCGTCGGGGACAGTCGGTCAAGTCGATCTCCGCCAGCTCGGTATCTACCGTCGAGATCGACCACATCCTCGAGATGGCGACCGTTTATGGCTATGGTGGCGGCGCTGGCGACGAGATCCCTGACCTCCCGCGCCCTCCTGCAATCGCTCCCGCCACCCTCCGCTCGTCCGCGTACATGGCCGGCTACGAGTCCCGGCAGTCGATAGCGGGCTCTGGTCGCTTCTCCCCCGCTGGGTCCGCCTCTGGTTCCGGCACGGCTTCGCATAGTCGGAATGGCAGCAACCAGAGCCAGCTGAGCGCGGGTAGTACACGGCCGCTCAACCTCTCGCAGACGCGCCTACGCGCCTTCCGCGAGCCCCCGCTCGCGACGCTGCCGTCGTCACCACTGCCCAGCCCTGGTGCGCGCCCGAGTTTCGACGCTGGCGCCGTGCCCGCGAGCCGCCAGAGCTTTGGGCTGCCTGCCGGCCCGACGATGCCGCGACGCGCCCTCCGGAGAAGCGGGAACGGCGAGAGCCCGCGTGGCTCGGGTGCGAGCTGGGACGATGGTCTGTCGGGCTTCACAATTCTCAGCCCTCCAGAGCCGCCGACCAGCCAGGGTTGAGGTAGCTGGAGGGTTTTTCCGATTTCTGTGACATACCGTGGGTCCTTCTGGGTGGGTTCGAACACTCGCTCCTTTTGTCCACCCCCGCTCCTCCTCCCCGTTCTTCAAGCTCTGGACCTTGGTCACCCGCCTCGATGCGGCCGTGCACTTGCCATTCCCGTTCAGACTTCCGTGCACGGTCCACACGTCAACGGCCTCCGCCGTTGATCAAATTCCCTCCCAACCCAAGGCGACGTCGCAGCACCTTCTATCCTCCTCCTGCGAAGACCCCCGTCGCCCGGAATTCACGCCGAGGTCGCCGCGTCCCTCCCGGCGAGACCTTTGACCCCAACCACTTGCCCACTTGCCCACCGACATCCCTCCACGTACCTTACCGCCTGCCCGCTGCCGCCGTGCCGCCGATATTCCTTGACCCTTCGCTGTGCATACTTTTCCACTTGCACTTGCAAACACTCGCGTGCCCAGGGCCGCGTTCGCTCTTTGGACGATTGCATCGTCGCTTTTCCCCCTCTTCCCGCCCGGCCCTGCCCCCCTTGACTGCCTCGGGCCAAGTGCCAAGGACTCGCCCGCTGCCCACCCCGTACCCTACTACGTGCCCTTAGATGTAGAGTAGAGAGAGGCAGTATAGCCAGCCGACCCCACTTGGTGCGTCGTCCCTCATCCTCCGGGCGCGGCCCGTTGTTCGTTCGTTCCACTGCCAGACTGCAGGTCTCGTCTCGGTGATCGGTGAATGCGCCCTGCGGCGCGGGTTCGTAACATTTGTATCTCTAGCTGTACGCCTAGCACAAGCACCGTTCTGTAGGACTACGCCCCGCAACGAGCCATACCCTACATAAGTATCGATTATGCTCTCGCTGTCCCCCCTTTGCGCGCGCGTGTCTGAGTCCTGAAGCCTGACGGGTGCGCCGGACAAGTGGCGGAATGAAGGAAGGCGGGCGGGTCGAGCCAAGCGTCCTTTTGAACCCCGGTCAGTCCGGCGTTGCGGGGACGGGCACGGAGATGAACTGTAGAGCCGTGATGACCTGCCGTACGGACCGCGAGATGAGTGGGCAGCTATGAATGCGTATCTTACATACACGCCTGATGGACGGACGAGAAGAAGCGCGCATGCAAAGACGGGAATAGCGGCGTACGTGGTTCGTAGCGCGAGGCGATGCGCGCGGTGACATACAAACATAGACCCATTGAAGGCCGAGAAGGGGAGCGTCGCCGGTCGTCGGCCGTCGGGCTCCTGGAAGCCGAGCATCGATGGGAAAGACTAAAAGTGTGGGGGTGCTTTCGCTCGTCACCGCGGGCAAGTCGAGCGAGGCTCATACGCCCCCCGTCCGACGTTCGAAGGGTGCCGGTGCTTGCCTCGGCCTCGTCCGCCAGCTGGCCACGGCGTTGAAACCGGTTTTCGGGGCCGTCCGTGGACGGCGGATTTGCCGGCAGCGTGGCTGGTGATCTTGACCAGGAGATGCTTCCTCTATAAATGATCGATGAATTCGGGATGCACACTTTGCTGAATCGCGGATCCGCGGCCGAGAGGCCGACGCGCGAACAGGGACGTGATACCACCACAATGCCTCGCCCTCGCAGCTCTTCTGGCTAGGCCGCTGATCCCGTCAGAAGGGAGAGCGTGCGAGTGCCAGCGCGGCGAGTTGCTAGGGACTCGCATTGAGCTCCTCCTCGTCCACCGCAATTGCAGACGCACCGACTGGCTAGCTGCCGCTAGCCGCCAGGGCCCGTCCCCTGTCCCATGCCCGTCCACCACATGCTCACTCCCCCATCTCCATCGCCGCATCACCCACCCCACCCTCGTCCTCTTCCTTGTCCTTGGGGAGCCTCGCCGCCTCCGCCGCGGCCTTCCGCCGGCCGCCGAGCATGAGCGCGACGTAGTCCGCCGCGCCGAGCACATGCCCCTCCGCGCCGTCGCGCTGCCTGTGCGTGCCCGCCTTCGCGCGCAGCTTCGCGCCCGTGTGCGTCTTGCGCTCCCGCGCCGGTGCCGCCGACGCTGCAGCGGGCGCGGGCTTGGGCTTGGGCTTGGAGACGGGCTTGGGGGCCGGCGCGGCGCTGCTCGCGGCTTTCTTCGCGCCCTGCTGCACGGTCAGAAGGGGCGCGGCGCGAGGTGGACGCGGCTCGGACGTACCTGGCGTTTGTGGAACTTTGCGCTGCGGCCCATCGCGCGGACGGGGGAGGTCGAGCAAGGCAGTTGCAACAAGAAGTCGACCGAGCGCAGTTTTCGCCGCGCGCGCTTGGGGCGGGATTATCCGGGCCGTCAGTCCGTCGCGGCTGGTTTGTGTAAATTTGCCGCATCGTCACATTCTCATTCTTGTTTCGTCTTGTGTCGTCGCTCCTTTCATGGCCAGAAGACGGCGGAAGCCTGAAGAACTCGTGATATAGGCCCATGTCTTCCACCATCGCCGCGGGACCAGGGCAAGGCACCGCGCCCTTCCCAAAAGCTAGCAATCCTTTCCAGCACAAGGCCTCGTGATGAGGGTACGCGACAATTAGAAGTCTGCGATCAGCTCGGTATGCCCTGGTGTCTGGTATCAGAGCATCTCGTGGTGGCGTTGTGTAGCAACAGCCGACTTCTCACGCTAATTAAATATTAAAGTGGCCGAGAGGAAGAAGATGACGTCACGCATTCCAGCTCGACGATGATCGGACTCGCGCAGCGTGCGTGAGAGGGGAGTGGTATTCCAGCACTCCATCGCACCGGATACCGTACAACAATAGACGAACGTCACTCAATTTCCAGAACATAACGTCAATGCCGTGTTTCGAGCCTGTTCGATCGTTGCTCTTTCGTAGCAATGTCCTCGGTATGCTCAGTATCGTATTTCTCACCCAAGAGAGCGGCGCCTTCGATGATCCGTACTCCTTCACGGTAGCGTGACCGGGAGACGGCACAAGCTCCGCAGACGAGCATGCCGCGCCTTCGATATCTTGGAAACGGTCCATCGCAAGCCGGTTCCGCATGATCTTGTGGAACATGAACAGCGCGGAGAAGACGATCTTTCCGAGTTTCGTGGCGCGTGAGCACGCTTGTCCAACAGACCGCACGCAGACGGACCACTCACCGCGACGATGTTGACGTAGTACCCGAAGAGGTCCATGAAGATGCCTGTGCCACGTGCACATCGGAAGATTACCGACCAGACCTGCGAGTCTCGACGCGACTCAGAGACTCACCAAAGTCCGGCACTCCCGGCATCGCCGCGCGGAGTTGGGGCAGGAGGAGGATGTTCGTCAGCGGGAGGAAGAGCGCCGACTCGGGGAGCGGCCGCCGCCCGAAGTGCGCGCAGATCGCCACCCAGACCATCGCGGCGGCGAGGAGGTAGTTGGTGAGGAAGAGGGTGACCGCGAAGGTCTTCGCCCCGACGCAGCGCTGCCCGGATGTGGGGACGCGAGTCAGACGTGCGCAACCCGAAAGGGATAAGCAGAAAAAATGCGCACACGGATGGAAAACATGACGTAGAGCGCGCGGTTGGAGCGCGGAGTCCAAGCCGGATGGATGGCCGTGACGGTCAGGTCGTATCCCGAGAGGCCTCCGTACTGGTGGACAAAGTAGATGGGGAGAGCTGTGGCGTTGACGTCTCCTCCGAATACCTCGAGCGTCGTGGACAAGTGGTATTCGTCAAACGGGTACCAGGCAGAGAAAGAGTGTTGCCGTCGGAAAGCAAGTGTTTCCATCGGGGCGATCCACGTGAAGTTGTGAGCGGTCTCAAAGGTCTCTTGTGGGGAAAATCTGAGCGATGTAAGCCAAGCTCCGTAGTGACGTCGTGTACCAGAATGCGTACCCGATGCTGTACGTCCCGGTGGCGTGAACGACAGCGCTATTCGAGGCATCCCATGTGTATGAAAGACTCCTGTCACAACATGTCAAAAACCGACGCCGGCGACGTGAGCACTGGAACATACGAGTCGACCCACAGCGAGAACGAGTTAAGGGTCTGCCCACATCCGACACCCGAAAGCTCCCTTCCTGATGCAGTGTCGTTCCAGTCCGGAGGGAGTCCAGGGGAGGCCTGGTTGCATCCAGTTGGCCACCAGGTGAGAGTGACGGACGCGGAGTCGAGGTCGATGTCCAACGGTACGAATACCAGTCCGATCTGAGGTTGATTGTCGGACGAGTGAATGGAGAGAAACCCAAGTACTACTTACTCCTGGGGCACCTTCTTCCGCAGAAAGAAGCTGTAAGCCGTCCATGACCGGAATGGTTCGGCCAAAGGCGAGACCGACGTCCGAGACGAGCATCGTGGCGCTCACTACCCCAAGGAACAGCGTCGCGAGCGTCCCGCTGAAGAGGCGTGGGTGGGCACGCCACGCTTTGCTCAGCTTGACTCGGGCTCCGTTGCAAATGCGCTTGCCGAGCATGAAAAGGGCTTCAAGGGGGCTTGGTCGCAGCGCGCGTAAGCATACAGAGTGGACGAGGGGACGAAGGACGTACAGCAACTTATATCTTTTCGGCCACCACGTTGACGTGTCATCGCGCCCATGTTGACTGGCATTGCCTCGTCTTGTGACCCGAGGAACGCTGAAGAGCGGCTGCGGTGTGGAACGACTGCGGGGCGCCATGGAACGACTTGATAGAGATGCCTCATGCCTCTGGCAGCAGGGGATGAGCCTTCCCAGTGCGGAGGCAACTTAGGGTTCTAGAGAACGTGGAGCGGTGGTGAGCTTTACGGCTGAGGTTGATGGGTTTGTCTGAGTGGACTGGGTCACTGGGATGCAGGGCGAAGGCAGATATCAGTGGCTTCTAGGATCTAGCATCCAATCGAGGGCGAGTGAGTACAAAAGACATCAGCACTCTAAGTACGAGGGACAAGACTACTCGGGAGATTCAAGCTTAGCTTCATCAGCCCGCATAGCCCGCGCAGCACGCATCCACCATGGAGCTCCCTTCTCTGTCAACCGCGCCTGTCGAGTAGTCTGCCAGTCTGGCCTGCCTCCGTCGTTCCAGTGCGTGGAGAACATGCACAGCTCCGTGGTGTTGATATCTGCCAGTATGTAGCACCAGCGGATTTAGGAATAGTCTCCTCAACGGAAAATCTGGGATCGAGGGGACGGTAACGGTCACCGCGTGGTATCCGTACAGACTAGAACCTAGTTGCGTGCGAGTTCGGCGGGAACGGCAGGTACATATGTTGTCGTTCAAACGTCTAAGAAGCTTTAAGGTGTCAGCAACGGGGCTAATGACTTGTGGATTCATCGAGTATGTACTTATGCGCACTCACTCCTGATGGCCTTTCGCCGCCGCCGCCGCTTGTCCGCCGAAGTAGTGGGTTGTCGACAAAGGGATTGGAAACACGCGAGATTGGAAGAACAAGACATGAGATACTTTAGAGACCAGCCTCAGATGGATGCCGCCTGCCCATTCGCGGAGGGTACGAGTGTTGCGCACCGAAGTTTCCACCAAGTGCACCGTCCGCCAGAAGCGCCCCGGCAGACTAGCTCTCCTCCTAGCCACCACCATGACCTCCGACCGCGCCTCCCCCACGCCCTCCGACGACTCCTCCGACACCCCCGTCGAGCTCGAGGCCGGCGAGCTCGACGAGTTCCCGCGTCCTGGCGGCTCCGCCCACAACGCCCCACCCGACTACCCTCAGGGCACGTCGTCCTCCCAGCACAGCGGCTTCTTCTCCTCCCTCTCCGCGGGCCCGAAGCGCCGCCTCGGGGGCAACACGTCCTTCATGGGCCTGGGTGGGACGCGCGACACGAAGAGCAGGCGGAAGGACGGAGCTCGCGCGGGCGGGCCTGGGAGCCACCACGGCCCGTCTGGGGTTGGGTGGGAGGCGGGCACGATGGGGAGGGGGCGGGTAGACGATCTGGTCGATGTGGGGCTAATGGAGCAGCTGAAGAAACGTGAGTGGTCTTTGGTTTATGCGATCTGGATGGGGGAGGGGGAGGGTTAGATGGAGTGATGGAAGACTGATCTGCGAGGTGTTGCAGAGTTTGGAGATCCGTTCGACGACACGTTGCTCACGAAGGCGAACAAGACGCAGTGATTGAGGGGAGGTACGTGTTGGGTGGACTGCTCTGTTGGTGAAATACGCTCATGTCGTTCACATTCAGTTGTGCCTCTTTGTCGTCTGCTGTTGACAACTTGTAAACCCACTGTATCGATATGGCTCTGCGAATGAAGTGTACGTCCCCCAGATCCTGCCGATGACGAGATGTGTGGCATCAGCGCGGAGCGTCGTTCAACACGTGGAGCAGCGCACATATTCGCTATTCCGGGCACACGACTGCACACAGTGTTCGCCCGAGAAGCGGTGCTAAGCCAGGAAACGACTCAGAAGCCGCGACTTTGATTTTGTCGCCAACCCATTAATACAGGCAGACCGCTCGCACTAAGTATGCCCCATCTCCTTTGTTCGACGGGATCCCTCTTGTAACGTCTACACCAAGCCGAACAGAGTGACTTGCGGGGTGAGGGGGGAGTCCGCAGGAATGCTGTTGTTCGCGATGATGAAACGGGTGTTCAGGAAGCCGTACGTCTGCGACTCCGTCTCGATATGCCTACGTTTATTGATCAGCTCGTCGTCAGGCGGTCGGACATCGGGATCGACTCGGACTTACGCGTAGAGGTACTCCCCCGAGCCAAATACGCTATGATTCTCGTCAAGCCTCGTCCACCGCGTAGAAGGAATGTGGACGGGACTCACCCGACACCCCTCAGGCGGACGTATGCGAGTTTGTTCTCCGCCACGAAGTTCAGGATGAAGGTGGTCTCAGGGTAGAAGGTGCCGTCCGCCAGCATCCTGCCGTTCTCCGACGTCGGGAACAATGTGGCAACCAGTTTCCCAGACAGGTCTGTGAAGTTGCCCCTGTGTTACATCCATTGTTAGTGAACGTTCGACATCCGACCAACCAGGAGTCTGCATACCCCAGGATTTGCGAGTGGATACGTGTGCCTTGCGGAGTGGTGTACGGGTTCGTCGCTTTCGGGTCGAGAACGAAGGACCCGACCATCAGCGGCTCGAAGTGGGGAGTCGGAGCAACGTGCACGGTGGCTGATACTCCGCCGTGGTTGCGGCGAGCGCGACGAGGAAGAGAAGACGACGGAGAAACGCATGGTGGTCGATGACGCGTCGAGGTTGATAATTTCAAAGGAAGAGACGAGCTGTCGGCAGGCAGGTGTGCTAAGAGGATGCTGGTGAGTCGAAATAAGGCTCTCTCGAGTTTATATACTGTTGATTTTCGGACATTCTGTGCCAGTCTATCACCTTGATGTCCGATGGGCATGACGAGACGTCTGACCAACTCCGGAAAGTTGCTGCGACATTACGCACGTCTTTTGGACGTGTTGTGATGCGAACGCCGCCGCCAACTCGTTGGAGACGTCGGGACGGTAGATTATGTGGCCATCAGGGACGACGCGGAGAGGCAACTCCGAGGTCGGGAACTATTGGCAAGCGTATGTACACAGCCTCTGTCACCGAATGAGCTGGCGTCTCTCGTTTCAGAGTCTGCGAGTTCCTGAGTATACAAACACGCTTGTTAACGCCCTTCCGATCCGCAAATCGAGTCTTGCGTGCGGCTTGAAATTTTGTCGGTCTGTGCACTGCGGACGTCGATGACTGAAGGATGGTGATAAATACAGCAAACCGCAGCGGCGAATTTAGAGGACCGGGCCGGGCCGGGGGGCGGGCCCGCGCGACGCCGAGGCCGGGGGAGCCCATGTTCGAATCCAGCTTGGGTTGACCGGTAGCCTATGAGTTCGACCCCAAACCACGCCATAGGACTCGGTATTCTCGCTGACCGCAGACTGGAAGGGTTAGGAGACCGTTCTGTGCGTGTGCGGCGCTATGCTAACAATGCAGGATACGTGACCACGGTCCTGACTCCTCATAGGCATAGGCCTCATCTTCGACTGCACGCCGCACTTCTCGCACACGTCCAACGTGCGCTGTACTACCCCCGGTCCCCGATATCTCCGGAGAGCGCGCTGACAACGGTGTGGACGCGGGCGCGTGTGCACCTGCTATACTGCGACGTTGATGAACGGCTCGATCGCGTGCGCGTCCGCGGTGACGGTGCGGTGCGAACGCGCGGAGTCGGACGCGGAGGAAAGCATGCTGAGTGCAACCATTTTGTAAGTGACTCGCACGAGTGCGTTCGGTGGTCTCAGGCTGACCGTGTTGGTGCTTTGCTTTTATCATCTGCACTCAGCACTGGGAGAAGCCGGAAAGGTTCGCGGAGATTTTGGCGGAGATGGCATGGTCCCGCGGATGTATAGATCGTGGCTTGAGCTTGAAAGCTTGTGGAAAGGTCCGACTTCTGGATCCGGGTCGCGGGAAGCCGGTCGGCGTGGTTTCCACGTGGCGGCTGCATTGTCGCTGGCGTCCGGGACGCGCGCGACGGCCTCGTTGCATTTACCACCACTCTCTTTGTTCTTCAGACTCTGTATGGATAATATTCTTCGACTAGCAACATGATGTGCTCTCTCGAGTAAGTGCACTTTCTCGTAGAGGAACGTCGAGGGTTGTGCACCCCCGTTGTGGTGCCAGTCGCAGGTATGTTCTCTTGGCTCTTCAGTTTCCTTCGCGATACTGTGTCCAGATATGTTTCAGAGTGTCACACGTTGTGGCCAAGATCCCTCTGCGGATGGCAAGATGTGCATTCGAGTGCTCCTGGTTTCAGAGCTTACTATATGCGCTTGCTCTGCAGGTAACAAACCTTGATAGGACGTCATAAGTTAGAAGAGCCCGGCCCATCTAGACCGTTGCCGTACAACAAGATCTGCTGACCACCGAAGCGTTGTTCCCCACTTCTATGAAGGTACGTGTTTTCTCATCCTCGTTAATCTACCAATCTCCTGGCGTCCCGCCGGCAGCGAAGTACCGCGGCGCAGCGCGTTCTAAAGCTCGCGATGACGCCGCGCCCAGTTCTCCGTCATCCATCCACCGCCGAACGGAACCCACATTGGTCCCGGTACGCCCAACGTTCCAGGGCAAGACTTGGTGCCCCGCAAGGCTCGGACCGAACTTGACGACGAAGGCCGCACGCTTTATCCTCAGGAAAGCCTGCTACGTCCGGGTCGCCCCACTCGGTTTCCAGGGTCCTAAGTCGCACTTTTCTGGCAATCCCAAAGATGAAGCCGCGAATTTGGTGGATCATATGGTGTTTCTGTATGAACTGTGAGCCAGCTGAGTGCAAGGACATGGGCGCTTGTTGATGACGTACCGAATCGCGCCGCATCTTATCTTATCTCCTGCGACGCTCGCCGTGCCCCCATGATGGAACTTTTCGGGTTGTCCCAGCGCTGTAGTGCGTGAATGGTTACGTCCTTCTTATCATACCTTTAGCGTCCTCCCGACAACTGTGAAGGAATGGCGCTCATTATCTACGCAGACACGCCCCGTGGCTGTGGTACGCGCGCAGTGGTAGCGTCATAGCATTCCGGTGCTCTCCCGCCAGTATTCGCAACACCAGCACCACAGGTGGAACCGCGGCTCCGAATTCCTATGCTGGACCGGATATGAAGTGCCCTAGAAACTGTTGTGCGTGTTCTGCAGGAATGAATGCTTTCTTCCCTTCATAGAATTCGACACCCTCCATCCAGCCATACGCTCCCTTGGCTCTTGGTCAACAATCGAAGAACATCGATTTCAGATACCACCCTCGGAACCCCGCTTAGGAACCGCCCATAGCTCTAATGGTTGGCTGGACCGCGATGGCCGCTGAGGTCCTCACCAGGCCTCAGCGAGCCAAACATGGCGAGAACGGTCCCTCGATCGGCGATCTCGGCGCGGAACACGGTCCAGGACCAGCTTATGCATTCAAGTCGTATGGTGCGGCACGGAGGCTTCAACCACTCCGTCTGGGCACCACCACTCGGGAGCTGCCAACGAGGCAGTGCAGGTCCGGGGGAGAGGCAGCCGGGTCCTCAAGCTTACACCGCAAACATTCTGAAGCGAGTCAACTTATAAGCACGGCGGTGATGTTCATCTTCCGACGTTCTGTCACTGAATATCTGTTTATGCCGCTACAGGTGCTCTGGGCGAAGAATGGACACTAGCCGAACCTGTTATCATGTGGAAGCCGGGTGCAGACTCGGGTCATGACCGGATGACCCACCCTCGTTTCCCGAAGCCGCGGATAATGAAATGTCTTGTCCTCGGTTGTGCGCAATGGAAGACCGGCGGTGAGTCTTGTCTGACTGCTGCATCTTGTGGCTGCCTTATCGCCATCGGAGCCTTGGTGCTGCACCCACGGAGGACGGCGCCGACTGGGGGCGGGCCGCACATCCCGATTCGAGTTTAGCATCTTGAAACCGACGGACAGTCGAAAGGACGAGGACGCGACACGTACGAGGACAAGACTGCCCACAGGACCCGCCGGAGACCGACGCCCGCCGCGCGCGCGCGCCTCCGTCCCGTGCAGCGGAGCCTCGGGCAGGCACTCGAGCCCAGGACGACCTTTCCGGCGTTCTTCGCGGCATTTCTCCCTTCTCACTCGCGCGGTTCTCAATTCTGCGGTTCATCTGCCGGAGGACGCGCTCCCGCCCGCGCCGTCGTGCTTTGTCTTCGGCGGGAACTGCCCTACAATAGGCCCCCTCCTTTCTCTCCGCGCGCGCGCTCCCCCGGCCCCGGGCCTTCCCAGCCACTACGTCTCCCCACACTGCCTCCCTCCTTCGTCTCCCTCCCTCCGTCCTCCGCCCCGGCCCTGCGCGCCCACATATATACATAATGCGCGTTCCCGCACCCGTGCGGCCGTTCTCTTCCTCCTGATCACCGACCTCCCGCCCCGCGGGACATGCCTTTTCCCTTCAAGCGTGCCCGCGTGCAACAGGAGCCCTCCGCGTTCTCGCGCTCCATCCTCGACGCGGTCAAAGCGTTCTACGCGGTAGAGTGAGTGCGCGCGTCTCGCCCTAGAAGCCTCGCCGTGCGACTGACGGATTCTCATTCCACGCAGGAGAAGAGAACCTCAATTCAGTCAGTCGTCCCTCCGCAACACCGCGCGTGCTGCTTCGTGTTCTGCAACGGAGACTAACGCTGCTCTTCACGCACCCACAGAGCCCCCCAAACATGACCGTCGACAGCGCGCGTCTCAACAGGCAGTTGCAGCAGCCGCCGCTGCAACCGCTAACGCCGCGTACGTCCCGGTCCGTCATCCCCACCGTATCACCCTCCTGCCCCCCGAGGTGCTCGCCCATGTCTTCGTGCTCGGTGCGGAGGAGGACGCCATGTTTCCCGTGACGGTCTCGCACGTCTGCCGCGCCTGGCGCTATGTCGCGCTACACACCCCGCGGCTCTGGCGGCGGATTACGCTCGACTCTGGCAGTCTCGCGATGTGGGCGCAGCGCATCCACCGCGCCAAGGCGTGTACGCTCGATGTGCAACTCGCTCCACAGGTCGCCCTCGCCCCTCTTCCGTACTTCAACCACGTCCAGCTATGCATGCACACTGTCGCGCCGCACGTCCACCGCTGGCGCTCTCTCGAGGTGCGGTTTCGAGGGTACGCTCCTTTCCTGTGGAACGCCGCCCTCTCCGCTGCTGTGGCACTCCCCCGCGATGGAAGCCCCGCTCCTCCGTGAGCTCACTCTCATGTACCCGGACAACGACGACACCAAGGAGTTCGCACTCTTCAACGGGTTTGCCCCTCGCCTGCGTCGAGCGACCATCCACGGTATCCGGCTCGTGTGGACGCCCTCCCTGTTCCAGAACCTGACCTTCCTCGACTACACGCACCACGGCTTCACGCGCGGGCCCCACGCGTCCGCCGAAGTGCTCTACATGCTCCAAGTCTCCAGCAACCTCGAAGACCTCCGGCTCGCGTTCCCCTGGAAGGGCGACGCGCCCTCGCGCTACGCTCTCTCCGCCTCCTTCTCGCGCGCGGTGCACCTCCCCCGGCTCCGCAAGCTCGCGCTCTACGTCGAGGGCCCCGACGTGCCCCCCGCGCTCACCTACGCCCTCCCGCACCTCTCGCTCCCCGCCCTGCGCGCGCTCTTCCTCGTCTCCCCGCCCGCGCGCCACGCGTTCCCCCACCTCCGCACCGTCCTCAAGGCCTTCCCGCGCCTCCCGCCCCTGCACCACCTCCACCTCGCGCACGCCTGGCTCGACGACCGCTTCCTCCCCGCCCTCCTCGCCGCCGTCCCGCCCGGCACCCCCGGCGCGCTCACGCTCACGCTCGAGGGCGCCGCGCTCTCGCACGCGCTCCTCGCGGCCGCGCTCCGGCACGTCGCCCCGCGCCGCCTCCGCGCGCTCGCGCTCGTGCGCGCCCCGGCGCAGCTCACCGCGGACGCGCTCGTCGACGTGCTCGGCCGCGTCGCGGGCGCGCCGCTGCAGCTGCAGGCCGCGGGCGCGGGCGCGTTCCGTCTGCCGCCGCCCCCGCTCGCGGCGGTGTACGTGCGCGACTGCGCGGGCGTGGACTGGCGGTCGCTCGCGTGGCTCCAGGCCGCGGGGATCGCGCTCAGGGTGTGGGAGGGCGGGCGGGAGGTGGACCTGCGCTACCCGCGCGCGGTGAAGAAGGCGCGCTTTCGCTGAACGCTCGCTCGCCTGACGCAATGCAAGATCCGCATGCGCTTCGGATGGATGGTTGTTGGTCTGTAGGTACCTGGTCGGGCGGGCGCTGCCGTCTCGTCTGCTTGCTTTCTCCTTGCTATCCGCGTCTCTGGCTGTGATCACGACCTGACACGACACCGGACTTTGCACCTATCTGGTACGATATCCATGCACGCCCTCATTTACGACCCCGTCCGCACCACTGTGACCTTCATTTCCCTACACACGTACCTTACCATTCCACACTGTAGCCCACCGCTCTTGCTCTCGCTGTCCAAGCTCCCCCCACTCCGCACCTCGGACCGGGACCGTCTTCGTCTACGTACATGTACACGTACATTCGTCCCCGCCGCGCCGGGGGCTCTTCGCACCTATGGCAATCCTACAGCGCGCGTAATTTATACTCCTACTGTAACTTCCGTAAATAGTGCTCTCTGCCCACACATGTATCGTACATATCCATGTATAGCATTTATGTACGCCCCACGCGCTTGTGCGTCCATGCCACTCTCTGTTGCTTCAGACGGTGGACGGGTTGACGGCGAGGTACCCGCCATCGACGGCGATCTCCTGGCCGTTCGTGTAGCACCCGGCGGGCGACGCCAGGTAGATCACAGTCCCCGCCATCTCGCCTGGCCTGTGCGCAGATCCAACGGCGTCAGCAAGCACGAAACTCTGGAGGCGCCGGGAAGAGTGCCACCCACCTCCCCGCGCGTTTCGTGGGGACAGGCACGAGCCCCTTGCCGATGCGGTCGACGAGCTCGGGCGTGACCTCGTCGTAGGTCATCTCCGACTCCCACACGCCGGGCGCGATCGCGTTCACGCGGACGGGGATGCCCTTGACCGCCCACTCCGTCGCCATCATCTTGCTCAGGTGGGACGCGGCGCCTTCGCGCTGTTGTACGCGAACTGCCACAGGCGGATCAGGTGCGCCTTCAGGAGAGAGGGTACAAATTGGGCTTGCGTGGTTCTGCGAAAGCTTGACGTGTCCGCTCACGCTCGTGATGTTCACGACGGAGGAAGTGTACCCAGAGACGTCGTCGCTGCCTTTGGTGAGGAGACCGAGGAAGGCGGTGGTCACGAACCATATCGAGAACGTGTTGACGCTGTAGATCTGCGCCCAGTCGTCAAAGGACGCGTCCGCGAAGAGTGCGCGGCCCGTCGCGTCCGCGCTCGCTCGCTGGGGCGCGTTCGGGTCCTCGAACCAAGGGCTGACGGGGCCGACCTGGCCGGCGCTGCGGGGCGTGTCAGAGTGTGTCTGAGTCTGAGGACGGATCGGAGGCGGGACGCGTGCTGACTTGTTCACCAGGAGGTGCAGCTTGCCGTCTGCGGCCTCGATCTGGTCGCGCGCCGCAGCGATGCTTTCGCGAGACGTCACATCCATCGTGAGCCTGCACGAGACGCGATATCAGGAACAGTCTAAGGCGGCTCAGATCGTACTTGAGGATAAAGAACTCACGGAATCATGGATCCGTTACCCTTGTGCTCCGCGGCGAATGCACTCGCCGCCTTGTCCAGCACCTCTTTCCGCCTCCCGGTGATGTATACCTTCGCACCGTTTTCCGCCAGTCCCGTCGCGATGTGCAGGCCGATGCCCGTTCCGCCGCCGGTGACGACGGCAACACGGCCCTTGAGGTCGAAGATCGCGTCGGCGCGTACAGAGGCGTTCATCATCGAGTGGCTTCAGGTCCTGAACGCGACGTGGAGAGAGGTCTGGGGGTCTGGGAGGACTTCCGGAGGACGTGGTCACTATGTACCTGTACCTATCGCTGCGGAGGTCCGGTCCGCAGAACACGGTCAGGCGGTCCACGGGTAAGGTGTACAACGGTGGCAGTTGACGGTGGTAAAACTCCCAGGGTGCCGTGCGCACTGATAGACATCTTCCAGCTTCTGCAAGACCAGCATCGCGGGTTTCTGGGACCGGAGACGATGTTAAGACCAGATGTCGGAGGTGGGTAGACAGGTTAGCATTACTCACATGAAAGTTGGAGACAGAAAGCGCTAATATTCAAGTAGCGCTGAAACTTTCCCAAGCTCCAGCGGGCCTTCTCCTCTGCCTCCTCCCTCATGCATCTCCGTCTACTATGCTGCACTTTTACGCCCTCTATAGTGCGGAATCAACATGTTCATCCGGTGACCTCCTTTCGCGCAGCACGTGAACCCTTTCGGACCAAGACACCGTTCGGCGTTTGGGCCGACCCGACTGGGAGCTAAGTACTGGGCTAGATGTCGACCTCTTCGAACTTCATCTCGCCTTCCTGCACCCATGTCCGCTGAAGACCGCTCAATCGAACTCAACTTCGACGTCATCGTCGTCGGCTCTGGCCACGCTGGCTCTTGCGCCGCCCTTTCCGCCCGCGACGCCGGAGCCGCCCGCGTCCTCGTCGTCGACAAGTGCCCCGAATCCTGGGCCGGCGGCAACGGCTACTTCACTGCCGGCGCGCACCGCACCGTGCACGGCGGGCTCGCCGACCTCCTCCCGCTCGTGCGCAACGCGCCCCCGGACGCGGCGCGCACGGTCGACATGGCGCCCTACTCCGCCGCCGAGTTCGCGGCGGACATCGACCGGCTCGGCGCGGGCCGTGCGGACCCCGCGCTCGTGCGCGCGGTCGTCGACGGCTCGCGCGCCGCGGTGGGCTGGCTCGCGGAGCGTGCGGGGGTCCCGTTCGTGTTCTCGTTCAACCGGCAGGCGTACCTCGTCGACGGCAAGCAGGTGTTCTGGGGCGGGATGGTGCTCGGGGTGGAGGACGGCGGGAAGGGGCTCATCGCGGCGCACCACAAGGCATTGAAGGAGGCCGGGGTGGAGATGTGGTTTGATACGGCGGCGGAGGAGGTCATTCTGGAGGAAGGTGCGGTCGTTGGCCTTGTCGTGTGCAAGGACGGGCAGAGGATGACGCTGAGGGCGCCCGCGGTGGTGCTGGCGTGCGGCGGGTTTGAGTCGAGCAGGGAGCTCCGATCGAAGCATCTCGGTGAGCGGTGGGCGCGCGCGATGGTGAGTATCCGTATCTCCCCATAGGTGCCCATATCTTCACACTCCTCCGCCGCAGGTGCGCGGGACGCCGTACAATACCGGTGACGGTCTCACTCTCGGGCAGCGCGCCGGTGCACGGCTCACCGGCGACTTCGCGAGCTGCCACTCGACCTGCTGGGACGCGAACGCCTCCCCGGACGTCGGGGACCGGCTGCTCAGCAACCAGTTCACCAAGTCCGGGTACCCGCTCGGGCTGATGCTCAACGCGGACGGCGCGCGCTTCGTCGACGAGGGCGCGGACTTCCGCAACTACACCTACGCCGCGTTCGGCCGCGCGATCCTCGCCCAGCCCGGCGGGTTCGCGTTCCAGGTGTGGGACTCCCCCGCGTGCGAGTGGCTCCGCGCGGAGGAGTACGCGGACGGCGTCGTGGAGAAGGTGTGGGCGGAGAGCGTGCCCGCGCTGGCGGAGGCGCTGACGACGCGGGGGCTCGCGGACGCGGGGGCGTTCGTGCGCACGATCGAGGCGTACAATGCCGCGACGCGCGCGTTCGCGGTGGGGAATCCGGACAAGAAGTGGGACCCCGCGGTCAAGGACGGGCTGTCGACGCGGTGTGCGGCGGGCGCGCTCGAGCTGCCGAAATCCAACTGGGCGCGGCCGCTCGCGGAGGGCCCGTTCCTCGCAGTCAAAGTTGGGTGCGGGATCACATTCACCTTTGGGGGTCTCGCGATCGATCCCGACACCGCGGGGGTCGTCAACGACGCTACTGGAGATACGATTCCGGGTCTCTTCTGCACAGGGGAGCTGGTGGGCGGACTGTTCTATAACAACTATCCCGGCGGAAGTGGGTTGACGGCAGGGGCGGTGTTCGGAAGGAAAGCTGGCGGGAGCGCGAGCCGTCGCTCGCGAACTGCCTTGTAGACCGTCTGCTGCCGATCTCTGACTTTGTACTAGAAGTGATGGGCCCGTAACAAGGAACTCTTGATTTGTCCTCCTTGTAAGTACTGAACTTTGTACCCTCAGCACATGCATCAAAGAGGGGTCGCCAGCAGCCACGTATCCGAAGCCGACGGACATGGTCCCTTTACCCCCCGGCTCCCGAGCTCATCACCATGATTGTAGATCACGCTTGGCTCTTTCTTCCCCGACACCCCGGTCGTAGCGTAGGAAGTCAAGAGTCATCGCAAACCTCATAAAGAACATATGTGGCCAGTCGTTTTGCGTCTCTTGCCTGTGTCGAAGGCGAAAAAGCACACGGTGGAAACGTTGCGCCGGCGTGCTGCATCGTCATCGGCGTTGAATCGCGCCCCGGGGATCTGACGCGAGAAACCGACGAGACTACCTCCAAGAACACGTCCGGTTCTTTCCCAGATTTTCGGATCATGGAGTCATCCGTGCAGTTCCAGAGAGAATTTAGTGGAAGGCGGAGTGAAAGATTACGCCTTACAAGTTACAATCGCGTAATACAAAGCTTTTAATCTCCGATTGCTGACACGTGGACTATATTGAGGCTCCGATCACTTCTTCGAAGTTCTTGTCCACCATGCTGCGTGGCTTTTCTGCCCGCTTGACTGCTATGTAGTCTGTCGAAGCCGATCTGCAATCACGCTGTGTACCTCGACGTCCTCACGCACGTCAGAAATGGACCTCGACCCTCCGTGACCTCCGGCGAAGCGGCATTCTGAACGCGCACGGGCCAGATCGGAGAAAGCAGCCTGGGCCCGAAGTAGAGGGCCAATATTTGTGAGCGCTGACAAGAGACAGTCGCTCCGAGGCGGAGAAAAGGAGAATCTGATGGGAGTTCACCAAGCTGAGTCCTCAGGCCTCATTAATCATTTCCGCCTCTTGTGCGCTACGAATGGGCGGCGTATGAGCATGGCCATCGAACTCTTGAGGCATCGTCGTTCAGAAGACGGAGTACTTTCCGACTATGTGTGCAGGTGGACCGTGTGTCGCAGATGCGAATAAAGGTACGTTCTCTCTGGTAGTATTGAGAGTGTTCGAACGCGCTCCCCAAGCGCTACGATGGCGCTCCGCGGGAGAAGATGTCCCCCGCCGCCGGAGTCGTGGGTGCGTGCCTCAGGGTCTTTCCCTCGCGCTTTTTGGAAACTGCCCATCCCTCCCTGTGTCCACACCGATCCATGTCCTGGCGGGCCCCACGATGTCGTCGTGCTGACCCTCGTCCCCGCGACGTCCCTCCTCCCAGCCCGTCAAACCTAGAGCCTATTTGGACGACGAAAGGGGGATAAATAGCCTCAACTTAGACTTGCCCTCCTCCTCAACCACCGCCGGTGCTGACGACGGCCATGCCTTCAGCCCCTGTCGACGCAAAGGGGACCGTTCTCTACTACGAGGACAGCGGCGCTCCTGCCAACAGTGCGGAATACGTAACCGTGGTTCTCATTCACGGAACTTGCTTCCATGGTGGTGAGTCGTGGCTACTTGGCTTAGCTGTCCCGATCCCACAGTTCGCTGAAACCATCCAGCCACTTTCCGCCCACTCTTTCCTCATGCTACTGCGTGCAATCTTCGCCTTGTGTATGTCAACATGCGCGGGTATCCCGGCTCCTCTCCGGTCTCTGAGGCCGACTTCGGGAGCACCAAGGACGAACGAGAGCAAACGCAACGTGATCGCGGCTTCGAACTTGCTGCATTCCTGTGCTGGCTCATTGACACGGAAAAAATCCCACCTATCAACGGAGGCGCTGGCGGCATCTCCCTTCTCTCGTGGTCCGGAGGACACGCGCTCTCGTTCTCCATGTTCGGGAATGCTGGGTTGCTACCCGAGAAAACCAGAGATGTCTTGAACGAGTACTTGCGTAGTTTCATTATGTATGGTAAGCCCCCTGCTTTAGATGCTCACCTAGTTTCTTCCACACTCACCGACGCTCGAACAGAACCCAGCTCAGCCGCGACAGGTACCACACCTCCTCCCTCTTTCTTTGGTGTCGTAGCCGACCGAACGAAGTCGCCGACAGATCAAGCCATCGCCTTCGGGATCGAGGTATCCTCCTACTTTGAACCATGGGACCTCCCCGACACACTCCCGACACTCGCCCCAGATGCTCCCCCGCGCTGCAGGATCCAAGACCTGCCGCGCGCCGGTCCCCTCGAGCGCCGCTTCGAGCCGACGGTGAACAAAATGAGTGCCGAAGAGCTCCGCGACATGACGCACCCCGCGACCTTCGCCGGCACGCTGCACTTCTCGCACTGGTCGCCCTTAATCGCCGCGGTCAACGCCGCACACGTCCACCGCGCGCTGTACGACCCGCGCTTCCCCATCGGTCCGGAGGGCGCGCTGGCGACGGTGTGGGCGCGGGTGCGCGTGCACCTGCTGTATTGCGACATGACGAACGGCTCGATCGCGTGGGCGTGCGCGACGATACGGTGCGGGCACGCGGGGGCAGAGGAGGGTGTGCGGAGGCCGATGGAGGTGCACGTATTCAATGGGTGCAACCATTTCGTGAGTGACTCGCACGAGTGCGTTCGGTGGTCTCAGGCTGACCGCGCTGGTTCTTTCCTTTTATTAGCTGCACTGGGAAGAACCAGAAAGGTTCACGGAGATCCTGGCGAAGATCGCATGAGCCCGTGAATGAGTAGACCTCGGTTCAATTATCATGTTGAATGAAACCTCACTGTCGGAGACCCTCAGCATATTCTATGTTTATCGGGTGCACCAAGTTGCGGAGTGCGCTCCGTATTCGCCATCTGTTGAGCCGGCGTTACATAAGCCATCATAAAGCGCCGACAATAGGCGCCGATGGCAGCGACATTGTAAGCCGCAACGGTGTACACGACCTGCCGGTGCGCGAGACTTAATGATTACTGTTGCGAATGAGTCGAGCAACCGCTCCGTCAGGTGCGAGTCGGAAATTTCCTTATGCTACAAGTGGAAGCCTGTTGATTCCCGGCGGTTGTATAATCCATATCTTTTCATCATAACATCGGCACTCACTTACCACATGCACTCAAGTACTCAGGTACCGACACGGAGGAGGTCGTTTCTGCGACGCAAGCGCATCACGCACAATCGGGAGTACGTTCTAATTTAGCCCTAGATGCATCAAAGTCTCCAGGAGGCGAGTTGCTTGCTGTCTTTGTACAAATACAACGACCTCCTAAATTGGCCAACTTGACTCTGGCTAATCCACGACAGAAATTCCGGTGTGGTGGTGAAGACAATGCGCAGAACATCTGGATGCGGAAAATTTGCATCTCACTCGCATTCGCGACTTCATATGTATAAAAGCCACTGAGCGGCATGATGATCCAGTGCCAAACTCCGCTGGTCCCGACATGCAGCCCCAGCTGCCCAACGAGCTCGTTGACATGATCTTCGACCTCGTCTGGCGCACGTTCATTCCCACCATCTCTTACGACCCATCCCGCTACAGCTCCCCCAAACAGCACGCCCTCGAAGCAAGGCTCCGCTGGTCCTCCTTCGGCCGTCTCTGCCAGGCGTCGCGCCAGTTCAAGGCTATCGTGGAGGACCTCGCACGTCGCACCATCATCATCGAGTACGAGGAAGACTTCACGATGCATCACAAGCTCGCTTCGGCTGCCCTGAATCGGGAAGGTGCTCCTCTGCTCACAGAGCTCTTCATCACCATCCCGTTCCTCCAACAGACAGAGCTACCCCCAGCCGTCCTCCTTCGTGAGCGCATCTTCGACTTCATGGCCACCTGCCGCTCCCTCTCCGTGCTCCTCAACCGCTCGCACGTCTCCAAACCCGGCTTGTGCGAGATCCAGCTGGCGTTCGACTGCCTCTCCCGGGCCCAAGGCGCTTGCCGAGACGTCCACCTCGTTTGGTTGCACCCCCACCGCGCACGGTTCTGGCTCCCGACCACCCTCGTACCCGCGCCCGCCATCCTCTCCCCCGCCGCCTTTCAAGGCGCCGTCACGCCGCAGTACCCCGGGGTCCGCTCCCTGCGCCTGGCGAACTACCCGCGGTGCACGTGCCCGTGCGTCGGCGGGCAGCGCGGTGGGGCCGGCGGCGCCGGGCACGTCCCGCGGTGCCTCTCGCACCTGCTCCCGACGCTCTTCTCCGAGCTCGAGCGCGTCCACTTCGAGACGCCGTGCTCGCTCAAGCACGTCGTCCTCCCCCCGGCGGTCGCGCGCCTCGAGATCGACGCCCCGCCCCAGTGCGGGCGCGCGAGCGGGAGCCTGGTGTTGTGGAGCTTGGCTTCCGCGGTGAACGGGGGGCTAATGCGGATGCAGGTTGAGGAGGAGGATTGGGCGTGGAGGAAGAAGCTTATTGTGGTGAACACGGGCCCGCTCGAGCCCGACGGATGGGCGGTGGCGATGGCGGCGTGCGAGAAGGCGAGAATCGGGTTGGAGCGCCGTGCCGTGTACAAGATAGGATCTGGGACCACGATCGAAGCTGTACAATGAGGCTCGCGCTGGTCGGTTTGCGCAGTGTCATCAGGCCATTGTTCATCCGACGGGAGCACTAACGAACACGAAGAGGATAACTAGATTAATCGAATGTTATGAGTAATAACCTAATCCGACTGCTTCTGCCGGGATGCGCTAACGATACAGTAGGATTGCGTCCGCGTTCGGGCCAGCGAACGCGCCGACTTGCCATAAGGAGCGTGGATGTTGATCGATTCTTCGTGCCCCAACTAGTTCTCCCTTCTGGCTAGCCTAGTAGATTCCCTTTCGTCAGCTCACCATATCGGCTATGTATAGAAAGCTCGAGCATTACACACCCGTTGTTGATGGCGATGATGGAAGCAACCTCGTCGACAGTGTAGTGGGTCGTGGGTCGAAGGAACTCGTTGCGGCTCGCGAGGAAGTTGCTCAAAGAGAACGTGCACAACGCGGGGTACCAGCCCGAGTGTCCCGTCTCCGCGCGGTCCCCGTCAGCATACAGGACGACGGCCGCCTCAGAATCCGGCTCCTCCAGAGTGCGACCCCAGATGCGTCGAGCCCACTTGACCTGCAAGCCCCGGCCGCCTTCTTCTGAAGGGGTGATGCGGAGCCCGATGACGTGCGCCTTGTGGTGGCGTCCGACCAGCTTCGAGTACCGGTTCATCTGCTTAGTCGGGTCCTTCGTGACCTTGTCCTCGACAGAAAGAATGATCTGCAACGGCATCCCGTCGTCGGCTCGAGTAGTGACGAGGAAGTCAGGGATGCCGACACGACGCCGACCGTCCGCCTTGAGGCCCATCCGGAGCCCGTGCTTGTCGTGAGTGTAGCCGAGGGTTGAGCCCATACCACTCTTCGAAAGGTCGACACTGAGAGAGTTCTGCGGCCTGTTGAAGGTGGACTCATCCCGTACGCCACTGGTGTCGCGCGCGGGAGAGAGGCCACCCGACAAGCCCGGTGCTTCCAAATAAACCGCAGTCTGAGGGAACTTAGAGTCGCGATCGAGATGAACATGCTCATTACCATCCCTGAAGGTACTGGCAATGGGAGTGGGTGCTTCATTATGACCTGTTATGACACCTTTGATATACGTCACAGCATTCTCCTCTATCGAGAGGCAACACTCACTGTAGTTTGCTTGGTGGACACGAGGGTGGGTGAGAGGCGTGCTCGAGACGGCATCCAATGCGCCAATTGCGTCTGATCTCGCATGATTGAGGGTCATAAGGTGGGCGTCAACGTGCGTGGAAGATGAGGCATATCGGTGCACATCGTCATTACCCATATAGATGTTGGGAATGGAGTTAAGCGCCTCAGCACGGTTTTTGGCAACGCCTTTGACAGTGACAGTGATTCAGCGAACAAGTACGAATGCAATGTAGTACTCACCATGAGATGCTTCATACGACCGAAGCGGAAAGAGCGGGGTGCTTGATGCAGAGAAGTCCGGAGCCGCGGCAAAGGCTGCTCTCACGGGAGTAGAGTATACCTGGGATTGGGAGGGCGATGTGCGAAAGAAGGACGGCTCACCGCCGTCTGAGGCCAACATTGCTGCTTCCTGCGCTGTGTCTCGCCATCTAGGGACCGCTAGCACCAGGGGTTCTCCCGCGCCATTCACGTCTGTTGATGCGACACGATTGGCTGCCTCGGGAAGTCTGGCCTGGGGAGCTACACCGAAGCAGAGATGGGCTGTATATATGCAGACGAGAAGGCCATTAGCGAGCTCATCCACGTCGCACTCAACTTTGTCATCATCGATCGTGATCTCGGTGCAGCCCCTGACAATCCATACCGGGATAGAAGCAAGAAACTGTTCAACAGTCTGGCCAAGATTTATCACTTAAGAGTCGGATCACGAACCATAAATCAAACACACCTGAGAAAGCAACTTCTGGAGCCCCTTCTCCCGTAAGCTCACAACCGTTTCCTGCAAGTTTCCAGATGACGTAGAAGGAGCACTGTTGTCAGCGGACAAACTAAAAAGCGCCCGAGACGACTCGGAACGTGCATCGGTGGATGAGACCGATATTTCCTTGCCGCAAGAGCATATTCGGGGCAACTGGTTCGCTGTCGCGGATAGAGGGAGACGAGGATCCTCGTCGTTGGCACGAGACGTGCGCTGATCGTCGATCTGATCCTGCGGTCAATGAATTTCACTTCAGATACGCGCATAGAAACCTTTGACTGGTGCAACGCACCAGGATCTTCAATAACTCCTTAGAGTGGATCATCATTGCTTCCACTTGACCCACTGCCGGATGGCGTTTGCTAGATCGCGTGTTGCTACCACCAGATTCGCGAATCAGCAATCATGTGCTCTGTTAGGCTGAACGGCTTACCGTGAGGAACCCTGCATGAAATTTTCTCAGTGTCTTCCGTGAAAAATTAATGGATAGAATGAGAATTTCATCGCACCAGATTGGACCTGCACGTTGTGAGGAAACCGCTCAGGAGCTCGGCTTGCTCACGTATAGCAAGCAATAGCTTCGCACTCTGCTCTTCGGCTCGTGCGGCGGGATCAGTGGTATGGACCTGGGGCTCATCGGCGAGTGGTTGAGCTTCTGTGTCTTCCACAACGGTGCCCGATGTGGATGCATGAGACGACGGTTCCTGAGGGCTGGTGATCGAAACCGGAATTAGCGGAACGGCGGTGCAATGGAGCAGATGATGTGTACGAACGACTGGGAGATGTTCACCGCCCGATTGCGCTTTGAAGAAGTATCGGAATGGTTGTTTGCCTTGCGCTTTCCCATGGCGAGGAATAGAAGGTGGTGAGAGAGGTGCCCGGCGAGAGTGAGGGATCGATCGACAGTATCAAGAGTATGTTGATCGGCGAGAGGCGGATATATGACAGAGTATTATAATTGGCAAAGGATAGCGAGCGGGATTGAAATGAAAGCAAGCACAAACGAGAGGGTGGTCAGCCTGGAAGGGACAGAGTGGTTGGCTGCACGGGAGGAAGGTGGACCGTGGCGGCTGCAGGTAGGAAGCACCTGGAGGCAGAAGTCCACATATTCGTGCATATATGTTGCGACGAGAACAATGAGCCCGGCATTTGGCCTGGAAAAGTTGTTCAGAACAAGAGGGCCACAGCGAGGTCCGCCGTGGTACGAAGAAACGGAGCGCCGTTCGGCGGCCCAGCAACCCCCATGCACGTGCCAGCGCCTACACGTACGATTCGAACATCGGCGTCTGCAGCCGCCTTAATCTTCCTTCTCCACCTACCTTGACGTCTTGCCACTCATCCCCACGTCCTCTCCTCAATCTCACCACGATGGCTACTATGACTGTCACAGGACCTGCGGTCTGCAAGATTCACTTGCGGCCCCCCACACCAGAAGTCGTCTTCTTGGCCGGATACGTCTTCTCCCTCACAGCAATCGCCCACCTCTGCATGAAGGCCTATGGCATCCCGGAGGAGACCATTTACCGGGTAGGACCTCTCCAAGCTGCCAACGAATACCTCAAAAGCTATCTGGATCTCGACAGCCCTCAGTTCATTCCCTTCGACTGCGATCAGTGCCGCAACCAGTGTGACCCCGCGCTGAAGGGGCGCTTTATACTCCCCTGCCACCTTGCGTTTGTTGATCAAGGAATGAAGCGTCCCGACATTCCCCTCGACGCCGACGCGAAGGCTTATCTCGACTATTGGTACCCGCCTTCTCTACGAAGACTCGAGCACTTTTCGGACGTCAATTTCATAGTCACCCGGTATCCTGCACACCACGGACGTGCGTACCGGTCGTGTACTCATCATATCACCTGCGTTCTGATCGCTGATGAACGCCTTCCAGCCAGAAGGATGATCCATGTGAAGGCAGGGGAGTACCAGTTGATGCACTTGTCGGGCCAGTCCGACGAGGTGATCGTGCAAAGCGCCGTTGAACGTTTGAAGGAAGATGAGGATCATGGCTATCCGGCTTCGCTACTCGTGAGTCTCACTTCCGTTTATTGTAATGGCACGCACTGATAGTAGTAGGGCCCGACGCTTCCTGCCAAGTATATCTTCCGCACGTTGACGACCTCCTCTAAAGGACTTCGGTCCCGCAAACGTTCAGTCAGTGCTTCCCTTTACTATGTGCATTTGCTATACTCATAATGGCCACCGTCTGCAGCGCGAACCTTGGTCCCCGTACAAGCGTCCAGAGTCGCGACGACGTTCGTGATTTCATTTCATCAGGGTCCGCATCTCCCTGCCATTTATTGTTATTACATATCTTTATTTGTCTTGAACGCGTTCTTCGATTCGTTTGTATTGCATATTGGCATACCTGCGTTTGCTCATCGATTACCTACCGACCCCGTCCTCTGCCCGGAGCGTTATCCGGCGCCGTGATAGCTGAGTACGTCGCGCTTGTACCCATCGTTTGCACCCCCATGAGCTTAAATTTTGCCTGTGCAGTGGCGTGACCGCGCTCGCTGACGCGACTACGCCTCACGATTTCCCCACACCTTGCCGCCCGCGCGCTGCTCTTGAGATTCACATTCGTACTCCTTGTCAACCTCAGGTGCGCACTGGAGCTGGGGTACGATCAAGGGATCGAGTCCGAGTCGTCGGTACCCCGCACAAACGCAATGTCCTTTAGACGCAAGAGAGCGCGGTGACGGTCTCACTCACACTCGCGCCTGCGCTGGGCCCGGAATAGGGAACGCGCGGGCTCGTCGGCGGTGATTGTGTTACTTACGCTTGTGGTGAATAGGTACGTCCGCAGTTCAAATTAGTTGACGTCCTCCTGTGTCCTGCACTCGGGCGTTCTTACTGTGCTCTGCCCCAATGTTGACGCGATATTATAGTCCTGATTATGCTTGCGTTGACGAAGACGAGCCTGCTCTTGACCGTGCCCCAAGTTGCGCAACGAGGGAAGCATCCCTCGCTCTCCAGCGCGTTGACTCCGGTTGGCGCGGCGTTCTCACGTCTCGTGCTCTCGATGTTCAATATGCTTCAGTCAGGTCCAACGCTTGCTGCTCAATATACCTTACGCAAGTTGACAACATCCTCAAGAGCACTTCGCGCCCGGAGCCCCTTGGTAAGTCTGCATTTCGTCCATATCAAATCCTTCTCACTCGAACTCTCGTCCGCAGTGGTTACCTTGTCAGGTCCCCATATCAGCGCCCACAGCCGTCACGATACTCATGGTTGCAGGTCTTTCTCGTCTCGTCTCTGCACGGGCGGTGGAGGGGTGCGGTACAGAGCTGCTGGAGACGAGACAAGATCTTCCTACCACATATTGTGATTACATTGTTATTTGATTTGGATGGCTCAGACGGTGCACTCCTGTTCACCGTGCTTCCCTTTCGCGAACCTTTGCTGTCTCGTTTACAAACTACTCCGCCCTTTGCACCACAACACAAACAAAAAATCACAACGAGGTATGGTGAATGGCAAATATCTCCGGGAAGTGGGAGGTAAAGGTAAAGGTGGTAAAAGTACGTCACAGATCACGTGTCTAGCCCTCGTTAGGCGAGCGTCGTCTGCAGCGCCGACTCGCACGGCGAGCGGCATTCTTGTCCAACGTCGTGATGCTTCACCATCCTGCTCTCATCCACCACCACCGCTCTCTCGGTATTTCTTGTTCTCTTCTGCACAGACCAGCACACTCAGCACCTGCATCCAACATCGAGCCTGAGGTCTTTCACTCTGAAACATCGTTCGGCGCACTAGGCTTACCGGAATGGCGGGATTTCTCGCGCTTGCCATTATGGCAATCCTGTTGGGAGCGGCGTCGTTTGGAGTGGGGATGCTGCCGCTCGCGTTCGCGTTCTCCAGTGAGTAATCTATCCGGATTGCTGCTCTCTTTTCGCCGACGTCGTGCACAGAATCCTCCCTTGCATCATTAAGCACATATGGATCCGGGCTATTACTCGGCGCCGCACTAGGTGTCGTTATTCCAGAGTACGTCGCGCATATACCCGCCCCTTGCACGCGCGTGGACTCGTTTTTGCCACTCCAGAGGTGCGGCGGCACTCGCCGACGCAACCATGTCTCCGGACTTCCCTACGCACCCCACCGCCCTTGCGCTCCTCCTGGGGTTCACTTTTATGGTCCTCGTGGAGAGCCAAACATCTGGCGCACACGGGCACTCACACGCCCCGCTCCGTCAATCGGACCCTCAAACCGCGACATCCACCGTAGAGTTCGACGTTGAGCTCGGAGAGCTGGAGCGTGAACACGGCATCGACCCGGAGCCGTCGACATCGGTCCTTCGCGCGAGCGCACAGGAGAAAGAAATGCAGGGACGCGCAGTCGCGGCGGTTCCGCTTACGCTCGGGCTCGTTGTGCATGCCCTTGCGGATGGACTCGCGCTGGGCGCGGCCGCGTTCTCGGATGGGGCCCGCGCGCGGTCGTCTGCGACCGTCGTATTTCTTGCGCTCGTCGTGCATAAAGGTGCGTTTATGGTTCGGTTGTATCCTCCCCCGTCGCTATTTCAGCCTCGTTCGCCCTCTATTCATGCTCGGCGCGATGACGCTAACTTCGCATGATAGCCCCGACCGCACTCGCGCTCACGACGAGCCTGCTCTCGACCGCACTTCCAGTCGCCCAGTGCCGCAAGCATCTGGGGCTTTTCAGCGCGTCGACTCCGGTCGGCACAATCCTTGCATACACCGTGCTCTCGTTCTTCGGCACACAGGGCCGCGGGCACTGGCCGGGGCTTGCGCTGCTATTTTCGGTGCGTTCACCATTTCCCTTGCTGCGCTTCTCCGCACTGATACCGCGTCATTCCCTAGGGCGGTTCATTCTTGTATGTTGCGGCGGTCCTTCAGCCCGCGCTAGCAAACGGCCAGGCGGGCGCCGAAGGGCTCGGAGCTCGCAGAAAGTTGGTGTTGACGATCGCGGGGATTTTGACGCCATTCGTTGTGGCATCCCTGGTCGACCACGGCCATGAGCCATGAAACTGCTGCTGCGTATATCCGAGCGGGGAGCATATACATATATGGGAGGGGCTCCGCCACGCATCGCTTTTATGTAACGCCGACGGCCGAGCAACTGCGATCGGGTGGGTATGTGAAAGTGAGAACGCCAGCGATGTATTGTACGTGCGCATACACATGTACTTTGGTCGGCTGAAGGGTAAAGTCCGGAAGATGGAGACTCCTTATAAGTTGACAAGAAACCTTGTTGCGACTCGCCTGCGCTGTGTGCAGTGCATTTGCCACGGACAACGGTGGCATGGACGAGTCTGCGAGCGAAACTGAGGCGCTGTGCACCGATAGAGCGCGCTGCGGTTCATTCTCTCCACCGAGTGGGAATTTTGGAGCCGGCCTGTGCGGCACAGGCGATGACGCCAGCTACCACCCTCTGCTCCTGGACGCTGTCGATTCCGCTTTGCCCGCCGTGTCTTGTAGCATCCTCGAGCCCGCGTTCGCGCATTGTAGTCGGCAGGAGGATCGGCGAGCCCACAGCCTTGTGGATACAGGCCACGCGCAAACGCTCGCAGAGCGCCCGAACGGGGACGAGGCGCCGCGGCGCGTGGTTGAACCTTCGCGTCGCGTGTGCGGCCATAACGAGCTCGCCTGGGAGGGCCGACGGCTTTGCCCTCGTCCCCCCCTCCCACTTCCTCCGGTCGTCCGCAAGTACTCACGCCTCCGCGCCCGAGCTCTCGCCTGCTGCGCCCCCACCGTTGCGTCACATTGTCCATTTCGATTCTCCGGACACTCGCCCGTGTGGCGCCGCCTGCCAAAACACTCCCCACGGCCCTATTCCTCGCGAGCCATGCCTCCTCCTCCGCGCCGTGTCCCTCCTCCCAACCAGATGTATGCCGCCGTCCCCCAGAGCCCTAGTGGCGGGCGAGCCCACCAGCAGCCCATCCACGTCCCCCCCGCGCCCTCCAGCCAGGCCTCGTCCCGCCCTCCGAACATGGCCCCCCGGAACGACACCGCCCACGGAGTTGCGACCGCGCAGATCGGTGGAGGTTATGGCCCGTACTCGGTGCGTCCGACCCTGCACGTCGACTCCCGCCCGCGCTGACCCATCGCAGTATGACCCCCACTTGACGAACGGCAGGCAGATGTACGGCAACTCGCGGTTCAGCAACGCCCCTTCGGAGTCGTCGCTCGGCACGACTAACGAAAAAGTGACCACAGCGAGCGCGGCGCCGCTGGCTGCGACGACTGCGACGGTGCAGCAGTACCCATACATGTGGGACACCCGGGATGCCGACCTCGACGACCCCCTCCACAACCCCGATCCTGTGCGCGACGCCGCCCTCGACCGCAGCTGTGCCCCGTTCTCGTCCCGAGGGTGGATAAATGCGTCCGCTCTCTTCATCATCTGCGCAGGCATCATCACTCTCTTTGCTGGCTACCCCATCATCGACCACTTCATACATGAGCCCCCCAAGACGGCGGGGTTCAACCTTGGTGGTATCAACGGCACCGGTCAGGTTCCCGCCCTCAACAACTTCCGCTCTTTGATCGACACCGACACTCCCGATTCTGCCAAGACAAGGAAAGGGACGGACGGCAAGAGCTACGACCTCGTCTTCTCCGATGAGTTCAACACCGACGGGCGCTCGTTCTATCCTGGAGACGACCCCTTCTGGGAGGCGGTCGATCTCTACTACTGGCCCACGGTAGACCTTGAATGGTACGACCCGCGGCAGATTACAACGAAGAATGGCAAGCTCGTTATCACGATGGAGGAGGTCCTCAACCACAACCTCAACTTCCGCAGCGGGATGCTTCAAGGATGGAACAAGTTCTGCTTCACCACCGGCTATATAGAGGTCAGCGTCAGTATGCCCGGATCTCCGAGAGCGGCCGGTCTTTGGCCCGCAGCATGGACGATGGGCAACCTTGTGAGTCATGCGTTGTTTCATTGCGCGCGCACGCCGCTCCGATCGCCTCGTGTTCACCCTTGTCTTCTGTAGGGCCGCGCAGGTTATGGGGCCACGACTGAGGGCACCTGGCCATACAGCTACGACTCGTGCGACCTCGGCACGTTCCCGAACCAGACGACGGCTAACGGACAACCTGCCGCCGCTACCACGGGAGGCGCGGGCGGCGCGCCACTCAGTTTTATGCCCGGTCAGAAGCTGTCGGCATGCACGTGCCCAGGCTCCGACCACCCGGGACCGTCGGTGGGCACTGGCCGCGGCGTGCCCGAGATCGACATCTTCGAGACCCAGATCGACACCGTACGGTTCCAAGGAGAGGCGTCGCAGAGTTTCCAAGTCGCCCCGTACAACTATCAGTATGAGTTTGTCAACACTTCCGACGTCACCCCGATCTACGACTCCTCCGTCACGCGCTTCAACACTTACAAGGGTGGCGTGTACCAGCAGGCCATATCCGCGGTCTCAGACATCAACAACGAGAACTACGCCGGGAACGGGTACGGAACGTATGGGTACGAGTGGTGGTCGAACCCCAACAAGCGCGAAGAGGGATACATTGCCTGGTCGGTCGACGGGAAGCAGACATGGAAGATCACGGCGGACACGGTCGGGGCGGACTCTACTGCTGAGATCAGTGCGCGTATCGTCCCCGAGGAGCCTATGGTGCGCATCTTTCACTTCGATGGTGCGGACAGAGAGCTGATCGAACTCGAACAGTACATCATCTTCAACTTGGGCATGTCGCCGGGCTTCCAGAAGCAGGACTTTACAAACCTCCAGTTCCCCACCCAGATGCTCATCGACTACATTCGGGTGTACCAGCGAGAAGATGTCATCAGTGAAGACTCGACCTCGTGTAATCCATCATCGCGCCCGACAGAGGAGTACATCAACGGGTTAGTGCGACTGGTCGTTCACTGGGTTCATATATGTTAACTGTTGCCTAGTCACATAAACGCGTACACAAATCCCAACTTCACAACATGGGACCAAGCGGGTTATACGTTCCCGCGCAACTCCCAGTACGATGGTTGCTAGCGATGCTACCATGTTGTACGCTTTTCTCATCTGTCCCTTTCCACACTGCTACCCATTCCCTGCATCTCATCTCCGTCTGCGTTATCCCCCACATTTGCATATCACAAGGCGTGCACGATCTGTTACGATGCCATCATGTATGTAGCCTGAGGACTCTGTAGAGTACACCGCGCCTGCTAGCCCCGTTCCTGGAGGACAATAATGCCCCGCTCTCTTCCGTCGCTCCTCCCATCCCCCACCACATCTCTCTACGATTGAGTCTTGTGTATGGCTTCGACGAACCTCGTCCCCCAGACCGCAGACCGCGATGGGAGACGCATCTTGGATCTTTACGTATACTTACGACCCTTGCGTTCTTGGGCGTGCATTCGTCCTGCTCTACGAACTCACTAGAAGACATAATCACGCTTCTTATCCCGGATGACGAGCGCGCACGCCTGACTAGGGCTGTCCGCACAAGCGGCTGGCTGTAGTCGTCTGAGGGTCCGTTGTCCTTGAATGTCTGCCCTGTGGCAGTTAAGTAGAAAACAAACGTATGATCTTGGACTCAAGTCACGTGAACGAGTGTCTGCTCCTGCAGTGCAGCGCCGAACTTGCCCAAGCAGGCTTCACGCGGCTTGAGTCCTGCATGCATCCTCTTCTCGCCCTTTTTGCGCCAGCCTCGTCGTTTTCCCCCCTCCCTGAGGCTGTCACGCCCCCGTATGAACACGATCCCTACCGCCGACGACCGTCGTGAACTCCGGAATTTGAGCCATCTTGGCTCCGGAACGGGACACCCATCTGGAAGATCTGGGGCGACCGACGCGTCTATTGCCCAAGACGGGTGCGTGCCTCTTCCCCTCTCCCACCGAGCCCGTTTGGTGGAGTGCTGTATGCGGCTGTCGCGCCCGCTTTTGGTGTGTACTTACGCGTATGCACGGCCCACAGCGACAGCAAGTGGAAGCAGAAACCGACCCGGATCTTGGTACCAGGCGTGCGTCTCTTCTCCTGCTTCCTCCACGCCCCGCTGTGCCCATTCGTGGCGTCTCCCTTCTCCTGTGTATCGTTTGAGCAATTTCGCATTTTCCTTGCGTTTGATATGCGTCCAACTCAACAAGTTACCCACTCTCAGAACGGACCGCAGCGCGATATGCGTAACTCCCCCGCCGTCGTCAACCCGTACACACAAGGTGGCTTGCGCGATAACCTCAGCGGACCCAAGGCTGGCGCAGGATTTACCCCCGGTGCCTCCTTTGGCCGTCAACAAAACCCCTCCGCGAGCAAGACCGTGTACAGGATACGCCACCAGCTACCCAAGCCACCTGCAAAGAAGCAGAAGGTTGCACACGACCCGGAAGATACTGGGGAGGTGGTCTCCAGGTACTTCCACCCGTCGCAGGTGGGCGCAGGTGAGTAGCCCATTGTCCTACTCCTGCGTGGGCCCGCCGGTGGCGGGGTGGTTGTGGCCGGGCTCGCTCACCGCGCGTCTCCTCTCCTTCTCTATGCCCTCCACCCGGGAACGGAAGTCGATGCGACTCCGGCCAAGGGCAAAGGCAAGGCGCGCGGCCACTCGGCCTCCTCCCCCACCTTCGTCCCCGACTCGGACGAAGATCGCGAAGACCGCCAACTCCAATACCCTCCCTCCCGTTCCCGTTCCCGCTCCCCCGGACCTACACTTAAACTGAAGACGAAAGCGGCCGCGAACGGGGTAGTCCAATCGTCCTCGCCGGACCCGCTCGACCTCATCGCCCAGAAGTCCGCGGGCCCGCACCCCTTTGAAACACCCGACGCGGGCCCGTCGCGGCTGCCCCAGGACGGCTGGTCCACGCAGCGGTTGCGTGCCCGACATGCGCAAACGAAGAAGACGGTGGGCGGCGACATCGAGGACGACGAAGTGCAGGAACTGCGCGTCGTGGACGTGGACGATAGGACGAGCGATATCGACGTGTTCTCGGACGACGAGGACCCGCTGCAGCGAGCCCGCGCGACGAGGAACGCGACGCCCCGCGGCCGCCACAACATCCCGCCGGGGGTGGTCAAGAAGAACAGATCACAGTACGAGGGCGTCGGTACGATGGCTGTTAGAGAAAGGAAGGGATCGCCGGTGCGGGTGGGTGCGACAAACACGAGGGCGAACCCGGAGAGAGATAAGGTGATACCGTACATTAACCTCAACTTGCTGGAGCAAAGGAAGTCCGGGTCCGCGGGGGGGCCAAGCGCGACGGGGAGCGCGATGGCAAATCGGACGCTCGTGGGCGGGATGATGAAGAGGAATGGGACCACCAAGGTAGCGCCAGAGCCGAAGAAGCCTCGAAGTAGGGGCTTGGCGGTGAGTTCTCTTCCCGGCATATAGCAAGAGCATTAGTATTGACGGAGATACCAGGCAGACGCGCTCCCTTCGATAGGCGGGGAGGAGGGTTGCCAGCTAGACCCCGTCGCGACGACGCCGTCCGGGTTCGCAGGCACCAAGGGGAAACCACCAATGAATGCATTGCCGTTGCTCGCCTACTCTTTGGGTGTCGACCTTACTAGCAAAGACGACTTCACTGTCGTCGCCTGGCTCAGCTTGCAGAATGCAAAAAGCCCTCGGAATACCTTGATATTGAAGCTGTTCGAGGTGAACAGCAAGACTTCCCTAATCGAATTTTCTCTTGACCGCGATTTCGATTCAATGGAGGTATGTCCCGTTTCTACACCCTACAGGGACCGGTGGCTGATTACTCACTGTTTCACAGTACACTACCGACAAAAAAGACCAGTGGCCAAATGACTCTGTACTGCTCATCAAGCTGCAATCTACGAAGGGGATTAGACTGAAGAAACAGATCAACTTCAAACCCGGTATTTACCCTTTGCTTCCGAGTCGCCGCGTGGCTCATGCTGACTCGTATACAGGTGACCAGCACGCCCAAGGCCACGTCACGTTCAGATTTCTCCACCCACACGCTAACCTCAACGGCTCCAGTTACGGCGAGCTTATCGCCAAACTCAAGTCGCAGATCCAAGACAACTCACTGCTGGAGTGAGTGCCAGGCCCGCACTCGCATCACAACCCGCCACTGATCTCAGTCATTCTAGCTCGGCGGGCTCAAAAGCATGCTGGGAAGCTGTGGAGAATGCGGCGGCCATGCGAGCGTCCGGCACTCGTACGAAGAAGGCGCGCTCGGTAGCGGCGACAGCGGCCGCGTCGTCGTCTCGTGTATCACCTGCGTCGGCCTCAGCGTCTGCCACCGTGTCGAACAGCGAGACCGCATCGGCACGTGGCGCCTCAGAACGGCCTTCTGTGCCAGCCCCCCCACGGTATGTGATGGTCCTAGGACTGCCTCCGCTTCGCTTTGCCAGGTTGGCTCACAGGTGTGTGGGGGGCAGGAGCAAAGCGTATACGTCGGCGCGGAAGTCGGCGCGGCTGCAGCCAAGGTCGCCGTCACCTGATCTTGATGAGATGTAGGTCGTCTTTGCAGAGTCATCTCAGATGTGAGATTGCTCATTCTTAACTTCGCAGTGCGTTGGTGTACCCCCCGCTCGGAAAAGGCGCAGTCAACATCACTAGGGGAGATCTGAAAAGACTGGATGCTGGACAGTACCTCAACGACACTCTGATCGAGTTCGGACTGAAGTAAGCATCATATGCTGTCTGTGTACATCTCTGATGGTTTTCCTAGGCTTTGGCAAGATGGCCTGCGGAAAACGAACCCAGAGCTCGCCGATTCGGTGCATGTATTCAACTCGTTCTTCTATAAAATGCTCAGCACGGATAGGTACGTTGCACAGTTGCTCGCGGTCGATCTGGTGCTCATTCTAGCAAATCGATGTAGCATAAATGTCACTTATCCCACCGTGCGCAAATGGACTTCGAAAGTAGACATCTTCAAGAAGAAGTACATCATCGTTCCGGTCAACGAACAGTGCGCATACGCCCACCTGTTGCTGGTGCTTCCGACCCTGATCTCTTTATCTTTCCGCAGCTTTCACTGGTACCTCATTATCATCGAGAACCCTGCCAACATGCTGCATCCTCCCCCACCGGCTCACCAAGCACCTTTCACCCGGAAACGGAAGCGCGACTCGCAAGCCAACGACGATACCCCTCCTGAAAAGGACGACAAGACGGCAGACGTTCCCGCCCGGGAACTCCACCACGATGACTTCAAGGATGAGTGGGAGCGCGGCGGGTCGTCGAAGCAGCCGTCCGAGGCGCCAGAAGACGGGGACCGAATGCATGTCGACGGCGAGCACCGGAGCGAGTGCGCGGTCGAGGACCTCCTCAGCAGCAACATAAGCCAGTCTTGTACAATCTCGGAGCCAAGCCCGTCAGCGTCCACGGAGGTGACGAAGGTAGACGACCTGGTGCTGGTGTATCCATGCGAGGAGCACATGGACGTGGACGTGGAGGCCTTTGTGCCGCCGCCAGTCGCGGAGATGGAGACAGAGATTAGGAAGGAGGCGGAGAAGGAGAAGGAAGAGGGCGATGCCACTCCACAGAAGGCTGACAAGGGTGGTGAAAAGGGGAGCGGTGAGACCGCGACGGCGAGACCATCTGAAGAAGTCGTCGATGCGGTCATGGAGGAGTCCAAGGAGGGTCAAGAGGCCAACGGTGACGAGAAACCGAACGATCTAAGCGCATACACGGAGTTCGACCCCGCGAAGTACCCGATGTGAGTGCTCAACCCTTGATAGCTTCGGGTGCGCGACGCTAACCTTGTGCGTGCTGCAGATGCACAATATTCACCTTCGACTCGTTGGGTACCGGCCACCCCAAGGCTGGCGAACGCCTCTCGGCGTACTTGCGCCACGAGGCTGTGGACAAGCTCAAGCATCCCTTCGATGAAACATGCGTCGGCAAGTACAAGAAGGCGCCGGTATGTCCCCTTGACGCAAATGCGAGCGAACCCAACTGACGCGTGTCCTCAGTGCCCCATCCAGAAGAACTTCTGCGACTGCGGCCTGTTTGTGATGGCGTTCGTCGACGCATTCATGCAGGACCCCGAGAAGGCGAGCGAGGCCATCCGGGTGCGTCGTGTCTGCCGAAGCATTTCCCTGCCGCGAATACTGACAAAGTGCCTCCCGTCCGTGTTCACGCAGAAGGGCACCAAGATGACGTGGTGGACGGAACACGAGCCCGACGGCGACCTCCGCGAGGTGTTCCGGGGCAAGACGCTCGAGCTCTCAGACGCGTGGTGCACGGCAAAAGAGGCGGCGAAGAAGGACGAAGAGATGGCCAAGGCGAAGGCGCTCTCGACCGAGAAGGAGAAGGAGAAGGCGAGGGAGAAGGAGAAGGAGACGGAGACGGAGAAGACTGCCAGCAAGCCCGCGTCGCTAGTCGCGAGTGACTCGGACAAGGGCACGGGCACGGGCAAGGGCAAGGCGGTCGAGCCGGCGGTCGTCGTGGACGACTCGGACGCGGACGCGGGCTCGGACTCAGACGTCCAGATCGTCTCCACGTCGTCTCCCAAGAAGAAAGGACCAAAGCCAAGGCCGAGGGCGAGGGCGAAAGTGTTGCGGATGCGAGGATGATTTCAGCCCTGGATGGACGAGGTTGCCTCTGTTTTCACGCTTTCCGAATCTCGACCACCGCGGCATTCAGCCTTCTTGTCTCTCTTTTTTGACATCATGTATCCTTGTTGTTTTGCTCATCTTTCACCTACCATAGTAGTATTGTTATTCCACGAGTTATTAGACTACAGTACAGTTGTCCCACGTATTACCCGCCGCACGTCGCTCTGTACATCTGTCGCGCATCTGCTGTGCTCGTCCACTTACTCACGTTATCACGCTCACAGTAGTAGTCGCATTGCTGTATCAACACCACGTCTCACAGGCTCGCTTCACGTACTTAGACCCATATAGTCCTTTTATGTATTGACGCAGTACGACCGCGAGAGCCAGGGACTACAAGCACAGACGGGAACATAGGTATGTGAACTAACGACTAACGCTACAAAGCGACGGCGTCCTGCACTATGCAGGACTCGAGTCCCAGTTAGATAGCAGCATGTAGATTGGACGTCCTGAGTATCCATGTCATCGTCCCGAGTTGATAGAGTGAATGACGAGCTCCTTGATGTCGTCCGCATCGTTGAGCTGTTCAGACCGTCAGGTGTCAGCATTCCCCGGGTACCAACACTCTCGCACAAAACGCACCTTGACCCCGATGATGATGTTCCGGTCGAGGAGGACGGCGCCGTAGCCAAAGGTCTCGTACGAGCTCAGCTGCATGTACGGCAGCCCCGTCCGCACGCGCTCGCAGAAGATGCGGTGGTCGGGCGTGTACGCGGACATGAGCTCCGTGGGCTCGCACTGGATCTGCCCGATCACCTGCGTCTCCTTGTCCGTGAACGTGATCGGCGGGGGAGCGGGGTCGAGCGCGCGCGCGAAGGTGGGGGGCGCTTCGACTGGATAGGCCTCTGGCGGAAAGTTCTCCGGGTTCGCGGTTTCGAGCTCGTGCCCAGGCGGCGGGGGAGCGTGAGGGGCATACACAGGGAATCCTGGGAGCGGGAACGGGAGCGCGTCGAGCGGGCCAGCGAGCGCGTACGGGTACGCGGGAGGCGGCGTCACGACCACAGCTGGCGGGACGCCGAGGCCGTGGCCGTGGCCGTCCACCCCTAGCTGGCGGCGCTGTCGGCGGCGCTGTCTGCGGTTGTGCGCGGCGAGCTTGCGGATCGTGTGCGGGTTGAAGTCGAAGACAACGATCGTCGCCGTCGGCGGCTGCTCGTCGTCCGGTGAGTCCTCCTCGACGGTCACATATCGCTGCCCACACGTCGTTGTGATCCATCGGCTCGCGCTGAAGGACGTCTCGAGCCAGCGGCACGCGTCTGGGCCCCAGTCTGTCCAGGCGATCTGCGGTGCCGGTGGGATGTCAGGGGCCGCGGGCGACTTTGCGGGCGACTTTGGACTGGCTGCGGTGGGCAATGAAGACGAGGTGGGACGGGGGCTGGAGGGTTTGAGGGTCCTAAGGAGTGACTTCGTATGTGCAATGAGCGTGAGGCACTCGTGCCAGCCTTGATCATCGTGTGTCATCACGTTGAAGATCACGATGGCCTGCTCCGGACAGTGGTGGAACGGCTCTTGTGAGCGAAACGCGCGAGCGTGGGTCCGGGCGCGTGCTGTTTTGGGCTCCGAGCGACATGTCACTTGTGCAATGCTGTGACCCTTCTGTAGTCTTGGCAGCTGGAGGATACATGTGGGCTCGAGTTTGAGTGGCGTGTCGTCAACCGGGCGCTGGCCGATATGACAGAGCTCGATAGTGTTGTCGGCGCAGTTCGGAAGGGCGATCACGTCTGGGGCGAGGAAGGTGAATGTCGAGTAGCTGGTACACTTCATTTCTCGTATCTGCAACAGGTTGCCATGTCAGTGGATGTCAAATGTGTTGTTTATGAGAACGAGACACAGAGAACGATCCCAGGCAGAGCCAGCATCTGAAGCACTTGAGCACAACACACCGAGCAAGGGCTCGAGCCATGCTTGCTGCGTGGGAGGCCAGCAGAGGTAACGCGAACACACTATGGCCGACCCAAGCTCCGGGTTCACTGATCGCGTGCGATGTTCCCGCGTTTACGAAAATATCCGCGGGCAATTGCCGCTGTAGGGCATGTGCGAAGACGAGTCCCGACAATGCTGCAAGCACCCTCCGGCCGTGAAGCGGAGCGCTCTAGCCCTGTGCCAGGGGCAGAAGGGCCCAGCACATGGAAGGAAGAAGGGCGGAAGGACGTCGCGACCCAGACACAAGGGGACGGAACGAGGACGGAAGCTCACCTGGAGGCACTCTCCCGTCTTCCAGTCGTACACCTCGAACATCGCGGGCGGATGTGTGGCACCGTAGGGGCCAGGGTAGTGGAACATGAAACAGAGGTAATCGCCCACGATCTCGATGCAGACGCTGCACTGGCCCGCGACGGGCTGCGTGAGCGCGGGCACGGTCGCGAGCTGCACGACCGGGTTTGCGGCGAGAGGATGGTTGAGGCCGGTGGAAAGCTGGAGCAGACGAAGTTCGAAAATCGTCTCACCGTCTTCGGACTCTCGGCTGAGGGGATCGCGTCAGTGATCCAGCGCAAGACGAGAGGCGGGTAGAAGGACTGGAAGGTGGCGCATGGAGAGAGAAAGAGGACGCACTCGGTAGCAACCACGACAAGATCGTGCTCTTGCACGGAGAGACCGACGTCGATGATATGTGCGCCCACACATATGCGCACCCAATTGTCGTCGGATGTGGGACCTGCTGAGAGTGCAGAAAGGCGCGTCCAGCGAATGATGTCGGTGCCGGTTTGAAGGCCTGAAGTGGACTCGCCGAGGAGGAAAATGCCGTCGGAAAGCTCGTAGATACTGGAAGGGTGGAAAGGCAGGCGGACGGGGACAGGTTTGGAGAAGTCGAGGCGCTGCCAGGCTGATTCTTGCTGCTTGAGAAGACGAAGCTTGTCGGCTATGACGAGTGGCGAAGAGGCATTGTCTTCAAAGCCGGAAAGCTGGAGCTGCATAGAGTACTGAAGGAGGATGCTGCCCTGGATGATGCGGTTGAGGAGGTGGCAGACGCGACGGCATGTGTTGAGGTCGTTGTAGTGCAGGTTTGAGAGGACGTGGACGACCATCTCGTGCGAGAGCGTGAGGAGGGACATGGTGGTGAGCAGCAGAGCAGTGACGCCTGGCCCGACTTCGGACCTGTTTCCATCCCCCGCGCTCACGTGCGCGGACGGGGCTTGGTTTGATCCGGCTTTCCTTCTTGCCCCCATCGTCTCCTCCGGCAGTGCAGAACTCCTCGCTACTAATGCGTACATGCAGGCCGGACGTCTAAAGAACAAATGTCTCTCTTCGTGTCCCTAACTCTGTCGGTCTTCCGCTCATACAGATGTCGATGCTCGAGCTCGATGCCCGCATCCCTGCACGCCGTCAACGCCAGTCCCCACCCTCCTGGCGCGTCTGGCCCCGTGTTCACCACAATTCGCTTCTTCATCGTCCTGGCCAACCCACCTCGCATTGCATTAGCCCCGCCTTGAGTCCGGAGACGAAGTTCCAAGGCACAAGAGAGTAGCTCCCGGGACCGTCGCAGGGAGGCACCTCCAACTCGAGAACCCTCGTGCGCGGCGGCAGGGTGATGTTCTTGAGGAAATACGGCGTCTCAATATGGAGGTGCACCAAGTTCGGGAAAATCGTCGGCAACAGGTGCGAGAAACAGTCTTGGACGTGACCGCGGACCCAGTGGTGGCACTTGCATCTCGGATACTTCGTCAGCCGAAGGCGCTGAACTCCCGGGAACCTCTGTCGGACTGGAGGGGCATCTGGCGCGGAGATGGTGGCGGGCAGCAACCGCGTGGCGTTGTGGGTGTACGTCCACGCGAAGTGCACCTCTGCGCACGCGCCGCCGTACCGCGCGAGGCAGTCGAACGCGGTTTGGTACTCGCACGCGCGATACGCGGAGGAGCGATACGTGGAGGAGTGAGACTCGATGGCGACCGTGAGCACGCGGCAGGCGGTGATGAAGTCGGGAATTTGTTCGTACTTGACCCTGTACCCGAACCCGGAAAAGGGGTCGACGTCGGTGAGGGTTATGAACAGCTCGGTGTTTTGGAGGAAGCCGCGCGCCGGGTCGGTCGCGGGGTCCGGTCCGAGGACGTCGAAGATGATCTTCTGGTGCATGTCGAAGTCGACTTGGGTCTCGATGGTCACAGTGTGGCAAGCGGCGGCTTGCACCAGGTACTTGAAAGTCCGCGACACTTGGCTCAGCCGCCCGAAGAAAGACCACCGGAGCTTGCCGTCTGAAGCACGCTGCGCTGCATCGCGGTCACGGATCGCTTTGGTATCGGGGGTGAAGGTGCGCCAGGCGTGCACGATGACCATTTCTGCGAGGTCGGGAGGGATTTCCATGTTGAGAGGGAACGCAGGTTCGGCAGGTGTGTAGTTGTTCAATCGTTCATGTGGGGTGTTTTTGGTGTTATATACCACGTCCGCCGCTGGTGAAACTTTGTGGGTCACCGTTCAAGTCGGTCAGCTCCGAGGAATGATGGACTTCTTACCAGCCTGTCAGGACGCCTACACAGCACCACGGCCAGCGAAAGGATCAAGCAAGAACTCGAACCAGGTTGATAGTTGTCGGAGGCGGCCACACCACGCGAAGCCATGTCAAATCCTGAATCGGACCCACTCTGGCAGGTGTGTCATCTGGTTATGTTCTCAATAGCTCGCTTGGCGGCATTTAGTAGGTCTTTGGAAGCGCCCCGGACCTGAGTGAATCATTCAAACATAGCTGCATCTCGCAGATCCTGTGCTCGGAGAGGAAAGGGGGGTCGACGGCGAGCGTGGAGAGATAGCCACGCATTCGATAATGCGCCCGCAAAAGATTAGTTCTTTCTACTGGAGGAATGAGACGGTGGTGCACAATGTGAGAGGACGAGCGGCTTCTGGATTCGAGGCGGCTAAGGCGAGCTTCCGATGCGTCTTCAGATCGTCTGCGTACTCGATGAGCGCGGGCATACGAGACGCCCCGCGATCTCCTCGAACGGGCGTGACGCCTGCGAGGGACGGCCGAGGAAGGGCTAGCGAAGCTTTGGTTCGGGGGCGGGTCCTTTTGGGAGGTTGTTGCAAGAATGAATGTAGAGGATGTCGAGAGAAGGAGCTCGCATGCGTGTGCCCCGACCGAGATTTCTCGTTTTCGGATCGGTCCTGCAGATGGCTCGACCATTTTGGTAAGCATTGGTTGTGAGGATTGAGAGAGCGAGTAGCAATGTGCAGCAAGTGGCGATTCAGTGGCTCGACTAGATGTCGATGGCTCATTCCCCAGCAAGTCCAACGTCCAACGTAGCGGCACTTGCAGTGCGCCAGGCGCAAGGAGAGGGCTTGAGGCAGGAAGCGTTAACATGGGAGAAGGCTTAGATCTATATGAAAAGACTCACTATTGTGGACGCCGAGCATCCTAGATGCTACAAAGCCACTGCAGAAACTCCCTGCTCGATGCGATATGTGGCAGCTCAGAGCTTCCACCGCAGGGGACTTCAGCTTCAGCATCCTTTGCCCGTCCTTGCTCACGACGAAACTGAATACCGCGTCGATTTCAAGTCAGACCTCGCCCGTGGCATTGAACAAAGTCTCGCAAAGTCCGGGCTCGTACACAGGGTTCGCGGTCATTGGATGGCCTGTCAGGGCCTGTCGCTGGCCGCGTACTGCCGACGTCCGGAGCTCGTCTTCAATCGGCTGCAAACGCGTCGCGGCGGACAACGGCGGAGCGCGGCTCGAGTCAAACTGGCTCGATTCCGCAGCGGACCTTTCACGGATACGCCGCTCGTGGCCCACACGGCTGACAGTGTCGATGGCGTTGACGAGCGACGATGAGGTTGCGCAAACCTGTTTCAGAAGAAGGGGCGCGGACCTGGGAGGGCTAGATCAGAACGGCAAGTGCGCTGGAGGGTGAATGAAACAGCTCTACGTGATGCGCTTCAGGGAGCATTGCGCGCAGCGGAAGATGGTGGGCCGGAGCAGTATTCCTGCGTTCCCGGCGGCGAGCATGAGGGATGCGGCGGGTGCGGTGAGACGTCGCAGGCATCCCAACTCCTGAAAAAGCCAGTAGACCTTCCCGATCCGCGTGAATCCATGAACGCCGTCGGGGCCACTTGGTTCGCGGCGGAGTTTGGGGCCTGAACGAGAGCTTCTGGGATGAATGAAGACGATGACCGCCGCAGCATCTCCATGATCGGGCGAAAATAACCTCGTATGACTCTTCGGACAGGTGCACCAGCCGGTACTCCCCAGCTCTAACGAAGCATTGAGGGGTATTCTACGTCAACAGATGTTCCCAATGCGTTTAAGCACACCTTAGGACACGTATCACGCGAGGGAGGATGATGGATCTAGCTATGCAATCGTGAATAAGAATATGTAATAAAAATATACGTCGCACTCGGCGCGTAACCCGGATGAGCCGCCCTGCTTGGGGTGGTGCCTCCGAGACAGGCTGACGATGCCGCGGTCGAAAGGATGAAGATTATTTGGTCCGCCAGGATTCCGGGCGCTTGTAGGGCGACCACGCGCGCTGCGACTTGAATGAGCTTGTGTGACAAAAGGGATGATGAAACTGTACTCACCGACCGCCGGGGGGCCGAAGTGCTTTTGATGTTGTGGATAGCGCACGAAAGATGTATTGGGTAGGAAGGAAAGGGGGCTGCTCTTCTCAGAACGACGAAACAGATCAAATGGAACGAAGACTCACCATGAAAGCTTTCAGCTGCCCTTCTGCATCCAGTCGCTTCATCGTCCTGACGCCCCCGGTCACCAGTCCATCATCGGGAGTGCTGTAAAGGTACTTCAACTCGTACTCGTGCTTCTTTCCAGTCATGACCCGTGTGTCTAAGCAACATAGCCAAGCAGTTGAGACGTCGAACGCATGTGATGCAAGACAATACGTACCTCCATGGTGCGCAGGATGACGCATTTGCATGTAGGAAACGTCGGAAAACTGCTCCAGTTCCCGGACCGAAGATGGGTACCAGTATTCGGCGTATGCCTTCGTATTCTCGTCGAGGGGAAGATCCGGGACGTTCATGCCAGAACCCACGAAGGCGAGGCGGCATGTGAGCAGGTAGAGTTGGGAATGGGTTGGGGCGTTTGACTGGTTATCGCATGCACGACAGCCAACGGGGATGAACTGTGGGCTGTCGAGGTAGATGTTGCGATCGAGATACTTGTTGGCGGCATGAACGGGCCCCAAGTTCCGGACGATTTCCTCCGGCAAACCGTAGGCCTTGACGCAGAGGTGGGCAATGGCTTCCAGCGAAAAGACGTAGCCCGAAACGTACGCCTGTGTGGCTACAGGCGCCATGAGGCGAATTCTAGACGCAGCAGGAGCGAGAGTGGTGGTGGTGGTCATTGTAAGCGATGAGCCGAGCTGGTGGAGAGTGGCGGGGTGTCGTAGTGGGAGAAGGGGATTGTCAAGCCGTGAAGACGCCAATGTTCGACTTTGGGTCATCACGTGAGTGCACGTGTCTCCCTCCACGGTCAGCGGCCCCGAAGCGCTCAGCGATCTCAACCACTTCCTCTGACCACCTTCCGTGCCCAGCCCGGTCCGGCCCGCCATACCATAATCCCGGCCCATTGTTCTCTGAACAAAATAAAACTAACGATGCTCCGTCCCACATGGATCTGCGTCCGCCTGAATCGCCCTCATCTCTCCCTCATCGTCTCCTGTCCGGTCCCACAGCCGCCTCGCTCTCTGTGACCGTTCGGCGGATTTATGTCTTCGATCTCGACCACTATATCATATATCTGGTTCTTCTGTCACCTAATCCCCACTAGATTCTACTACCCTCCTCCTCGGATAGACCACAGCCCTCAACCACCGTCCTTATAATGGACAAAGGCAAGCGTAAGGCAGTAGACGACTTGGATACCGGGGAAAGAAGGCTGCGTTTATTCAACACCAGCGAGTTGTGCGTATTCTTTATCTTTTGAAACATCTCTCTGGTTCACTGCTCGATTTGCAGGTCTGGGGAGAGTTCCTCCGATGCCGATCAAACAGCCTCTCGTCTCGGCGTCACCAACGTCCCCGTATCAGAGACGGGGGTGCAGCCGCGGGAGTTTGACGATGTGGTTGCAGATGCGCCCGAACCCCCCGCGATAGGCGAGGAACACGAGGCTACAAAGCTTTCCAACTTCACTCGTGACTTACTCGACAATTTCGAAGCCATGTTAAAGCAATGGGAGAGCCGCATGGTGCGTCGTGTGGCCGTCCAGTATTTGAACACTTGAGTCTCACACGTGGCTACGATACTGGCAGGGACCTGTGAGGTAAGCACGCGTCGTTGTGTGTCTGTAGCTTTCGCTGAAGCTACGCCTACGAATACAGGACCACCAGGAGCGGCACGAGAGACCCGACTAGAGACTTCGCAGATGAAGTTCATGCGCACATTCGCAAGTTCAAGAATATCCCAGTGCGTTTATATAACGCCCTAAAGACAAAAATGTCTCTAACATGAATGCGCAAGGACAAGATTATGTCTTTCAAGGCGTCCGCTACGAGTGGGCGAGATGCGAAGGACGAGCTACGAGCACTTATTCGCCAGGTATGTTTTGCCTCTCGAACATCTTAGATATTTACTGACAATCCCAATAATTCGGTTCTCTCCTCAGACTTTCCCGGAGTTCGTGAATTTCATGAAGTCCCACTGCGACTGGAATGTCAAGAGGATCGAGAACATCACTGAAGGTGACAACGTTACAGAGTCTCAAGTGGACGCACTCGTAAATCCATACCTGACGACGTCTTACGACATGCGCTGGTTTGGCGTCGAGCCTCAGGCGAGATTCTTCAAGGAAATGAACCTCGCGCCAGTGAACTTCACCCGTGGCTCCGAGAAAGCGAAGGGGGTGGAGGACTGGAGAGACGGTTTTGCAGATGTAGTACTTCAACCATTCACCAAACCGACGATCACCTCGCAGATGTCTCCATCCGTTCCGATATACTCCACTCCAGCTCGAGCGAGTGGATCTGGATTCGCAGCTTTCTTTGCCCCGCAGATGCCATCTCACAGTACCGAGAAAGCAGACACACGGGGAACCAATGGCACGCAGCCAGGTAAGTGTGGCCGGAGCTGCAGAAAGGCGGTATGCTAACGTGAAGAAACATCGTTGCAGACTATACACCTGCCATGGCCTCGACCTCGACGACAACCGACACCAAGATCAACACGGACCTTTACTCAACGCCCGAGTCCTCTCCGCATGCATCTGGCTCCACTAACGCCGACAGGAGCGGCGCCTTTTCCTTCAGCTCCGGTGTCCCTACGCCGAACATCACCCTGGGAGACGTATCGCTCGCCGGAGTCGGCTCTGACCCGGGACACTCCCTCGACGAGCGTGGTCGTCCCATCACCAACAACACGAAGCGCCGTGTGAGCGGACTCCCCGACTTCGCCGTCGTCACGCACCTGCCCGACGGGTTCATGCTCCATCTTGTCCTAATCGTCGAAGACAAGGTGGTCCGCAACCCGGCGGAGCAGATGAAGCGCTACCCAAAGCTGATCGGACGCCGGTTCGGTCCGGTGAACGTCGTCGGTATCCGGATCACGCCCAATGGCAAAGGGCTCCAAATGAAGTGGGCGCGACTCGAGTGGGGGCGGAACTTGAGCGAGGACGACGACGATGAGCCCCAGGTGGTGTATGCTGAGGGCGACGACGCCTCGAGCCCAAACAAGGGCTGGTACCCGGCGATGTGCGACTTCTCCTTGAGCAACCTCTACAAGTCGCGTAAGGAGTTCCTCGAAAAGCTTTTGAAGCTGATAGAAGACCACGAACGGATGCCCTTGTAGAGGACCCTGTAATTCATCTCATGGTGCGTTGAATCCAATATGATGGGATTCTTCTCAGATTCAAGAACGTCATGGTTGTACGATTTTTTGATGTCTATGCCTTCTATGTATCCATCATCTTATATGCATCAGTATTCAACATGCCTATGCAACCACTTTATATGTGCTCCGAGCCACCGAAATCGTGAACGTACATTTCATGACAATTCAGACGGAGTGAAGCGAGATTAAATGAAATGAACAGTTCCCATGCGTCTAGATTGTGGACACCGGCGGGTAAGTGAGTGCCGCGAGGCTCTTAATGAAGCAATGAAATTATAGCTTTGGAACTCGGTGCTATTGATCGGCATTAGCATCATCGACCGCATTGCCGAAGGATCGCACCGTGCATCTGTCTAAGAACGCATCCGATCTGGCTACGGGTCGAGAAGAGACATCACACCCGCTGTGCAGAGGCGCATATGCAAGGGCGGCACCGACAACTGTGGTCCAAATCTATGCGGATTGAGATGGTCGCGAGTCGCAGTCGTTTGTTACTAACGGCGCGCACGACTCCCTGGGTCTACAGCAGCCACGGTTGAAACGAAAATATGCATCTGCAAATAATAAGTATTAAGATGCAACAAGAATATACGTTGTAGACACCGAGCGGCGAGGAGGACGCCCAATCGCGGTCCCGCGATGAACGAGAGTCACTTGGCCCGTCGCGATTCTGGGCGCTTGTATGGCGACCACGCGCGCTGCGACTAGAATGAGTATCGATCACACCGAGGGACGAAGCCGTGCTCACCGAGTTTCTGGAAGGGCGAATCGCTTTGCATGTCGTCTTTAACCTGCGGAGGATGTATTGTGTGGGAAGAGTAGGGGACTGGGCTTCTCAGAACAGAACCACGGCACGGGATACGTCAGCCACTCACCAAGATCGAACTTGTAGAGACCCCATCCTCTTCCAATCTCTTCAACTTCCTGACACCGCCGGCCACCAGGCCATAGTCAGGGATTCGTGACAAGCACTTCAGGTGGAACTCCAAGGTCTTCGCAGTCGTGACCCTCGTATCTATCAAACAACGCTAATTGAGAGTTCACCCGTAGCAAAATCGAGTAGACGTACCTCCGTGATGGGTGGGATAGCGCATTTGCATGTAATAGACGTCCGCGAACTGCACCAGTCCTCGTATCGAAGGCGGGTACCATAGTCGGCGTATGCCTTCGTCTCATCGTCGAGGTCGAGGTCTGGGGCTTTCAGTCCGAAACCACAAAGGCGAGCGGCAAGTGAGGATGTAGAGGGGTGGTTGTGAGGGATCGCGGCCGCATGCGCGGCAGCGAAGACGGATGAATTCTGGGCTGTCCAGGTAGATCCTGTGTTGCAGATACTTGTTGGCCGCGTTGAGGGTCCTAACGCCTGGATAGTCTCTTCTGACAAACCGTATGCTTTTACGCAAAGGTGTGCGATTGCTTCGAGCGAGAAGATGTAGCCGACATATACATTTGGGTGGGGCCAGGCGACTGAACGGGGGCTTAGATAGAGCGGGTGGGAGATTCATTGTGGTTGTGGTGGTCGTTGGGGAGCGCCAAAATGAATTGGAACACGCTGACAAGCCCCATGGTTCGACCACAGCAGATAGCGCGTGCGAAGTGGGCCGATTCAGGTTCAGAAAGGGTGGTCAGACGTCGTGGGAGACGGAAGTGTGCTGTTTTAGACGCCAGTGTTCGATTCCGATCATCAGGAACACGTTGTGCGCACAGGAAATCCAGAGCACCGCATGCGATTCGCGCCAGTATATCGGTCAAGGAGTGCTCTCTATAGTTTGCTACAGGATGCCGGAAAAACGAATACAATCACTGAGTATCTACATGGAGCCCGCCTTCTCACGTCGCCGCGGCTCCGGACGCTTATGGCGACACAGTGCGTGTGTGAATTGAGCGACGATGAGCGGCAAGAAGGCGCATCGGGAAGGCGCACACTCACCGATTGTCTACAACGCGAAGTTTCCTTGAAGACGTCGTCACTTGTGGAAGAGTATTCGGCTGGGAGCGTCGGCGACTGCGCCCCAGCGCCATAAGCAACTGGGCACCGGGGTAGTTGCGCCTCACAACGATCGAGCACGCCTGCCCGTCCTCCTCTCGCTTCCTCATGTAGTTGACACCGGCGGCCACGAGCCTCTCCTCTTCCACCCAAGCGTGCGCATCATCTTGTACTCCGCGGCCTTGACGTGCGTCACCCTGCGCGCTGTCCCCAACAGTTAGCCAGCTCCCGGTAGCCACTTCTTCCAAGGAAACACGTACCGCGGTGGTGGGCAGGATGGTGCATCCTGAGATACGGCACGTTCGCGAACGCGTCGGACCCTCGCACGAACGGGGGTACCAATGGTCCGCGTGCGCCCTCGAGTCCGCGTCGAAGTGCAGGTGAGGGCGGTTCGCGCCTCGGTCGACGAACGCCAGCCGAGCACGAGCATGGAGCGCCACGAGCACGCCGGATCGCCTCGCCCGCGGCAGCGGGAGGAGTCGAGTTCCAGAAGGTGGGGGCTGTCGATGTCCGTGTGGCTGTCGAGGAAGTCGTTTGCGGCCTTCGGAGCAGCCCGAGACGTTGGACGGTCTCTTCTGATATACCATACACCTTGATGCAGAGCTGGGCGATCGCCGGGAGCGAGAAGACATAGCCAGCGACATAGATGTCTCCGGGAGGTGGTTGGGACTTGCAGATCGCAAGACCGGGGATACGAAAGAAAGGCACGGCACAAGCCTAGAGAAGTCAACGCGATGTTGAGAGAAGATGTCAGTGGTTGAGATTCGAGGGAGGCAGATCGAACAATCACGTGAATAACTGCTGCCACCGTCGCCAACTGTTGACCACCCATGGACCACTGTAAGTGGTATTCAGCTCCAGCCGAACGTAAGAACAACGGATGTAAATTCGATACAGCATATATTCGATCTGACTAACCTAATAACAATAGACTACAAGACTACCCATCGGAACGAGGTTGCGAGTTAGACAATCCGCCGCCGTTGGTACGGACCCCATTCCGCGCCCTACAAACAAATCGGAAGTGAGACAGGGGCTACACGCAAAGAGCGAGAGGGAACTTGCCGCCGCCGACTTGCGACGAATGGTCTTGAACGACGTCGAGACCTCACGGGAAACACGCTGGAAGGGGAGCGACGGGGGCTGAAACTCGTCAGATCGGAGAGAACGCACATTGAACCGCACGAGAAAGGCGCTCACATGGCACACGCGCAGCCTCCCTTGCCCCTCCTCCCTGCTCATGCAGAACATGTTTTCCCTCACATGAGTGGCATCTGGCACAACTCGAAAGAGCGCGTATTCCAGAGTTTTGTAGGACACCAACCTCGGAACTGTGCAGCGCATTAACCGGCCGTCAGAACGGCAGGAACACGCGTCGAACCGATGTGGTACGCACTGCGGGGAACGAGATGGCGCATGATCATGTACCGCACCTCGGCGAACTCGGGGAGCCGGCGGATGGACGGCGGGTACCAATAGTCGGAGTACGCCTTCGTCTCCGGCTCGAGGTCGAGGTCGGGACAGCCCGCCCCCGCGTCGACGAACACGATGCGGCACACGAGCATGTATCGCTCGGGTCCCCTGTCGTCGCGGAAGCCGCATTGGGAGCAGTCGACGGGGATGAACTCTGGGCTGTCGAGGTACCGGAGTCGGTTGAAGTAGTCTTTGGCAGCCATGAGAGGGCTGATTTCCCGTAATTTGCGCTCGGCCACCCCATATCCCTTGATGCAGAGCTGGGCGACAGCTTCGAGCGAGAAGACGAAGCCGGCGAAGTAGACGCGTTCATAGGTCGCGAAGGGTGGAAGCCCGACACGCGCAAACAGAGGTTTAGCCTGCGTAGCCATAGCAGAAGAGAGATATATCAGAGTTGGGGGGCAGGGTGAGGGTGGTGAATCAGGACTGTAGGCTGGCGAGGCGATGAGCGACTCAATCTAGCCTCGGCAAAGGTGTTTGGTTCAAAGGGTCACGTGAACCCGAAGCGCATGGCACGCGCGCCGCGGAACTCCGAGGCATTCTCATTTTCTGAAAAGAGCATGGATTAGATATCTCATGCACGACATGAGACATAAAGACGACTATTCACCGCACTTGATCATCCGCTCCTGAAATTGGTCCGTGTCATAACCCTTGTAGTGATTGGGGAACCCCCGAGCGCGCGTGTCCTGTCGAAGCCGCACATGAGCGGTTTGAGAGTAGTCCTACGGTGGTGAGCGCAACAAAGACTCCCTGCTCACGCGTGAACAGCACCGTGCGATCACCCACGAGATACCCGTACTCGTGGCTGTCGCTGGGGCAGCTTCACTGACGTGCACCTAGTGCGACGTCCAAAATCTGCTGGGTTGCATGAGCACGAGCAGTAAGTCAAACCAGTTACTCACTGGTGATGAGGGTAGAGTACATGGGCGATCGAGCATGAAAGCATCACACGCTCAGCATATATACGTAACCAAACAGAACATTCAAGTGAGATTACAGACAGGCGTCGTGAAGAGGTACGTTACATCAACTAAAAAGAGTGTATGTGGAGCATGGCTGAAGTCCGAAATGTCCATGCGAAGACCCAAACGAAGACAAGATAAAAGCAATGTGGATGGGAATACGTGGAGGGATGGTACACATGCCATGGATGACAGTCAGAGTTATTTCGCCCTTTGTGACGTCATCTTCTTCATTGCACCACGACCGTCGTGTTCACGACCTCGGTGAAAGGCGTTCCGCTCGCCTGCACCGTCGCCAAAGTGCCGTCAACGGCCGCCGAAGAACGCGCAAGACAGAAACACTCACCCCGACGATAGACAGGTGAACGACCCCGATGCTGAGCTGCTGCCCGCTGGTCGCCGTCGACGGGATCTCGATGGAGAAGTTCTGGAACGGGGGCTTCGACGGGTCCGAGCTGTCGTACTGGGGGTCGAAGGAGCCCGAGTAGACGATGTTGCCGAGGAACTGGGTGACATTGATGGACGAACAGGGGGAGCTGCCGCACGGGAGGACACCAATGGCCAGGCCGACTTCCGTTGAGCCCGACAGCGAGTTCTGTGGCGCGTACAGCACGCGGGAGGAAGGGGTGTGTCGAGGGGCGTGCGGTGCGTGCGGTGAGCACGAGGCGAGACGCGGAACGAGGGCAGCACGTACGGGCTTGTCCACCTCCACGGTGATGTTCGACCCCGCTGCGACCGTCGACATGCTCGCGGGCGCGCCGATGGCGATACGCTGGGCGGCGGCGGCGGCGGCGAAGCAAGCGAGAGCGAAGAACGTCTTCATCTTTGTGGTGCGTTGAGGAGAAGGGCGCGGGGGGCGGGGCGGGGGCAAACACCGAGGATGAGGAAGGAGAAAGACGGGCTCGACTCGAGGACGGGCGCAGGAAGGGGAAGTGGGGCTGTCAAAGCACGGCGCGCCGACGGTTTATAGGAAACGGAGATGGAGGGGGAAAGAAAGTGCGTCGCCACCAAGGCCGTGACCGGGCGAGGCTGCGCGCCTGCCGTTGCCGCCGCCGGTCGTTGCAGGGAGCGGGCGAACCGTCTCCCCGCCAGTTCACACGGGTGAAGGCGGGCATGACGTCATATCATTCAATACATCTCCCTATCCACCACCTCAGCTAGAAACAGTGTGATGTTCGCCACCTCCATAAACGGCTCTGCGCCGGCCTACAACACTGTGAGCGACAGCACTTGGCCTGGGACCGGACGGACGTACCCCAATGAGCGAAAAGTGGGCCACGTTCAAGCTCACTTCCTCTCCCTCCAAGTGCTCCGGCACCGCGACCGTGACGTTCTCAAACGGAGGCAGCCCCGGTGTAACAAGCGCAGGAGTGTACAGCCCGCGGTAAACCACGTCTCCGAGCACCTCTCTCACGTCTTGGTCCGCGCAGCGATGCGCGCACGGCCAGAACCCGATCGCGATCGCGACTTCCTGCGTTCCCGTCAGGGTGAGCTGTGGTGCCGAGGGTGCGCCCATCAGCGTCGAGTCGCAGAACGCCGCGCAAAGCTGATCTGCGGCTTACCGGGAGGTCGACGCGGACCGTGAGGTTGCTCCCAGGGGAGACGGTAGACCATTCAGCTGGAGCGCCTATGGAGATACGCTGACCGAGCGCAGTGGCGCAGAGCGTCAGGAAAGCAAAAAGGTGGGCAAGTACGAGAAGCATGTCAACGATGTGCTGTTTCGCGTGTCTCTCGCGTCTGGTCGCTTGCCTTATATATGTCTGCCTTCTGAAGAGGAGCTAGAGAGGCCCATCGACGCTCGTATGACGGCGATGTTCGGAGCTTGGCGGAGTTCTGTGAAGAGGCAATGTATGCGCTCCTTCCGACCACCACCGACTCCGCAATCCAGGTTCGCGACTGCGCCGGGGGTCCAGGCCGAAGGTGAGTGGCCGTGAGTTTCTCCTCTGTCCCAGCGAATCCAGCTCCGGTGACTAGCTGGGAAGATGCGCCCATGGATCCCGGCGAGATGAGCCTCGGGTCGCTGTCCCGCCGGAGTTGTCAGAACACAATATTTTGGCGTCTGAACGGTTGAGTCAGCAAGAACACACAGAGAGTCACATGAGTGAAGGTACGTACTGTGCGGGGTTGAAGGGTGGATACTAGAAAGCCCGTGCAGGTTGGTCGCAGGCAGACTAGCTGGGGCTTCCGGTCGGGTTACCAAAAGTGAAGCTGGCGCGCGAACAAGTGGGCACATTTGCAGCACTCAAGCACGCACATCCCGTTTGGAGTGAAGACTCGTCGGGTTGTGCGACTCAAGCAATACGGAATACCGAACCGTTGCACAGGCTCATAGCCTACAGGACGGCTTGGATCTGATGATGCGACGCCGCAGTCCACATAGTAGACCACGGGGGATGGTATCCGAAGTGCCAGATGCCATGGGAGCAGCAGATCGTGGTGGTGACTGAATATGAGCGCTGTCGCGTTGATGCTCGCAGGCGCCGATGTTTGCGATCGGCGAATCGCAAACTTCGCAGTGGACTCCAAGTTGACTCTCCCCCAGATCGGGTCACTATGTAAACGGTGTGCACCGTGGAGTATGTCTTCAAGACATAGGAATCTGAAAAATAACATGATCAATAAAACTTGTAAACAGAGGACCAAGAACTATCTATGTAGTCAAGTGTACAGCGATCAAATGGTCCATGTGCTCATCAGCCACCATCCTCAGATTTCACCGCCCTGCAGGCTGGGACGCTCCTTTAAAACTGCCCGAGCCACCGCGTCCCATACCCACGCCTTCGTCCAGCTCCTCCTCCTTCGCGACCTCGTCCTCGTCCTCATTATCCCTCGCTCTCCGCGCGTCCTCCGCGACCACCTTCGCCTGCTGCTCCCGCGCTCCAGCCTCGTCTCCAACCGCTTCCGCTCCGCCTCCGCCTCCCGCGCGCCACGTTCGCAGCCTCTTCGTCCTCGTCGCTGCTCGAGCTCGAACTGCTCGAGCTCACGCTCGCCTGCCGGACGACGCCCGCCCTCGCGCCCTGACCGCCGCCGCCTCCGCCGCGCACCCTCCGCCTCTCCTCGTGCCGCTCCTCCTTCCACCTCTTCAGCCTTTCGTCGAAGCCGTCCATCGCGCGCACGCGGCCCAGAGCTCCGAGGTTCTCCGGGCGCGCGAGGAACGCCTCGAGCACGGGGAGGAGCTCCTTCTGCGGCCGGTACGTGCCGGAGTCGTTGTCGATCACGAGCTCGAACGCCGACGGCGGAAGCAGCGAGAGCTCGTCTTCGTCTTCGTCTTTGCACTCTTCTTCACCAGCGCCGTCTCCGTCGCGGTGCTCGTCGTGATCCGGATCAGTGGTGCCTTCGCTGGGCTTGGGCGGTTGCGCGTTACCGTTGCAGGGGCCGGGCGGGGAGTCGTTCGCGGGTGCCGGTGAGTCGCCGTTCTGCAGTGCCGCAGTGTCGTCGTGTCTCTCGTGCCCGTGCTGGGCGCGGCGGACGAAGAACTCGCCGCTGTACGCGATCTCGATCGCCACGTCGGAGTGCATGGTGTGCTTGCTGAGGAACTGGATCGCGAACTCCTCGCCCGTTTCCTGCAGACGCGTCAGCGGCGGCCGCCTTTGACGATCCGAAGGGGCGAAGACGCACCGTGAACCTCCACTGCCCGTCCAGCGTGATTACGTACGTGAACACTCTTCCCTCCCGCCCGTACTCCGCCATCTGCAAGAACTTGCGCACGAACGCTTCGTCGGCCTTCCCCTGCCCGTCTGTCTCCCCGTTCGCGGCGTCGCCGTCCCTGGCCGTCGCTGGCGTGTCGCCCGCAATACCCCGGATGGTGTTCTTGTCCCAGTTGTAGATCGCGCGATGCTGTTTGTGCAGGGCGTAGTTGAGGATGACGCCTTGGATGCCGCGGGCGCGGAACATGGCCTTCACGAACGGCCTGAACCCGACGTAGCGATGCCGCAGCGCAGATGGTACCGGTCCTGCAGCTGGACCTCGGTCGCCTTGAACGTCTGCACGGACGCGAGGCGCGCCGCGAGCGGCGAGAAGTGTCTCGAGAACACATCTGGCCACGAACTCTCAGCACGCGCAGAGGACGGAGATCCGATGGAGGCTCAACGTACGCGGCCCAAGTGTGTACACCTTCTCCCCTCCTCTCCGCCGACCTGCGGCGACCGCCCGAGGACGCGCACGCTGACGACGACGCGCGTGTGGTGCTTGACCCTGCCGCGCGTGACGATCGTCGCCGCGTACGAGCCCACCGCGCGCGCAGGTCCCCGTGCCGCTTCCGCACCTTGACCTCCCGCTCGCCCGAGTTCCACCCCTCCCGCAGCGCCGCGCCCGTCGCGCCCTCACCCGCTTCCTGCACGCCGCGCGTCGGCGGGGGGAAGCGCACGACGGCGCGGCCGAGCCTGTCGTCCCGGGACCCGCGGTCCTCGTCGAAGAGGTCCATCGCGAGGACGAAGCCCGAGGCGGGCACCCCCGCCACGACCCAGCGCGCGCCGTCGAAGACGGGGTCGCGCGTGCGGTGGGCGGTGGGGGTGCGGTAGTGGACGGACTGGACCGCCTCGGCAGGGGCGAGGGGCGAGAGGGTGGCGACGATGTACGGGTCGGCGGAGAGCGAGCCGAGGTCGCTGATCAGGACGTTGGACGCGCGGTGGAAGGCGACCTCGCAGGTGTAGCGGACGGCCGAGGGCGAGGACGGGGGCGCGGCGGGGGGCGGGGGAGAAGAGGCCATCGCGGTTGGCGGCACCGTGGGCGGTTCGAGAGTCTATTTCATCTCAGCGCGTTATGACGTCACCGCCCGTCTCGCCGCAGCTGTCATCTTCCCTGGCCGTGTATGGTTCAATCAGTATCGAAGATCGCGGTAAGGTGGATATACAGTATACAAATAGAGTACAGTACCGAATGTCCAGGTAAGTCAGTATCCATACATAGAGTCAATCACACAATGTTCTCGTCCAAACATCATCATCATCGCGTCCATTCCGTCTTCACTCAATGATCACGGTCTTGTTCAAGACCTCCAAACTCGGGAAGAACAGCGCCTGCAAACGCTCGCATCAGCACGAAAGCCCACAAGTCCCTCAGAGCGGGGCGAACGTACCCCGACGAGCGAGAATGCGCCACCGACAGCGCAGCCGGCCCCGACTGGAAGTCCTCCGGGACCGTGACCGTGAAGTTCTGCACGAGCGTCGCGCTCCCCGGCGGCAGCTTCGGCGTGTACGGCCCCGCGAAGAGCACGGTCCCGAACTGGTCCGCGGTGCTGAAGCCCTCGCACGTCCCATTCGGCGCGCGCCCGACGCACGTGATGAGCCCGATCGCGACGGAGACCTCTTGCGAGTTCGTGAGGCTATCCTGGAATGCGAAGCAGAAGTTAGAGTTTCGGGTATGAGGCGGAGTGTGGACGGGGCTCACCGGACGATCGACTTCTACGGTGAAGCTCTCCCCGGGGAAGAGCGAAGCACCCGCAGAGGAGCGCGGATGACCGCGTTCTGCGCAGCGGCGGCCGCGGAGCATTCCGAGAACAAGTGCGGTCTTCATCTCTGAGGTGGTCGAAGGCGGGAGTGTGGCTGGTGGGGTGGTCGAACGTCCTGTTGTACGCCGTATAAATATGTCGTCAGCGGCTTCCAGCGCCCCGTATAGGGGCTGCGTAGTACGGGCCGTACAGCGACGCCACTCCAGGTCGTGGTTCCACTTCGAAGGAAACCGGAAGGTCAGTGGGCTAGTCCCATGTTGTGGAGTACTGGCGATGCCCGACTGAAACACAGAAGGTCAGTGCGGGAGCACGCGCTAGAAGGAGTGGAGTGAACATACCAAAGTGCTGCGCAACCGACATGAACAGCCGCTATGCACAGTCAGCAGCGCGGTCTGTGGTACAGCCTGGCGGGCATGAAGGCCCTGCGGTGTGGTGTTTTTCCCTCGTGGGAGTGTGTCGGGAGGAACACGGGCTACTTTTGGTCGCCGAGCCGGGCGTCACCGGCTCCACCGACAGAGTGCGGGGCGCTGCGGCGAGACGCGCCTAGTGCCCAGGAGGGACAAACCAGCCGTCCCCCACAATCATAGACGAGCTCACAACCCGCAAAAAGCACAGATCCGATTCCATCGGAGGGGTCGACGCCTGTACAGGTCCCCGCTGGCGCACGGCCGACGTAGCCGAGGAGGCCAACGTCGGCCGAGGCCTCTTGCGACGTGGTCAAGGTCAAAATCATGCGGGATGTGAAAGAGGATGGCTGAGACTTACGACATCGGCGTCCTTATCTACCCACATAGAAGAATTGTGAGGCCCAGCCACGCACGCGTCGAGGGCCACTGCGGACGTGCTCATAAAGCGTGTCGGATTCAAGCAGAGTTGTTCATACAAAGCGATAATAGTACACGAGCATAGTTGTTGGGGGGCTTACAGGAGGGCATATATCATAGTAAGAAAGGAAGAAACGGTGCGCGTACAGACTTTGAACAGCACTTGTCCACGTTCTAAGTCGTCTCGGTGTGATCGGCGTGATCAAGCGGCGGCCTCGCCGACAGCGTTCATGGTCCTGACTGCCTCGCGTTCTCGGATCTGCAATACTCGTGTGTCAGACATGAATGTACGGATAGAATACGCTTCTCACATTATTCTCCCGCCACTGTCGGATTTCGTCCACCGTGAGGTACCTGGCGGGCCGAGCGTGGTGGTCGCGAATCTCAAGAAGCGTGGCAATAACGAAAGGGTGGTCGTACGGATACCACCCGCGGCCAAGCTCCCGAGTGTCGTCAGGGGTGCTGAGAATCATGAGAGTCGGGTTGCCATCGTCATCAACTTCGGTCGGATGCAACTTGACGAGTATACACTCTAAAGTTTGACGATAATCAGCGTCAACTTGACACATCCTAAAGCCTATACCGTGAAGGTTCAACTCCAGCTCGAACTCCCTGAGGTAGTTTAAGAGCTGCTCGAGAGGATCACGACCTAGCTTCATCTCGACTGTTAGAACAGGAGTGCCCGTGATGCCGTCTTCGTTCATAACTTGAATGAGCGTATCCAGAACGTAATAGGGCACCCTGCCCTTCTTGGTCTTCAGGAAGCGCGAAGGCACCTGTCTTCCCTTGGAATCAGTAGACAGAACAGGCTGATCGGTGTCGACTCCACTGGAGCTCGTGTTGGCAGGGTCGTAGTCGGAGTCTTGAGGGTCGTCCACGAGGTCACGGTCCAGAAACAAGCAATCTCGACGGCCCACTTTCACAGACTTGCGAGAAACTGGACTGCCCCATATCTCGGCAGTCGCAGCAAGAGACCTTGTTCTGGCCGGGGGAGGAGGTGGAGGCGGCCCTTCAAAGGCATAGGGAAAGTCGCACCACACCGCGGACCCAGAGGCATACAAGCCAGCCTCGAGGTCTGTGGCCGAAGCAAAGGGAGGCCTGAACATCGGCGGAGTGAACTCAGAAACCTGCGGCAGATGTCAGCACTCCACTCGACGTCGGAGGTGCCCGCCTACCTGGTGGGACATTCTGGCATCCTTGATCAAACGATCCACGCTGGCGACCGTGATTACATTGGGGACAGACCGAGCATTGACAATACCCTGCGAGAAATGAGTCCGACGCTTGACACCATGTAAACGTGAAGTAACTCACCTTCGTATCTCCCTTGTCCAGCCTAAGGACGGCGCTGAAGCTTTCACCTTCAACACTGTCATATGAGTTGGCGAGCTGTTCTTCGTCGTCAGAATCCCCGCTATGAAAGCTCTCGTCGTAGGAAGTGTCGATGGTGATTCGTTTATCGATGCGGCGAAGGGTGTTCTGGAAATTCAATCGGAATGATTGACAAGCCGTGAAAATCGCACCGAGATACACGCCGGCCGCTGGCTCTAGGCTGGACTCGTAAGCAACGTCATCCGAATTGATGTTCTCGACTCCTTTCAAGCCCCACAGAGGAATAGTGGCGAGAAGACGATCCGCTGAGGTCTATAAATGATACACGGGCCCATATTAGCCTGTAGTACAAGCGATGATACTAGTAGAATGATGTACCGGAATTGACATTGAGTCGTCGCTGATATAAGCCACCATATCGATGATCTCCTGGACTACTTGCGCGTTCTTCGTGGCAACCTGTGGCGCACTTCTGTGTGCGCGTCTGTACTGTCTCGTTGGCTCGCGCACCTGAATCAAAGCCTGCACTGACGTCTGATGACCTGTAAGTAAGGAATCCTTGTAGCGGTCGAGAACGTTGGCAATCTTGAGTCGATGCTGTACATCCACCAGCATAGGATACACTGGCTTCGGTTGATTCTCATCGACACTGGATTGGGAAGCCGCAGGACCCACGAGGGGAAGAACAGGTGTGGCGGATAGCGCAGGGGATGATGAAGATTGTCCATGAGCATCGATCTTGATAACTTCCTGAATGCCTGCCATAGTAAAAAGCTTCATTGAGCGACATCAGTAAGATATGGAAACATTATATTTGTAAATAAATCACCAGATCTTTCCTCATCGCATCCACCATGGTTTTGGCACCAGCCAATTCGGTCCCTTCAGCGGAGGGTGGTTCGCCCTCGCCCTTACTATATATGGTTGCGTGAGGTTGAAAATGCAAAAAGAGAGAGAGAAGCTTACTGGGAAACTCTTGCATGAGATTCTGTCTGTTTATGACACAAACAATCAGATCCATAACGTTCTTGAAGGGAAAGAATACGCACCAGACGACCACGAACCACCTGGAGAGTGCGCTCCACACTTTCACAAGTCTGAATAGCAGACGCAATGCTTACAAAAGCTGCGTTCAAAGCATCTATATAAACTCCAGTATCAACGGCGCCGGGATCGTCAGGAAATGTGGATGGCGACAGGTGGTCCATCTCGTGCGACTGCAAGTTGGGCTTGCGACCAGCGGGAACGAAGATGGTGGTGGCGGGAGTTGTGATTGGTTGACCAAGTATCAAGAGCCATGGTGTGGTCAGCTTTTAGTGGTCAGATGGAGCGGCGAGGATGGACGTACGAGTGGGAGCAGCCAGCCGATACGCCTTGAAAACAAGAGGAGTCTAACTAGCGAGCAATATGGGGGGGAGGGGGAAGGGGAAGGTGATGGTAGTCGAGCGATGGCGGGGCGCGGTGTTCAGACATAATTTATACGCGTGGTGAGAACAATGGCGGGCGATGTGGGGTCCAACCAGTCACGAGCAGGATGGTTAGAACAGTGATCGGAGTGGTCGAGGCGCGCCATAGGCGTCTGTCGGCTTGGGCGGCGGGCCGTAAATGTCACACGTGACCACATGTTCGAGTTCGGAACGCAAGCAGCGCCTCAACAAACCTTCTCGTCTCTCCGCTACCACCACCTCGCACCACCCGTCGTCCTGCTTTACCCTCGTACTGTGCAGAATATGCCCTCTCTTCCGGCCGCAGGCCCTGCCCCTAATTACTCTGTCCACATGGCCGGATTTCTGTTCACGCGCGAGGCTGTGGCCCAACTATGCATCAAAGCCTACGCCATGAACGAAACCTACGTGAGGCATTTTGGTCCTCAAGACGCCGCCTTTCTCCACTTTCAAGCGGAGGGGCATCTGGACAGTCCAAAGTTTGTCCGTATCAAGGTCCGCACGGTCTCAGGCAAAACCGCCGACCGCTTCGTACTTGTCTGCCGCATGGCATACGTGAACCCTGGACTCAACGTCCCCGATCTCACTTTCGACGCCCCCACACGCGCATACGCAGACTACTGGTTCCCTCCGTCAATCCGCGCTCTTGACGACTTCAAAGACGTCAAATACGTCAAAACTCGGTTCCCGCAAGATGATCTACCTTGTACGTCGTTTCCTCTTCGCTAGTCATCCTGCGATTGATCGCCCCTCATCGCACTCAGCGATCAGGTACATCGAAACCAAACTCGAGCGTCGTCACGTCGCTCACAGGAACTGGCCATTGGTGGCGTCGATGATGAAACGAGTCGAGACCGAACGCGAGGTGACCCGACCGTACTTGGTGAGTTTTGAGAGTACTGCTCAACCCATACCGAAGTTCTGATTCACTGAGTCTAGCCACCGCGGTTCCAACCCACGTTCGAGTTCGAAGGTCGCCCAAATCCGAGGTTGCAGAGACACGCAGTGAGTTTTCGAACAGTATGGTCTTGCTCGCATCAAGTTGATCCCCATAACATTAGCGTCCCACATCCGGATCTCTTCCTCGCAACCCAATGTCGCCGCGAGCGCACTAGCACCCTAGCACCCTTTCTGTAGGTGTTGATGTACCTAAGTTATTATCTATTTGTATTCTCGGTTTGTTTCACCGTACGCTTCTCCTTTATGCACGCCGCCGACGCGAGTCTCGGAAGCATGCACACCAAAGCGGCCAGTCCAATCACGCACCTAGTATACGCTCTTTCACTTGATCTTCTGGACTGCCCAGCTCCCGCGCGCGTATCTTCGAAGCCAAATACTGCGCCCCCTCGCACCTGGACATTTCGGGGAACGTTCACGAGGGTGGACACGTCGTGCGGCGAACCCTGCACAAACGCACCCCCGACCGAGGAAAGAACCGGCGAGACAAGTCAGGTTCGTCCTGGCCTGCCAAACCGCCCACCCGCGGTCGGAAGGGATGCGTGCGGTTCCGCAAGAGGGCCAGACCAGGGACTCGGGTCCGGGGCTGTCGGGCTTCAGCCATGGGCGGGTTGTGGCGATGAGATTGTGGAAACGGAGCGTGCCAGCCCCCGAGCTCGAAGCTTGCAAACGCCGCGCCCCACGAGTTGGACGCACGACGCGGGACCGAAGAACCGCAGGATGCGAAAGAGGCGGCGAAACCTCTCGCAAAAAGCACGCAGGGCTAACGAAATCTGTGTACGAGGACGAGGACGAAGTCAATGAAAGCAATTGAGCGGACAACAGGACGCCACTCACCCGCGCCTAGTTCGATTCTCAGTCGAAACACTCAGGGGTGTCGCCGAGGCGCATGGGCGCGAAGCTCAAACATCGGACTACACCAGTCTCCGCGCCCACACCGAAGAGGGAGTGTTACAAACGCCGCGCCGCGACTCTATAAGCGGACACGCCGCCGAATTTTATACTGGTACGGGTACTTGGAAATACGGTACACGCGCGAGGAGCGCGGACATCAGAGCGTGTAGGACTGCGGGCGCAGATCGGGTGTGTAATACATATCCATCGGTGGGAGCGGGAAAGCACGTTTTAGGGCTTCTGCCCTCGAGCTTATGTCCGTGTCGTGAGGTGCGAGGTCGGTGAGGAACTAGGGGTTTGGGGCGTACGATATCGTCAGCGGGGGTGTATCATTGCAGGGCGTTCGGCCGGGCGTGAAGGATATCATAACAATGGGGGAAGGAGAGCGAACGGTCCAGAAGCAAGCGTAGTCGGCGGGGTTGGAGCAAGGCGGAACGGGACCGGCGGCCGCGAGCCAGAATATCCGGTCGATTGCGGCCGTACCACTCCCATCCCTCCCATGTGGGGCGCAGGCCAGGGTGGGTACGGCATCTTGACGACACTGCGAAGTCTGCCCAGGCACCGTCCCTACGACGTCATATCCTGAGTTGAAAGGTCCATTGAAAGCAAGAGAGGATGGGGGCGGGGGATCCATCTGGCCGGTGCTGAATGCGCCTCCAACCGACCGCTCACTTATCGCGGGGGATCGTGTCGTACCGCGGCGGCACCTCCGCAGGCTCGTCGTCCTCGGGCGTCGCATGCAGACGACCACCGTCTACGTGCTGCATGACCCCCGAACCTTGCGCCGAGGTGTTCGCACCGTGATCGGGGTTCGAGACTGCGAGGTTCTGGCCGCGGCGGTACGCCGCCGCCTCGCGCTCTTTTGCGCTCGGAATCATTCCGGGACCGCTCGACGAGCCGGAGTCGGTGCCAGCGTACGAGACGGAGGCGCCCGGGGAGGGATGGCGGAAGTCGCGGTTGGGGATGCCGCCGACGGAGGGGTTGGTTGGGGAGGTGCTTCCTGTGTGAGAGTGCGCGGTACTTGGTGCGTTGGCGTAGGTAGCGTATGCGGAGTAGTCGGGGTACCCGTGCTGGGAGTCCGATCCGGGGCCGTGCGAGTAGCGCGACTGGGTCTGCCCGGATTGAGAGTACGCGGAGGGAGGTGATGCGGAGCGATGGTCACCCATCGCGGCACCCGCAGCACCTGCAGCCAGACCGCCCGCGAACGCCGAAGGGCCGTACTGTGACATGCTAGGGGGGTGGGTGGGGACGGGCGTGCCCGGACCAGCGCCGTGGGGCGAATAGCTGTAGGGAGTGATGTTCTCCGCAGCGAGGTCGATGTCGGGAAGCGTGCCGTGGTTGTCTCCGGACAAGCCGACGACCCGGTCGGGATCGAAGTTGCCGTCGAAGTCGTCGCGCTGACGGCGTTTGAGGAAGAACCAGAGGAGCGCACCGATGAGCGCAAGCGCAGCAACACCACCAACCACGCCTCCGATGATGGCGCCCGTATGTGACGATGACGAAGTCTCGTTATTTTGGGAGGAATCGACGGGAGAGGTGCTCGCGGATGTAACCGTCTGGGTTACGAGGGAGGTGAAGGTGGAACCCTGGGCATTGGTGCCACTAGACGGAGATGAGGGCGGGAAAGAAGGAAGAAAAAGCAACGCACATGAACGTGCTCGTCTGGGTGGAGGTCGAGAACGAGGTCGTAGACGACTGAGTAGACGAGGGGGGAGTGAGGTTGTTGAGCTGGTACCAGTGCTGGACCCTGTGGTGGTCTGCGACGTGGGGTTTGTGTTCGCAGAGGTGGTGGTAGTGTCGGTAGGAGGTGTGGTGGTGGTGGTGGTGGAGGAGGGAGATGTGGTGGTAGTGTCGGTGGTGAGTGTGGTGGAGGAGGTGGTGGTAGTGTCGGACGGCGGGATGACCGAGGAAGTGGAGGCTGTCGACAAAGAGTCAGTGGGGGAAGAGAGGGAGGAGGACGAGGCAGAGGAGGACGAGCCGGGGGAGGAGGACGGACCCTGAGTGGGAGAGTCTGTCGTCGTCGCCGACGAATTGCTCGTCGGGTCCGAGACGGGGGCAGACATGGGGGACGGGCGAAAGGCGGGATAGCAGAAAGCGAGGGCGAGAAAAGGGAACGGAGAGACGGGGAAGAGCAAGGAGCGCGCCGGTGGAGGCGCGTCATTACCGACGTCGAGTTATCACCACGCCCGACCCATCGGCTCGCCCCGCGCGAGGCCAGATAAGAACAAGAAAGACGCCAAAGACTCACAAGCTGGGTCCTGGCGCCGGACAAGCTGTCCGTGGTCGTGCATCGCGTCGGGGGTTGCGCTCGGCCAGAGGGCGGTGGAGGGAGGAGGGAAGCCGTCGTCGCTGGCCAGACCGCCTTTTGGAGCGACGGGCCTGGTCACACGCACCCTTCTCGTCCTGCGTCCCTCTCGTCCTGCGCCACCTGACCCCCTCGAGCGTCCCCGTCGCTCCCGCGCGCCCCTCGCAGACTGCATCGCGCTCGTCGTTGCACACGACGAGCGGGACAGGAACCCCCACGCGAACAGAAGATGCATGTGGTGGGCACGCTGCAGCCTAACGCTTCTCCGGCTTTCTTTAGGCCAGCCTGGCGGGCAGATGACCGTCTCGCTGGCTGAGGACGTGCCCCGTCTGGCTCACCGCCGCGGGAACTCGCCGACCGATCTCGCTGCACCCAGCTCGGTAGTTGTTCGCGCGGGCATTCAGCGTCGAGGACGTCCGCCGTCGGAGTGCCTTGACATACCGGAGCGCGCGTGCCCGCAAAGACCCCTGACGCAACCGCCCCCGACGGACTCTCGCACTCGGCCGCCAGCGACCGAGTCCTACCGCGCACCCCACCGGTGTCGCGGAATGCTGTGGCCCACCCCCCGCGCGCCCTTGTCCACGCCCGCTGTCCAGTGTCATGCTCGAACAACATGTTCCCAGACACAACAAGCCTCCGGTCGCACTCCTCCCACCTCCGCTGCGGAGCGAGCCGCGTGCGCACAGGAGGAGGCGGTGGGCAGCGTGCGCGATCGCCCCTCCGATCCCGGGCCGCGTCTGCGATCGTCCCCGTTGCCGTTTATTGACACTATTAAGTCGCAAGCGCGCGTACGCGGCTGAATCTTCAAGCTCAAGCTTTCAACACACCGGCCCTCTTCAATGTCTTGTGCCTCGCGACCCCCCTCCTCGCACGTCCAACTCGGAAGCCGCGCGGAAGACTGCCCGCGCGAGGTCGCCTGCAAGAGCACGCCGCTCGCGAGGTCGAGATCGAGCGCGCGCCCCACGATCACGCATCGCCGCGTGCGAAAACGCGTGTTCGGCGCAGCGGGGGCGGCTTCGAGGACCTCGCGAGGGCGTAAAAACACGCACCGCTGGTTGCCAAGTGCGTTCGGGGGAGGCCGTTTGTCGAGATGGTCGATCGCCGAGGTCGCGGTTTGGCAGGGGCACGGTCTAGATCTGCCGGCGTCGTAGATGCTCAAGCAGGCAGAGGATCCGGATATGTACAAGCAAGGAAATGATGCAATAAGGAGCGGTTATATGTGCGCGTACGAGCGCCACGCGGGACAGTAGTACAGTACGACTGAAAATACTGATGTTAGAAGCCACACAGTCCATATAGTCCAGGACGTCGACCAGAGACCGAAAAGAAAAGGAACTCTTCACAGCGACACCCTCCTCCCCAACTCCGCCTCCCGCCCCCGCGACACCTCCTCGTGCTCAAGCACGCTATCCACGCTCGCGCTCCCCGGCGCGCCCAGCGCCCTCCGCATCTTCCTCCCTCTCTTCGACCGGTACGCCTTCGCCGCCAGCTCCGGCCCCGCCGCGACCACCTTCCCCGTGCCCTCGAGGAGCTTCCCCGCGGTATACAGCATCGCCAACATCCCCGCGGCCAGCGCCCCCGCGATCACGACCGGCGGCGCGACGGCCGCGACCACGCCCGTGCCCACCGCGCGCGCGATCCTGGCCCCGCCCGAGCGGCTCTTCGTGGTCCCCTTGCTCTTCTGCTCTTCTTGTGCTTCAGCGTCTTGCCCGGCGCGTGCGCGTGCGTGTCCTGGCCAGGGTGCTCCTTCTGCAGCCGCCGCGCCGGTTCGGAGCCGACGGCGGTGCTCGACTCCGGGGACCCGGAGCGCGTCGAGGTCGGGCTCGACGACGCCGACGCCGAGCTCGCCTCGGAGTGCCAGCGGCGCGCGGGCAGCGTCAGCGGGGTAGTCGTGCCGGTGGGGGGCGTGGGAGACCGGCCGGTATCGTACGTGAGGTGGAAGGCGGAGGAGGACGAGGCGTACGCGCTCGCGAGCTCGTCCGCCGCGCCGTACGGCACGGGCGGGAGCGGCGTGTCCACGGGCGCGGTGGGCGCGGAGGCGGAGTACGCGGGGGGCGGGACGCGCGCGGACGTGGAGGGCGGGACGTCCGTGGACTTCGAGGCCGGGGTGCGCTCGGGGAGCGGGAGCTTTTCGTTGTTTATGCCGATGCCTGAGATCATCGTGGTTGTTGGCGTAGGGGGGTGGGTCACAGAGGACGGGTGGTGGAAGTGGGGTCTGGAGGACGGCGCGAGGTGAGGCTCGAGGGGGGGGCGGCGGACGGGAACAGGAAATGCGAGCGACTCACGTGGATCAAATGCTTGAGGTCGCACGTTCGAGCGTGTTTGTAGTTGCCGTTGCGCGTTGGTGGTGGTGGCAGACGGAGGAGGTGGAAGCGAAGAGCAGCGGGGCTGTCGTTGCCCTCCCCTCCTTGTCGCACGCGCAGATATACACCTGGCGGCGTCGCTGCGGAGAGTACGCGCGCCCTCCATGCCATCAGGACCTGTCACTGCGCCCTGGCGAATTGTATGGACATTCGGAGCACGCAGCTGATGCGGCGGCGTCCGTGGGACCATCACCTATCTGCTCCTGCACCGAGTCCCGACTGGACGATCCGAAGTCGAGGAAGGTTGCCTGCGCCTACCTCGTGGTGGGGGTTACCGGTCAAATCCTTCGCGACCGTCTTCATCATGCAGCACACTCACTCTGTCTCCAGCTCAAATACGAGTCCAACGTTCACCGTCAACGTTCAATACTCCAAGTCCAGGTTCAAGTCCAAGATCAGCCGCGGGGCGAGCGCAGCCTGACATATCGATGACTGCGCTTGCTTGCGGGAGCAGTAAGTAATACCGATGACGGCAATCGCCCGCACAGCCACGCCGGCAGCAATTGACAGCTGTGCTGCGCAACTCAAGGAGGCCGTGCCCGCACTTCGTTTACAGACTTCGCGGGTCCTTGAGACCCGAAAAAAGGCCTAGCTGATATCTCTGCGTCAGCGGCTCCCTACGTTGTGGCATTTATTCAAATGGCCCTAGTATATGGCTGCACCGAACTCGGACCGTTTTTCAGCATTTTTGAACGCGTACATGATGAACCGCGGCCCGCCTCAAAGACCCATAGGACACTGTATTTTGCTCGACTGCAGGTAAGCCTTACGGCTGGGGAGACGCAGCGAAGCAGGCTTAACATGTTCAGGGCGCTCCCGGACGGCGGATGAGCCTGGAACAGCGAAGAGATATCATGCATGCTTACATCTTCTGCATTTTTGCCGAGAAGCACGGCCAGGCCATGCTACACGCCGGGTCGACCAATCTGTCCTGCGATACCGAGGGACGGATATTGGGTAATATCCCAGGCGGGGTGACGCACTATATAAAGACTGTTTTCTGTCTCACGATACAGCGCATTTTATAGTCGCATGTCCGGGGCAGGCGCCCACCTGAGTGCCGGTACCAGGGCGCTCAGGCCGCAGGCGAACCCTTTGCGGCGCCTCTTCGTGTGCCCAGTTTGTACGGGCTGGCCGCCAGCTCTTCGAATGCCGTGCCATAGGAATGTGATGCAGGTAAGAAATGTATTGGGAAGACGACCGTGCATATGTAAACAATATGACACAAACAAATGAATAATGGTATGAGTGAGAGCAGGAGGGCGGCGCGGGTCACCAGAGACGCAGCAGTGGGGTAGAAAATGTGTACAGGTTTCACACCTACAGGGAAAGTACGTGTCAAGTGTTGGGATGCGTACTCCATGGAGGGCACAATTGAGTTGGGTGTGGTCAGGGTGATGGCATGAAGGGACACAAGAGGAAAGGGCTTGAGGAGCGGGGGAAGTGGAGAGGACGAGAGACGAGTGGTGAGAGTCAAAAAGCACATGTCCATAGCGCCGGCCAGCTGCTTCCAACTTGTCGGTTGGGGATGTAAGCTAATGTTATATTATGTTTACGTTGCACGGTAGCTATGGGTGTATGGACTAGTGGTTGGAGTGCTGTATGTCCTACAGATGAGGTCGCCAGTTCTAATCCCTGGGGACGTTATAATTTTTGCGGCTTTTCGCACGCTTTTCGCGTACTTAGGAGCCGGTCGGCGCTCCAGCCACCCGCAGCGGAGATCTCCGAAGTGCCAAATATTGTGGGAGAAATCGAGGATATGGCCCGAGCCCTGATGCATTATCGTGCATTCAAAAACAGTCCCGATATTGTGAGACATTTTGGACGATCAGGCGTGTACACAACGCTGGCTCCACGGGCGTAGCGCCAACATTGAAGCCGCCATTCTGCGCAGCGGTGGGAACGGCGTGCAATAGGTGAGCGTCCCATCCACGCCGGACCCCAAGGGAGACACACCAACCAACAATCGGCCTGAAACGACGCGTGCTTTCCTCCCCGTGCTGGACATAATTGCGCCGCTCGGAGCGCGTGCGCGTGCATAAGAGTGCCAGTACTCGAGAGGACGGACGTGCCTCCCACGAAGAACCACGCACCGCGACCCATTCACCCGCAGCACGATGTTCGCCCCCACCCTGACCCTCCTTGTTCTCGCCCTGTCAACCCTAACTGCGCCCGCGGCCGCGCAGAGCGTGACCATCGCCGCACCCGCCCCGAACGCCACGCTCCCGCGCGGCTCCAGCTTCGTCGTCGACGTCGACCGCCCGTGCGCCTCTTCCTCCATCTTCTTCCCAGTTGGCACCTCGCTGACTTTCCGAACCCCGACCTCGAACGCCCCAGGCGACCCTCACCGGCTCGCAAGACGTCGCGGTCGCGATCGGGCTCCTCGGCTGCCCGAACGGCGTCTGCGCGGGGCTCAACGCGAGCGTGAGCATCGGCCGGACGCTCTTCAGCGGCCCGTACGCGCCCACGCCGGTCGGGCACGGCCGCGCGGACCTCGCGCAGAACTTCACGGTGCAGGTCCCGGACAACTTCTCGCCCGGGCCGGCGCTGCTCAGCGTCGCGCACTTCGGGCTGATCATTGCGAGTGTTTGAGTTTGGCGTCGAAGCGAAGGCGGGGGTGCTGACGGATGCGCGCTTCGTTACAGGGATCTGAGCCGTTCTTGGAGGTCGTATCTGAGGAGGTTGTGATCGGGCAGTAGCGGTCGGAGGAGTGGAAGGATGTGCCGATGTGGATCCTCTGGGACCATTGGACATGAGTACGGTGCTACCACTGTGGGGAAAACATGTAAGCATGGATAGGCGTGCAGCACGCGTACCTGGAGGTAACGATCACTTTCCCGGACCATCGCTAAGGAGGTCTCGTTGGGGCGAAGTGCTAGCAGCGCCCCAACGTACGTCGGGGTCAAGTCTCCAACCGAGGTCTGACGAGCGAACAATGCATGCGATGAGTGATGTGATGTTACAAAGATGATGCTATGGAGGTACGATCAGGTAAATGGTACGAGATAGAAGTTTCGAGAAAATCAGCTTCGGGACGCCTCGCTGTCCGTCTTCTCTTCCGCCATCAGGTTCTGCAGAATCATAGGCCACACTGCAGCAGGCATGACGGGCGTCAGCGCTGACGGAACAACGAGAGGAACCAAGGCTTGCCTTGTTCGAATCCAGGCATGCGGCCCAAACGCAGCTGCTGACCGATGGACAGCATCGAGCCCTTGCGGACGTCGGTCCAATGCTCGAACATGTACGCAAGCTCGACCTAACGGTAGTCCGCAGCCACGCCGATAAGCCGTCGATATGAGGGATAAGATAAGATGGAACGCACCTTCCGCACGTCCTCGAACGCGACAGAGAAGGCGGAGAACACTTCGTGCGTGACGTTGTCGACAGTGAGCGACTTGGTGATATGCTGGAACGCGCGATCCTTGAGTTCCTGCAGGCCGATTTCTAGCGTCAAATCAGCACAGTGCGAAGACCTGGAGGCAGATCATGAACATACTATCTGCTAATCGGTACACCGACTTGGCGGATGGGGGCTGTGGTCGTCCAGGGTTGCAATGTTCCCACTCCACCATCCACTCCCTTCTTGTGCGATGTCCACTTCCCGTGGATATTGCGGACAGTGAAAAGGAATGATTGTGCTGGCTCTCCAAATGCGCCGCCGGGGTTGACGGAACTGAAGTGGAGTGTGAGACTTGGGGAAGACTAGATAACGAGGGCGAGAGAAACGAGGATGACAGGGGAGCGAAGACGATTGTGTTGGTATACAGCTGTGCGTGTGTGGTGAGCATGCGAGCGGAAGCGAAAAGACCAGAAAATAGACGCACGTAATACAGAATCGCCCGATATGTGGTATATGCGACGTCTCGAATGACGACCTTGGTTTTCTGGGGGCCGGGGACTTCAGGGGAATGTAGCGGTGATCTTGAACTTCTGCTTGGGAGGGTGCTGAAGAGTGTGCTGCATGTGCTTCCAGCTCTTCCAGTGCCAGCTCACGACCGCGTGGGGTGCAAGGATGAGTGGGATTCTGCCTCGCATTCCGCCCTTCACCTTCAGTATCATCCGAATCTCGAGGACTGTGGGTTCCCGTCGTAGTGTCGTCAGTGGAGGTGGACACCGGATTCGTGGAGGGCGGAGGGTCGGGGTGAGCGGGTCTGTAGTCTTCAAGTACCATGTCTTCGTGGGCCTCTGAGTCGGGGCTGTCGTCGATGTCAGCATGTCGTCATCCTCGGCATCAGAGTCGTCAAAGTACTGCACGTATGAGCCTACATCCGAGACGACGCTTGCGTCATCCGATTCCGCAGCATCCGCGTCGATAGTGCTCTCCGCAAAACCCGAGCTGAACACTCGAAGTAGGTCAGTCAGGTCACCTGAAGTTCGTAGATGCCGAGCTCACTCGCGTCGAAGTAGTCCACTCTTTGGAGTAGCTTGCGAGCCGCATATATTCTCCTCACAGGGGCCCTCCCACGCCGAGGCAGGATGAACTCCACGTCCGAATACAAGGGCTTGAACTTGTCAGCAAGGAAGAGCGAAAAAGATCAAGACTGAAGCTCACTCGTCAAGGAGTCCTCCTATCGAGTCCAAAAAGTCCTTCGACACGAAGTACCGCGGAACCGACGGCACAGGGAGTGGGCTCGTAGCCTCAGAAGTGATGGTGCAAATGATAATGAACGCGTCTTGCGATTTAACGGCGGTTGCCTGGTAGAACACGAGGTCTCTGCGCGCAAATTGAGCCCATCCCCAGTTTTGCGCCTATCCACCTCAATCAGCGGGGGAGGCGAACGTCACAGCTACAGATATAGACGCACCCCTGGATAATAGAACGCGTGGTCATGGGCCTCCTTGTGGTTGTACTGCATGGTCTTCGAGACACTGGGTGGGGGATGGACGTCAGGACTTGAGCCTGGGGAAAGGCGCAGATGAACGCAGACGGAAAGATAACGCACTTGCGGATCTCAAAGCCAAAGTTGAACAAACCATCGCGCGACCACCTTTCCCCATGGTTTAGGCGAGGAATGCCTTTCATACACGGCGGTCACTCACTTTCCGTTGATGGCAGCTTCTTTTTCTGCAGTCGTGGGCTACGAGAGACGCTTGGCGGTCAATCAACCACGAAGGCGCCAGGACGAACGGCGTGCTCACCTCGCACCACAAGTACAGACTGACAAAGGTCTGACCGTCCGTTCCTATGTTCCCCGAGTTTGCATAGAAGAGAATCTGCGCCTGCCTCAGCGGCTCGCTCCCTTGGATGACCGTCGCAGGACTGACTTGCCATCGACCGTCTCCGAACCTGGGGGACTTGATGACCTTCGACTTCGCCTCTCCCTTGCTACAAGGGCCATAAGAAGCCGTCACAAAGACAATCCCGAGCAACAGCACCACCACCACGCACCTGCTGTCAAAGATGTTCGCCAGTCCGCGCAGAGTCCACTCAAAGCGGATGGTAGTGTTCTCCTTCGCGTCGCAGTCCTTGAGCGTACCAGTGTTCAGGTGGGAAATCGACATCATTTTCCCCAATTCACCATGAGAATGTCGGCGTAGGGAGGAAACGGGACAAGAAGGGGCGGGAGAGGAATGTCACGGTGGCGCGCACAGTGTGGACCCCACGAGCGCGCACAAGTCGCGTGCTAATAAAACAAACACTTCAGGCTACGGGCGCCAAGTGGTGATCTTACCTACTACAAAGCATAGATTAGATCTATCAAGGTGGCAGGCTCCGAGGTCCGTCTAATGATATAACACCATCGACATCCCGTCTTTGTTGGCAATCCATGAGGTCTACGACAACGCCGACACGCTCAAATCAATATAACCGTCTGGCCAACACGCTCGCTCTATCTGGGCGTACTAGTCTTGCGCGACATCGCGGACTGGATTGAAACCTGACTCAGAGACTCGCTGGGGCCGCGCAAATATTGGTCTATGCCATAGTCCATCTCACTTCATAGTGAGCTATTCGAACCGCGGGACGCATGCCGAGAATTTCGCGTTTCGCAAGTTCACTGGAACTCCGAGTACAATGTCAAGGTCCATCGGCAGGAGCATATGCTTAGTATCGCTGCGCACGCCGCGCCAGGGTGCGGAATACAGCGTGCGCAGACATTTCACAAATGCGCTCTCGGCAGGGCCGTGCTCAGGCATCTGGAAAGGGTACTACTGCATCACACTTTACCAAATTCTCGTGTGTCTCCTTTCCAAGTCACCTATCGCTGATGACTAGTGGCATACTACTCAAGCGTGCATACGTGACATCTGAATATCGTACAAATGATACTGTTCGCCGACGGTCTGCGTAGTAGTATCCGTACTCGTCAGTGGCAATCGGCTGTGATAGAAATCGAGACAACGCACAGATTCCTCTACAAGGGCATTCGCTCCTTGTCCTCGATCAGCTTCAAGACCTTCCTGAGAAACTTGTTACGGGACTCGAAGAATCTCCTTTGGCAGAAGTCGCTCATGAACGGGTACCACCCCTGGTGGGGACCAGACTCCGAGTCGCCCTCATCGTACAGCACCTCGAGCTCCTCGGGGTCATCGTCGAGTAGGGTGCGTCCCCAATGCTGTCGCGCCCACTTCACCTGGAGCCCTTTACCCCCAGGTGTTACTCGGATGCCGATGACGTCCACTGAGCCAAACTTGCGTCCGAGAATCTTCCCGTACCGCTTCATCTGGTTGTACGGGTTACGCTTGACCTTGTCTTCGACGATCAGAGCGACGTCGAGTATGCCTCCGTCCTCGTGTTGAAGCGTGACGGCAAAATCGGGGATACCGACATGACGGCGGGACTTCTTGCTAGTAACAAGGCGGGCGAACTTGTCTTCGTTATATCCGGGGTGGTTGGCACCGGCGAACGACACATCTCCGCTTCGATCGGACGGAGTGGGCACACCGACACTAGACGACAACGAGGGAGCGTTGACGTGAGGAGTCGCCGCAGGCGCGTGAGTAGATCTAGAAGCACGTTCCGGGGTAAAGAGTTCATCAGTAAGAAAGAGGCCATCAGCGCCGCAGTCTGTGGGACGTTCTAATAACTTCATATCAATTTATTGCATCATGATTCTACAAGCTGGGACACTTACCAGCGTTCATTTCTTGACCTCGCTTCGACTCATCTTCGGCAGTACCCCGATGTTGTCCGAAGATAGCCGGGTTAGCGTCTTCAATCCGGGTGCCGTTGTCAATCTGAAGGGCGGTGAAGTATGTCTGCGGGGGAGATGGCCTGTTGGTTCGGGTGGGAGTCTCTAAAACGTTATGAAGACGCCGTGGCTCTGAATTCTGTATGGAACTCCGTTTTTTTCTATCCACTACGGAGGGCGTACCGTGTTGGACAGGGGCGACATTCGTTTTTTCAGCTGTCTTGTGATTAACCGCCGCGGTCCAATCCCCGAATTTCTTCAAAATCACATCTGTCTTGAATCTTTCCGGTACGAGATCCAGCTCTTCTATAATACGGGCCTGTGGAGATACGCCGAACCAATCCATAAGATATATTCTTGCTTGAAGGAGCGGGTTCACGAGCGCATCCACCTCGGCCTCAGTGATGTCGGCCTTCTCGGTGATCTCGTTCGCGTTATTGACAGCCCAATCGGGATGCGACGACTTGAACGTTTCGTACGGCTAGTAATACCGAGACAGATATTGAGTTATGGAAGTCACGATATGAAACACAGGCATGCACAAACCTCGTCGATAAGCGCCATTAGCTTCTCCCTCTTCGTCGGTTTACGTTGCTGAACCAACCATAACACGTCATATCCTCAAAAGCGAGCACAAAGTAGTATAAAATACCTGGATAGACATCATATCCTTGTATACGCGCGCGAACGATTCCATCCTATCCTGAAAGATTGATGTAAGCCAGACCCAATGAATGATGAATTGGGATCATACCGTAAACTTCTCCAACTCAACAATGCGCTCCTTCATCTTGTCTACCTTATCCATTGCAGGGTGTCTATTACTGTGCCTTGTTTCCCTATTCGAAGAACTGGTGACTGAGTAGAACGCGGCTGATGAATAACAATCTTTGACTTGCCTCACAGGTCCCTGTATATGGCCGAGCTAAGATTAACCACCATTTCCATGCGGCTCAAGCAACAAAGACGTACCAACTCTTTCTGACAGTCTCGCACTGTATACTTCAACTCGTTGACTTGAACGCGCGCATCGCGGGCTAGCTGTGTGGCCTCGTTGACCAAGGATTCTAGCGCCGGGGCCTGTGATGCTTGCGCAGGTAACGACGACGGCGGGCCGATCGTAGTCAACTCGGCTTCTAGAGTCTCAGCGATCGTGGATGAAGTCGAGCGGACGACGTTTGTAGATGACTCCGCACGTCTACAGAGACAGAGACAGTGGTAGAGTGGTCAAGAGCACAAGGGATTTACTCACGTTTCGCCGGCAGTGAAGAAACGCTGCCTCCTCGGCTCGTCGTCCAGATTGTCTTCGGCCTTCCGCTTTCCTTTATCCATGTGAGCTTAAGATTGAACGTGAGGTAAGGTCTATCGTGATGAAGACTCGATGAGACGAGCGGCTCAACCGGCCTGGAATGGACGGGTCTGCCGGAGGTGAGGATGGGCGCGAGCGGCGTGGAAACACCTCGCGGAGACGGAAGTGGTTGAAGCCATATGATGTTGAGCTCAGTACAATATATGTAGCAGAGAGAACAATAGGCGGAGAGCATGTGCTGCCGGCCCGGCATGGTTTTCAGAACAGAGCTGAGGGCTCGGGAGTCGGAGACTCGGAGTGGTTGGTCGTACATAGACCACGTGCATCCACGTGATGGGCTGAACTCGAACATCGGCACCGGCGTCAGCGCCTTCGCTCTTGATCACCATCCACGACCTCTCGCCACACACTGCTGCTTAGCTTTCCCCCCATCGACACACCTCGCCACCATGGCTACTACCACCACTACCACCACCAATGCCACCACTCCTGTCCCAATGGATCCCCCTACTTACACCTCTACACCCGTAGAAGTTCACTTGTCGGGCTACATCTTCTCCCTCGACGCTATTGCCCATCTCTGCGTCAAAGCCTACGGTATGTCGGAGGAATATGTTCGAAAGCAGGGAACCATCAACGTAGCGCAGAGATTTTTGGACAAGCACATCTCTCAAGACAGTCCCGAATTCATCCGTGTCGGTTGCCGATCGTGCTGCAAGGAATGGAACGACCCGACTTTTTCCCAACTCTATCTTCTCACCTGTCGTCTCGCGTTCGTGGCTCCGCAAGCGAAGATGCCAGACCTTTCTCTTGACGAGGAGACGAAGGCCTATGCTGACTACTGGTATCCTCCTTCGCTTCGAGGGCTGAAAGAGTTTTCGGACGTTCGCTACGTTCAAATGCGCCAACCTACCCACCACGGATGTACGTGTCTTTTCTGACCTTCAGTAGCCGGCTTCTGATGGCTGAGGTTCGGTTATTAGTCACCAGAGCAATGACTGGAAAGCAGTTCGAGTACAGGATGAAGCATGAATCGAGGCTAGCCGACGAATTTCTGGCGTTTAGAGCCCTGGACTGGATGAAGGAACTTGAGGAATATGGGAGACCGACTTCGATGATGGTGAGTATTTCTTTCGTTTTCTGCGGAAGTTTGTGCTGATGAGCCTAGTCTACCGGTCTCCCGACGCACTACGCTTTTAGGAAGTCGTCGACAACGGCAAAGGCACTCCGGTCATCCAGACTCTCTGTGAGTGGAGCTATACTTCCTGGTTCCTGGAGCTTATTTGAGTTGCAGCGTGCATGGTCTCCATACAAGCGTCCAGAGCGTCCGCGCGCCAAGTAGCCCTCTCGCTCGTCTCCTCCTACCCCTCCTCGCCTCGAGCTTTCGGAAGGCTGTCACGCTTCTCCATACTTGCGCTCACAATCAACGCGGACATCGCACCGATGGCTAGCGTGACGAAACCCGCCGTCGACCTGCTCGCCCCTCGTCAATCACGCGACTGACATGGCAACACTCGCTTCTTTTGATTATAATCGTCAATCCTCGTTGTCCGCTTTGTCCGTCCATCTTGCCGACAGGTAGTCAAACGACTTTGGAAGCGTCTTCTGAGATTGCACTCTTGCAATTGGCAACTTTCAACAAAGCCCCTTCATTCGACTCCCCCATCCCAGCCATCGATCCACGTCCTCCGTTGGACCGACCTTCCCTGGACGATAGCCTTTGGTGCAGAGTGGACATGTTCTGCCACTCGTACGCTGGCGCCAGGGGTGGACGTCGAGACGTCGCCCCATCCCAAGCCCCAATTACGCGAGAGCGTGACGTGCGGTCAAGTTTTCCACATCCCGGCCCCCAGCCTGCGCCACCGATGCCTTCAACCATCGCTCGTCATCTGCCGGATCCGGGATCGTAGCGAACCTACACTGGAACGACAAATTCGACATCCGAGTCTAGCACTTAGCTGACGTCAACTCTTCTGGTCCGTGGTCTCCTATCGCGACCTCATCGGCGCGAAGACTGCAACGCGTGAGCTCACGCCACGAGGGTCGTGCTCACGTTCCCCAACATGACCGAGTAGATCAAAGCTGTTTGTGTTGAGGCTCGGGGTGAGTTTTACGGTTCTGTCCGTCTCTTCTGCCACTGACGCGTTGTATAGGGAGTCGACCAGGAGTCCATGGATCGAGTCTTCTCATGCCGACGCGGCCGTCACCGTCATCGACATCGATCAACTTGCGGACCGTTCGTGCTGCACGCATTGATTCGCTCCGTTCTTGCATTGGCTGCGTTCGAGAGCAAGGAACTGACAGCGACAGCCCTCTTCGTCGCCATTATAGTTACGGGGCGTTGGTCCCCCCTCGCGGTTGATGTCGCAGGCTGAGGCAGCACAGCGCGGAGGCCACTCCGCCTCTGCTTGCATAGCCTATTGTTATTACATATCTTTATCTTCGGCTTTCGTCTATGTTCTGGATGTGCGTAGAAGCATAATGCAAACCCCCTGTACTTCTGCTCTGGTACACCTTGAACACGTCTTCAAGCTCAGCCTGTCTGATCGCTATAGCACTAGATCCAGATTTGCGGAACCGTTTCGAGGTAGTTTTACCCGCACCTTGCACCAACTTTTAAAAGTTCTACTGGTATAGGCTTTAGGGGAATAGATCACAGGACACCGGGCGCCGTCTTCAAGGAAGCGGTGTTGGTGCGTTCTTTGCGGCCGATTGTGCCATCCCTCCGCTCACTGTCGTCGCCTCTTTCTGTCCATAGCACAGGACGTGCTCGCGGCAACGCCCTTCATCACGCCTCTGGAGCGGCTGCGGGTCCATCGTATTTCCCCGCCGGGGTCGATTCGCGCCCACCCGAGCAGCCTACCGTCCCCGCCGACTTCGACCGCGCCACGCAGAATCCAGAGCGTGCTCACGTTCTAGAGCGCAGTCGACCAGGACATGACGACGAGCAGGAAGCGCAACGAGTTCGGCGGGGTCGCCGAGTGCGAAATCACCTGGGAAAACGCGTACCTCGAGGGAGGACAGCGAAGAAGAAGAGCTCATGCGCTGATCGCTGATAGTTGAGACGCGGTGTCGTACGCCTGCAGCGATGAGGGCGGACCGGAGTGGCCCACACCCACATTTTTCTGCGTGCTGCTGGACGTGATGAAGCGGATGGGGAGGACATGAGCAGTCCGGGCGGCAAAGAGGAGCTGTAGTAGGGCGATAATGTGCATCTGGTATTAGTAGTCGCTGGATCTGAAAAGCGCGCGTCGTGCATTATGTACGCTATGCAGCGTCGCCGCGAGCCTCGGACAACCGCCTCCACGGCCACCACCATCACACTCCTGCCTAGGGTAGGCTTTTCCTTCAACATCCTCTTGCCCTTCGCCCGCTGCGCCGACTCGACCTTCCTCTCTGGGACTACGTCTGTATTCTATGAACCATGCTGGCTGGGTGACAAAATCCAAGAGAGCACTCCCTGCTTTCTACCGAAGGCATGTCTTTCCCCAGCAAGAAGCGATACCGAAAAACCCAGGCCCACCAAGCCACCGAGGCCCATGGAAGGTGCTGCAGGGACAAAACCTCCTCGAAGGACTCATACACCCCCCCGTCTCCATTCTTTCCAAACCCCAACCAACACGCGTCAGCCCTGCGATGGAGGTGCCGAGGAATATGAAGTTGTTGGGCGCATACAGCTGGGTCAAAGGAGCGTCGACGCCAACTGTTATCGTCCCTGGTGCGTACTCCATGCTTGTCATGCGTAGTGTCGTTGCAGACGAGCCATCGCCGCAGGCAGCCCCCCACAGTTGGGCCTGCGCCGACCGCCGTACTCTCTCTCCGCGGACAAGCCGCTCCAGATCAGCGAAGAGAACTACTTCCGTCTGGGTCCCACCGCGTCGCCTCTTCTGCCGCTCTTCTGCGCCGTCGACGTGGTGGAACAGAGCAGAGAACGGCGCCGCGAAGACGACGGTCCACCATCCGCAACTTTGTCCGACGACCGCTCCCCCTTGCACCTCCCGTGGTGGGCCGTCGACGTCGTCGCGGATCGCGAGTGCCTCATTCGCCTCCTCCGCTGGCTTTGGACCGACTCCATGGAACAGAGCAATAACGACATCGACCCCGCATTAAGACTGGAGTCCAAGGGATATCCAACCGACACTTTGGACAGGTTCCGCATCGACGTCCAGCTTGTGGGGAACAGGACGTTACTGCTGCACCGATGGGAGCGGCGGCCATGCGAGTATACCAGGGACTCTACTCACGACCGTGGCTTTATGCGCATGAACACAACGCCGGCCCCGGACTGCGAAGACACATCAGGTCACTACCGCATCCTGAACTTTGTGAGTCCAATAACCTGCATGCCTCTCGCGCTTCCTCACGTCGGCATCAGGAACTAGGCGGCATGAAGCTCGTCATGTCCAGCAAAACGGACGCGTGTCTCCCCGACGGCGCGCCGTCGCTCGACAACCTCATCCAGCAGACGAAGCTCGACGCGCAAACCTCTCCCACTCCTCGTCCTCCAAGTGAGCGCCCCTACCCCGAAATGCCACTTCCGGTCCCCACACGCGTCGTCGCCGCCCTCGACGTCGTCTCCGCTGGCACTCTCCTACCTAGCGCGCGGATCGTCGAGTCCAAACCCGCCACGTGGCCGCTGCCCGCTCTCCAGCCCGCGCGCCGCGTACGCGCGCCTCCTCCTCGCCGACACCCCGCACGTCGTCCTAGGCCGTTATCGCCGCCGCAAGCACATGGACCAGTGCCGGTTCGCCGACGTCGAGGCCGTGCCCGAGACGCGCTGCGGCCGGACGCGGACGACGAGCTGTGGCCGGCGTTGCGTGCGCTCACCCAGGTGCTGGCGGACGTGCGTACGCTGCTGCTGAGCGGGCGAAGACGGGCGTAGCCGGGCGGCGGGCCAGTTTGGTGTGTCAGAACGGGCAGCTTCAGCTCTTTGCGCGAAGGTATGGGGAACGGGACCTGACGAAGCGGGATATACAGCGGTTCCTGGCTTCTACTCTCAATAGGTGCTGGCAAGGTCTTGTTTGTATGTACGTTATCTACAGTATAATGATCTACTCTATTCAAGATATTTGAGTACACGTCTTCCAATGTATGACTTCCCCCGACAATATTCCCCCACCCGGCGCATGCTCGAGGTGCATTGCCAATGCACGGCAACTTTGGTCTCCCCTAGGCGATCATTCCCGTACATCCTCGTACAGATGCGCGAGAGCAATAGCAAGCGAAATCTCCATCGGGAGGCTGAAGATACACCCGAGCCTTACTTTCATGGTTCATGCGATGCAAGAGGACGCTGAAATAGTGGGTGTAGTGGCCACCTTGTGTCACCACCCTTCAAGTTGCCTGGCAACTCGCCAAGGGTTCCCTCTGAGGCCCCTCTCCGCCGGCTGTTTGCACAAGATCAGGTTCCATCTACCCCACTTCAAGCTGCTATGGCTCTTATGCCGTCTTCAGTGTGCTGCCGCAATCTTGCCCACCTCGCCACAATTTTCTCGTCCGGACCCTCCCTCACCCCTCGTCTCAGTGGACGTTGTTGGCATTCAATTGACGCCTGTGGGTAAGGGCTCCTATATGAAGCGGGCGCGACGGCACTAGGGGCGCACCCTCGGCGACAAAAGCCCAGAGGTGCTTGAGGTGCTCTACGACGAGGGCGACTCGGAGTCGGGCCTTTACCAGGGATGGTACCGCTTATGAGCGACTTCTGCAAGCAAAGGTTTTTCGAGTCTCGTCAGAAGTTCCTCAAGAAGCTGTGGAAGCTGATCGAGGACAACGAACGAATTCCTTTGAAACAACGCACCGAGTTCTCGACAAATTCAACCACAGCTGATCGTTGGTATGGATAAGTACTACGAAGACCGATGATACCATTTGTACGATATTCAGATGTCATGTATGCACGAATTTCTTCAGCATGCCATTATTACTAGTATGCACGTAGCGATGTTTTGGCGTGTGCAATGGATGTGATTTATCGTGGTTGGTGAAGCCGTCGTTTAGCGACACAGGCAAAGACATACGATGACGCGATAACAACTAGACCTTCTCATCCATCAACGCCTCGTCCCCGAAGAAGCGCTCCTGCAGCATCATTCGGACTCGTCGGGCGCCCCAAGCACTGGGCCCCAGGGGCATGGCCCGTCTCATTTCCTTGAGTCGCGAGCACGAATATTCTTCTGCTCTCACTCAGCTGCACAGCACTACAACTTGATTGGCGGACGGAGGACTCACGACAATATCCTTGAATTCCTCCAGATGAGCACCAACTTCATCTAGAGAACCGAGTATCTGCTGACATGCGGGATCGCCATTTGATTCACTGTACAAGACACATCAGCTCAGAACTTCTCTTGCTGTGGCCAGCATGGAGAGGGTCGAGCACTCACGGGTCTCGCTGAATAAAACCGCGTCATCAGCAAAACAGAAGCGTAAAGATACCAGCGCGACACGTACCGCGATCACGTCCTTACACCGGATCAGGCCCCGCTCTATGCCGCGGACGTGGTCATCCAGTTGCGCGTTCAGGCCGGCGCGTACTTCTATTGCGTTCTTTACGGATGACCGATCTTCGTCTGGGGTATGACGATGGGATTCTGCGCAGAGTGACCGGGTTCCTCTGCCGCCACTGACAACCCCTTAGCATTGGATACACTGTGGCGTATCGCAGTTGAATGAGTGTGGCTACAGGTGAGCAGACACAAAAACGTACGTGGGCGGGGAGACCCTAATTGGTTTGGTTTTCGGTCTTGAGCGGTCTTTGGATAGGCGGGAAGACATGTGGTGAGAGGTTGTGGTGAGAGTGTGAGGTATCTGGGAAAGAGAAGGGAGAGAAGTCGTCGAAGTCAGTGGTGAAAGAGGACAATGGGTGGCACGAACAATGGCCGTGCCTGAGTGGGCCCGAAGGCGGAATCCATTATTCCCGAAATGACTTCCATGATGTGTTTCGTGTCCATTTGAGGCCGTTAGTCTTCCGTTATCTGACTATGCTTCAAAAGCCAAGGGCTGGGAACTATCACCTTCACCTTCTAATTATAAAGGCGCATGTTTGGCACACAACTTTCGTCATCGAGTCGCAAAGAAAAATGAGTTAAGCCTCCAGGGTGGCGAAATGCCGCTGTCCGAGATAGGTGTTGTAGAGAAACATCTGGGAACACACCGAGATCGGCATCCAGCACTGGCCTATCATCCTGCCCGTGAAAACGCTTCGATACTTAGTCAATGCTCGTCAAGCTCCCCTGCGACGTCGCATCCGTGTTATCCGTGTCCGTCGCGTCGGTCGCGCCATCGTCATCATCATCGTCAATCTCCTCTGCCCGCGTCTCCGTCCTCGTGGGCCCCCATCCTACGCTCTGTCGCCTATGCGCCTGAGCCTGAGCCTGCATCTGCGACTGCGTCTGCATCCACGACGGCCTGTGCGGGCTCATGGGACGCACGCCAAGGCCTTCGTGGCGCAAAAGGACGTCAACCCCACGTACATTCACGCAGCGAACCACGTCCACGTCGATCCGCGTACGCAGTGGCGCAGAAGGAGCGGGAAAACAAAAGAGAGCACGTTGAGCGCGACGCCGCACACCTCAGAAGCGCAAAGCTGATTCACCGTTCATGTTCATGTTCATGCTCACGTTCCTGCCCACGCCCACGCCCATGTTCATGCTGCCCATCGGCGCGTTCACGTACGCCCCGAACGGCCGCGTCGGCGTCGGCGTCGACCCCCGCACAGGACTCGTCAGTCCGATCGAGCCTGACGACGCGCGGTGGCCCAGCGGCGGCTGCCGGACGGGCGTCGGCGTTCGTGGTACGCCCAGCGCGGCGACTGGCAGCGGGCGCGGTTGGACGAGCTGCGGTTGCGGCTGGACGACTTGGGGATGCACCGGGGGCACGGGCTGCGCCAGCGAAGACGGTGACGGGCTCTCACTCTCTGGAGTGAGAGGGGCATTGGTCCGACGCACAAGAGGGGGCGACGAGGGCACGGGAACCGCCGTGCGTGGTACAGCGGTGGGCGGAGCGGCGGAGGTTGGTGATGGTTCCACGTCTGGGACCGCGTCGAGGCCAGAATGGATGTCCAAGGAGTCGTCCCGAGCGGGTCCGAGGTCGAGGTGCGGAGGCCCGAGTCGGCGCCCATTGTCCGGTGTATGATGACCGCGTTCCTCGTCGTAGGGAGCGTGGTCGTCGTCGATATCGAGGGTCTGGCTGAGGTGTTCGCGTTCATTTTCGCGCGCCTGATGGCGGTTGCCTTCGTCCACGAGCGGGGGGTCGTGGCCCTGATGCTCATCTGGGTGATGGTTGTTGTCCACGTACTGGCCCTCATCCGATACGGGTGCCTCATCGTCCACGGCCGCGCTGCTCTCCGCTTCATACCCGAGCACCGAACCGGGCTGTGACACCTCCGTTTGCTCCAGTGACTCCGAGTCCTGATCTGCTTGCTGGTGATGGTACCCCCGTGGTCGCTGGTAATAGAGTTCGCGCTGCACGCCGGCCCGGCCAGAATAAGCAGAAGAAGTTTGATAGGCAGGGTCATGGTCATGCACATAGCTCTCGCCGTACCCCTGCACGCGCTCCCACTCTTCCTGTTCCCACTGCAGCCGCTCCTCCGTCTCCTCGGTGGTCTCGCCGGACCCAGGAAGGTCTGCAGGTACGAACAGCTGCTGATCCTCGTACTCGTCCGACGCGCCGTCGAGCACGAGCTCCGGCGGAATTGCGCCCGGCTCGCGATCCGCAGGGAGAGGTGGTATCCGGTGGAGGAGTCCGAATCTGTGGAACCGGGGGACGCGACGATCGATGAGCCTATTGAAAAAAGACAGGGGCGCGGGGCGACGTACCCGAAGACACAGCCTAGGAGCCCCTCGCCGCCCCAATGGCGATTAGGTATCATGACGACCTCGCGAATGGTGCTGAATGCGTGACAGCGCAGATGGGAGAGCATGGAATAAGCGGATGACAAAACCGGGCCGCAACGAAAGCGGGAGAAGACAGGCACGCACTCGAAATCATATGAATAGACGTATACGCGAAGCGGCTTTTCAATATGCTGCAAAACGGCCAGTCAGGAACACCGCGTGGGGCACACGGAGCGGTAACGGTAGAAGGAAAAGAGCAGGGACGGGACGGGGAACGTGGGTGAAGATGGATGGACTCACCGCCTCGACCATATCGTAGAAGTCACCCTCTGCGCTGAGAACGCCGCCGGACCAGCCGATGATCCAGTCTCCGTATGGAACGAGGCCTGCACTCTCAGCAGGACTCCCTTCAAGTACGTCTAGGACGTGCCAAACGTTGTCCAGTGCGAATTCGGGCTCGCACATCCGCATACTCAGACCAAGGAGCGAGGGCTTGCGTTCAGCCTCGGGCTCTTGGGGATCCGGGATGCTTGCATGCGGTGAAGACCAGTCACGAGCGGGAACAATGGGTACGACTGCAGGACACTTAGAGAGTGTTGTCCAGGTCACGGACGTGCGACATACCGCGGGTATCCTGACTCTTGCTGTTCCAAACCAATAGGTTGAGGGTGCGTCCCTCATGACTCTCCACCAGTCGTTCCAGTTCCGACGCATCTATGGTGTTGGTGTCCGTGAGGGTGTCGCCCTTGTAGCCGACGACAAAGTCGAAGTAGGGCTCGATGGTCGTGTCCGAGGCGGGGGAAGAGGGGGTGACCCGGAGAACATGTAGGGCGCGTGGCGGGGTCTGTGTCGCCGTGGACTGGCCCGCTCCCATCCCTAATTAGCGGCGGGGACCGTGGAGCGTAAGATCCACCAGTGAGAGCAGATGTTAAGCAGAGGAGGTGAAAAGCAAACAGAGGAGGACCACTCGGCAAGCCTCGCGGTCGTGACGCGTTGCACGCGCTCATAATAGACGCTCATGCTGTGTGCTTCCCGAACAGGCAACTCTACAAGTTCAACGTCACTGAGACCGAGACCAGTGCTCATAAAATCGTTCGTGTGTCAATTAAAATATGAGTATACGGGAAATTCTTACTCACAATCCTGACGTTGCTGTAAATGACCGCAGAATGCCTGCTTCCTCCGCCATGGAAACATCAGGTTCCCTTCAAGAACCGCAGCCGTGGACTTGACGAGAACAACGCCAGTTTTTCCGAGATACAATCCGTGCATATATCCGAGGTATACGCTGCACGTACCGCCATCAAGCCCGTGACTATTCAAAGTCAAATCCAACTGAATACCTCTGCGCCAGGGTTCGCCGCGCATAAAAATGATCCCCGTCCTTGAGTGTCCGATACGGCCTCCCTGAACGGCCGTGCCCACTAGCCGATTTGGTGCCCGGCCCCGATCTCGACATTAGCTTACGGCAATATCGCACCGGCCCTGCGAACATTCCCGAATCCCGACACGGTTTCTTCTCCGAATCCGCAGCTTACTTGCCTCTAAAGTCCTAGCGCAGCGAGCGGGTCGCGTGGCAGCCTCTGAATAGAGGTCCTCAGAAGCTACCGTTGAGCCGGTCAGAAACTTCACTGTATGCAGACATAACAGCCCACTCGCCACCTCACGCACCGCATGTGTGAGCATGTGCGCTACGGAGCCCCACAACCGCAAGGACGCGAAAGCAGGGTGGTTCAAAATTCCTCCGCGGTCCGGTTCCTGCGCCGCGCACCCGCGGCAGTCCGCATGTGCTTCGAGCTTCGTCCATCGCGAACGAGACAAAGTCCGTCGGGCGCGCGCCGCGGTAGAATGTTCCTCCGTATTCGACCCGGAGGAGCCCCGAACATCACCCGGGGGGCTCGCGCGCCCGAAGTCAGCGGGGCCCCACGCACGGTCAGGGGGTACGGAGCCGCGAGCGCGCTCAGAACCGCGGGCGCGCCAAAGCAGGGAAGGGCAGTCTCTGGCAGACTACGGGCCCGCTTGCGGCTTCGCTTCGCGCGGTACACGCTCCGAAGACGTGTACAATGACGCGAGCGTGTTCGGGCGTTCGATGCAGCCTTGGAGATGCGCACGCGGGCACGGAAGGGAAGAAGACTCGCTGAGGCAACGCTTAGTTCCGCCGTACTATACATGAGGATCTGCTCGAACGCAGACTACATATCCAGGATTTCCCGCAAGAGGAATGAAGGGTGAGCGATTCCTAGGTCTTGTAAGGGCCACTACCGGGGAGTCGGTTCTTAGGTCACCTTGGAGGATGCGAGTGACAGCAATGAATTAAGAAGCACGGTCGAGGAAACTGACATCGTCGGTATCTTTAGAAGACTGGACGGGGGCCAGTGATGGAGGGCGGAAGCTGGTGACCTCATGATTATCCGAAGATTCGTGATGGCGTGCGCTAGCCTGCTAGTCTCGGTTCCAGCCGTTCTGTCGCTGGGTCTCTGAGGGAGTGTGGAGTTTTGCATCAAAACTCCCATCACGATCAAGTCGGCCGTTATAATTATCACCTGTACCTCACGTTCTTTTAATCAATTGATCTGGTGTCACCCCCCTGGGGTGATACCAGATTCGGAGACTGCAAATGCGTAACTGTCTGCCACTAGTAGACCCTCTACGAATAACGGCTGATATTCCCTGCAGGGAAATGGTAGAACGCGGGCATATGCCCAAGTCCCCCGCCCCCTTCCCCGACGTTCCCGAGGGCCCTCCTCCGCGAATTCCCGCGCTGCGCCTGATGGCCGCCCCGTCGGCGCCTTCCCCCATGCCGCGCCGCGCGCCCTTGATGGCCCCGACATCTCCGGACGCTGCGCGCCACCAGGTCTCCGCCGGCGCCTCCCCACTCCGCCACCCGTGCTCGCCGCCCCCAACAGCGAGCTCGCCGTTCCTGCGTCCTGCCCTCCCCTCCCCTCCGTTTCCCTCCGTTCCTTTTGGGATCCGCTTGTATTTAAAATGTGCACCTAATGGTACACAATGCAATAGCTGGAGTTGGCTGGGTGTGCCTGTACTGAGCCCTCACACCCCCCAAAATGCGTGCAATATAGGGACATACACAAGCCGTCAATTGATGGGCTAATTTCTGCAGCAGATAGTCGTAGATGATAGCTGCTGTAATATGAAATCGCAGGTGGATAGCTAGAGGGGTGCATGTATGATGTCATATGTCATTTCAGAATGACATACTCTACAGTGATATGGTATGTACATTTATCGTCCCATGTACACCTAGAATCATAAATAGAGATCCTTCAGAGTGCACTGCAACAAGAAGAAAGTGGAAAGACGATGTTGTGGTGAAGATATGACATATGTTCAGAAGGGTGGACTGCATTAAAATTGCGGCCTTGATATGTTTTTGTGCAAACCTCCAATCACTGTGCATCTTCTTGCGTTACTTTTATATGTATACAGAGAGCTCAGATCGTATCTTTCGTGCTTATCGGTGGAGGATTGGAGACAGGGTATGGTATGTCATTATTCTATGACATAGAGTATAGCAAGATGGCATGTGCTCCGATTGTTATTCTGAAAAGCGGAATGGATCAGGGCACTCTCCTGCTTAACGATGCAGAAGAGATCTCAAGAAACGGTCGAGAAGTGGTTGAGATATGTCAGATGGGTCTGGAATGGCAAGTTGTCCGGAGGACGCCCTGAACCACCTAGACCACTTTGCACACTTCAAGCTCATATGACATATCTCAACCACTTCTCGACCGTTTCTTGAGATCTCTTCTGCATCGTTAAGCAGGAGAGTGCCCTGATCCATTCCGCTTTTCAGAATAACAATCGGAGCACATGCCATCTTGCTATACTCTATGTCATAGAATAATGACATACCATACCCTGTCTCCAATCCTCCACCGATAAGCACGAAAGATACGATCTGAGCTCTCTGTATACATATAAAAGTAACGCAAGAAGATGCACAGTGATTGGAGGTTTGCACAAAAACATATCAAGGCCGCAATTTTAATGCAGTCCACCCTTCTGAACATATGTCATATCTTCACCACAACATCGTCTTTCCACTTTCTTCTTGTTGCAGTGCACTCTGAAGGATCTCTATTTATGATTCTAGGTGTACATGGGACGATAAATGTACATACCATATCACTGTAGAGTATGTCATTCTGAAATGACATATGACATCATACATGCACCCCTCTAGCTATCCACCTGCGATTTCATATTACAGCAGCTATCATCTACGACTATCTGCTGCAGAAATTAGCCCATCAATTGACGGCTTGTGTATGTCCCTATATTGCACGCATTTTGGGGGGTGTGAGGGCTCAGTACAGGCACACCCAGCCAACTCCAGCTATTGCATTGTGTACCATTAGGTGCACATTTTAAATACAAGCGGATCCCAAAAGGAACGGAGGGAAACGGAGGGGAGGGGAGGGCAGGACGCAGGAACGGCGAGCTCGCTGTTGGGGGCGGCGAGCACGGGTGGCGGAGTGGGGAGGCGCCGGCGGAGACCTGGTGGCGCGCAGCGTCCGGAGATGTCGGGGCCATCAAGGGCGCGCGGCGCGGCATGGGGGAAGGCGCCGACGGGGCGGCCATCAGGCGCAGCGCGGGAATTCGCGGAGGAGGGCCCTCGGGAACGTCGGGGAAGGGGGCGGGGGACTTGGGCATATGCCCGCGTTCTACCATTTCCCTGCAGGGAATATCAGCCGTTATTCGTAGAGGGTCTACTAGTGGCAGACAGTTACGCATTTGCAGTCTCCGAATCTGGTATCACCCCAGGGGGGTGACACCAGATCAATTGATTAAAAGAACGTGAGGTACAGGTGATAATTATCCCCGCACACTGGCCGTTCTTCTTGAATAGGTATCAAACATTGAGTGCAGAGTCCAGACAGAGTTACCCAGAGTCCAGCACGTGCGCGGGGACTTTTTCCCGCCAAGCAAAGGCGCGTCGTCGCGCCGCCTGGTGGGGTTGTCCCATTGTGGGGCGTCTGTGGATGTGAACGCGCTCCTGTTTTTGTCCAGGAATGCGTTGCAGCCCTGGTAATACGAGTGGACTCACTGCAAGAACTCGATTTCTCCCCCGCGGCGCCACCGTAACTGCCTCCGATACCGGGGCAAGCGATCGGGCACTCCGCGGGCTTGTTCGGGAAAAACCTCTTCCCGAACGATCCTACAGGCGCGTGGTTGAGTAGCCTAACTACGGCGCGGCAGAACCGCGCCATCCTGTTTGTGGAGTGTCTGTGGGTCTCGAGCGCAGCGCTCGTGGTCTGTTTAGGTGAGTCTCAGAAAGTACTTCTCCGCATACGCCCCATGCTCACGGTACTGCTTTTTCTGGGCACTCACGCGATGCGAAGAGACCCTCTGGAGTCATCTGGAGGTCGGGAACAAGATTAGTGCTAGGCCAGCATCTTAGCTGAACAGCGCACGAATTTACAGGCATAACAGAAGTTGCGGGAGTTCTAGACCGCTAATGTGTATATTGCATGCCAATCAAAATGCTCGCGCACAAAGATGGGCTCCAAAGCGACCAGGAGGGAAAAGATGTGGAGGCAACTTGGGCCATAAGTTGAAGGGCGTGAGCGCAATCAAATGGAAGCCTCACCAAAGCTGATTGATGTAACCGCTACATCTTGCATGGAGTCTTTGTCTTCGACTCGTACGCGACAGAGTATGCATGTCGTTGTCGAGATCCCGTGTCGGAACGTGGTGGTGTCGACTGTAAACCTGGCCAAAATATCACAGTGTGATGCGTGACCTATGCGAAGGCAGGCGTGACAGACGAGATCACGCGCTGCTGACGTCGGCGCGATGCAGGCTCACTCTCCTCCACTCCTCACGCGCAAAACTTCCAGACCTGGTCCGAACTTGGTCTCGCTCCTAGCGACTTACGTTCGCCGCGGCTGAACACGACCCGAGGGGTGGTACGGCATGAGGTGCGTCGCACTTGCTCGTCCTGACGCGTCCACCTGACTAACGTTCGTGACTGGCGCGTCTTGATGACTGCCGCGGTGGAACAGTTGACTATATGTTCTTTTGTCGACACCAACTCCTGAGAGCACCTGCCCAGCGTGTCTTTAGCTCTCTCCCTCCCTCCACTTCCAAACGCGTCGCTTCACGCGGCAATGCCCCCCACCTCACCGCATACATCCACGCCCCACGTTCTCGTCCGCAATCACCAGCCACCCGCCACCAAAAGCTCAAGTCCTCCCCTGAAGGCCACAATATCCACACAGAGAGAAATTTTGAGGAGTCATTCGAGCGAGTCTTTGAGGTCTCTGACTCTCGCTTTCGTCGCGATCCCTCGTCCGCCTACCGCAAGCTCCGCCGTCTGAATCCTCATGACGTGCTTGATGTCCCCATGGATGTCCTCGTCGCTGTGGTCCTCGATGCATCAGAGAAAAAGGAGCAGGATATCATCAGGGACGTGGTCAACAACACTGTTCGTATGTTCTCCATCACACCCTCTCATGCGACCTCCATTGCGACGCACCTCCTCGTCGCACTCGTCAAATCACGAATATTGTCGAAGCCAGACATTTTCAAGCTTCTCAAAGCCATGGAACAGCACGGCAAGCTTCATGACATCTCCTACTCCCGGCGTGACATCGTTCTACGCGAGCTCATGCTGTATCCACCCTCCCTCGTGGACTCTGAGCTCTTCACCCTTGTCAGCATGTGGCTTTTGTCCCAGATAACCCACCGGAAGCATTGGCATAAGCTCCGCTCCGAAGACACCGCGGACGACGTCGTACCCGCGGAGGTCTGGATGCTATTCGAGGTCATCCACAAGATGGCGCTTTCCAAGACACCCTCTGCAGCGTCCCCGATCGTGGCTCAACTCGCTGACCTCGACATCGTTCACCCCGTCGCCATTGGAGACACGGACCTCAGCGCTCGTGACCTCCGCTACGCCATTACGTCCATCCTGGTCCGCTCCTGTCTCGTTTTCGGCTGGCACATCCGTGCGTCAACGCTTCTCAACCGCAGCATCTCCACTCTTCCCTCCCTCCACCAGCCGTTCGCCGAGCTGGTGGAACACTGGCTGCAAGACGCGCTCGCTAATCCCTCACCAGAAAGCCTTACGCATGCTGCCTCGTTTCTTTCCGCGCTCTTCGCCCGAGCCGAGGTTTGCACCGTCTCTGACGGGCTGATGGAGAAGTTCTACATCGAGGCATGCCAGCTAAATCGGGGAGACCTGGCCGAAGTCATCTACACACAGTCGCGCGCCGTCAAGAGTCACTCATACCGCCCTCCAGCCAGGTCCATCTTGTGGTTCATGAAGCACCTCGCTCAGGCTCGGAGCATGCAAGTTGTACGCAGTGTACTAGCGCAGGTTGCGGAAGACCCGAAGGATTTGGTCCCGCTCGCTGACCGCTCGTCATTCCTTTACATCGCCACTACTCTCGGATGCTTGAGCTACGTTCGGCAGATCTGGCTGAGGTGGTCTGCTACCCGAGATGCGTACATCCACATCAGTCGGGGATCCCTCATGGGCGTTCTCGTCCGCGCTTTCGTGAAGACGGCGGCCCGGCACGAGAAGAAGGCGCGGTTGTACTTGGCTGATGCAGGGAGCGCGGATCCATTCCGGATAAACGAGGACGATGAAGACGTACAGGCGCATGCGCAAGAGCAAGAGGAATCGGCGGACTCTATACACGAGGACGATCACCCCACATCTGATGCGCCACACTCGTCACCATCCCCGCCCCCAGACGAGGATGCGTCCACGAACGCTGTGCTCTCCCCATCCTCCGGTGACCCTGACCGTTCCCGAGCAGCCGCGACCGCACCCACGGAGGCAGAAACCAGGTTCAAGAGCACAAGACACCTACCACTCCTAAGGCCCCCGCCTCTCTCGCGCGAAGAGCACCTCGGACGCTCTGCGAGCGCCCGAGCATTTGCCGAGCGTGTCTATTCTGCCTTCCTGGACTACCACCACCCGCTGACCGACGAGAGCTCGCCGGCGGTGCTCAACGTCGCAGCGCACGCGGCGGTTGTGCTGGACCAAGACGAGCGGGCTTCCGCGATCATGCAGCTCATCCGCGCACGGCCCGGGCCTCCAGACATCTACGACCTCAACGTTGCGCTCTACGCACTGGCCAAGGCGGATCCTAACGCAGCAAGGGAACGGCTGGAGCAGATGATTCAAGCGGGCATCGCCCCCGACGCGGCGTCGTTCGGGACGGTGCTGCACTGGGCGGCGGAGCACGGGAACGTGCCGCTCACGATGCGGCTGCTGGAGCTCGCGCGCGATCAGGGGCAAGAGCTCGACTTCAAGACGCTCGCGCGGCTGCTCCGGACGGCGGTGACGCTCGCCTTCTCTGGCGACGCACGAGAGGCGGTCGCGGTCGCGCGGCGGCTGGCGAAGGCGATGCTCGACGCCGACCGCGTCCTCACGCCCCGGATGGGGCTCGACTGTATCACGATCGGGTTGCGCGCGGGGCACGCCCCGTTCGCGTACTGGGCGTGGGCGCGCTTCGTCGCGCGGCAGGAGGAGTGGGGGCGCGGGCAGCAGGTGCGGGTGCGGGCGCGGATCGTGCGCGCGGTGGTGGCGGACTTCGACCGCGGCGCGCTCGGGCGGACGCGCTGCTCACGGATGCTCGCGACGCTGCGTGTGCCGGCGAGGGTGCTGCACATGCCGGAGCCGCAGCGGCTGCGGTACATGGCCGCGGTGGAGGGCAGCCCGGGGAGGCGGCGAGTGGTGTGGGACGCGGCGACGCTGCAAGACGTTGACGAGGCGATTGCGTCGGTGTACACGGCGCCGTTCGGGGTCGAGCAGACGGGCTGAGGGCGACGCGAGGAGGGCGAGGAGGATATTATTGCCCCCGAGTCGGGTGATCTGCGTCGACGGTTCGGATGGAAGGCGCGCTCGGGTGGGTGGGTGGCCGCGGTCACGCGGCGAGGGAGTTGTGCGTCTCTAGCGCTGTGGGGCGAGGCGCGGACATGAACGGGGTGCTGGACGGAGGAGTCGAGATAGACTTACGCACATACTGTACGCCGTCGTAATGGAACTGAGCACAACACTCGGCGGGCGTGCGGTCAGCGGGCGAAGGCGGGTGCAGGTGGACGTGAACTCTGATTGAGGGAGGGATAGCCAGGAAAGGACGGTCGGGCCCGGGGCGGCGGGCGAAATTCGGCCGGGGATGCGCCGTGACGGAGACTGGGCTCGGCGGGCGCGTGACAACGGATCGGAGGCAGATCGCGCGGGGACGCCCGGGCGTGACAAGGAGACGCCGGGCTGGCGAGGACTCCAACACGCGAACAAACAACCCGGCGCGTTCAAAACTGTTGGAAACGGCCCGCTGCGCACCCCGCGCACCCTCGCTCGCGCACCAGTACTTGACCCGCGCCGCCGCACCCGCGCAAGGCACACCCCGCCCCCGCACCCGCCCCGCACGCCGCACGCCGCTCTCCCCCAGCGCCTCCCCCGCGCCCACGCCCACGCCCCGGACGCTCACACCCACGCCCACGCCCAGCCCCCGCCGCCGACGATGCCCTCGCGCGCAAAAAAAGAACCCAGCTCGCCAACGCCCCCTTCGGACGAGTGCCCAAAGGACGGTGCCGAGAACAGCAAGATCAAGAGAAAGTCAGTCTCCCTTTCTCCGAGGTTTCCCCGCTCCCCTTCACCCCTCCTGCCCCTGCCCCGCCCCGCCACTCTCCCCGCACCCCGCACCCGCCCTCCGCTCCCCCGCCCCCGACGCCCGACGCCCATGTACCACCCTCTCGCTCCGTTCACCGCGCATATACTGACCCGTGCTCTCTCCTCCGCCCCCCAGGCGGCAATCCCAGAGTGCGTATCCCCGCGTCCCCCCGCGCCCGGAGACGGCCCACTGACTCCACACAGGCTGCGATGCGTGCCGTGCACGCAAGGTGAGGTGTGCGCGCGAGAACCCGACGATCCGAAGGGATCCTGCAAGCACTGCATCACCCTCGGCATCCCCTGCACATACGACTATCAGCCCAAGAAACGCGGTCCCCCGAACTTGTGAGTGCCCTTGCTTCAACTCTTTCCCGCCCCGCCGCCCCCATGCCGCAGGAGATGAGGGAGAGGGAGGGGAGACCCGCATGCCAACGCGCCCCGTCTTGCCAGGTACCTCCGACGCCTCCAGGAAGCCGCTGCCGCCGCGGCGCAACAGGATTCTCAAAACGGCGCCGATCTGCCCGGCTCGCCCTCGTCCACCTCCCAGAGCGCGACGAGCCCCGTCCAGTCCGCGCTGTCCCCCGTCGCGCCCCACCAGCAGCACCCGCAACAGCAGCAGGTCCCCGCTTTCCTCGATGGGAGCGCGCTCGGCCCCGTGCATGCGTCCGCGCTCCCCCCATCGCGCTACCCCATCGCCGCCGACGGCTTCCACTCCCAGTTTCCGCCGCTCTCTATGTCCGTCTCGTCGACATTCGGGAACTCGCGCCTCGCCGGCGACCCCCACGGGATGCCCGCGGGATGGGCCACAGGCGCTCCCCCCGCGCGGAGGACCAGCCGCAGTACGGCTCGCCCTCTGACCAGTTCAGCACCTACCCGCTCCACAACTGGTCCTTCAAGCAGCACCAACAGTTATCGGTGCTGCCCCCCTCGGCAATCCCCCCACTCTCATACTACTATCGCCCGCATCGGCTCGAGGACGTCGCGCCTCGAGACACCATCCTGCTCATCATCGCCCTTTTCTTCGACTTCGTCTACCCGCTCACGCCGTGCGTGCACAAGCCGTCCTTCATGGCGACGTGCACTCGCGGCGCGAGGAACGCGACCCGCTCTTCTTCGCGCTCGTGATGAGCACCGTTGCGTCGACGCTCGTGCAGGTGCCGCGGTCGTACCTCCCCATGGAGCGACACGCGGTCCGCAAGCTCGCCCAGACGTGCCACGAAGCCAGCCGGCACATATCCGTCGCCTCGTACGACCCCCCGACGAGCATGCACGTCGTCATCCGCTACTTGTAAGTGGCCGCCCGAGCTCTCCGCGTGTTCGCACGCGTGTGGGCGCGAGTTGCGTGCTGACGAAGCCCTCCGCCCGTCTAGCGACTGTGTCTACCACTTCTGCGAGGGCCACGATGCGACACAGCACGCCGCGTTTGGAGAGGCGGCGCACATCGCGGTAACGCTTCGGATGCACGAAGAGTCATCCTATGAAGGGCTCGATCTGATCGAGTGCGAGGTTCGACGGCGGACGTTCTGGTTGCTATTTGGGGGTACGTGCCGCCCGTGCTCTGTCTTTCCCCACGAGGAGCTCTCCTGATCGATCCTTCCATGTGCTGACGGCGGGTCTTCCCACTCCCAGCCGACAAGTCGATGTCCATCCTGCTCGGGCGGCCCATCTGCCTCCGTGATGAGGACACCACGTGCAACTTTCCACGCGAGCTCGATGACGAGTAGTGAGTGCCCGCCTGCCCGTCCCGTGCCTCCGAGAATTAACCACCCCTTTCCCGCTCCTTCGCCTGCCCGTCTGGCTCGCCTCTGGCCCATGCTCGCCTCCCCCATGCACTATCCTCCTTCTTCCCCGCACTCGCTCCGTACCCCGCACCGACCCCACAGCATCACGCCAAGCGCGTACCTCCCGCAGCCGCACGGCAAGACGGCGATCGTCTCCGGGCTCAACTACACCTCGCGCATCTTCGCGCTCCTTGGCGAGATCCTCGTCCGCATCCGCGTCGACAAACGCTCTCCGCCGCAGGGCCAGTTTCTCACCGCGCGCCTGGAGGAGGTGCAGGCGCTGCACGCCCGCATCGTCGCCGCGCTCGCGCACGCGCCGGACCCGCTCCGGCTGAAGCACGCGCACGGCGGGCAGAGCCACCTCCCGCCCGAGTACGGAGGCGCGGGATTCCGCCAGGCGGCGTTCACGGAGGTCAAGGACTTCTTCGACAACCCGAATGCGAGCCGCGCCAACGCCCTCAACCCGTTCTTGGTCATGCAAGCGAACCTCTACGTCACGCAGGTGGGCTAGCGTCCGTTCTGGTTTGAGGTATATGAGAGAGCTCACAGGGCCTTTTTATCAGCAACTGGTCCGATTCGTGATCGAGCAGTACCGCGACGAACTTGTGACCTCGCTCCAGGGGGGCGTGGACGAGCATCGAGTGGTCGAGGAACGCGAAGCGGTGGCGTCCGACCTGCTCAACATCCTCCACAGGTGCATCTTGCTGCCGCGCTTCTCCCTCCACAGTGCTGACTTCCCCCGCGCAGCATACCCATTCAGTCGATTGCAACGAACGGGCCCTCTTTGGTGAGTGCCAATCCTAACTGCGCCCGCTGTCAGGCCTCGCTGCAGAGATGAATGGCCGGAGGCTGATCGTTATCGTCGCCCGACAGGTGCACAAGGTCCGGTTCGTCGCCTCGACGCTGCTCGACGCGGTGCGCAAGGCGGAAACAGCCCCGGCGTCCGCGGCGCGCGCGCATGCATACCTCTGTGAGTCTTTCCTTCTCTCCTTCTGCTCTTCCTTCCTCCTTCTGTTGTCGCCTTCCTTGATTTTCTGCGGCTCCTCGGAGCCTTGTTACCCCTTCTTTCTCTTCTCTACGTTTTTTATTATTGTGCACGCTGCCTTCGTCTTCTTTGCCGGCACCCTCACCGAGTTCCCACCTATTGCATCCGCGTCGCTCCGTTCTCCGAGCCCCGAGCCCCGCGTTCCGCGTCTTGTGTCCCGAGTACCCGAGCCACCACGCTTACACGCTTTGTCTCCCGCAGGGGACTTCTTGTCCATCCTTTCGGAGATCGAGCGGAACTATCTGTGAGTGGGCGCTCCTCGCTCTGCCCTGCATGCCGCTGACACGCACATCAGGCTCGACGACGATCGGACGGGCTGGGAAACGATGCAGGCATCCCGCTGATGGGCCAATGAGGACGGGACTGTGTCCGCGCCCGAGACCACCGTCCGTGCGCCGATTGACCCTGATCTGAAGCTCCAGCTCGGAATCGGAGCGTGACGGGCGCGGACGCAGGACGAGCACTCCGCCTCGGGCGCGCCGGCGGTTCGCTCTCGCTTGCGGTTGCAGTTGGTTACCCGGACGCTCATCGCTGCCCCTGTATCGGACCTGCGCATCTCCCCTCCCTCTCCCTCCCGAGCCTCGCGGTGGCACCGTATCTCCACTCCCATCCGGTGCACGCACAAGCCTCGAGAGACTCGACATCTCGACCTCGCCGTCTCACTCCAGCGCATCACTTGCGTCGCTTAGTGCCTGCTAGTCGGGCCCATTCGCCTCCCGCTCCTCCCACCCCCATCATTTTTCGACTCCGTGTTGACGCAGCACGGGGGGGCTGGGCGCGGTGTCTCATACCCCTGCTCTTTTCGTCGCATTTACCCACCACCCGCTCACTGCCCGCCCCACCCGCAGCGCTGTCTTTGATTCCCCCCTTCTCACGCTTTGTCTGCTTAATTTTTAACGACGCGGCCCCCACCGCGCCGGACGGATCGTTCTGCTGTGTGCTCCTCTGTCTACCTACTCGCCCTGCATCGGATGTACTACTCTACTCTCTCCCCTGCTCTCCCTATGTTTTTGTCTACCGATGTGCACCTGCATGCTGAACTGGGACGAGACGGACCTCGATTCCCCGTGTATTATACATCATATTTCTATCCCCCCTCCTCCCACGACTCCACGCCCAGCCCGCACGATGATTTACGACGGATGATCCCTCCCCGCGCGCGACTTACGATTTACGGTTTACGGTGGGCCGTCGTCGCCGTCCTACGTTACGTACGCGCCGCGCTCGGACGGGCTGCTTATTTGCTTAGCCTCACGCGAATGTCGATGTGTCTCTGCGCTCGTGTTGTGCTCGCATGATGGGATGTCGGCCACGGCTCTACCGCGCGCCTCTGCCTCGCTGCGCTTGGAGCGGGTGTCTCGGTGCAATACCCGCCGAGTGCGCGCGACGCACCTCCGTGAGACTGGACGCACGGACCTGGCGACGGGACGGACTCCGACCCGCACCCGTCGCCCGTCGCCCGTCGGCGTCCGTCCGAAGTACAACGGCTGCTGCTTTCGAACGCCCCTCGGCACCAGTACGCACGTAACCTCGCCCGCCGGGACCGCGCTCCTCCTCGAGCTTCTCGTCCCGTCTGCTGACCCCCGTCCGTCGTCCGCCGCGGGGCTTGTGACGCGTGCGCGTGCGCGTGCGCGCCACGCGCGCCGCGAAGATGACGACGGGCGGCTGACGACCATAAGCCCCCGGCCCCAGGCCGCGCGTACGTGCAGATCACCGGCGCGCCGTCCGCGGCGACGACGGCCACGCTCGAAGACGACGACGACGACGACGGCGCCGGCGGCGCGCACGGTCGCAGGTGCCTGGCGAAGGGCAGGGTCGGGAAGCAGCCGAGGCACCGAAGCGGCCGCGCAACAGATTTCATTAGCGGGACGCCCGCCCCGGGACGCGCGCGGGCCGGTCACGCGCGCCCTCATGTGGCCCATGCGTCACGGGGAGTCACGCTGCGGGGACTGCCGGTGGCCGGAAAAGGCGGGGGAGAGGCGCACAGCCGCTCTCTGGTGATCCACGACCTGCACGCTACCTCCTCCACGCCCAGGCAGCCATCAATCGGTATCTGGACAAGCGCACGCAGAGAGGTAGGTGGGACGAGCGCAGCTGCGTCTCGAGGCCGGCCACGAGGCCCCCGTCCGCGTTTTTTCGCTCGACAACGGCCGCTGACGACGCGCAGGTGATAGCAGCCTTTGATCTTCCTCGCCGCGCCGCGCCATCTGCCCAGCTCCCCCTCGCGCGCGCGCCCTGCTACGCGCTGACTGAATAGAGAACCCGACACGGACAATGGCCGCGCTCGATCCAGGCACGCAGCCTGCCCCCGTCGCCATTACCGAAGGTGCGTACGTGCGCCCTCTAAAGCCTCCGGGAGCCCCGCCTTCCCGCGCCCTGCTCCGCCCCCACCCCGCGGGGTGGTGCGCTCGAAGGGTACCCGGGGCTGGGCGCGGGAGGAGAGCCCCGAGTCTTGAGACTTTGTCCCGGGGCTCGGGGCTCGGAGCTCGGAGCTCGTGGTCCGTCTCGCGACATTTCGCACCTAGCCTCGACGGTCGAAGGGTACATCTCTTGGCGGCCACGCCCGTGTTTATGTCAACTTCAGGTGTATGGCACAACGTCTGACCGCCCTTCTCGCAGATGAAGCCGCGGTGTACGACAGGCAGATCCGCCTCTGGGGCCTCGAGGCCCAGCAAAGGTGCGCGCCGCCTTCCCCCCGCTCGTCCCTCACGTGGGCGCAGAAGCACGGCCCGGCGCCTTCCCCGCTCCCTGCCCGCCTTCGAGGCAGCCCCCACGGGGACGGACGCGCCGTGCGCGCGTCCGCCCGCCTGGTGCTGCCGCGGCCTGTCGCGCGCCGCGCCGCGAACCACCTCATCTATCCATTTCCGTCGCCCGGGGCAGGGTGCACCGCATGCCGCCCCGCCCCTCGCCTTCCTTCTCGCCGCCCTCGGGCGCGTGCGCCCTGCCCTTACGTCCTCCCACCCGGTCACGAGTCCCGCCGCTGACCCGCCCCTTCCCGCGTGCGTGCAGGATGCGGAATGCGACCATCCTCATGGTCTGCCTCAAGGGCGTCGCGACGGAGGCCGTCAAGAACATCGTCCTCGCCGGGATAGGCAAGCTCGTCGTCGTCGACGCCGCCGCCGTCGCCGCGGAGGACCTCGGCGCCGGCTTCTTCTTCCGGGACGCGGACGTCGGGCAGAAGGTGCGTGGAGGAGGAGCGGCCCCCGCGGGCCGCCCCGCGGCGTGCGCAGCATGTGCGCGTCCCTGCATGTGCTCGTGGTTCTCGCGGTCGGCGCCAGGGCCTAGAGCGGCTGTGGTTTATTGCGTTCGTCGGTGCTGGGGCGCAAGGCATCATCGAGCTGCGTGCCAGGTACGGGTGGGCATATCAGCGCGGCGTTGCTATCAGACCTGGCAGAGCACGAGCTGCCGTATGTTGAACAAGATTACGCGCGAAGGTGCAGCACCCGTCGCACGGACCGCTGCGTCGTGCTCTCACGTTGGCGCCGTCCGTGGCCTAAAGGCTGCGAACCGTGTCGACTGAGCGACCTCGATCCGGGAGAACTCTCGCCACGAGCAGGTCCAGGCGCTCCACCTCCATCGGGGGACCTCACGACTCGTTTTCGTCGTGGGCTGCGATCGTGTCGAGGCTTTTGCTCTCATCTGGCTGCCTTGCTGATTCTTCGCTCCGTCCAGCGCGTCGATGCCGCCAGGTCACGGATCGAGAGCCTCAACCCGCTCGTCGCGGTCGAAACCATCTCTGACGCGTCCGTGCTCGAAAATGACGCTTTGCCGTCACTGCTCGCGCGCGTGGACATGGTCTGCGCGACGGAAATGACGCGCGATAACCTGGTACGCCGTCCGTGCTCCTCACCGCACCTCGTGCTCTCTGCCGCCCCTTACGAGCACCCCTGCCGCGCTGCCGCCAGATCGCGCTCAACGACGCCTGTCGGGCCGCCGGCAAGCCCTTCTACGCCGGCGGCACGTACGGCCTCGCGGGCTACATCTTCTGCGACCTCCTTCAGCACGAGTACATCGCGCCGTACGTCACGCTCTCCGCCTCCCCCGCCGGCCGTTCTCACACGCCCGCATCTCCGTCGCCGCGTCCGCCAGGGACCGCGCGGCGCCCAAAGACGCCGGGAAGAGCGTGCGGCTCTCGGTCGCGTACCCGCCCCTCCGCGCCGCGCTCCAGCACCGCTGGACGGGCCTCACCCGGCGGCAGACGAAGGAGGTCAACCCGGCGCTCATGTTCGCGGTGCTCGGTACGCGACCGTTCCTTCCTGCCTGATCGGCACGGCTGACGTTACGGCCTGCTCCCCGGGACGTTACGTGACGGTACCGCTAACCTTGGACTCCAGCCATATGGGAGTACCAGGCGCGGCACGGGGGCGCGCTTCCCGACGACGCCGCCGCAGCCACGGAGCTCGAGGCGACGGCGAACGCGCTCATGGCGGCGGCGGAGGTGAACAAGCAGGCGGTCGCTGCCGTCCGACCGAGCTCGTCCAGTGCGTTTCCCCCCCTCCCATCCGCATGATATGCTGACCACTCCGTCTCTCCCCCTCCCTCCCACTGCAACAACGCCGTGACGTCATCACCGCCCCGCAGATCCCTCGCGACGACCGCGGCGCACGAGCTCTCGCCAGTGTGCGCCGTCGTGGGCGGGCTGCTCGCGCAGGACGTCCTCAAGGCGCTCGCGGCGCGCGAGCCGCCGATCGCCAACTTCTTCGCCTTGACGGCGCGCTCGGCGGGGGCACCGTCGTGCGCATGGCGATGCCGTGAAAAAGTCCTCGCGCACGCGGCGCCGGTGCAAGAGAAGCGCGTCCCGGAACGAAAGCCCGCACGGCGCTGGAGGCTGGGGATAGGTTGTCGTGCGCGGCGCTATGAAAAGATGGACGAGGGCATATGTAAGGATGGAGTGTCGCATGTCGTCCTAGCCTGGGCTGAGCAGATGTACATGGCATGAGCGGGCGCGCAGACGCCAAGGCGTCTTTACCGCTGTCTGTGCTGCTTGCGGTACCGTCCTGCAGAGTATATCCGACCATCTTCCATCGCTGCATCGGGTCGTCCGGAGCGCCGAACTCAGATAACTTGCGCCGGGCCCCGCTTCAAGCCAGCGCGCCTCCGCCGAGCCTGCCACTCTCTAGAGTCTAGCGTCGCAGCGCAGGCCCACGAAGCTGTCGTCTGCCCAACATACGAGCTAGCTGCATAAGTAGCCCCGCACGACGATCAGGCAGCCCAACCACGTAAACCCTCTCAACTCACGCTCGAAGTGCACTAGTACTCGCGAGAGGCTCCTTCTGCCCGGTAGGTACTAGGTACCCCGTCCTCGCTCCCGCCTCGGTGCCCCACCCGCACCCGCTTCCCTCCCTCCCCCTCCGCGCCCGCCCGGTCTGGGTCGCCGCAAGTCGCCCGCACCAGGTGGACGGCACGACCTGGCCCGATAGCGACTGCACCCGCGCAATTGCAGCTGCCTGGACAAGGTGCTGGCGCGCGCGCGATGGTGCCCCACCACGCTCGCGCGCCCGCCGGGGAACCTGGGGTCCGGGGCTCAGCTGCTTTCAAGCTTCCGGTCTTCAGGCTTCCAGCCTCAGGCCTCAGGACGAGGCTGGCCCCGCGGCCCACGGCCCGCGGGGACGAGGGAAACCACCCGTGTGTGCCAAAGGCGGGGCGGGAAACAAGCTTTGAATGGCGATCGCTATCGCGCGCGCGCGCGGCCTGCGAACGCGGGGCACCCAGCCCCCCGACTCCCGAGGCTCCGCCGATGGCTGAATGGCTTGCCAGTGCTACTGCGTCCGGCGGGCGGGTGGCCGTGGACGAGAGGCGCGTACGTACGACGTGACGTGCGGGGAGAGCTGCCGCTGCGCGTGATTGCGCGCACGGCGGCGATCCTGCGGTGCCCGCTCGCGACGCCTCCAGGGGTTCGAGGCACGTTTGCGATGCAGCGCCGTCAATGGCTTCAGTCGTCGAGTGTTGGCCAACGGCGGCTCCTGCCACGCGCAGCGACTGCCCGCAGGGCGTTCTCGTCCGACCGACCGTCGTGCGCGCATTGCCCGACGGGCTCACCGTGCATTGTACTCGTCTGTGGATGGCCCGATGTGGCAGATCGGCCCAGAGTCGCGTCGGCTCTCGGGGCAAGCCTGCCAGTACGCCATCGCCACCGCCAGGGGCGGGCGACGTCGGAGCCATTGTGTCGCTCTCTGTCGACGAGAGCGAGAGCGAGAGCGCCGGCGGGTCGACCGGACGCATCGCCAATCGTGCGCGGCAGCAGTCGCGGTCGCCAGTGGGTGGTCCCGTGCCCCCGTAGCAGTAGCCCGTACAAGCCCGTACATACCCGGTGCGCGCTCAGCTGCCCGCGGCGGGCCAAGTGGAGGGAGCAGGAGGGAGCAGGGCCCGGGGCGCACGCGGGGGGCGCGGGCGTCGCGGGAAAAGGCTCGGGTAAACGTGCTTCGTCGTGCGCGCCCGCGGTCGTGCGCGCCGGGCTCGTGGCGCGCGCTGTGTCTTCTGCGGGATCAGGGAGGATCAGGGGGACGTCAGCGGGGCTCGGAGGAAGATAATTAATGGGAGGATTGATGTTCTGATGCTGGGCCGCGGGTAGGACGAAGCCTTGGGACCACGGACGAGTTGTTCAATGTTTAAGCATATGGCCGCTCGGGGCCTGCGAGTGTTGAGACTCGAGTGCGGTGTCTGGAGACTGGCGTGACAAGAAAGTACAATGAGCAGCGTGACCGCTCCGTCGCTAGGCCGCATATTCGATTCCGGTGACCTCTCGCTCTGCTCCCCGTTCGACCGCATATCTCCGCCTGGCCGTACGAGAAACGAACGGGTCCGCATTGGCATCAACGCATCGCAGAGCACCGAACGACGTACCGACCCCGCACCCCCGCCTCAGTTCAAACCCCAGATCTCCCCCGCCTGCCCCAGCTTCTCCAGCAGCCGATAAAAGTCCGCGACGAGGTACAGGCTGCCCGCGACGACGACGAGCGCGTCGCCTTGCGTGCCGTCCCCGCGCGCGGCCGCCCAGCGGAGGGCGCGCTCGACGCGTCCGTGTCCGTCGTCATCGCGCGGGTCACGCCACACCTCGACGTCGCCCGACGGCGCGAGCTCCGCCACGGCCGCGGCGATGTCCTCGGGGGGCACCGCCTTCACCCACGGCATGTCCTGCGGCGGCGTGAACGCGAGCAGCGCGGCACCGAGCTTGATCGGCGGGCCCGCGCGCGCACGTACCGCGAGGAGCGGGGCGAGCGTCTGCGCTGGGGTTTTCGGCGGGGAGTGCGAGAGGCCGAGGACGTAGGTGAGCGTGAGGGGCCGTGCCACTGTGGTGGCGGCGAGCGACTCGAGGTAGGCGGCGAGCGCGCCGGCGGACGCGGGGTTGTGCGCGCCGTCGGCGAGGACGAGCATGCGCGCCGTTGTCGTCGTCATTATCTCGGTAACGGGGGCCCGTGTTCCCGCGGGACGGAGTCGGGGGTGGGGTCGGCGGGAAGCGTGAGGGTGTGGAAGGAGAGCCGTCCGGGCCAGCGCGTCGCGCCAATCCCGCGCGCGACCGCCACCGGGGTGACGCGCTCGGCGAGGCGCAGCGCGCGCACCGACGGCGAGGGCGAGGGCGAGGGCGGCGCGAGCAGCGCGGCGACGATCCCCGCCGCGGTCGCGAGGTTGTCGAGCTGGTGCGCGCCGCGCAGGGGGGCAACGCGCGGACCGGCGCGGGGAAGCAGGGATCGCGAGCTCGACGGGCTGGCGGGGCGGGACGAGCGAGCCCGTCTCCGTCGGGCCGTCGCGTGCCTCGTCCCACGCGACGGGCGCGACCCTGCACGCGGCGACCAAGGCACCCCGGCGGCCTCGACCGCGGTCCGCGCGACGGTGGCTACCGAGGGGTGTGCCTGCGGCCCGAGGACGAAGGGCTTGCCGGGGCGGGCTATCGCGACCTTTTCGCGGGCGATCTGCTCGACGGTGGTCCCGAGGAAGGCCTGGTGGTCGAGGTCGACGGAGGTGAGGGCGGACACGAGGATGGCGTCGTCAGGCACGACGTTGGTCGCGTCCAGGCGGCCGCCCATCCCGACCTCGAGGACGACGATGTCGACGTCCAGGCGTTGGAAGATCAGGAGCACGGCGCAGGTGAAAAGTTCGAAGCCGCTCGCGTTGCAGCCATGTGCTTTGTCGAGATCCAGGACCGCTTGGCGTGCGGGCGCAAAAAGCTCCGGAGAGATTGGCCTGTTGTTGATGCAAATGCTGTCGATGACCTCGAGGAGATGCGGTGTGTTGAATCTTCCGACGGTGAGGCCAGAGTGAGAGAGGATGGAGGACACGTAGGCGCAGACGCTCCCCTTGCCGTTCGTCCCAGCGATGTGGATGGTGGGTCGATTGTACGCCTCCGGGAGTGCGGCGAACAGCTTGACAATCCTGTCTAGAGAGAGATCAATCGACATCTTGAAAGACTCGCGGCGCACGGGCTAGACAGTCGCGTACACTCGTCTTCTTCAGCTGTGGATTCGCTCAAAGTGGCCGCCCGTGCGAAGTCGGCCCATCCCATTGGCGCTAATCCCGGGCCGGCATAACTTCATGGGGCGAGCAATTGGGTTCTACCTCTGCCAGTCAGCAGTTCGGCTAAAGTTCCGCCGCCCAAAAATCAATCCACGTTGAACAGTGAAACGAACATACGATACTACATTAAGGGTAATCATGCGCTACGAGCTAAAAAAACTGCACAGCTACGATAAAGACAAATAAGCAATACACAACAGTACGCGCGACACTCAGGAACCCCCAAATGCGAGAGTCCCCTGGCCGCGCTCGGGGTCGGACATCCGGTGCACCCGCACAGAGTTACCGAAGCTGATATGAGACATGTCCTGCGGCGTGATGAGGATGTACTGCTTGCGATTCGATGTGTTCGCCATGTCGATCTGCGGAGTCTCGTCAGCGGCGAACTAGTAGCGAGGCTGAGGAGAAACACACCATCATCTTCATCGTAACGCGACGGTTGGCTGCGTCCATGTACACATCGAACTCATCTGAACAGAAGGTCAACAGATGCGCAACAGAGGCTGTAGACGATCGACGTACCCAAGCATCGGATCGGGCAGCCAATGGACTCCCACAAAGACAGAAGGAGACAGATGGTGGAGAATGACTTCTCGCCGCCGCTCAAAGACTTCGCGTCCTTCTCCCGCGTGCTCTGCTGGGTGAGGGCCTGATCGTCGGTGTTGACGCGAATGTCGAGTGTGCCTGCGACGTGGTCGAAGAGGACCTTCCCAAAGTAACCACGGTTGGACAGGTGGTAGCCAAAGTACACCTTGCATCGCAGCGCGATGTGGCGACGGAACTCGTGCCAGCGGGCGAGGCGGACCTTGACCGATTTCTTGAGAGCCTACATCACGCACATTTAAGACGCCGAGAATCGAGCAGGGACAATCACACTCACCTTGTTGAGCTGCATCAGGCCCTTCAGCTCCTTCATGGCGACGTCGAACGCGTTCTTCTTCCTCGTCATCTCTTCCGCGATCTCTTCGACAGTCGCGCCCTGACGCTTCTCGCGCTCCTTCAGCGCCGCTTGCACGGCTTGCAGATTGCGCTGCACAACATCCGGCATCCGTGGATTCTCGACACGCTCACAGTACTCAAGCGCCTTCTTCGTCCATTGCTGGATAAGCGGCGAATGAGCACTGCAACGGACCAGATCAACCGTCCCATCCCACGTACCTCGAATTCCACTTGGTGGACGTCAGCAAGCTTCTCGGCATCGGCAACGTTTGCCCCTGCTAGCGCAATCTTTTCCTTCCAGTGCCCGACCCCTTTCTCGACCTCCATTCGGGCGACCGCCGCATCAGACACCTTTTTCTACGGGGGAGTGAGCCAAGTCTGAAGACTGATCATCAGCAAAGCACATACCCTGAGTACGTCCAATCCATCATTGTGTCGCGCTAGCCTCTGACGAATCTCGTCGAGCTCTTGGTTGATTGGAGCGATCTTGCCTTCGACCTGGGCCTTTTCGCGGGCCAACTGAGCGTACTGATCGAGAACATTCTGCCGCTCCTGTTGGGCTTGCTACAAAAATCAACTGTTCAGACAATCTGAAACGCAGCGATACAAACCGACACGCACTGATATGGCATCTTGAAGAGTTTGAATGTTCACGGGCAGGTCCTCGTTCAACTCCTCCTGGAGCGTCGTGAGGGTCGACTTGTACGTGCGGATAGTCTTTTTCAGGCCAGTCATCTGATTCTAGAGCGCGATGAGTTAGTCGACATGTCAGGGCAGACGGGCGAGATGGACCTACGTCGATACGTTGTGCACGCCCGCGGAGCTCATCGTACTTTCGCCTCTGCTGCTGAACCCTGCTGTTGACGTCCACGAGTTCGGCGTTGGCTCGGCTTAACTCTTCGGTAGTGCGCCTGCGAAGCATCAGAACCCAAGCACCCAAAACAGGCAGTTCACCTACGCGACATCTGTCTGCGCATTGGTGGCGCGGAAGAGCATGGTGCGGGGGTGGTTTCGATTGAGTGTTGGGATTGTGGTCGAGTGAGCGCCTCCTTCCCTTTGACCGTCACTTGGCGGGCTGTGAAGCTGAGAATGAGTGCCATGTATAGCAGTCCGTGTGTACAGGACTTACGTGCGAGCAACACGGAAGTGATCGGAGGTGATCGCGTTCCAGGGTCTGCCAGTGTTCCTGACAAGGTCTCGAGCATTTGATCTGCTTGAGAACGGTTGGGGGAGAGTAGCAGTGCCTCGATAGATGCGGAGTTAACCAGTTGCCGCAGAACATACGGCTCTGTAACCTGCGAAAAGGTGAAAACCATCGAATGCTTCTTGCGAACCATGGTACCTACCTCAATCGCTCGAAGGATTGTCAGATACTCCGGAGGCGGCTCGCCACGGCTGTAGTCGAACATGTCTTGGGCAGAGATGATGATCTGACAATGACGACTTCGACCAACCGATCAGTATCACGTATGGTCGCAGAGACCACGGCCCGGCCCGGCACTCACTTTCCAGACTTTGTGAGCACTTCAGCCAGAGCGGGGCGATCCCTTGCGTCGGTGATGGCGAACGAAGACATGTGAGCGCCGATGGTGACGGCCAAGATTGGACCCCACTTCTGCGGATCCTTGACCTTGACGTATTTCCCGAATGGGCCGATGGGAGGTTGCCCGTGCCAGCGCAAGGTCTTGATATGCCCGACAACAGCTTCCATGTTCTTACCGTACACGGACAGCTTGTCTTTCTCAAGCTCCCGAGCCTTGTTGATGTGATAGTCGCACTCGGTGATCTTCTGCTGGAGCCTCGCGACGTCCTGCTGGAGGCGGTCGCACTCTTGTTTCGCGGCGTCGGCCTCTTGAATGCAGGTTTTGTGCTCTTGCTGAAGGGTCTGTTCTTCGGCTTGCTTGGCTGCAAGAAGCGCGTTTGTTTCCGTGAGCTGAGCGTTGACATGGTCACGCTTCCCGCGCGAGTGGCTCTCAACTCGCTTCTGCTCTTGCGCGATCTCCAGCTCATAGCCCTTAATCTGTTTGTCAAGTCCGCTCTTCGACTGTTGTATCTGGTTCTCAGAGGTCTGGCGGTATACATCAGTACGGCTAAAATTCGTAAGCAACATAGTGAGGTCTTACCGAGAATTGGCTGAGCTGGGCCTGCAACTCTCTACGCTTCTTCGTAGCCTCGCGTTTCTGATCTTCAAGCTGCTCGGCAGTGCCATACTCTTCCATCTCCCTCTCTTTCTCGATCACCTCTTCTTCTATCGCCTCTAATTTGGCCTGCGTTGCTATTGGTCAGCGGAAGTCGGCCACCTCGTCAGAATACGTACTTGCGCCGCCGTGAGACTCTCCTGTTGCTTCGCCGCTTTGTGTTTGGCCTTCTCAACTTCCACAAGCTGCTTTTGCAATTCCTATACGACACACCGAAGCTTAGGTACGCGCTGAAATGTATTGATATGAACGATGTTACTCACCGCCTCCTTCGTAGCAACATGTGCCCAGGCAAGTTCCTTCTTGAGCTCGTCCGCCTTGTGTCGCTGCTCACGGGCCTTCTTCGCCTCCTCGTATCTCGTGCGAGCTTCTTCGTACGAATCTTCTAGACCGGGAAGGACTTCTGCCTTCCGCTTGAGGATCTTGGCAGTCTGACTGATATTCTCCATGCACGTTTGGTATTCTTCACTGAGCTGACTGAGCTGCGTTCCTTTTAAGAAGAACTAGGAGCGATGTCAGTGAAGAACACTGGTGTTGACTTGCCAAACCTTACCTTGTACTTGTCCGCGGGGGTTGCTGACGCAAGGAATTGCCTGCATAACAACGTCAATACAGCCTTTACTGTGCAACACTAGGACGATGGGCGAACCTGGCGGAATCTGCAATGTACAATCAGCTTCCAATCAGATGGAATGACCAACGCGTTAGCATACCTTGCGTCAAGATGTTCATAGGGTTGTCGACTTGGATATTCATGTGATCACAGATTGCTTGCAAGTCCTCACGTTTCTGCGAGATCGTCTTGCCATCCTTGCCCCTGAGCTTGTACGAAGAGCTGCCGTCCTTGGTAAAGCGACGAGTGATGAAAATACTCGAGCCGTATTTGTCAGGCTGATAAGCCTCTTCGCCCTGGTTCTTGAGCACGACGGTAACCTCCGCGACGCTAAGAGGATCCATTTGAAAGGGTTTCGTGCCGGTGGGACACGGATAACGCACCTTTGACCCTCTCGAATGAAAGACTTCAATCCACTCCCACGACCAGTCGATGTGGCCTTGCCTCCGAGGGCGACGGTCAAGGCCGAGAGCGCGGCACTCTTTCCACTACCGTTGTGCCCTAGGTTGCCTCCAATCAGCGTCGATATTTTGGTCCAAAACATATACACACACCGATGATGAAATTGATCTGCGGCCCCAAGGTAAACGTCAGGTACTTGTGGCACATGAACTGGTGCATCTCCAGCGACTCGATGATGCCCATTTCGCGATACCGCCCTGCGCCTTCGACTTGTTCATCAGCCGCTCGCGGATCCGCTCCTCGTGCTCCTCTTCAAACTTCTTCTCCTCGTCCTCGTTGGGCTCCTGCAGCTGAGCAACCTCCTCGTCGTCTTCGTCCATGTCGCTGTCGTGTCCACCAGCGGCGCGCTCTTTGCCCTTGCCATCGGTTCTGGGGCGCTTGTATGCGGGTTCCCCGCCGACATAACGCTGTTCATCTTCAATCGTACGGCGCTTAACCATCTCCGAGGAGGATGGGGATGGTTGAGCGGACTGAGCGGAGTGTGGGGGAGGGTAGGTTAGGGGAGGAGGTAAGATGGTCGGAGCCGCACGCGTCGCGACGCGTCTCGCGTGTAAACACGACCAAATGAGCGCGTGCACGTGATGCACGTGATGCAACCTTTGTTTTACTCGTTCTTCAACGTGCAAGCTCACCATCATCACAATGGATCCATCGAGGGCCATATATGCAGCTATGTATCGTGAACGAACTATTCTAAATGCTATTCTGGGAGCAGAATTGGGAGCCTGCCAACTGCTGGACACAAGCCTATAGATTCTGAGTAGTATAGAACTGGATGACGTTCCGTAAGGAAATACGGAACTACGGACGCTCCGTACTTCCCTAGATCGCTCTGGAAGGAAATTCCGCCGAGATGCCGAATGAGATATGCTCTAGGTTGATGACGGGGGCCTCCGTAGACGTAGATCGAGAGAGCGCTGGACAAGCGCTGGCCGTCTGTGGAGGGGTCCCGACCCCCTTCCCAGACCAAACTCGCTCTGTATTTTCAAAATACATTCCCTTTTTGGAAACTTGCAAGCGCTGGAATGCCCTCGGCGAGCTCTCGTCATACCTTGGCGCCCGACCCCTTCGCTCATAAAATATCCGCCAGTCGAAAGGTAGCGTCCCGGTCTTGCGCGATGTACAACGCGCGAGCGCGCGTCCCCGCCTCACGCAGCTCGCGACTCGCGCATCCCCAGTCCGCACGACACACGACACACGGATGGGGATACGTGTGCGTCATACATCGCGCATGTCCCGCACGACGCGCGGCTTACGACGCACGACTGAACGGTGCCCCATCTTGCACAATGCACACTGGCAGCGCGCGCGTCCTGTCACGCAGTTCGCGACTCGCGCGCCCTCGGTCTGCGCAACATTGCGCAAGAGCAGAACACGCGGACAGTTTGCCTTTTGACCAGGACGAAATGCGGCTGACAGTTAAACAGTTGCCTTATCAGAAACACAGGGGCCCAGCCGGACGAGAAGCATGCTTTCTGCTGGTTTTCTTCTGCGTTTCCTTCATGTGGGCATCCTACCTTGCCCGTCTTGTATGATCCTTCAGACGATCTCTCACTTGATCTCCCAGGCCTCTCTCCTCTCACTGCGGTCAGATATGACCATCAAATCCAGCTGGATCGTCGACCTCCGCGTGTTCCTGACTCTGCTTCGAACTACCACAGTGCTGCCCAGGTATGTATGAGGCAAAGTCTTCAAGTTTGTGTGCTTAACTCAACCCCCTCATGAATGATAGACAGCACCGGGCGCCTTTGCCACCGCGGCCACCTCCGACGCATACTACCCGCTCCAGGGATACTTACATGTACCTTCTTGTTCACACACCTAGTCTGAGGTGGGATCGTCTCGCATACGAGCTGGGGAAATCGACGAGCAGAGGGAGGAACTAACAGTGATAGATATCATGATTATCGGACTACGGACGACGCCATACGTTACGTAATACGGATACGGCCACAGATCATCTCAACTCTATCTACCGGCGTCTCGTACGGAGCTAGGTCTGGAAGTCTGGCTTACGGACCGTTATCCACTGAGTCACCTCAAGTTTCAGCTAGTATTCCGAGTGGATGACGGTCCGTAAGCCAGACCGCTCTTACTAGACCCGTAAATGCAATTCCGGAGCTTTAAGCGAGGCTAAGCGACGAGAGGGATCTCTGGCGTCAAGCCGGCGTCAACGGAGTGCCTCCACCGCGCGGAGACCTTAGCCAGACCTCATGGAGGTCCGTTGAGGTCCAGTCGTCGATTTGTCAGCGCCAATAATGGTCCACATCACTACCTCCCGTCCGAAATAGGCCTTCAGGAGGCCTCTACAGCTTTTCGGGAGGCTTGTTTGCTCTGCGAGGGGGTGCCGACCCCTCCACAGACTTTTGGGCGCTTATTATTCCAGCAGCCACAGTGAGATCCTCGGGTATCACTTTCTCGTCGGCATCTCGGCGGAACTGCCCTTTCGAGCGGTCTAGAGAACTACGGAGCGTCCGTAGTTCCGTATTTCCTTACGGAACGTCATCCAGTAATCAACTTTCCGCAGCTGCGGCAGGGACAGCCAGTGAATAGAGCAATTTGCAAGAGTACCTTCGATATTTCATACATAAAGTTTCCTCCCACACAAAAAAGTGTCGTACAAGCGAACTACTTTCCACCCGACAACATCTTGCGGAAATCGTCCTGACCCTTCGCAGTACCTCCACCACTACCAGACGAGCCTGCAGCTGGCCTTGCAGCCTGAGTCGAGCCCAACCCGCGTTGCTTGCTGCCAAGGCCCGCACGGGGCCGCGAGACGGCCGCGCGAGGAATAAAAAGTCCCGCATTCGCAGCTGGAGGTGCCATGGGGCGCGACGAGGCTGAAGGACCAGCCGTACCCTCCGCCGCGGTGATCTGCAGTGTTGCACCGTTGAAGATGATGGCGTCTGGTCGCAACAGCAGTTTTCCTGCCTCCTGTGGGTGTGATCAGTGATCATTGACATGAAGCGGGGGCAACGAAGAAGACGTACCGCAGCGTTTTCAAGTTCAACGTCGGCTTCGTTGACGTTGTGGAAGACCTCGACACGCTGAACACGCGCGTGCTTCTCGAGGGCCTGTTGTAGGAGCCCCTCCTGCGTCCCAGGCGGAAGATTGCGAACGCGAACAGAGCGATTGCGTACTTCGGCACGGTACCCGGGCGCCCTGAGTACTACATTAGAGGCTTGTTCAAGTAGTCCAAGACAGGCGGCCTTACTTGTTCTTCCCGCGGACGCGCGAGTCTGCCAGTGTAACGGCCATGCGACGCTTCTTTAGCTCGTGGTTGTTCGCAGCAAGAGCAGATCTTGCGTCGTCCTGTTAACAGATAAAAATGGGCTACATATCGGTCAAGTTTGGATTTCCCGCACCTCGCTCGTGAACTCCACGAAAGCGAACCCTTTCGACTTTCCCTTGTCATCCAAAATCATGCGGACGTCCTTCACGGTGCTGTACTACAAAATGACTTGTAAATACCAAGATGGAAGTCAAAGGCCAATGATGCTCACCGTCTTGAAGACATTCTTGAGATCTTCTTTGGTCGCAAGTTTGCTGAGACCAGCGACATAGATCTCGCGATCATTTGCGTCGCTATCTGTGCGCTCCTTCTTACGCTCCGGATTTGAGACGTACACCGACATTTTGTGTCCATCATCCATGTCAGTCCCATTGAGCTCCAGCGCGGACTCAGCGGACAACTGTGGCCACAATGGTGAGCCGGTTTACGACGATCCAGCATGCAGTCCTTACAGGAGTAGTGAACTGCAAATAGCAAAATCGCCGAGTATTCTTGAACTTCTTACTCGGCCACCGCACGTCGAAAATCTCCCCATACTAGAAGCGAAGTAATTAGAACAGAACACGGGAAAGACACCTGCAGCCTACCTTGCCAAATAGGGTTCGAATGAACGTGTCGTCCGCGCCGTCGGGGAAGTTGGTGATGTATAGAGTTGACCGCCAAGCAAGATGGACCGCAATCTCTCGGCCGCGCACCCGCTTCTTATCCTTGGTGAGGGCAGCTGGTACGCTTTCCTGCATTCAAGTATAGGTTGGTAGACTTTCGCCGACGAATTTCGACACACTTACTCTGTCCATGAATTCCACGGTTGCAACTAGAGAGTTGGGCAATTGCGTGATTTTGACCTCCCGAATACTGCCGCACTGATGAGGACGATGAACATTCGGACTTTAAAGAAAGTCATGTGGTTTGCTCACGTCTCTGAACAACGTAGCGAGGTCGTCGTCTTTGACGCCTGCCGGAAGATCAGCCACGAACACGGTGCTGTTCTCCCGGTCCCTGAAAATCGGAGTCAATGCTAGCCATAAATTTAGACCAGTCAAGCTGACGAACCGCTTCAGCTTGGCTGGCTCCTCCACCCTCGCCTTCTTGCTACCTTCAGGAACGCCTTCATCCTCTGCCTTCCTCTTCGAACCAGCCTCGATGTGTGTGTCGACATCCATAGCAGATGGGCCATTTGTGGGTTCTATTAGTACAGACCTGGCAGTGTCGACAGCCACAGTCGCGGCAGTGTCAGAAATGAGCTGCGCAGCTGCCATTTCCGCTTGCACCTTCTCTGCCTCCTTTGAAGGAACACATCAGATCAGTGTCGACGACCCGAAGTAGCAGCCATACCCTGGCGCGCTTAGCGTTGACCTGAGTTTGTGCTTTTTGAATGCGCTCGAGGGCGTTTTCAAGGTCCTGCACGGTGCCGTTGACCTGTTCAAAGGAAACCCATGCATCCCATATGGCTTCAGGCCAGTCAAGGTTCTTCATCGCGATGTCCTTGAATACTGTCCGCGCCTCACTATGTAGGTTCTTCTTGCTGTAGGAGAATGTTAATGTTTGGTAAAGCAAAGATGAACGGGGACATACGCCAGCACGTCAGTGTACGCCAACCAGGCTAAGTAGCTTGTCTTGTAGAACTTGACTGCGTCTTTCCATAGCTGCACGGATCGGTCTCCTGGATCGTCTAGTACTAGGCACTAACCCAAATGTAAATGAATCTATCAGAGCTTAGCATCATCGAGGACGTACTATGGATGAAAAAAGCTTCTCCACCCGGACTCTGGTATCACCCGTGGGCGATGCTGGCAAATTCATTGAGTGGGAGATAAGTTCATTCAACAAAGATGATCCCCACCCTTTCTGATACGCGAGATGCCCTCCATAATTATTTCCTCCAAGGACTCGAAACCGACTGGTGACATCCATGAATGGGCTTCAAGGTAGAAAGGTGCAAATACTTACCGCCATCCTCAGCGGTTTGGAGAAGTCTCCACTCATAGCTCGCTCGAGCTATCACGGTCGTGACTAGCTGCTCGACGTCGGATTGTAGCGGTCCGACCGTCTTCGACTTCACGTATACAGCTGTGATCACATGCGTACATTACGACACGTCAATTTGCATCATGGGAAAGTCGAGGACTCACCAGCAATTTCTGTCGCCGCTTCGTCATCTTGTGATGCTTCCTGAAGAGTCGTGGTTCGTCAGGGGAAGGCACACGAGCACTAAAAATGTCAGGTGCGAACCAAGAAGCGCATATAGCAAGCTAGAAGCTCTCCTGACGCAGGGACGCTCCGGAGGCCCCTCTTGGATGTCGCTCGGACCTCGTCGTCGTCCACGTCTTCCGATCGCTGTGACACGGCCCGTCAGAACACCACTATGCCAGCATGCACAGCATATAGGGGGACCCACGCACCAACATGCCCACATATTCTGTCCAGAACGACTGCAGTGCCGGCTCCGCGGCTGGATCTCCGGAGAAGCGACGTTTATCGGCTTCGGCGATTGCTCGCTCGTAGAGGCCCTTGAGGACGAGCATATCGGGCTTCTTCGCACGCCGCTCAAAGGCGAGGTAGTAAGCGTAACCTGCAAGAGAGAAGCCGGATTGTGCCTGTAGTCAGGTCAGTCCGTGCACAACAAGCGGTGCTACACAGATGGTGTACTGCGCCCGAGGGGGAAGACAGGAGAGGCAGCACCGTTGGGAAGAAAGTACGCACAAGTGACGTCTCCATGCTCTCCCGCTTTTGGTACGCCTTCACGGCGTGCGCGCGCGACTTGGAGGCACTCACGAGAAGTGACTCGTACTCATCCTCGGACTTATAGCTGGTCGTGAACGATGAATATGCTTGAAAGGTCTCATCGTGGTCTAGTGTGACGTGTCAGCACCTGCGAAGTGCGCGCTAGGATGGGCTTACTGGAATGAGGCTGCGTCAGTCGTTCCAGCAACATATTCTCTACTAAGCCCACCAGCGAAGCTCTGACGATTGACGTCAGGAACCACACATCCGTTTTACTCCTTCGAACTTACTTTTCTTCACCCATGGCATTCTGCAGCCTCTCCAGCTCCCAGTCGCGGCGGAGATCGAATAGAAGGTGGCTCTAGTCCAAATGACAACGTGTACTTTAGTCTAAAGAATGTCGCTCACCTGTGTCAAGTGCGGAACCCCATGCGAACAAATTTGGGACATATTCTCGCTCATCCACGCCGCGGAGAACATATCACCCAGCGCGCCAGGCCGTTCTCCCTGCTCCGCGAAGGCTTCATACCGCTCCACGAGAAACTGGATATGCTTCTGCAGAATGGGAATGGCTGTATGAAACTCAAGATTACGTCCTGATGATAGAAGTACGCAACATACAGAGATAGTCCCCCTCTGCACGCACGAACAGGTCCAGGGTAGCTTGGAGATCGTCCGCGGACTGGAGGTCGCTTGCCGCTATCTTTCGCTCGAGGATGGGCAGCCACACCGCGTCGCTGGTCGCCCAGTAGGCAGTCACCATGTCAAGGGCGGAGTCGATCTGTTCGTCCATGTTCGTGGCGCGTGCGAGGAGGATGTGTTCGACATGGAGCGTGAGGTTGTAAGGGTCGTCAGCAATGCGTCCGAGCACTGTGGCGAGCGCGTCGAGCGCGTCGGCCTCGTTCATGTCGACGTCCATGGGAGCGTGTGCAGCGCGAGGCACAATGAGGAGAGGCTGGGGAGACGAGTCTTCGCCGCCACCGACGACAGGGACGGGCGCGTTTCGCGGAGGCGATGGCGCTGGGCCGCTGCGGGCGGGCGCCTGAAATAGCTTTGCCGGGCCCGGGGCGGGTCTCCAATTCAAAGGCTCTGATGCACGGTTGCTGCGACTTGATATATCCATCTCTCTCTCTCTCGGTCTCCTCCCACCACCACCCCCCCTCTTCCTCTCTCCAGGGCTCTCGCCGGCGGTCTCCCTCGTCTTGGTTATTCCGAGGCATCCATTCTCTTTTCCAACACTCTTTTACTAGATCCAGAGTATGTCACAGCCCGTTTATACCCCCCACTCCTCGCCTCCCGCCCTTCGCAACTAACATACCGGATTCCGTGTGTGATCTGCGCAGGCCACAACCCGTCCCCAGCCCCGCCCGAAGACCCTAACTCGAGGACCTCTGCATACGACATGTGAGTCTTCCTCTCTTGGTCTTCCGCCAGGGGGAGAGGATGCGTGGCCTGCTGGCCTGGATGGGACGCGGGCGGGTATCAGTGGAGACGCGGGAACATTTGGAGCTGCTGTCTGGCGGGACTGTGCCCCAGCTGGATTGTTGGGAAGTGCTTGGCTGCTGTTCGCCGGTTTCTGACGGCCATGTGCATGTCACGGTGATACGCCGCCTGCTCCCCTTCCATCTGTATCGCATTGAGGTGTTCTAATAGTGGAGGTGTGCTAATGATAGCTAGCACGCCTCCATTAGTGCCCCCGATGCGTTCGGTAGGCATGGAACTGTGCCGGCTATATTAGGGTGCTGCTCAGCCGCTGTCCGTGGGCGAGGTTGTCTGGAGCTTCACGAGCTACGGCTACAGTTTCCCTGCGCCGGCATGTCTATGCCGTCAATTTATGCCGTCCATTTCTCCAAAAGTGGTCCACTGACCTTGTGCACCCAGGTACAACCAGCATCTCGACGAGAAGGAGAATCCTTTCGATGATTTCGAACACATGAACCCACAGCCTATCCCTTTGGCCGCTCCTCGGCCTGGTTATGCCGCTCCCGTCTCTGCCCTCATGCCCCCGGCTCCCTCCGCGACTCCCGACGGTCGTATGAGCGCACAGTCGGAGATGTCGGAGTACCGGGGGGGCATGCCCGCGACTCCGCATCCTCTTCAGCCTCCGATGACTCCCATCGCTCCTGTTTTCGCCCGTCCGGCTACCGCGCAATCTCGCGATGTCAAGTTCGCGAAGTCGAATCCGATCATGCGTGGCGAAATGGAGGGCACCGTACTCCCTCGTAGGGGCCAGCAGGGTGATGATTTCTGGAAGCGCTTCAGTATGGTTGCCAAGGATGAAGCAGGGGCCCCGAAGCAAAGGTGCGTGACGATCAACAAGGTGTTTGAGCCATCACTTATCTCAAAACTACAGCATGTGGCTCAAGAAAACCCAGAGCGGGTCCACACGTCTTTCTCGGTGGGTCTGGGTTATTGGCATGACTCTCCTCATCGTGCGTTTCTTCACAAATCAACCATGAGTTATGTAGTAACATCCCCATAGGTAATTGCAGGAGCCATTGGTCTTGGCTGGTACATCGCTCACACCGACCCCACCCACGACGGCCCCACCGCTATCGGCGGTAGCGCGAATGAGAAGGCTTTGGCTACTGGATCGTCCTCCACTACTGGCTCCTCGTCTACTAGCACTTCCTTCCACGTGACTCCCACGAAGACGGTTGCCCGACGCGAAGCCAACCCCATACCGACGCCTTTGGCTATATACCCCTTGGAGGCTCGCGCGAAAGTCTCCGTTCACAAGATGCACCACAAACGCCACTCGCTCAATCACCTCGATTGATGGAAGCATTACGCTCACCGCGTCCGCACTCCTGGGACCGCACGACCCGTCTATCCTCGCTCTAGCTCGGTCGCCACGTCCCGTCCGCTCCTTACGACCCCTCTGACATCCACACGTCCTACATCTCACATCTCTACCTCCATCATCTACCCTCTATACCTTCTTGCACACGACCCGCCTCTTACCCAAGACGCCCCACCGCTGACGCCCCGTACCCTGCCGTCCTCTACCCCGTACCCATTCCCCTCCCGTACCCGGTGACCGACACCGACACTGTCACTGTCCGTAGTGCTGTGCTGTTGCAGCACGGCGACCGTGCGGTGCCGCCCGTTCGCGGCCCGCGGCGCGTCCCGTGCCCTGCTTGCTTTCTCGAGCCTAATCCTTCGCTGTTCGGATGCGCTCCCCTGCTGGATTGCTTTCGACCCCCTTTCCGCACCCGTGTACTTACTACGCTGAGACGCTTGTCCGTATATAAGTTACTCGCTCTTATCCTTGCACTTTGACTCCCTTCGCTGGTGGACGCGACGCTCCTGCCGTGAGACTGCCTCGAGAAGCCATCACCGTCCCTGGATTGTCAGGGACGTCGCCGAGAGGCAGACTGCGCGAAGCGGAATGATTTGGCTTAAAGCCGGAGGCTATACCCCTAATCGCCCTGACTGAGCCTGATTCCGAACGCAAGTTGTAGGTGTGGACATTCCAATTCCGCAGATAGCTGCTGTGTAGGCGAAGGGTGTGTTCAAACACCATGGGAGTAGTAGTTTGTTCACCTGGGGACTTCGCAAAGTCAATGACGAGGTCTGTGTGTCTATCGTCATCGAGCCGTGGAAAGGGCGAACACATCCATATAGCACAATTTAATTCTACACTTACTACCACATCGTGTCTGGCACATCGAGTCCCACCCCTTCTGTCCAAGACTCGTCGCGCTCTACGCACTCCTACGCCGGCGCCCCAAACACGCCCTTGCTGTTCGTCAACTCTGCCCCAAGCTTGTACCCCATTACGCGATCCCAGTCGATCTTCGAGCGCGTCATCGGCAGCGCACGGCGGAGGCCCTTGAACGTCTTCTCGCCCATCTCCGCGTACGCGTCCGTGAGCCCGGTCTGGTAGCGGCTTTCCTCGGCCTCGACGAGTGCGAGGACCTTGCTTGCGGCACTCGCGCCGCCCGAGGGGACGATCGCGGGCGGGAGAGGGGTCGAGATGGTGTACGTGGTGGAGAGTTGGACGTTGCCTTGCTCGTAGTAGTGCACGTTCACGAGGATCTTGCCCTGGACGGTCTTAGCGGCGGTGTCGATGACATATTCCGAGCGCCAGCGACCGGACCTGGAAATTACAAGTCAGTGGACAATGGGAACAGGAGGGAGGAGGGGGGATTGTAGGAGGGGCTGCACGCGCATGAAGGTCCGTCGTGGGTAGTAACGCACCAGAAGTTGTTAGGGTTGTACTTGTTGGCTACGATCTGGATGGTGAAGCGATCCCCTGAGTTTGGTGTCGCAAATACGGATACGACACCGTCGTGGTAATGTGCGTGGAGATAGTCCAAAGATGCTTTCTCCAATGCAGCACTAAGACCGCACCTTGAGCTAAGTACTGAAATGTAAGGCCATGGCAGCATACCGGAACGGTTCTGATTCCTCGCTCGGCTCCACCGGCTCGGGGTCAGAAGTTTCCTACATAGGAGGGATAGTGAGAAGAAGATACGATTGGGGGAATAGTGAACAGAGATTACAGCAAACGCACCAGGCTAAGATGATCGAATCGGAAACTTGTTCGTGACCGGGGATCCCAATACCTGTCTGGCCCTTCTTCCTCATCAGCTGAGCTGCCTATCCTCGCTGCCTCACTGATGATTGACTTTGTACGGCGACGCGCAATAACAGATAAAAATCACACCGATACGATTTCACTATCAGCAGGTGTCCAGCAGTTATACAAGGATGAGACTCACTTGGTGTTGGTGCCCGGGTACCTCAGCGGTCGTGAATTGTGTTACATTGTACTCCCGTAGAGCCGGAAGCACGCCCTCCTGCAGCTGATCGTCATCCGAGATGATGTTCCGCACGTCTGCCACGTTCAGGGGCTCAAGTTTAGCGGGCTTATAGAGAGGACCGCGCGAGGAGGCACTAAAGGACTCACCATTGAGCACATCGTTGATCTCGCCTGGGGGTGACTGGAGAAGGAACTTGGAAGCGGCCTCAATGCGCTCAGCAGGGTCCATGTCGGCGCGACGACGTAGGGAGTTGTAAGTGTGGTATCTGAACGCAACAAGGTGGTAACAAGCAAGGTGCCCGCGACACCGCGTACCAGCGCGTACCAGTTCGCCAGTCGGAGGGCGGCCCGTCCACTCTCCAGCCGCCTACGCTCCATCTTCCCCGCAACACTCATGTACTCGCGCAAACATGCAAGCATCCGAGCGTCAAAGCTTTCAACTTCAAGCTGGCGGAACTAGCCCGAGAGTCCTGTGCCACATCCTCCGCAGGCGGCATGTTGGTGAGTTACCTTTCACATAGTCTTGCACGTTCCCTACTGGATGAAGAACGACACTCAAGGAATCGGGTGCATAGTGTATCGAAGTACGACTTGCTACATCCTTGGCCCGCGCCATTGAATGACATGCCAGCCTCACGCTTCGTTTTGGCAGCGGCTGCCTTCATGCTACCCTCCCGTCAGCCCCAGGGAAGACTTTGAAAAGCCGGGCACACGCACGAGAAGACTTCGTCGACTTCTCCTCTCTCCTCCCAACATCGCCATGCACGGGCTCCTCAACTCAGTCCTTTTTGCCGTCCTCTGCGGCTCAGTTTCCTCCGCCCCCGCTCGCGACCCGTCCACCCTCTCGCGGCGCGACGCAGCAACGCACACTGACGGGAGCCCAGCGTCCCCAAGTCCAACGGTCCGATTGGCCAGCGACGATCCGAACTTCGTGCTGTGGAACGAGGCCTCGGCGGCGGACCCGCAGCCGGAACGAGGCGGTCTGGGGGCGACCATTATGGGGCCACAGGACACGGCGATTGACCGCCAGAACCCGTCAATACTGGCGCCGCCTACCACGGACTCGGGGACTGTGTAAGACCTCATTCGCTCTCGAGTCGAAAGTGCAGACACTGAGGTAGTGGCGCGTTCGTTTGCATCGCTGTTAGTGGCAATGCCAAGTGGCCTTTCAGTCTTAGCAAGATGCAACTCAACACGGGTGGATGGGTCCGTCAACAGAACGGTGCGTTAGTTCACCACCGTTTTTTCAAGTTTTATCTCATAACCGGGTCGCAATTCAGTGCAACAAATGCCTCTTGCTACAGGTAAGTCATTGTCGGAGCTACCAACCCCCGCGGACAATAACGGTTGCTTCGCATAGCAATGGCTGGCGTCAACATGCGTCTCGAAGCAGGCGCAATTCGCGAGCTTCATTGGCACCACACTGCTGAGGTACGTGCTTCGCTCTCATATAGTTGTCGCCGCTGAAGCAGATTTTTTACTAGTGGGCTTATGTTATCAAAGTAAGTCCTCGTCGAACTCACCTTGGGAGTTGATCTCATGTTGCGAACGTCTCCAGGGTTCCACGCAGATAACCTCCGTCGACTCGCAAGGACGAAACTATGTCGCCACCGTCAAAGAAGGGGATCTTTGGTACTTCCCACCCGGCATACCACACTCGCTCCAAGCCACCGATGACTCTCCCGAGGGCACAGAGTTCCTTTTGGTGAGTCATCGTCAGCGTATATATGGCTTAACAGGACCCCCCTAACTTACCTGCCTACATAGGTTTTCCCTGAAGGCAGCTTCAGCGATGGCAATACCTTCCTGGTGCGCAGGACCTTCACTCGCGCCCAAAATACCTTGTCTGATCCCTTGCCCACAGCTCACCGACTGGCTGGCACATCTGCCCAAGGAAGTTATCGCGAAGAACTTCCAAGACGACATTTCCGAGTGGGACCATATCCCTGGCGAGCAGCTCTACATCTTCCCCGGAACCGCACCCCCAGACGACCTGCAGCCCCCAGTGAGCCCGCAGGGGACGGTTCCGGAGCCGTTTTCCTTCGAGTTCTCCAAGCTCCCCGCCAAGCACTACTCGGGCGGGACGGTGAAGATCGCCGACTCGACCGTCTTCAACGTAGCCACCCAGGTGGCCGTCGCGGAGGTCACCGTCGAGCCCGGCGCGATGCGCGAGCTGCACTGGCACCCCACGCAAGCCGAGTGGGGCTACTTCCTGTGCGTCGCCCACACCCTCCGAATATCCTCCTTCCTCAGTGCTGACTGCGCCGACTGCGCAGGGAGGGCAGCGCGCGCGTGACGCTGTTCGCGGCGAACGGCGTCGCGCAGACGTTCGACTACCAGCCGGGCGACGTCAGCTACGTGCCGACGTCGTTCGGCCACTACGTCGAGAACACGGGGAACACGACCCTGCGCTTTCTCGAGGTCTTCAACACCGACGTCTTCGAGGACGTCTCGCTCGCGCAGTGGCTCGCGCTCACGCCGCCCGCGCTCGTCAAGCAGCACCTGCACCTGTCGGACAGCACGATCGCACGGCTGAGCAAGACGAAGGGCGTCGTTGTGGCGGGCAAGCCGCACTACCCGGCCCCCATGGATTAGTGGGTGAGCTGGGAAAGGATGTGTCTATTGTACGTAGCAGGTGGTAGCGATTCTTTTCAGCGAGGTGCATATAAAAACATTTTCTACGATCAAAGTGAGTGAGGGAGCGATACACAAAGATAAGGATACAACAGCTGCAGGCTACAGAGGGGGACTCTTTACAGCTACAGGTCCTCGAGAGTACAACAGACATGCCCGGTGGGTGTAGGGGTATGGCGAAAAGTAAGCCCGTGATTTCCAGGATCATAAGAACTATAACATGCGGCTTCAGCATGGTCAGCCTTGATCGATTGGTGATTGTCTTACCGTGATACATGTCAACCGGCGACCACCTCAATCAGCACGGGAGGTCCCTGAGGATTGGTGACCCAGACGGTAATTCGTTTGAGGTTGGTGTTTTGCCGAAGCAAGCGGTGGAGGTGCGCCTCGACGTCAACGTCCTTCGGGATCCCACCCCATTCGTCCGGCTCGCGAAGAGGGACTGTGGCTGCAAGTGGTCGAGTTGACGGGCGACTTCGTACGACGCATCCTTGGTTCAGGAAGGAGGAGTCGAACTCGATCTGAAGATCCTCCAGCTTCCGTAGGTACGTAATGTACGTGGTACGTGCCTGTTCACCTGCGTCAAAACGTACGAAATATGCGTGTACAAAATGGGGCTCACCAGAATATGGTCGACGTCTCTGTTGATTGCTTCCTCGTCACTCATGAAGATGATGTGAAGCGATAGAGAGACGAGTCGGTCCCAGGTACGGCGTGTGTTGAAGAACGCCTGGTGGAGGTGGAGGTGGTCGTATGTGTCGTCACAGATCCGGAGAGCGAGATGGGAAGGTACGGCTTCTTGAAGGACGAGCGGTAGCATGCCGAAGTGGACTTGCGAATCGTCATCGTCGTTGAGACGGAGGTCGGCTATCGGACATTGCAGTCCGAGCACGTAGAGGACAGCGATGGGACCGTCATAGACACGTAGACGCGGCCAAGTTCCCCAATGCTCCTGGTTCGACATGTTCCTCGCCCGAGTGTGATCCATCTGTGCGAGTCCCATCTCCGCGTCCATCGTCGCCGAGTCTTCCATGTTGTCATAGTCCAGGTGGAGGAACTGAAGGTTGGGGAATGCGTGGACGTAACGCTCGACATGGTAGTCCGGTATGTACTGCAACCGCAGAGTCGTCAGACAGTGATAAACGGGCGCATCGGGTGGGATCGTCACGTCTCCGAGGACGCATTCTTCTAGGGTATCTGTGTGGTTCTGAAGGAGTAACAGCGGGTTGGTGTCGGGACCCGATAGGCCAGGAACGTGATAGTGCCACATCGTCACCAATGAGGTCCGACGGAGGTGCACTGGGAGTGATGTCACTAAACGCGATGAGGCATTACCGGCGGAAAAAAGGCGCAACTCCTGTAAATTCGAAAGCTGCACGACTAAAGGGTAGATGGACGGAGTCATCTCTAGAATTTCCTCGACGTTGTGAATGGCCAACCGAAGGAGACGGTTGGGATGGTTGGTGACGGCGGTGAGCAGGGCAACCGTTGAGTGTAACCCATCTGAGGCTTTGGCTGTATCATTGTCCATGGAGTCGAACGAAGCGATGACAAGTCCCCGAAGAGACCAGACCCGGTATGTGGGATCCGCTTGAACGAAGTGGAGGAACGAGCTGATCTTGGCGGGGCGTTCTAGGTTGAGGATTACGTCTTCTTTGAGAATATACCGAATCACTTCATGACGATAATCGCGACATGTTTTCCTGAACGTGAACAGAGTGGATCTGTCCGAGAAGGACCAGATTATATGCATGACGTCGAAATTCAACGTCACGGTGGATTCCATCTGTACGTCGGTTCAGCATACTAGCGGGTCAATCCCGTGCCACTTACCTCGATCTCTTGGGCTGGGTAGAAGTTTGGTGCTTGTCATGCGAACGCCATGGTAGGTTTTGAAGGTTGGGAGGTGGCCAACAGGACGTAAACACCTTTGGTCGTTTGTATTGTTGTCGAGGGCCAGTCACGGCGCCAGAGCTCGTCTCAAGCGATCGTGTCGAATCGAGGATGCGGAGAGCCCGGCCCTCGACTACAGCAGGAAGAAGTCGAGTCTCTGAGAAGAATCTGCGGCATTAGAAAGAGTGCATGGGGTCTTATATATGTAGCCTCCAGTCAGGGCGAGCGCGCCGGGCTTAGCGAGGTCGAGCCTCGAGGTGTGCCATGTGGTCTGTGACAGTAATCATGTGCAAAGTAACACCGCGTCTGTCACGCAGACTCGTGTCAATCGACGCGTCTCAATTTTGACTTCCACCACAACCGCCACTACGTCCACTGCGGCATATAGCCACTCTTCTCATCCCGGTGGATATAATATGAGCGTTAGTAAGGGTAATTGCGCATACGAACTCGTAGGACTTATTCGTGTTATATTCCAGCGCCCATCGGAGACGTGGACGAAACGCTGCCCCTTTCACGACACCGAAGCATGCGCCTACATCGGCGTCTCCGACACCGAGGCTGCATGCGCACAAGTAGTCGGAACCCATGTGTCCAACATGCATAGCCAGACTACGTCGATATGGTATGGAGGTGAGCATCTTTCGTGCATTGCACGCGGATGAAGCTTTGCAGTGCTGATTGGCTGATGGGGTCTCGCCGACCGCAGCTACCCAGGTCAACATTCACAGGGACCTGAAGACAAAACTCATGGCATGTCCGTGCGGCGACTACAGTCATAGAAACTCTGCCCGCGTTCGGCAACACGCTGCGAACACCCACAAGCGCTCAGGCGGACAGCGAAGCTCAAACCCGACGCGCCCGGAGTTCCCCGACCTCCCGATTAGAGCCTCGACATCGCGACCGGCCAAGCGCCCGGCGACGACCGATGATCCAGCACAACGCAATGCATCCACGCCGCGAGCGTCGACACGATCGATGGCTAGCGTCTCAAAACCCCGCGGTTCAAGTGGCTCTACTTTGAGCGGTGCCGCCCGAAACCTCCTGTTGTCCGCCGGGACGAGGGATTCGAAGGCTGACCAGTCTTCTTCCTTGCCCTCCAAGATCGCCACAGGCCCGAAGGTCGAACCAGGTACGTGGTTTATGACGAGGTTCACGTCCGATCGATGAGGCGAACGAGAGCACAGATCCAGCGAAACCAGCTATCAAGCGGGAGTGCACCTCTTGTGGGGTCTCTCTTCCCTCCGCCAAGGGAATATGTATCGCTTGTAGCCTCAAGAGGGGCGGCAGTCGCTCTTCAGGAGAGCTTGGTCTGACCAAGGTTGCTAGCTCTTCCAAGGGGCCGCACCCCGTGGCTACCTCGTTTCGGGCCCACGCCAGTTCATTGTCGAAAGTGTCACGGGAGGCCGTCAACAAATCTTCGTCTGCACTCAAGAAGGCATCGCAACGCTTGTCAGACGATGTGGAACCGTCTCGTGCGCTGCCCCGGGCTCATGTACCACCCTCTTCGACGGCTGGCCACGCAAAGAAGCCATCTGTTCCGCGACCTGCGTTCACTCCCAAGCCCATCGAAAACAACGACTACGATGACGACAGCATGGACGTGGACGACTCGTCCAACCATTTCTTACCACCCCCCGTTTTCTACCCACCCTCTTCATCTGCGAAGACATACACGGACTGCGAATCCTGTCAGCGTGTAATCTCAATTGCCCTCTTGAACAATGGCCTGTGCAGCTCGTGCAGCGTCCCATCGCAAACCACGGCGGTGAAGACCTCGACTGGTAAAGCGCGCAAACCACGCATGACGAAGGCTCGCCGCGAAGAAAAGTTCCGCGACTGGCTCGTGGACTGGACTCGTGCGTACCGTGCGCGCAAAGCCCTCGCGCAAAAGGCATCTGCCGACGCCGTCACCTTCGACCATACTGTCAAGCACCCCAAATACGGAGTGCGTGAAAGGTTCTGTCTTAACGCGAACGGGTACGAGCGCGGCTTCTCCAACTACTGGCGCGTGGACCGCATGATAAAGGCAGGCGGGAGGACGTACCAGACCGTGGACGCGTTTCTCGCCGCTCTCCGCAATGAGCTGGCGGACCACGCCGCGCAGCGTGTCGTGCGCGCCGGCATCGGAAAGCGCGTCCGCGTCCTCGACTTCACAGCGCGCTATGCGATTGTGGCCCAACCGCGGATCGACGCGACTGGAAGGATTAACCGTGTCTCGCAGTTGCTGAGGGAGGCAGGGCTCGAGTGAGTACTGGTATCACAGTCGGTCTCACATGTCGCGCCTGACTCTCTCGTCACAGTATCCCGCCCGACGACGACGATAGCGTGGGCAGCTACACGTTCTGTTACCAAAATGTGCCCAAGGGAAATGAAGGACTTAACGACGTCGTCTACAAGTATCCGTGCCCATGCGGCGGGAAGCGCAGCTCCAAAGACAAGATGCGGGAGCGCGAGGAGTATGAACGTCCGGACGCGGAGCACGCTGGAGTGTGTGGAGGTACCGTTATGCTTCTCGTGGGTCCGGACATTATCCTACGTGAGGTCCGTGGTCAGAGTGTCGCATTGGACATTGTGCATTAGACAACACGGAAAGTGCGGATTGGAACGCGACACGTTTCGCCACATCCGCCTGATACCTACACACATGGCTTAATGCTTTACTTTACCGATCCCTCTCCTGCTACATAGTATACAAAGCAAGTCCTCTTCGTACTCTAGTTGTCTACGTTGTTCCATAAATCCATTTACAGATGACTTCCATCCAGTATGGATCATGTGACACGCGTCTGCGCGCGACGCGGTGGTGACACGTCTACAGATGCACGCCGGGGCCCACGATTCACCCGCGAGAACCTCATGCTGGACCACTACCTCCGCAGAAGCACCGCAGGCACTCCTCGTCTGCCTCCTCTCCACTGCCACCGATAGCCCCAACACCCGTTAGCAGACCACGACGCCATGGCGCAAGATTCCGCCGTTCGTCCTCGTGCCCTCCCCCGCGTTCTCTTCGTCGCCCTTGCCCCAATAGCGGCATGGTTCCTCCTCCGCCCACTCCTGGAACCCGCGCCCTCTGTACCTGCCCTGTATGCCGCCGTCGGATTCTCAATATTTGCCTTTCTGGGCTCGCTTTACCTCGTTCCCGCCCTCGGACCGACTTTCATTCGCGCAAATCTCAGGGGAAGAGATCTCTTGAAGACATACGATGACCCTATGTGCGTATATGCGGCCGGTGTAGCGTATCCATCTACTCACCACTAGAGTATGTGCAGCCCGGAGAGCTTGGGTCTCGTTTGCGCCTCGATCTATATCGTCTGTCTTATCCTCTTCACCCCGTACGCGTTCTCGGAGTCCATCAAGACGTATGACGAGTCTTCAATGCGCGGACGAGAAGGGCTTGTGGTCGATGAGTTTCCCCACCACCAGGTATGTACTTCCCCTCGTTTCACCTCCGGAGAAACACTCACAGTCTGCAAGCTAGCAATCTATCTCTCGTCCATCCTCTCCCTCCTCATGGCGACGATGCTTGGGTTCCTCGATGATGTCTTTGACATCCGGTGGCGGCACAAACTACCGATACCCATCATTGCATCCATCCCTCTTCTCATCGTTTACTACTCGGAGCGGGGGTCCACCGATATCGTTGTTCCGATACCACTTCGATGGATCTTTGGCACTCTCCTCCACCTAGGTAAGCCCATCCCTGCGTGTATCTTCTTATTTCTCCCGTGCCACGGGCTCAACGGCACATACACAGGACCATTGTACTACCTGTATATGTCGCTCCTCAGCACATTCTGTACGAACAGCATCAACATCCTCGCAGGAATCAACGGTTCAGAAGTCTCACAAGCCATCGTGATTGCGGTGTCGGTAATCCTCAACGACCTCCTCTTCCTCCCCTGGCCCGTCGGTTTCCGCATACCTCTGCCTCTGCACGTCACAGATGGTCTCAAGGTTGGCGGAGCATGGAGTGCCGGGATGGCCTATGGAAGTCGGGTTTTGGTTGAGCGGCACTTGCTGAGTCTGTACTTCATGCTTCCATTGCTCGGCGTGTGCCTAGGCTTCCTATACCACAATTGGTGTGTCCGCTGCGTAATTACGCACCCCGTATCCCCGCTCATTCTGAAGCTTGGCAGGTACCCGGCGCGGGCGTTTCCAGGCGACACGCTCTGCTATGTGACAGGAATGGCATTTGCAGTCGTCGGAATTCAAGCGCATTACTCCAAGACGCTCCTGCTGTTCTTTCTCCCCCAGATCTTCAACTTTGTGCTCTCCTGTCCCCAGCTGTTTGGGCTCGTACCGTGTCCCCGACACCGCGTTCCGAGGTGCGTTCCTAGTTCCCCACGGGACCGCGAGCGACCGAGAGCCGACCCGTTCGTGTTCCGTTCCCTGCTCCGTCACAGGTTCGACTCGGAAATACACCTCCTCCACCCATCACGCGCGGAGTTCAAAGAGAAGCGCCCTTCCGCACTCTCCTCCGCGATTCTCCGCGTGCTCGCTGCGCTCGGGCTGGTCGAGCTCGCGTTCGACGAGCAAACGGGCGCGATCGCAAGCACGACGAACCTGACGATCCTCAACGTCTTCCTGCTCCGACTGGGGCCGATGCGCGAGGACAGCCTCACACGGGTGCTAATTTCGACGCAGGTGTGTGGAGCTCCTTCTCTCTTCCGTCGAGCCCGGCGCGATTCCGACCGAGCACGCGACCACGGCGCTCCCCGCCGCCTGTGCTTTTGGCCCGCGCGTGTTATGAGCTCCGCGGCTGGGATCGAGCCGACTGGGCCGGTCTCGTGAATCATTGAGCGGGCGCTAATGAATTGCTGGGCAGGTGTGCGGGAGCCTGGTGGCGTTCTTCGTTAGGTATGGCCTCGCGGGGCTGGTGTATGACGGGAACAGACGGTAGACGCAATAGAAAATCAGACCTGTGCGATGTTTCTGACCGTGTTTCCCCGCGTGCTCACATGGTGTGTCCCCAAACAGCGACTGTTTCCGCAAGAGAGGTGGGGGGGTCCCATCGCACGCGGCGCTTGGGGCGTACCGCCGCAACTGCGGGAGCGCAGGCAAATTGACACCGCAGTTAGAGCGCATACACGACCGGTCTTACGCATGCCGCCTGAATTCCGCCCTGCCAGGCCATCCTCGAGGATGTTTGTCCGACACGTCCTCGGCTCCGCTCGGCCGAGGTTGGGAGACAGGAGGCGGGGGCGGGCGACGGTGGCCCGACCGACACGGCGACCCCGCGCGAATCACATGTCGCCCGGGGAAGGTGAAGGCGATCGAGAGAGCTCCTTCCCCTCAAATGCGCGCTGCCCAGGCCAATATGCGCACACACCCCTGTCCCCCCCTTCCGCTCTACTACGCCCCGCACCTCCTCTCTCTCCCACCGACCCTCACGACGAGCACACACCATGGCAAGCGAGCGCCAGACATTCCAGGCTGAGGTGGCTGAGGTCGAGCGGTTCTTCAAGGTATGTGCCCATGACCCGTGCTCATACTGCCTGCTCATCGCGTCGCGTCCTCGTCGCGCGTAGGACCCCCGCTTCTGGAAGACGAAGCGGCCATACACCGCCGCGGAGGTCGTCTCCAAGCGCGGCACCCTCCCCATCTCCTACCCCTCCGACGTCCTGGGCCGCAAGCTCTGGCGCATCCTCTCCGAGCGCTACAAGAATGGCACTCCTTCACATACTTACGGCGCGTACGTGTCATTTCTGCTCGACCCATTTGGCGTGCACTGACTGTTCGGCGCGTATAGGCTCGACCCTGTGCAAATCACACAAATGGCCAAGTACCTCGAGACCGTCTACGTCTCCGGCTGGCAGTCATCAAGCACGGCATCCAGCTCGCACGAGCCCGGCCCCGACCTGGCTGACTACCCGTCGAACACCGTCCCCACTGTGGTCGAGCACTACTTCATGGCCCAACTCTTCCACGACCGCAAGCAGCGCGAACTGCGCTCCCGTATGTCAGAGAAGGAGCTCGCGCAGACGCCCTCTATCGACTACCTCCGCCCGATCATCGCCGACGCCGACACGGGCCACGGCGGCCTCACCGCGACGATGAAGCTCGCCAAGATGTTCGTCGAGAAGGGCGCCGCAGGCGTGCACATCGAGGACCAGGCGCCGGGCACGAAGAAGTGCGGGCACATGGCCGGCAAGGTCCTCGTCCCCATCCAGGAGCACATCAATCGCCTCGTCGCCCTCCGCCTCCAGATGGACATCATGGGCGTCATGAACCTCGTCATCGCCCGCACCGACTCGGAGGCCGCGACGCTCATCACCACCAACGTCGACGAGCGCGACCACCCGTTCATCCTTGGCTCCACGAACCCGAACCTCCAGCCGCTCGTCGCCGTCCTCAACGAGGCCGAGCGCGCGGGCAAGACCGGTGCCGCGCTCGAGGCCGCCGAGGAGCAGTGGATGGCCCAAGCGAACGTGCAGCTCTTCTCGACCGCGCTCGCGAACGCGCTCACCGCGCAGGGCGCCTCTCCCGTGGCCGTCAACAAGTTCGCCGCGCGCGTCGCCCAAGCCTCGTACCCCGCCGCGGTCGCGATCGCGCAGAGCGAGTTCGGGCTGAAAAAGGTACCCTTCTGGGACTGGGACGCGCCGCGCACGCGCGAGGGCTTTTACCGCTACCAGGGCGGGACGCAGTGCGCGGTGAACCGCGCGATCGCCTTCGCGCCGTACTCGGATCTGCTCTGGATGGAGACCAAGAAGCCGATCCTCGCGCAGGCGAAGGAGTTCGCCGACGGCGTGCACGCGGTCTACCCCGAGCAGTGGCTCGCGTACAACCTCTCGCCGTCGTTCAACTGGGAGGCCGCCGGGCTCAACGCGGACGACATGAAGGCGTTCGTCTGGCAGCTCGGCAAGCTCGGCTTCGTCTGGCAGTTCATCACGGTGCGTCTTCTCTCTTGCGCATCAAAAGGTAGGGGCTGACGGGCGTGCGCTCCGGCTTTCAGCTCGGTGGCCTGCACTCGAACGCGTACATCAGCGACCTGTTCGCGCGCTCGTACGCGACGGAGGGCATGAAGGCCTACGTCGAGCTCGTCCAGCGGCGCGAGCGCGAGATCGGCTGCGACGTGCTTACCCACCAGAAGTGGTCCGGCGCGGACTACATGGACAACCTGATGAAGACCGTTACAGGCGGTGTGTCCTCGACCGCCGCCATGGGCAAAGGTGTCACCGAGGACCAGTTCAAGTCGAAGCTCTGAGTTCTGCATCTTTGCGAGGTGAAACCTCTTTTTGTATTTCTCTGTCGCTGTCGTCGTCGTCGTCATCATCATCATCATCTGTATTACAACGTCCTCCTCTTCAGTTCATTCGTACACTTGTGATCGCAGCATGCTGCGTTGCTCGCACGACTCCCCGACTCCCTGCCTAGCTCTTATCGCGGCGTTTCGCTCGTTCATCTCTGTCCATCCTCTGCCGGAGAATTTTGTTACCCAAAGTACCTGCTTGGGATCCTTCACTCCCAGTGCCAGGCGCGTTTATCACGGCCCTTCCCGATCCACCCGAGGTTTGAGATTGAGCTTGAGCACCCCCGCGCGTATTCAGCTTTTTTTGCGCCGGGACGGTAGTGCCACCTGCGGTTGTGGATTCAGGTCCATTGTTTTGATCAGCACTGAGCGCATCCCGACCCGTGGGCGTCGAACCGTCTTGTCCAGTGGTCTTCTCTGCGGCAGTTTGGGATTTGCTCTCCTCGGCAACGGGCGCGTTTTCATTTGCTGTGTCCTTCAAGTTGCCGGCTTTGAGGGAAGGATCGTCCGCCACTTCCTTCTCCCTCTCATCCGCCGCGGACCCCTTCTGTCTCTCACTCTTGCCTCGAAGCTTCTCGATCAACGTACGGCTCCGTTCGGTGACACCCTTGCATAGTGTCGATTCGGAGGCGGACGCGTCACGGTGCAACGTTGACAGTACTGCATCAATTTCCCAGTTGTTCTCCAAAATGACTTCGTCGTCGGAGCCTCGGAAAAACATTGGCATGTTGGCCCGGATGCGACGCCGGATGAAGTCCCAATTGATGCCTCCATCTTCCTTGTCGGCTACTCTCACGAAAGGAGAAGGAAATACTATACCGCTGGTAGCACTTGCGGGGTTCTGCAGCTTCACTTGTTTCATAAGATTCTCGTAGTCTTTCTGGTCTGACGGAGAGTTGGGATGCGTTCTGGTCCCGAGGAGCGGCCAGGCGTAACCACGATCGTCTCTTGAGTACTCCGTATAAACCGGTACCGGGCCGGAAATCAACAACACACCAACGTCGAATATATTGGCATGCTTGGTGAAGATGCGATGGGCTTGTTCCTTACACTGTATCTTGAATCGCTCGGGGATCTTTAGTGAAATGCATTTGTCCGCAGGGGAAGCTCCGATGGGTGTCCTACCAAACGCTCCCGTCTTCTTGCTTTCGATGATGAGGCCGCCCAACATCGGTCCTGTTTTGATACGAATCGAGGGAAAACTAGCGTTTTGTAGGCCATCCCTTGCCGCATCGTTCTCTGTGACATTATGCAAAAAACCTGGAGTGACCGTGACCTCCACGAATTTCATGGTGTAATCGGGAAGCCGAGTCACAGATTTTGTCGCTAGGAGTTCTCTAATAGCATCGCTCTGCTTGCAGATGTCCTCTCCCATGCATTTAATAGCATCCTCTCGGCTCCTAAGATATTTCGTGCGGTCACTCAAGGATTCCAACTTCATATCTCGGCGAGTTCTTCGGCTCAAGGTAATGTCCTTACGGCAAGCGGCGAGGCGGGTTACGAAAGACAAAATCGAAGAATCCGCATTCTCGATGGTGTGTGGATCGACGCCTCGGATAGGGTATTGAGGGCAGCAACTGACAAATACAATATGCTGTTCAGATCCCGGCGACCCAGAGATTTTTCCGCACTTCAGGCTTTCCATGAGGCATTGATGGAACGGATACCAGTAGCCTTCGAGGTTTTGATGAGTATCTTCAGATAGTGCATGGGTAAGATTGATCAGTGTCTCCAGTGTCTCCCTGATTTTGGATCCCTTAAAGACTTCGATGACTGCGGAGTTCGGATCGAGAATGTTTCGTTCCAAAAATGCAAGGGCCTCAGGCTGGGACTCGAAACGTGCGGGAAGGGCTTGTTGATCGGTCTTTGACGGGGTCGAAGCGGCCACGCCGACCTGAGTGTCGAGAGGCTGCGCGACAGTATTCAGATGAGACATGCTGTTGAAAGTAAAAATGCAACTTGAAAACCCTGAGTAAACTACGAAAGCATGAATGGGACTCGGATTTCACATACATGGGTGTTCGAATTCCTGAGCAACAAGCACTTCTGGACTGAAGTCTGAAGCTTGACAGTTGTACTGTTGAACAGATGTCTGGTGGAGATAGCTGGGATTGGTGGAACGGCGAGTGGATGATGAAAACGCTGCATCTGACTACGCCTTTAAATACATACTCCATGAGCACCACCATGCATCTGAACCGCGGATGACGAAGGCAAGAATTTGTCACCCCACTTCGTAAAGCTACATCCTCGGATTGTGTCATCTGAGCTGTCCAAAACATGTCTTTGAGCACGGTTGAGACAGAGACGCGTCTCACTAGTTACGCCGGCGCCGTGAGCCCTGTTTGACGCAGCAGAGCCGGGACCAAATGATCTGGGTACTTGCCCGCGCTAGCCTAGGCTCTCCAATCTCGAGTCTCGACTCCCTACGCTAGCGGCGCCTATGACACCTACGGCTCTTTAGGACTTCGAATTCTACCATGTTGTTAGCGAATTCCAGGGTCGCGGCGATGCATATACCGCGCGACTGGGCGGTGTCTCGGCCAGTCCCTCACTAATCATTTACCAACCTCCCCTTCTCAGCCACACCTCGCTCACTCCCCGACGGGCACCTCCCAAATCGGACGTGCCCGGGGTTTCTTCCTACATACCGGTGAGTGTGGGGAGGCGTGTGCCCCTGTGTCACCCGCCCCTCCGCGCGCCAGCCAGGAAACCATGCAACCCTCTTACTCCTTCGAGCGCTCACGGACGCCCACCACCTCCTGCTTCACCCACCCGACCTGCCGGTCCGTTGTCGCCTGCAATATGATCGCCCCGGGGACGTTCTCTGCTCGGAAATAACCGTAGCTCAGCATCGACCCCGTTCTAGTTCGGCGAGTCAGTGAGCAGCTCGTAATCAACTGTAGCATCCGTTGCGATAGCATTTCGGCAGGGTGCGGATGCATCCGGTGATCCGTGATGCGCGCCCGTGGAGACGCGCCTCGCTGGGCGGCAAGGACGCATCGTCGCGTGGCTGTGCTGCACGTCGCCTTTCGCCGTCCTTCCTCCTTCCCCCTCCTCCTCCTCCCCGCTCTGCCCAGGCAGACGATAGCGACTATACGGTCGACTGTCGTCTGCTGTTGGACTCTGGTGTCACCAGGTGTCACCGACCTTCCCTCCTCCGAAGTCCCCCGACTTCGACCTCGATCCCGCCCTACACCCACCTTCCCGACTGCACTCACAACAAACACCGCACGAGGACGTTAATACGGACGTCCTCAATACGGAGATTGGAATATGGGGCTGCGGCGATGTACCGCAGCACATATTGGTGAGTCCTCTGCTCCCTCCTCCTGCACTGCCGATGCCCACCGATGCCCCCTGCCTACGACAGGCCGAAGACGTCGCCCCTGACGTCCTCTCCCGCGCCGCTCGCCCGCGCCATCCGCCTCCGCGTCGCCCTCCTCCTCCTCCTCGCCCTGCGCCGCCTGCCCACGCAGCTCACCCACGCCGCCCTCCTCCTCCTTGCCCTTCTCAGCCCGTGCCTGCCGCCTTCCTCTGCCCGTGTCAACCGCCTCCTCCGCATCGCCCTCCTCCTCCCGCGTCACCGCGCTCTTCCACACCGCGCTCCTCCGTGCCGCGCTCTCCACGTACCTTCCTCCGTCTCCACGCTGCCCTTCTCCTCGTCGCCCTCCTCCACCCTCGTCCCTCCTCCACACAACCCTCCTCTGCCCGTGTGCTGCCCTCCGCCCGCGCGCCGCCCTCCGCCTGCGTCGCCCTTCATCCGCCTCCGCCTCCGGACGTCGCCCTCCCCCGCCTTGCCCTCATCCGCTCACGCTTCCCTCCCCCACCTCGCCTTTCTTCGCCCGTATCGCCCGTCTGCGCCGCTCGCTCACGCTGCCCGCGTCGCCCTCGTCCTCGTCCTCGTCCATTTCACCCCGCATCGCCCGCCTTCACACTGCCTACCGCCCGCGTCGCCCTCCTCCGTGTCACCCGCCTCCGCCCGCGTCGCCAATCTCCGTCTCTGCGTCACCCTCCTCCACGCGTTGCCCACCTCCGCCCGCGTCACCCTGCGCCTCCTCCGCTGCGTCTCGCCCTCCACATCGCCCTCCTCCACCTCAGCCTCCGCGTTGTCGCGGGGCTGTAGTATTACTTGCTCGCCCTACTGTAGTAGCTTTCAGCTTGGTGTGTTCATTCAGGGCCCGTCGCGGCGAATTACCCGATTTCGCTTGCCAGCATGCGATGTAGTACAAATAAATATATCTTCATTGTGCACTGGCTATGCCAGTACTGCTTACAAGAACAAGAACGAGAGGCCGGGAGGGTGTCGAGCTCGCTGTCGAACACGGTGAACACGGAACACGGGTGACATCAAGACATCTCAGCGGTGTGGCACGATGTACACAGTTGTGCAAGGGCGCGCCGGGGAGCGGTGGTGGAGCTCGGAGATTGGATCCGCACCTCCGACCGTCCACAAACACCGTCTGGGGACGGGATGTGCGTCCAATACTGTCTGGCTCAGCTTAATCGTAACATGCACCACAAACACGGAATTGAGATAAGTATGGTGGCACATACGGACTGAGAGCTCTCAGCGCCGGTCAGCGACGCAGTTCACCGCCCCAGCACCTCCCAGCACCCGCCAGCGGTGTCTCTGTTTGACGGCCCTCTGTGAGTCAGGAACGTCTTACATTCCGGCTGAATCCATAACGCTAGGCGGGTTCCAAAGAAGTCCAGCATAGCCCGCCTAAGCGGAGACTGAATTTGGACGTGCCGAAAGGGGCCGATATCAGTATCGGGTCGCGATGCGCCCTCCTCACGCGCGCCCATCTCCCTCACTCAACGTCGCCGCTTGATTATGGCTGATCTCGACCCCTATATTCAGTCTCCGCCCGAATATGCTGTGCTGAACTTTTTTGAAACCCGCCTAGCGTTATGGATTCAGCTGTAAGCGCCCTTTCTCCTGGTTCTGCGCTGGCATCGAAACTTGGTCGGAACTTGAGCACTCAACGTGTCAGAATCCTAATTGAGGACCAGTCCGCGAGACACTGAGCTACCACCAGTACGTCGATACGGACCCCATATCTGTCGATGATATCTGATTCACTGATATATAGACCGGTCGGCTGGTTGGACACTGGACAGTCAGAACCACTTCGAAAACGACACCTTCTCCGAGCCAACAAGAATCCTACTCTCGTAACTGTTGTTCACAATCAATAGTCTTCAACTTGGTGCGTCGCTCAAACACTAACCATACAGTTGGCTCTAGAAAATGAATCTTGACACATGCAGACACTACCTTATCACGATGTCTGAACAGGGGGACTGGGAAATTTTTTCAGGCGGATACGATGCGTATATCTGCGAATTACAGGAGTTGATCAGTGTAAGCCGTACCCCACTTTGCCACTGAACCAACACGCTTACAACGGCGATGACAGTCAGAGAAGATGGAAACCTTGACGAAAGCCCGATCTGATAATCTTTCGAAAAAAGACGCATTCCTTAGGGAATTGACATCCAACCAGTACCATCAGGAGCAGAAAGGGAAATTGTCGCTCGAACAGCGCCGTCAGGCGCGCACGCCACCCGGCGCCAAGTTGCCACCCGCGGACATCGACCCCAAGACCGCCGAAGAGGAGTACGGTTTCGGCTGGTACTTGGTGCCCCAGACTCTGCACAAGCGGATGTGGCTCACTGCGCTCTACTATGAGTCTCACAGAAGCGACCTCCCGCCCCCAAACGGGCCGCGCGGGCTATTCTCGGCGGACGACCTCAGAAGGTCCATTCAGGGGATGATGGCAATGTTCGTTACACCCTCACCTGCAGGCACGTTTACCTGCGTCGGAGAGGACCTTGAGCCACTGCCTCCGCGTTCATGGCAAGGAATCGTCGCATACGGATTCTTTGATCCCAAGAACAAGTATCGCATCGTGGAGTCGGCAACGCAGGCAGATATAGATCTGATGACGAAGTTCTACGACATGGAGCCCCGGTGGATCATGCTGAGCAAGTCAGGAGGGAAGTCGATGGTGGAGGAGGTTTACCAGGAGCCGGAACCGATCGGCAGACTGGTACCTTACGAAGACCCAGAGGATGACGATGAGAAGAGAAGAAGACGAAGAAGATGTAGAAGAGAAGAAGACGAAGAAGACGAAGAAACAGAGGGGAACGAGATCTGAGAGTCTAACCTACGGTCCTTGGGCTAAATTCTCCCGACGCTTTTTGTTTTAGTTCACTGTATTTATATGGATCGGAGTAGCCGAGTATTGAACAAGCTACACAAAATGTTGAAGGCGTGCCGATGTTTGGCACGACACCTTCTGCAACGCAGGCGTTCTGGAAGCGAAGACGATAACTGGTCCGCTCATCATAGGAGAGAACGGGACGACGCAAAACGTGCGAATGTCTCCGTACAACAATGAATCATATGATACATGCTGTGCAGCACAAAAGGACGTACTCCACACGACCTTGGCAATTCGCCGCAGTGGCATCGATGGACACGTCCCTAGCTACTTCGCGGCCTGGTGATGGTGTGCAAGCGGGCCTTCATCCGAGGAAAAAGACATACCGAACCCGAGGCATGGCGAGCCTGCAATTCCGTCGTCCACTCCGAATCACCGTCGAGCCCGTTGCTCGAACACGTCCACTCGCTTCGGACACAAGTTCGCCACCAGAGTCTTCCCTCGGACTCGCGCGTTGACGACGAGGACGACCTGTCGCCGGCGCATCTCCCGCCCTGACTTCAACGCGTCGTCCCACTCGGTGCAGAATAAGTGTGGTGGTGATCCGGCATCCATAGTCGTGTCGGCGAAGGTGCCGTATTTGGAGCCGGTGGAGGGGAGGGCACGCGCGTAAGGTTCAACGAAATAGCAGTCATAGTAGTCCTTGGGCTGCTCAGAGTTCACCATCGTGGCAAGCCTCAAATGTAAAGCCTGACCGATAGCCCACGGACGCCGTCCAAAACAAAGCAGCGGAATACTCCAAATGCGGAGCGAATGGCCACGGAAGGCAAGGCCGATTTCTGCGCAACCCCGTCTCCATTCGCAGACGATACCACTGAAACCCAGGTCGAGAAGACACTGCTGTGTACACGGCTTCGAAGAGGTCACAAGCTGTGTCCATTCCAACCCCACTTCGACGTCGACGGTCTCTACAGCCTCGCCGAAGCGGGGTCTGCCAACGCGTACATGCCGTCGATCTGCTCCTTGAATTTCATGTACGACTCTTTCCTGGAAAAAGGGACGCGATGTCAGCGGAGGGACGTGCACGAAGCGAGCGGAGCCACCTTTTCAGCTTCATCGTAGGCGTGAGGCACCCGTTGTCGATCGTGAACGCATCCAGCGTGAGATGGAGGTGCTTGATCTTCTCGAAGCTGTCGACCGCACGCCGTCAGTCAGGCGTCCCTTCTGCGCGGACGAGCGGCACCCACCCTTTGAGCTTCTTCACGTTCTCGTCGCGCTCCAGCTCCGCCAGGAACGCCTCGGCGACCTTCGGGTCCCTGATGCACGCCGCGACCGCCGCCGGGTTGCCCGCGTCGAGCGGCGGGCGCCCGGTCCTGGCGACGAGCGCGGCGAGCTGCGCGGGGTCGGGGACGACGACGCCGACGAGGAAGTGGCGGAGGGAGTCGCCGTAGACGAACGCCTGGGCGACGAGCGGGCACATCGCGTACACGTTCTCGACGTTCTCGAGCGCGACGTACTCCCCTGCGCGAGCTTCATGATGTTCTTCACCCGGTCGATGATCCGCAGCCGCCCCTGGCCGTCCGTCGTGCCCACGTCGCCCGTGTGCAGCCAGCCGTCGTCGTCGATCGTCTCCCGCGTCTTGGCCTCCTCTGCATGCGCGCGCGCGCGTCAGCGTGGGCACCGGCGCGGAGGAGCGGACGCGGACGTACCCTTGTAGTACCCGACAAAGCGGCCGTCGCCGCGCATGAGGATCTCGCCGCGCGGGAACGGCTTGTCCGTGACGTGGTACCCGAGCGCGGGCACGTCGATGAACTTGACCTCCACCGTGGGCACGATGCTCCCGACGGTCCCGCCGAGCTCGCGTCGGAGCGCCACGTCGTGACGCAGCAGCCGCCGTTCTCGGTCATGCCGTACCCGTCGACTATGTCCGCGAGCGTGCAGACCTTGAGGAAGTCGCAGACGCGCTGGCCGAGCGGGGCCGACCCGGACGCGATCTTCGTCATGCGGCCGCCGAGGACGTTGTTGATCTGCGCGCACGGGGGCGTCAGTCGGGGGGGGCGGGGTGAGAAGAGGGAAGGCGCACCTTTTGGAAGACGAGCCGGTCCCACACCGGGTGGGTCATCGAGCCCGTCGCGCGCATGTTGCGCACCTTCGTCTCGAGCGCGCGCCGGAACAGCACGCCGCGCAGGCCGGGGGCGTCCGCGGCGACGGCCATCGCCTGGTAGAGCCGGTTGAGCACGCGCGGGACGAGCGCGACGAAGTGCGGGCGGAGGAGCTGGATGTCCTCGAGCAGCCGGAGCGGGTCGTTGGACGTGTAGCCGATCCGGCGGCCGATCGCGGTCGTGCAGAACTCCATCATGCGCTCGTAGATGTGCGCGAGCGGGAGGAAGGAGAGCGCGGTGCGTTCGGGGCCCTCGTCTTGGATGTAGTGCAGATAGGCGGTCACGGAAATGGCGAGGTTGCCGTGCGAGAGGAGGACGCCTTTGGGCGTGCCAGACGTGCCCTGTTGGATGTTGTTAGCATACACGGAAAAGCGATGATGTCATCGGCGCGAAAGGCGTGACCCAGGTCGAGGGTGAGAAACAAGAGCATATTGGAGTAGGAGGGAGAATGCCCTCGGCAGGGGAAAAGAGAGATCCACTTGACTGCGGTACCGAACGGATGGTGCGACAACTCGCATATAGGACCAATATGTTTACTGGGGGCAATGAGCCCCCTCTAAGGGAGCACAAGCTCGAGAACGAGAGCAGACTGCTTACCGAGGTGTAGCAAATGGTCGCGATGGTGCTCGGCGAGGGATAAATCACGTCCGTGAGGTTCTTGCGGCCGAAAGCCTCGACTGCGAGATGTTAGCAAAGACTCGGACGTGGAAAGACGCAAACGCACACTCTTCCATGGTCGTGAACTTGATCCCTCTTGTCGACGCCCATTCGGTGAGCGTCGTCTTCGTGCTGTCGTCGACGTCATCCATACAGACGATCATCTTGAGAGTGGCAACTTGGGCGACAGCTTGAGTAGATGCGGCACGTGCTCCGAAGCTGCGAAGATTATGCTCAGCCCCGCGTGGTTGACGACATGTTCTGTTTTTCCCGTGAGCATCGGAAAGTGAACGCGAAACGCAATCTGACGGACCAACGGCATCCGCGCCCAGGGTGTCGTAGAGCGGCACGCTGACTTTCTGGTACGCCTGCATCGCGAGGTCGACGAGCAGCCAGTCTGCACCTCACGCGTCAGCGCAACCCGGCTCGGCGCCCGCAAGGCACGTACTGGGGCAGTTCTTGCTCCATATCCCGACGGTCTCGAGGTCGCCCGCGACGAGCTCCCCGGACTGGAAGAGCTTGTGGACGGCGCTGCCGACGGCGCGGCGGCGGGCGTCGACATCGGGCCAGGACTGCCACACGTGATAGTTGGCGAGAGTGAGCGGCGCCCGGCTGAGGATGGGCCGGTGGCCGAGGAAGGGCCCGCCCGCGCTGCGACGGAGGCCCTCGTCAAGACCTGGACGAGGTTCGTGAACGCGCCGGGGGTCTTGAGGGTCACGAGGGGGAAGACGGCTGGGGGAGGTGAGCGAAGGTGCGCGGGGGCACACAGGGACCCACTGACCGTGCCGGTAGATGGCTGGGCGGGGAGATGGAGTTGGCCGCATTCGTGCGAGAGAAGACGAGAAGGCAGACGTACGTGTCTCGCCCGGGAGCGCAGTGCCGGGGAGCGTGATGGACTGCCTGCTGTAGTCGGCATTTGCTGGCCACTTGTACGGATCGTCGTTTGACTGGGAGCTGGCGGGCATCGTACCGAGCTGGGTGGGGACTGGAGCCTGGAGGTCGGAGGAGCGAGTCGCGACGCAGTGTGGGGAAAGGCGGGGCTTCCCTCGGCTGTTACGGGTCTTGATCTGGTTGGCCACCCGGCAAGCGAACCGGCCCCTGGAGTGCCGGTCGACGGGAGTACCTGGCAAGGTCTAGATCCCAGGCACTAGTACTCCTTCAACGCAGCCCTCATGTCAGACGAAACTGCAGACGACACTTTCCAGCTGTACGACCTCCGCGTCGAAGTCGTCTGTCCTCCCGGGAGGCGCATCATGTGCGGCGCGAACGAAGGCGACTACTTCACGCTCCAAGGCGAGATGCTCTACCTGCCCCCGGCCAGGGCATCTCCATCTATTCGCTCAGTGGGTGTGAACACACGTACATACGCGCCCTCGTCGCACTCATCCACCGTTTTCCTCGCCCTCGCTCCAGCCGCCGTCCTCCCGCTGCTCGCCGCGAAGCAGCGCCCGACGGCCGCGAATGACTGGATGTCCACCGACGCCGAAGTCGCCTGCCCCGACCCGTGCTGCCCCAGCCGCCTCCGCATCGTGCGCACCGGCCTCCGCACCTTCAACCACGGCGACACCACCCTCGTCCCGCTTCCCCCACAGCCCCAGGACGACCCGGCCTCCGCGCACACGCAGTGACTTTCAAGGGAGCTCGCCTAAAACCCCGACACCCAGCCCGACTACGCATCGCACGCTTCGTCCACGCCCAGCCCCAGCCGATCTGCCCACCCCGTCTGCCTCCCGTCGCCGCCGTCGAGCTTCCACGCTCCGATCCCGTACCGGTGGTTCACGCCCTCCAGCCGCGGGACGCACGTCGAGCCCCCGCACCCGCCGGTCTTCGCCATCGGGATGAGGAAGAAGACCTCCTTGACGCGCGAGTGGAGGAGCGCCATGCTGCACATGATGCATGGCTCGTGCGTCGTGAAGAGCGAGAGGGCCGTCAGGAGGTAGTGCGCGCCGTTGCGCGAATCTTCAGCGTCGCGCTCCGGCGCTGGGGTGGGGGCGGACGTCGCAGGCGGTTCGCTGGAAGAGCCGGGTGGGGCGTAGGCGGCAGGGGTAGGAGGGGACGCAGACTCGGACGCTGTCGTAGACACAGGCGCAGACGACGCGCGGAGCTCGCCCACCGCCCGAACAAGGTTGATCACCGCATGTCTGAGCGGGTGCGCCGCCGACCGCCGTGTGTCGCCCGCGCTCACGGGCGCGGACATCCGCGTCGCCGTCCGCGTCTCGTCGTCGTGCGGCATCGGCACGCGCGCCGCGATAGGGAGCTGCGGGACGTTAAGCTCGAGTGAAGGCGCACTGCACAACGAAGGTAGCTACCTCGCCCCGGGCGCCCGCGTCTCGCGCGTCCAGCACCACGTCCCGCATAGCGGCGCACGCCCAGCGCGCGCGGCCGACAGTCCATGGCTCCGGCTCAAACTTTTTGCGCGGGGCGTAGATCGTCGGCCAAAGCGTCGACTTGAGCTTCAACGAGTTTGGCGTCAACGCGGCCGTCCTCGGCACCGCGAGAATGTAGGGGTCGGGGATGCGCGGAGAGAGGTCGGTAGGAATGGTTGGCGGGGACGGATGGTCACTCGTTAGAACGAGGAGCATGCTGGTGCGCCCGGAGTCGGGTAGCTTGCGGATGCGTTTGAGGTGAGATAGCGCAGGGGTGTCGAGACCGCTGGACTTGAGCCACTTCAACATCGCGGCGGCCAGGCGCGGGTCGGGGAGGTCGACTACCCATGCGTCCTCTGTATCAGGCGATGAGGGGAGAGAAGCAGCTTTATGGAGGGTATGCGCACCTTTGCGTATGGAGTCCATGTCTTTCTCCTCCTCTTCATCGGGGGTCAGCCGGACCCTGCTGAACGGAAGGTCCCCCTCTGAAACAAGATCGGCCTCTTTGCCATCCTGGAACTTGTCAAAGAGTCCCATATCGATATCGGTGTCTGGGGCGCCTTCATCCTCCTCGACGGCGGCAAGACCTCCCCATCCATCGTCGAGCTCATCTTCTACTGGGGGCGCTCTCTTGTCGACTGCATCCACGGGGTCGAACCATAGCTTGTGGCCGTAAAATATGCAGAGCTCCTCGTCCTTCGCGATCGGGCGGAAGGTCGTGTATCGAATGGACTCGGTGGACGGGTCGATGGAATAAGAAACGTTTGGCTTCTGGGAGTGGTTGAACAGCGAGCCTGCATTCAATTGCTGAGCACTCCCCGCGAACGATGACTCCCCTACGCACCTAGGCCCAGAGCCAGCGCCATCTTGCCATCTCTCCACACGAAGGTGTAATGGTCGAGCACGGTGTGCTTCCCGTGCGCCTCGTACTCGGCCGCAGAGAACAGGAGGACCGGGCTGATTTCAATGAGAGTTTGCGCGGGTATCTCACGAGATGCTGGTTATGCATCTGGGTCCACTCAGCTGGTGCGCACGCAGAGGAGCTGAGAACTCACCGTACACGCCTCGGCCTTTTCCTTGAGCATATTCGATGCGAAGCCCGGAACTGTTCAAGTGGTCTGGGGCCACGGTAACTGCCATGCGGCGCAGATATCAAACTGGAAGTGTTTGGGAGGTGGTGTATGAAGATAGAGGGAGGATATTGGAGGAAGTAGAGAACGAGGAGGATCAAAAGATGCCATTCCGCGGCGAGATTCGTGGAGCGCCCGATGGCCCGACAAAATCGGATTCTTGCACTCACATCAGGATAGATAATCTACAGTGGTCGACTACTACCGAATCTCATCTCGTACGCAGAAAGTTATGCCTGCGCGCTGCTTCCGTTTCAAGTCCTTCCCGACCAACTGCACTACCTGCGCTTTCCTTGGGCGTCGCGATGAGGGTACATCCTCAGAGGAGCAAACTTTCTTCTTGCTATCCTCCAGCGCCTTCTCTTCCCGCGTAAGACGGTCGTCACGCTCCATCCACAGCAACCATGTCCCGCGAGGTGCAGGTGGAGTCGGGGTCGAAGGGACAGGAGCAGTTTTGCGAGCCTTGTATCTCAAATCCGAGTCATGCGATGAGCCAGCTGTGTCAAGATCGTCGACCTCCGTCACCGACTCGGCGCGCGCCTTTCCTTTCCCTTTGTCTAGCCGTCCGGACGAGGCGGGTCTCGGAGACCGCGAAGGGGCAGGGGAGGGCTCCCGGGCTGCCTTGCGAAAGCGCTCACTAAAAGCATAATCGACAGATGGCGGGGGTTCGAGGCGACCTTGTTCGCGCATCCGCACGATGAGGTCTCGGATCACATCTCCGGAGACGGTTACGGGTGGGGTGGTGACTGGAGGGGGGCAGGGACCGGGGGATTCGGGTGCGATGGATTGTCTTGGACTTGACGGGAGGGTCCAGGGGTCGGTGCGGATGCTGCTGTAAGATGGCTTCGGGCTGGGTTTGCGGGAGGCAAGGGGGTGATGATTAGCGGGCTTCTGTGGAGCAGTTCTCCGAGAGACCTGTAAATATGGTATACTGAATATTGGGAAGTGTGTTAGTGGAACACTCACCTGGAATGGGGAACGATTGGGGACGGGCTGGGAAAGTGTCTGCGAGGCAGGAAGTGAGGATGTTGCTTGAGGCGCGGCTTCGACGGGAGCAGGTGGCTCAGAAATCTCTATTGGATCGTCGTCGTCGTCGTCTTCGATCAAAATAACTTGTGGTGGTTCTGCGCGACGGATTGGGTTTGTCCTCGCCACGGCATTTGCGGGCGGGACGGTCACATTGATCGGGTAGCGTTTTGACTCTGCAGACGAGGTCGTTTGCCCCGCGTGCATGAAAGACATCTCCACATCGAGAGCCCTTGACTGCGTTTTCCTTGCAAGTCCGCTCGCATGCGCTCCAAGAGCTCGTCTCTGGAGACCGGCGGCAAGTAGCAATCTGTTGAAAGTCAACATCAGTACTGTTCACTTTAAAGAGCGCTATGCTCGACTTACTGTGATGCCATGCGCGTTGGCATGTTGCGCATTCGATGAGAACTGTCTCTGGGTTATCGTGGGACAGCTTGCATTTTTCACATGGTTTGTTGGGGGTTGGAATTGTGTTGGACGAGGTGCGCGTCATGGCAGGACGGAATCAGACCCAGTGGCGCGACCGACGCGGAGCGCGTGTGTGTGCGGGGCCCGTGAGAATTCCGGGGGCTATAGACATGGTGGATGTGTGCGTTTGTGCCAGGGTCGCGCTCGTCCTGGACAGTGTTGTGCGCACGCATCCGCAGTGTCGGCTTCCAAGAGAGAGGATGAGGGAGAGGGTTCACGAATTCTCCACGGCCACGACGTCGTCGAAGGATGGGACGTCGCGAAGGATCAATTCCACCGGCGCCTGCACGCGACGTCATAACCGTCAGTCGTGACTTGTGTGCCCGCCACGATCGACTCGTTCCCTCTGCTCCCTCGCTCTCTCCCCTCGTGTATGCTCTCTTTTCCTTCATAACAACCGACCATGGCCTCTCTTCCCAAAAAGCCCGATGGCTTTTTTGACATCGTTGGCCACGCAATGGCCGACATGCACCACGACCATCGCTCTGCGGACAGCGACCATCCTTCGACGCCTCCTCTTGCGAAACCACCTGTGGTGCGTCTCTTTGGCGTCGATCCCGTGCCTTTAGCTGAGAGTACTACAGGAAAACTATCAATACTTTAGTCACTCTCATAATCAAGAACACAATGACGAGGCAAACGGACACTGGCGCGAGCAGGGACAAGATGGTGTTCTGGATGGGTCGACGGGTTTAAAGAAACGGCCTCCGGTGCGTGTACCACCCACATATATGCCTTCTTCACATCCCTCACGCATAATCTCCCTCAATGGTCCTCATGCGCTCCACTTCAAGCAGAAGTTTGAGATCGGTAGAAGAGACGCCTCACCGCCCTCCCCCAATTCCCGAATATCCTTCCCCAGCAACGTCGAAAGGCGACCACCTCGACGCAATCTTTCTGCCTCCACATACCGCTCGCCCATACCTGGTACGCCTCAGCAAAGGACTGGCCCTCCGCGGTCGATCTCCTACAGCTACTCGTTCTCCAGCGCACATGGCCACTCGTTCTCCCCCGCACCCGGTCAAAGCAACTCCTCCGCGCCCTCACGGCAAACCAGCGAGTCGCACGTGGATGAAGACCCAGACCGGGCATTCGACTTCCCGCCCGTCACCTCCCCCTTCCGTGGTGCACTGGAATACCAAGACCCAGAGCAGCGCGAGCGCGAGCGGTCGATGGCCGAGCGCAAGCACAAGCGCAGAGACAGCTACTTCCACGACGCGCCATGGAACCCCATGAAATGGATATCAGAATCCCCTCGCGGCTCGCAAGATGACCTTCACTCTGCCCACCCTACCCCGCGCACCGATTCTGGGCACCCCGAGCCCGAAGACGAAGACCCTCCTCCATCCGTCACGCGCCACTCCGCGGGCCCGTCGCGCCTCCGTCGCGGGCAATCCCTCCCCCACATGGGTCCCGGTTCGACCGCTGGGTCGCCGTCCACGCCCACGCTGAAGTGGGGCCGACTCAAGTCGCTCCTCCCGCACATCACAGGACAGTCCAAGGCGCAGCCGCCGCACTCTGTCGTCACCTCACACAACGTGAACATCACCGACGAGCTCATCACAGGGGGGCTCGCGACGCTCATGTTGCGCCTGTGGGTGGAGCGCGATGAGAAGGGACACCGACGGGTGCCCGGGTTGTTTCACCGGCTGCGCATCCGCGTCAGCGACAGTCTACATCCGATGCAGGGCAAGAAGGCGGTATTCCGGATCGAATGCGAGTACGCGAACGGGGCCGTGCGGTGGGTCGTGTACAGGCAGCTGCGCGAGTTCATCTCCCTCCACGGCCACTACACCATCGCCAATGCATACAATCGCAGCATCGAGACGTTCCCTGACTTCCCCATGCACAGTGCGTACTTCGGTTCCAAGTTGTTTACGGTACTGACGTCTTGTAGCTCTCCCTTACTTCAAGTGGCTTAAGGAGCGCCATGGCGAGCTTGGTCGGGCCGACTTTGCTCGTATACAGCGCGAAACGATCGAGAATTATCTTATAAGTGTCATTCGTGCCGTTGTGAGTGTCTATCTTCACGACTGTTGCCCATAACCTGACATGGTCGCAGATGTTCCACCCATCCGTAAACCGTTTGGCAGGGTTTCTGGAGTTTGGTGCGCTGACCGTCGCACTCGCGCAATCTGGCGGCGCGCAGTACAAGGCTGGCTTCCTCTACCTGGACGGTGTGGCTCCCAAGCCGTCGTTCGGGCGTCGGTCCGCGGGCTGGCGCGAGAAGAAGAAACAACGTTGGTGCGCTGTCCGCGAGAGCTATCTGGTCGCGATGGAAGAGATGGGAGAGGTGCGTCCGAATCCGGCGCGGGCACGTTCGTGGACTGATGTTCGTCTCAGCTCACTGTCTGGGACGTGTTCCTCTTGGACCAAGACTTCCAGATCGAGCGGCCGACGCGCTACTACCGACAAGGCCTGAACTTGATTCATGGACCTGAAGCTAGCTCGGATAGCGAAGGCGAAGGGGAGCACGAGCAGCGGCAGCAGCCGCACATTGCGGTGAACGGGCATGACGTCACCGGCGAGCCCGTCGCCGTTCCCCCGCGCAAACGGCTCGCGTCTACCGTCGGCTCGATCAAGAGCTCAATCTCCAGGGCCCTCTCTCCGAAGAAAAGCCTGCATAGCCGCAATAACACATCTGCAAACAACCTCTCGGCTCCTCGACGGTCAAACGATACCGGCGGCGCTAGTGTGGATTCGGCGAGCAGCATCTCCGGACCACCCACACGCGCCGCGACGCCGATGCTCGATCCGTCGACGCATACGAACCCACTCGCGCTTCATTCGGACCACGAGCCTGAGCATGACGAGCACGACGAGCACCCGCAGTCACATCACCGGAAGCGCAATTCGAAGGACGTCTCCAAACACGTGTTCTATGTCGTGAACTCGCAGACGCGGCTGAAGTTGTACGCGAAGAACGAGCGGCAGATGCTGCAGTGGATCGCGGCGCTCGAGCGCGTCGCGCGGGAGAGCCACTACACGGGCAAGAATCGGTTCGACAGCTTCGCGCCGATCCGCTTGAACGTCGCTGCGCAGTGGCTAGTCGATGGGGTGCGTCGCGTCTACATTGTTCTGCGAAGTTGACGGCTGACGGAGTGCAGCGCGACTACTTTTGGAACCTGTCGAGGGCGATCTTGCTCGCGCGGGAGAGCATCCAGATTCATGACTGGTGGCTCTCTCCGGAGCTGTTGATGCGAAGACCAGGCAAGGACCGGTATCGTCTTGACCGATTGCTGGAGAAGAAGGCGAAGGAGGGCGTGAAGATCTACGTTATCCTCTAGTGAATCTTCCGGTCATCTTTCGTCAGCGCGATACTTACCGTCCCTGCAGCCAGGAGGTCTCTAGCCGTACCACGCCCACGGACAGCAAGTAGGTGTTGATCTGGAGGAGCCATGAGACTAGAATCCTGATGATCGTTGCAGCTACGCGAAGCAGCGCTTAGCATCCCTTCATCCAAACATTATGGTCCAGCGATCGCCTTCCCACTTCCAGACTGGCACCTTCTACTGGGCGCATGTACGTGAATAGTCTCATTTTCATCGCGGCAACCTCACATGGGATCTTTTATAGCACGAGAAGCTTTGCGTCATTGATCAAGCTATAGCCTTCATGGGTGGTCTTGACCACTGCTTTGGAAGGTACGCACCCTCGTCCGTATCCTTCGTATTTGTCGTCATATTCAGGCCGTGTTGGCAGATGGGATACGCCTCAGCATGTACTTATTGACGACCCTGACGACGAGAGCGAGCAGATCTGGCCGGGCAAGGATTACAGCAACCCCCGTATATCTGATTTCCACACGCTCAACAAGCCTTTTGAGGACATGTACGAGCGCGCCAAGGTGCCTCGCATGCCATGGTTAGTACTGTCGTAACAGCTGACATCAGCGACGTTTGCTGACACGACGATTCTCTCAGGCATGATGTTTCGATGCAGATCGTTGGCCAACCCGCGCGCGATCTAGCACGTCATTTCGTTCAGCGGTGGAACCACCTCCTTCGTATCAAAGTAATTTCATCTCTCCTATCTGTCTGTCCAGTACTAACATCCATGATAGAACCACTCTCGAACGATGCCATTCCTTCTACCACCGCCCGAGTTCAAGCCCGGTGAACTGGCAGATATGGGTCTTACAGGGACTTGCGAGCTACAGATCTGTCGATCAGCCGGCCCGTGGTCACTAGGCACGCCGGACCGCGTCGAGCATTCCATTCAGAACGCGTACCTTAAGGCGATCCAGCTCTCGGAGCACTTTGTGTACATCGAGAACCAGTTCTTCATCACCTCGTCAGTCTTAGTGACAACTCTGCATGGATGATGTACTGATACACTCCTAGGACCGTCGTGAATGAGGTCAAGATTGAGAATCGGATCGGCGATGCTATCGTTCAGCGAGCAATCCGCGCTCATCGCGAGGGTATCCCATGGAAATGTTGCATCGTCATCCCGCTGCTCCCTGGCTTCTCCTTCCCCGTTGACCACAGCGATGCTAGTGCTGTGAGTAAAGTCTTCTACGATCCTGGGTCTTTACTCATAAACCATCTCAGATTCGCATCATCATTGAATGCCAGAACAGGACTATCTGCCGTGGACCTAACTCCATCTTCGCGCGCCTTCGGAAAGAGGGCATCGATGTGTGTTGTGTGCTACCTCGTCGTTCCTCGATGCTGATACAATCCTCTGAAGCCCGATGACCACGTCACCGTCTTCTCGCTTCGGAGCTGGGGAAAGCTGCGGGACAATGTCCTCACTACCGAACAGGTCTATATTCACGGCAAGGTGTGCATCGTCGACGACCGCCTCGCCATCATCGGCAGCGCGAACATCAACGAACGCTCCCAGCGCGGTGACCGCGACTCCGAGATCGCTGCTGTCATTCGCGATACAGACATGATCGACTGGTGCGTGACTCCCATCGTCCTCCCTCGCTCGCAACTCACACGCGTATGCCCAGCAACATGGCTGGAAAGCCGTTCAAGGTCGGGCGATTCGCGCACACACTGCGTGTGCGGCTCATGCGCGAGCACCTGGGTGTTGACGTCGATGCACTGTATGAGGAGGACCTCATGGCGTCGTCTCCGACCAAGGAGCCTCACGAGCAGGAACCGTGGGACCCAGAGCACGAGCAGGAGTATGGTCGTCCAGGCGTCACACGTATCAAGCATCACCAGCAGGGACCCATGAACAATATGATGCACGATGCTAGTGAGGGTGTGAAGCAGGGTAGGTGCTACATGCTTCCAACGATACCAGGTTCTCACTTCATCTCCCGCCGCCAGTCATGCATGCGGCTGAGGAGATTGGGTCCACCAAGGTGACCCGGGGCCTCCGCAGCGTTGGTATCAAGTCCCACGGGCTCGACGCCTCCGCCGGCGACACGTACCTCGACGAAGAGCGCAAGATGTACGAGCGAGACGGCGAGAAGGTGCCAGGTTTCGCAAGCTCCGTCGTCCCTACCCTCGAGGAGAAGACCATCCACGAGCGGCGCCCGAAGCAGCGTGTCTCGGGCACCCCGATCGAGGAAGCTCTGGACGAAGAGGACCACACAGACTCCCCGGAGAAGATCGACGGAGACGTGACCCCACGTCCTCCCACTTCGCAATTGGAGGGTTCGAACGGTGTCGCCGACCCTGGTGTCAAGTCGAAGGATTTCTTGCCGTCCAATGGGGCCAATGGTCATGTAGAGCAGAACGGCTCTGCGAAGCGGTATGAACCGCACCAGGCTCGCCTGGAGACTGGCGAGCTATACGGAGCCCCAGCCGACGCGTCCGTCGACCCGCAGCACGACGACCAACCCCCGCACGCGCGGTCGGGCAAGGTCGACGCGGACGAGGGCGAGGAGCGCGCGCCCGGGACACGCTCAACGTTGCGGAAGCACCTGACCGCGAAGCTCGGTAACAAGCAGTGGCAGCTGCCGACACCGACGCCGGTCGTAGACCCTAACGGGTTCGAGGACCCGGTCTGTGACGCGTTCTGGAAGGACGTCTGGGTCGCCTGCGCCGTGCATAACGTGAGCCATGTCCTCGTTGTTGTCTCGGGACCCAGGTGCTGATAGTAAGCGTAGACCGAGATCTACCGCAAGGTGTTCCACGCGATTCCGGACGACATCGTCACGACGTGGAAGCAGTACAAGGAGTTTATCGTCCACCATGAGCGCCTGAACAAGCCCGTATGTGTCTCATCGTCACTCGGCAGGCCGTTTTACTCACGTGGAGTTCAGCTCAAGGACAGCGATCCGTCGGGCCCGCCCCTGGCTCGCGTACCATCCGAGGCTGCGGACCATGATGCACCTGGGCAACAGAAGGTCTCTGAGCACGCCGCCAGCGCGTCTCAAGATGCCCTCGCTCGCGAGAAGGAGCATGCCGACGACGAGGACGCGCGGGACGCGCATACACCCCTCCCGGACAGCTCAACGCCGGTGCCGGGTCAGCGGGAGAGGGAGAAGGAGAAGCGCGCGCCCGTCCGGGGACCGCAGCCGTTCGACCGGGCGGAGCGCGAGGAGATGGAGAATCTCCTGAACGAGCTGCGGGGGCACCTCGGTACGTCGCCGTTCGCATACAAGTGGGATTGCGATGTTGACTGTGTTGGTTGCAGTGGTGTACCCCACGCGCTTCTTGGAGGGCGAAGACGTCACGAACAACTTCCTCTTCCCTTCCGACCGGTGAGTCTTGAGGCTTTCGCGCGGGTTCGGCATAGTGACGCTAACCGTGTTGTTAGATTGCTGCCCTTGCCCATTTACGACTAGATCCCTATCGTTTCGCGATTCCCGACCGTCATATTCCTTCTGTGCCCCATACACCTGGACATTGGGGCAATCGAACTCCCCTCGTTATTGCTTTGATCCTTCGTATGATACTTTCCCATAATACGTTTCTGCCCACATGAGCGCAGACGAAGTGTTGAGTGCCCTTCAAGCTTCAAGACTGGGATGACTGTCTTTGGTGGGCCGATGTCGAGCACAAGCGTTTGTGACGAAGCGAGCCCTACCGGGAAAAGCGGTCGGTGGCACAATCCCTGTGTTGATTGTCGCGACGCGACGATGTACCCCATTGAATAGCCGAGCAGTGTACGTAGACGCACTGCTCCTACAGATGCCCACACTCAACAGAGTATCTCTCCCACCTCGTTCAGTACCACCCAGGTCGGCTCCTTCGTCCAGAGTTTCTTCGCCACCTCCAAGTGTACCTGCCCTAGTCGCCTGCCGACGCGATACTGATGCACGGAGTCGAAAAAGTCGAAGGCCGTAAAAGTCGACCGCTCAGGTCTCTCGGTGTCTCCAACGTCGAGGTTCAAGACGGACGATGTCTGCGTGCAGGGAGCTTACGACCTTGGCGATTGGCGGACTCCTTTATCCACATACTCGACCTTGGGCTCGCGGCCTGGTGATAGGGGTGTGTGAGAGGGGTGCCTCATCAGAGGGAGAGACGTACCGTATTCAAAAGGGTACCGCGAGTCGGCAGTCCTCATCCACTCCGGATCGCCCTCCAGTCCGAGCCGTTGCTTGAACACTTCCAAGCTACCGGTGAGAGGGCGCACGTCGTCCAACCAACTTTCTCTTCCGTTGTACGAGTTGATGGCAAAGACGATCTGGCGCTGGATATCGCATCCTCGCTTGCTCGCGTCGTGCCAGTCGGTGTAGTAGATGCCCAACCCGATGGTGCTGATCCCAGCGTCCTGAGCGGCCAGGCGGATAGCGTCCTCGGTGCTGAACTCGGGGTCGGAGGATAATTCGGGATCGTAAGCCATTAATTCGGGGGTGGAGGAGACAAGGGCACAGGCCGATGGTTCGACGAGATAGCCGTACACTGCGGTCTCGTCCTTGAGGTGCTCGGGGACGTCGGGTATGCCGCACTCAAACCTTTGTGGGTATCGGTGTCAGCGGAAGTTCCCAGTGATCTCTACACCCAAGTACTCACGGCTGTTCACGGTACGGATTCTTGGTCTGGAGGGGAGCCATTGGCTTTGAGGGGTGTTGCGCACGAGGAAGGATAACAACGAAGGAAACAGGGGAGAAGGGCAAAATGCCCGTGTAACAGCTGCATCGAGACGAAAGAAAACACGGGTTGCCTAAACCCACACAAATGCTTCGAGAGAGCGAAAGCGTACCTAGATACCCTAACGCCAAAATGGGACCCGCGAGGTGAATGCCAGGAAGACCACGAAAAAGCCCAGATTGAAGAGACGAGAAGGATCTTCAAGGAGGAAGAAGAGGTAGTCATCTTCAACCCGAGCGTCACGACGAGCGGAAACATGAGCACAACGCTGCGCATTTTCACAAACTTCTCAAAAGAAAACCCACCTAACAAAGGGAAACACATAAACAAGTTCGAAGCTGAAGGCGAGATCCAATACCTTGCTACAGACGGATCTTGCCTAAAAAACGGAGAGGAAGACGCACAAGCGGGAGCGGGCGTCTTCGGAGGTGAGAACCACGACATGAACAGAATAATAAGACTCCCCCCATACATAGAGCAAACAAATCAAACAGGGGAAGGAATAGCGACACTCACGGCCTCCGAAATAGCAGACTTAAGAAGGCCACTCCTCCAACTGACAGACTCGAGAACCGTTATGAACGAAGTGACTAAGCATATCTTCAACAACGAAAACAGAGGATACATAGGAAAGAAGAACTCACGAATAACGAAAGCAATAGTAGCAAAGCTACGAATGCGGAAAGCACCAACAGCTTTCAAATGGGTGAAAGGACACAAGGGTCACGAGCTGAACGAAGGCGCAGATAAACTTGCCGGAATCGGCGCGGAGAAAGCCGCCCACGACGACGTAAACCTGGAAGTTCCCACGGAGCTAAAGATCTCAGGTGCCAGACTCGATACCATGACACAGAAAATAGCATACAAAGCGATCAGAATAGGCAAATCGAGAGAAACAAAAAAGAGAACCCCGACAAAAAAGAATGTCGATAAGATAAGGGACGACTTCTACCAAGCCTTCAAGACGAGACTGAAAGAGGAGACGATATGGAAGGCAATAAGAAAACGTGACAGGATAACAAGAGAGACGGCTCAATGGATGTGGATGTCCGTCCACGATGCATACATGATAGGTAATAACTGGCTGAAACCAGACATGCCCGACGAACTCAAAGCAAGAGCAGAATGCAAAGCCTGCGGACAAATCGAGTCAATGGAACACATCCTTTTCACATGCCAAGCGACAGGAAGGGAGCAAATTTGGAAATCGCTGAATGACATGTGCAGAACATCCGGACTACCTAATATCACCCCGGATTGGGGCTCCATCTTCGCCGCCGGAGCAATAGAACTAAAACAAGACGAAGAAGGAAAAAGAGACACGGCAGGCGAAATAAGATGGGCGACACTGGCGACGGAAGCAGCACACCTGATCTGGAAATTAAGGTGCGAAAGAGTTATCGCGAATGATGGCCGCGAACACTCAGAGCGAGAAGTGATGCAAAAATGGGTTGCAACGGTTGAAAGGCGTCTAAACCTGGACAGACGCACCGCGGCTCAGATGGACGGAAAGAAACGAAAACAAACCATCAACAAAGTCGAAAAAACGTGGAAACCGCTTCTAGAAGACTCAGACAACCTCCCAGACGACTGGGCAACATCATGCGGGGTTTTAGTGGGTATTAAGAGAGGCACATAGCACCTCCTCTTGAATCTTGAGTCCCACACGTCGTGCGTAAATGCATTTCCTCGCGGTAGACCCTATGATTATGATTATGATATGACTCTGTCTGACCCACGGTTTGAATCCCATGGGAACGACAGCCAACACGCTTACACAGGGGGCACAACAAGCCCAATGGGACCAATGCCCTCGTAAGACAAACGTGTTCTACCAAAAAAAAAAAAAAAAAAAAAAGGAAACAGGGGAGCTCGAGCATTCCGTGGCCGGTCGAACTTGGCGAGCGTGTGAATGATGCATATATGACGTCACTACTAGTGGTGGTTGAAACAGCCGCCCAGCGACTGGCGGTGGCAGTCGTCGTCGTCGGTACATAAGGAGTCAGGACGCCGTGTGTGCCACACTCCCAGTTACCAGTCCGTGCTCCCTTCCGTCGAGTTTTCAGTCAGCACTGACACACTTTGTCCACGCTCAGCAGTGAACTTCCTTCGAACGTGAACCAGTCTCCCTAAGCTACGTCCGACTTCCGAAGTGCAAGAGAAGATCAGGGACAACCTTCCGGTTCGTACTCCCTACTCTCGAGCTATTGGTCAGCGTTGGCATGCTTTGTCCGCGCTTAGTGAAGCTATGCTGGCCCCGTCTCCCTCACCACCGAGTCCGACTCCTGAAGAACAAGACAGAATGAAAGACTCCCTTGGTATGATCCAGGTGCGTTCCTTTGACGTAGAAAGCATCTCCTTGGCATCGGATCGGCTAACAGTCGATCTAATAGACCATGCGGGATGACGCCAGCCTCTACAAATGCTACCGGGACCTCAAGGAGGAAGCGGAATCGCTCGCCCGCAGTCCAGGCAACTTCAAAGCGCTCTGGAAGGTCCTCATCAGCTCCATGATCGTCTGGGAGCTCAGCGGGCGCACCGTCTGCCACTCGGGGACAATTCCTCCACCAACGCAAATCCAGAGTGGCAAGTCGGGGGGCTACAGGGGGACCATCTTTCCCGACATCCTTCTTCGCACGAACCACCGACACCCGGGCTCCACCAGGGCATTAGAGCGACGTGATTTCTGCTATCCTTTGCTTGGCGAACTCAAGCGGTCGATTCCTCAAAGCCTCCTGGACGATCCGTCCATGCTCAGCAAGGGCAAGCCTGGCTACAACGCCCTTAGAAGGCTCCTAAAGTCCGCGGCGAATCAGGTCATCCATCAGGCTATTCTTGCGGCACTCGGTGAAGTCCTTCTGCGTGTCTCACTTGCGGTGGTCTTGCTCATGTCAGGTGATTAGGAGACTACATCGCCCCATCTACGCTTCAGCTCGTCATCGCCGCGGGTTCTTTCTGGTCCCACGCTGTTGTTGATGGGGTCGCATTCCGCACGGCCGTGAGGGCTGACAACAGCCTCACGGAGAGGACCACAGCCATCGAACTCGCCTTGATCAATTCTCGGCAGGCGGACGGATATGAAGAAGGTCTGGCAGTCGATGATCTCCACCGAGCTGGAGACTGGATCAGTAGCCTTCTGGGGATGGATATGGAGCTGCGGCCGACAGGCGACCTGCCAGAGTACTTGAACGACCTCGTGACATGGGAGCGCGTGACCGTCTTGGATAGCGAAGCTTCGGACAAGGCATTGGATGCAGTCGCTTCTTCCGTTAGACGCACCATGAGAGAGATGGTCGATTCGCATTGCAACCCGTGAACATTGGTATTATCTGTAGCACCATCGAATCAACAACTGTAGCCACATTGTATCATAGACTGGCAGCCGGCTACTGCACGCATGTATCGACTTTCGAGTTCGTCCAAAGTGATAGTACCTGTAGCAACGCAGAGGGCGATGATCATAGGCCAAAACAAGGGTCAACATCACCTGTCGCCAAAATGCGCGAGGTTCGATGTCAACGAAGCTTACGCTTGAGACGAGCACCAATCCATCCTCGTTGCAGACAAGCTCGCCTCGTTGACCAGGGCGCCGGCGCGCCCTTCGACTCGAACGGACAGGCGAACGACGGGCGAGTTCCAAGGGTTTATGACACGGGTTCGATAGAGTACATATTTGTCGCAGCCACGCGCGAGGGGTACGGCGCAGACGCCGTGGATGTAGGTGCGCGGCGTGGGCGATACTGTACTGTACGGTAGGATATATCCGGGCGAGAGCGGGGCTGTATGTGTAGGTGGCTGGGCGAGAAAGAACTTGGTTGACCCCGGAGACGAGCGAAGAGCACGGACGAATGATGAACGTGGAGGGAGATCAGACACCAAGGGAGACCGGGGGAAGAAGAGAAGAGGGGCGGGCGTGAGCGGGCAGCGTGAGGAGCATGAAGGGGGCACTGCGTGGTACACGAAGGGACAGACGAGGGTGGGCACGCACAAAGACAGATAAGCACAGCGAACGCGAAGGGCCCGAGGCACGGGCGTTCATCTACACGTCGTGCGCTCAACCAACGACGCACAGACAACACAGGAGATTCCAGGCGCGAACGAGACAAAGAGGGATGGGGGAAAATCAGTACAGGACCAGGCCGCGGGGCGAGCGAGTCGAGACAGGAGACCATAGCATACACACAATCTCATCTCATATCCGCACATCCTCCGCGGCGAGCTCCGCCGGAACAGGCTTCGGAGACAGTGACAGTGGCTTGCTCTCCCCGCCGTTCGCTGCCGCATCGCGCTCGTCCCCGACGCTGGTGATGTCGAGCCGGAACTCGGGCGGACTGTCCACACCACCCGCACGCGCCGCGTGATCTTCGCTCGACGCCGTCCCGTCGCTGTCGTCCAGGTGCAAGACCGAGACGGGGATCGAGATCTGGCGCGACCCGCGTCGCGGCGGCGGAGGCAGCGAGGTCATCCCGCCCATCTCGGGCGACTGCTCGACGCTGGGCGGCCCGAAGCGCGGGCTCGTCGCAAACGGCGAGTGCGGCGGAGTGGGCGCCATTGCGAAGAAGCTCATGCCCGCGTCGACTGCAGGAGACCGGGGTTGGGGCATGTCGAGCGAGAGCGCCCCAAGGCCAAGGATGGGCTCCCCGATCGGGGTTGGTGGGAGTGAGTACGGGTCGATGGAGGAGGGCGCGGGTGATGGCGGGTTCGGAAGGGGGTTCTGCGGCGGTGGGATGGGCGACGGCGCGCTTAGGATGCGTAAGCGGCGCTTGATAAGTGAGCTAGCACTCAACACAGTGGGCGAGTGCAGCGCCGGCGACGGGAGGAGTTCGACCGGGGCCGGAGCGGGTGCAGGGGCGGGCGGGGTGAGGTTGCTCGGAGAGGCGGGGATCGTCGGGAGTGCCATCCCACTGCTCAGAGAGCGGCGGTGTCCATGCGAGGCTCGGAAGGACCGCGACGGGATAAGCAAGCTCTGCGTCTGGCTGATAGGCAGCTCGTCCGGACGAGGCGGAAGGGTGGAGGACGGCGGGCGTGTCGACGGCGGAGCAAGCGAGAATCGGCCACTTCGGAGGGAGAAGGACTCGCGGAATGATGTTTTCGTGGCGGGGGCAGAGTGCGGAGGCCGCGACGGGTAGCCAGATGCACGGGGCTTCGGCGTTTGGATGGGAGAGGGAATGGTGAGGAACGATGCCCGCCCATTGCCTTGACCAAAGTCTTCACCACCCGGAGTCGGCGGCAGGGCCATGACCGGGATGGGACGCTGGGGAGGGGGCGCAGAAATGCGATGGGTCGAACGAGGACGTACGTGCGTCGGTGAGTGCGGTGGCGCTAAGAAACCGCTCCCACTCCCACCTCCCGTCGCCCTGCTCTGTGTAGTGTGCGTCGTGCTCACAGTGCTCTCGCTCCTTGCCGACGACACCGACGCCCGCTTGGAGAAGTTCTGAAGGCCCGAGATGAAGCTTTGCGGGCTAGAAGCAGACCGTACGGAGGACGACCTGCTCGGGGAGCTCTGCATATCCGCAGCATACGGATGGCGCTGCATGCGACTCGGCGATGTGTTCGACTGGGCGTTCGAGGACAAGGGGGTAGTCGACGATGGCGGCGTTGCCGGAGGGGGGCCACTGGGGGGCGTGAGGCGTTTCGGAAGTATCCCTTGGCGGGACCAGCGCTTGGTATCGAACGAGGTCCGAGGCGGGCTTTGCTCGTTTGAGCCCCGTGAAGACACCGAAGACCATGACGATCGAGGTCGCCCCTCTTGCCGTGGCTGTGGTGAAATATGTCCACCCTGTCCACCGTTACTGATATTGCTGATGCTTGTCGGAAGGCTAGGACTAAGACTAGGGCTTGGGCTGAACCGCGGACTGGACGTCGTTGAGGGGGAGACAGGCGACGCTGACGACGAAGCGCCAGACATCGCGGTCAAGAACGCGCTACCGTTGTGCCTCACAGGCACCCCAAGCGTCTCCGCTGCACTCGCATTCCCATGGGTGAAAACGAGTGTAGAGCGATCGCCGTTCGAACGAGCTGCTGGCGGGGCACCTGTCGCGGTGTAGGCGCGTCGGCGAGGGGCGGGCTGTAGGGCTCCTGATAACCGGTGCAGGTGCAAGCTAGGACCGTTCGCGGAGCCGTTCATGCCTGAGAGTCCAAGACCCGAACTACGTTGAGGAAGCAAGATGTCGCGGTCTCTATCCTGTAGGATCTTCTGGTCGAGGGACGGCATCTGGCCAGGTGGCGGGATCAAGCCCATTTGCACGGGGAGGTCGTGAGGGCTGAGCGTGCCAACCCGCGGAGTGCCGGATGTCGGACTGGATGCGATGGAAGTAATAGACAACGGACGCTCACTAGACATCCCGGCACTGTTCGTTCGCAGCATGCTGAGTAGGTTCGTCCCCGCGCGGCCAAAGGATGCGTCTTCGGGAGGTGGAGGCGTTTCCGTACCTTCACGTTCCGGGATGGTGCTGAAGGACGCATCCATCGTCGCAGTAGAGGGCGACCGCGGCCTGCTGTTCCCGAAAATGCCTCGGAGCGCAGATACGGCGACCGAAGGTGGACGGCTAAGTGGCGGAGAGGCTGAGCGAACCGAGGGAGTTGGCGAAGTCGTTCCAGCTGTCGATGATGACGGTGTATGCATCGACGTCGTGGTCACCGAAGTCGGCGGGGACACTGGGGTAGGAATAGGCAAAGTGAATATACCCTGCGCGCGCATGGAAAGCATCGCGTCCAGGTCGCCGCGGGGTTCAAAGCCGTTTGACTGTGTCATCGCCCCCAGACCGGCTCGGACCGATCTGCGATGAACGCGAGATGGAGTCAGTGGCTGTACGTAGACTAACAAGCGAGAGATGCGACTGACCTTTCGCTCAGGACCGCATGCTTTATGGTTGCAATCCAATCTTGCGCCTCCGTCGGGACTGCCGTCCAGATTGCCATATCACCGGTCTGTGCTCCACCTATCCGTACCACCCCGCGCCGCCCTCCAATCTCGTCCTGCGAGAGGTACACGACCGTCTCCGCGCTGATTTCCACCCTCTCCAGCTCCCGTTCATTCCCGCTTTCCGATTTGAAGAGATGAAGGTGGGCGACGCTTTGCGGAAGGGACGCCGAAGAATTGGAGCAGGGATACTGCGTCGTGAAGGAGGTAGTGTGGTGTGTCGGTGACCCTGGCGCAGGGAACGGCGACGAGGTGAAGACGAGGACTCGTGTCTTCCACTGCTTCGCAAGAGCAAAGCGAAACAGCGAGCCGGGCGGGTAATGTTTTGCGATGCGAGACGAGCGCTGCACCCAGGGTGCCAGCGCAGACTGCACGGCAGGGAACGGAGGTATCGACCTTGTCGCAGGCGTGCCCGCACGGGTGCTGGAGGCAGGAACGCGCGAACGGGTGGGGGATATGGAGCGGGACCTTGATCTTGACCTCGACCGTGACCGCTCAGAGCGGACGTGGGACTGGGAGAACGAGCGGGTGGGCGAGCGGGCGGAAAGGACGCTCTCACGGTCTTCTAACAGGACGGGATCGAGCCCAATCGACTGTGCAGCGGCGTCGCGGAGACGTTCCCGGTCCTCCTCCTCCTCTGGGGGCAGCGGGGGCGGGGCGGAAATCTCGATGACCTCCGAGTACATAATGGGCGTCGTCGCAGGCGGATGGCTTTTCTTGCCCTTGTTGCGTCCGCGGGTGAAGGGCAGGCTAATGCCGGAGGGGCGGAGGATGCTCCCACGAGAGCGTTTCGGTATGCTGGTATTTGTTGCGCCGTTGGGATGAGGGGAGACGGGGGAGGAGACCATGGACGTCGAGGGTGAGGCTGGGGCGGGGGCGTCATAGGTCACGAATGAGGCTGAGCCGGAGGGATGGGCGGTAAACGGGTCTGGATCCATCAGCGCGTTAGCACCGAGTAGGCGAGAGGGGTGGAGAAAGAAACAAGGAAAAGGAGCTGGGAGAGAAGATGGGACGCATGGAAACCGCCCGGGGGCCCGGTGATACACATGCCGAAGCTGGCAGGGAGGGCAACCACAGCGCCGCGCCGGCCCTGCGCGCCATTCAATGTCGCGCAAGGCGGGGAACTCGGCATCGGTGCTGCGCCCACCACGCACAACAAGCGTTCGGAGGCAAGACGGCCTGCTCTCGTCACTGCACTCGGCGGCAACGCGGTTGGCGCCTGTGGCGAGGACAGGCGCGGAGTGTTGGCCCGTTGCGGAATCGCAGCAATGGGTCTATGCGACATAATGACGCGCATTTAACAAGCTATACCCGCGAGGACTCGACCCAAAAAGACCCCAGAAACAAGGAAAGAGTGACGGCCGAGGACGAAGGATGCGAGTGCTCGCACTGCGTGGGAGGAAGGCACACACCTGTGCCGAGACGGCCGTCCTTGTCCTTCCGCGGGGGCAACGACGCAGTGCGCTTGCGGGCGCTCAGAAGGTCGGGGAGCTTGCTGTGACGGCGAGTGTAGTCGAGGTCGTGCTGGGCGTGGTGAGAGAAGCGGAGGGGACGCGCGACCTGGAGCGGGGGGCTGCCGGCGCGGGACGAGGCCGCGGACATCTGGGGCGGAGAGGCAGGCTGGGGGGCAGGGAGAGGAGTGGGAGATGGAGGGGCGAGTGTGCCGGGGCGTATGTCGTGGAGGGAGAGGCATGGGGGGAGAGAACAAGGAGAGAGTGGGCGAGCGTCAGCACCAGATGTATGCGCATCACGAAGCGCGGCACTGATAGAAGCCACCGCGCGCGAAACTTAAGGGACGAGGAGCAAACTCACCAGCGGGACACGCAGCTGGAGCATCGAGCCGCGCACCGTCACGACCGCGGCGTCGTCGAGGGCGGCGAGGAGGAGGAAGTGGGGGGTAAAGGCAAGGGCGAGCGCAGGCCAGTCTCGTTCGCGGGATGGACGATTCCCCCGATGCCTCCGCCGTGCGCCTATTCAATATTGGACACCACCGCACCGTGCCTGTCATTAATTATGTCCATCATTTTCGCCAGCAACCGGCCCATGCGCATCGGTCCGCTTCCAACGTGGTCGTATCTTACGTGTCCCTGGCGGAGCAACACACTGGAGCACAGGCGGAGAGGCAAGCTCCGGCCTCATTGCATGTATGCGGATGGAGCTGGATTGGGAAGCGGAGTGGCCGATAAATCGAAGAAATGCTTATGACACATCGAGCAGCAGCCCGAGCACTCCCATACGGCTCGAGGGTATATCTCCCGCCCGTCCAGAAAACGGCATCTTCTGCCGCCAGGACAGGTCGCCGAGGAGGCCGGCCACTCCGAGAGCATCAAGACGGGCCCGAGACCGGAGCAGCGACCTCGAACTTGCAATGTATATTTTACCTGCAGTAATTGAAGCGAAATGTCAGACACACAGTCCCCAGTCGGGCCATGTCCGCGCCGCGGACATTGCAGGCCTCGGCCTTCTCAGACATACCCCATCAATGAATGTTCAATGCAGAGAACGACACGCACACATTGCAATCTAGGCACACCTGAGCATTCACCGTCGTTTCCAGAGCAATTACAATGCGTGATAGTCGTACTAGAATACAAATAGCAGCAATACAAACAAGTGCACAACCCGAGGCTCCCAATCCTCATGCGAGCGAGTTCTCGACATCAGCGCTGTCATCCCCAGCCTCAAGGTTCGCGAACTGCTCAGACATACCTCAGTCAGCAAACGCAACTTGCGCAAGACGGCAAAGAAGGGGAGACTCACCGAAAGGAACGCCGTCGGCCGGTGCTCCTCCGCCCAGAACAGCAGCGGCGTGTCGAGCTGCACAGAGTAGTGCAGGTTCGGCGTCCAGAGCTGCGTCAACCCTACACCGTAGTTCCACACCCGCCCCTCCGGCACTAGCGTCATACCAAGAATGCGATCAGACAGCAGGAGTTGCACGCGCTCTGACATATTCGGGTTGAACCCAGGCGGGTTGGGCGACGTGTCCGCGTTCTTCCGGCCCCACTCGAAGCCGGGAACGGTGAGTGTGTGCGCGGAGAGCGAGACCGAACCGGGCGTGAACGCGCATGAGATGCAGATCGACGACGAGCCCCACTCGGGGTGGTCCGCCATGATCTTCGCCTGGGTGCTGACGTCCGTCGGCGAGAGGTGCGACAGCTCCAGCGCCTGTGTCTTGACCCATCCGAGTGGCTCGAGGTCCTTGAGCAAGAAATCGTCGCGGGGAAGTTGGCTCGGAAGCTCGACGCTGTTGTTGTTGCCGCGCTGCGGGACCCATACAACAGCCTTGACTTCCTTCACCTGCTTGTTGTCGGGTGGCGAGACGCCGTACAGGAAGGCGGCAACTTGAGTCCGAAGGTCCGAAGCCGTAATGAAAGCACGAAGGATGTTCTTGGGTAAGACGTAGGTGTACGAGGAGGCGTCGTCCTTGACATCGTCGTTCGACACGTAGATGTGCTGCAGACGGAGAGGAAGGTGGGTCGCCGAGATCGCGCGTACTCGCCAGTCCGACTTGCTGCTGAACACCTGCTGCTCGTAGTTCGTCGCTGAAAGGAAGACAATGGGTCAGTCATGTAGGTTATGGGAATGATCGACCACTTACTCGTCACCGTCTGAATGGCGTCACCGTGGACGTTCGTGGTCTGCGTTTGCACCGCGGTGACCTGGCTCTGTGCCTCGGAGCTCTTCTCCAATTCGGCCATCTGCTGCCGCTGCACCGACGGCGCCGCAATCTCCTGACCGAGAATGATATCACGGATTTCGCTGGCGGTAAGGGATGCAATGTTGACGCTGTTGCGCTTGCCGAAGTCCTGTATGTGGTGCCAATCAGTGTTAAGTCCGCCGGAAGCCTCGGGGATTACATACCGCCAAGATGAGATCCTTCAGCGCGACCTCGACCTTGATCCAGTCCTCGTCTGACAGGGATGGCCAAACGAAGTGAGGCTCCGTGATGGTGTTTTTGTCCGGACGCAGGACGATCTTGGCCTTCTCGTTGTTGACATGCAGCCCACGCAGGAGGAGGATGAGACGAGAGAAGGCAGTGTAGCTTGAGATGGACTTGAGCCAGTCGTCGTACAAGTTGAACAGTACCATCTGCGGCTGGGTCGCACGCTAAGGGACAACAACTGATGAGCGGGTGTCATGAGAACTATGAGGTCGGAACTTACCAAGATAAGATCACCGAACTTCTCCATCTTCATGCATGCCTGGAATGGCAGTTGGAGCTCGCTTCCCTTGATGACGATGTTCGGGAAGTCGAGCAAATGAACTTCGAGCGGGTCCAGCATACCCTTGCGGGTGACGATAACCTGCTTCGGCTGCTCTTCGACGGGCAGGGAACGGACCAGGGCGGCGACTTCTTCGGCAGTCTTCCACTTCGCGAGCTGACCAAGACGCTTCTGACCGGCCCAGACACTCGTATGGATAATCTTCAGGAACAGTTGACCGGAGCGAGGATTGAAGATGAAGATAGCACCGTCTATGTCACCCTCAGTAAGAAACTACGCAGAGTATGTGAGAGAGGCTCACTGATGGGCTTAGTCGTCAAGTTACCCTCGAACGTCTTGTGACTACGTAGACCGTTAGCCTCAATATTATGTTGATCTTATGTGGAGAACGTACATTGTGACACGGTAGACGTTGGTGTCGTCGACGAACCAAATGATCTGGTTCGAGAAGAGCTCTGAATAGTTCTGGGAGTTGAGATACGGCTCAGTTGGCTCGGACGAGTAGAGCTGGAGGCCCTTGCGGATACGCTCGCGGAGGACATGGCACGCCGGGTTCGCCTTCATGATTTTGGCCATGGCCTGCTGGATGAGGGGCTTAAGACCAGGGAACCAGTTGCCGTAGGCGGACCACAAGTTGTACGCGAGATCCATGCCGATCATGACACCAGTTGGCGAAGGGTAGATACTCATGGAGTCCGAGATCTAGAAGGGAACAGATTAGGTGGAGGCAGGTACAAATCTGGTATGCAACTGCAACTCACGTAGTCGAGGAACTTGGCACGAGTGTAACGTTCAATATCGTGCGTGTCGAAGTCACCCCAACGGAGCTGCACGTCGATCCAGAACTTATTGCTCGTCGTACCGTCAAGAACGTCCTTGCCCTGCAACAAGATCGTGAGGAAGGACCGCATGAAATCTCAACGAGGCGGCATACATCAGTGACCAGCGAAGGACGGGCGATGTTCCACTTGTAAGCCGAGAACAGGAGGATGTCGGCGCAGGACGAGTTCATCTTGTAACTCTTACGCGGGTGGATGGTTTCCTTCTGCACCGTCTCAATCTGGAGGGGCTCAAGCTCTTGGTCGAACACTTGACACTATCGACAGCGCCAAGAATTAGCTAATGCTTCACTCAAAAAGCGTCAGATAACTCACCAAGTCCATGACGACACTCTCGTGGACTGTGAGAACACATTAGACTTTTTATGTCGCTCAACAAAACGGCGCAGGGACGTACTCTTCTGCCATAAGTGCGCACGGAAGATCTGGATCAAACTGATTTTCAGGGTCGGGATTTTACCGTGCCTGCGGGGACATCAGCGCCTTGTCACATGTGCACTGAGCGTGAAAACGCGCACATGAAGATACCCGTGAGATCAAGCTGGACCTGGAAACCGACGTAGACATTCGCGCGATTGATCGTAGGACTCCACCAGAGCGTGAACCGACGGTTCGGGATCTGGTTCAGACCGGAGCGCTGGGCGTTCGTGAGCTTTTTGTACCGCATCGACTCTTCGAAGCCGGACGCCTTTTCCCAGAAAAGACCCTCCCAGGTAGGGAAGTACGTCCCCTTGAAGAGTGTGTGCTCGAGGATGCCTTCCACACCGCCAAGAGCGGCGATGACGTCGACACGGTAGTTGTTGAGCTGCCATAGCTTGCCGTCGTGGCGTTGCGACGTCCACCAGAAGGGGTTGTGCTTGAGGAGCTGGTACTGCTTCCAATCCGTGCGGACACGCCAACCGCGGTCGTACGCGAGGGTGTGACGATCCTTCTGGAAGAGCGTGTTGATACGAGGGATACCGCGGTCCCAGCTGTCCTCGAGATCCTCCAGGGTGAGACGGCGGTTTTGAGCGTTGGCTTCCTTGCGCTTCATCGAGTATTCGGACCAGACGCGCGCGGAGTCCATGAACTCAGCCTCCCACGGCTGGAGGTATCGGTACAGGTTGGGGATGAGCTGGTCTTCCTCGTGCGACATACCAGCGCGGAAGTGGGTGACTGAGAAAGGCGCTCTGTCAGACCCGCATATAGCAGCAGTGAAATCAAGTACATACCACCGACGTCCGTCTGCTTTGACCACCGCAAATCACTTTGAGGGATAAGAACGTGACCCATGGACAGCATACCAAGACCACCGAGCTCCTTCGGCGTGTAGAAAACGACCGGCGGGAAACGGGACGGCATCTTGCTGTTGAGACCGATCTTGACACGGGTCTGGATCTTGTTCTCCGCCTTGACGAGCGCGTCGAGAAGCTCGTTCGTGTGGATGACAGCCTCGCGGTAGTAGGTCATGAGACCGATGAGCGCCGTGTTCCACTTGTTGACGATCTTGGAGAATGTTGTAGAGCCGGAGCTCATGAGCACTTGACGGATGCGGTTGTTGAACTGCTGGACACCCTCGTCCGACACGCGCAGGAACGCCTGGGCTGTTCGCTCCTTCGTTTGCTCGTTCGTCAGGTTCCATACAGCGTCCTTGAGCGAGAATTGCTCTCCACTGAGGGTGCGGATCTTGGGCAGGATGCGGATCTCGAAGCCACACATGGAGAAGAGGAGCTGGGGGTTCTCCTTGGAGTAGACACTAACGAAGGTGTCTTCCCACTCGATGGTCGTGAGCGAACGAGGGAGACTCTGCTTGACATTCCAGAAGACGGCGCGGCCCAAGTTGACGTCGTGCTTGATGAGACGCATGCGGCAATCGCGCGGCCAACAGCGCTTGTTGTTGTAGCCAATGACGTTGTTGTTCGTTGGGTCGGGGTTGGCACTGAGGTACCGCTGGATGAGGTCGCGGGACTCCTCCGCGGTGAAACGGAAGAGAACATGAATCCTGTCGACGTAACGGGAGTAGAGCCGGATCGGGTGGCGGGTCTCTGTGGCCGAGTCGCGGTACTGCAGGAAGTTGTTCGGCATCTGGGGAGGACCAGCCATTTCGCTCGCACGCTGCAGGCCCAGGATGAGCAGATCGAGGACGAGACCGTAGTACTGGAAGACGAAAGCTGAGAATTGAAGGCCTCGAATGAGACCGTACGCATTCGTGTGAGCCATGTCTAGAGAAAATATTCAGCAATCATTGTGTTACAGCTATTGGCCAACATACCCTTGTAGGTCAAGACGGTGTTGTTCTTCGCCGTGATGTAGTCCGCCAAGTTATGGTCCAGGATGAGACGGAGCAGACGGTTGAGGAGAGTAAGATCAATCTTCTCGTAGACCTTGGAAAGGACGGTCTCCATCATGACGTTACACTCGCCCTCACTAGTCTCCCAGATGTCGGTCAAGTTGTTGATTCCTTGACACCACTTGTAAACGAGCAGCGGAGGCGGCTCGGTGTCGGCGGGCTTGATCCAGGAAGGGAAGAGACCGCGCTTGTCGGCCTCGAAGAAGAGGAATTGGTCGAGGTACTGAAGGGATTGACGTCAGACGTCATCCCACCACCAGGAAAACGGGATAACTTACAGCGTCAGTGATCTTCTCCACGGGTTCGATGTCGTAGCAAGGAATCAGCTTATCGTAGGTGTCGAAGAACTCGATGCCAGATTCCTTGAAGGCGCGCTGAGTGAGCAGCAAGCGCTTGATGCGTGACAAACACTCGTGCGGGTTGTCGTACGCCTGCTCGATAAGTGCCAGCTCTTCACGCTGCGACTGGTTAAGGCGACCCTTAACAGAGTATGCCTCCTTCAGCTTCTCCAACGCGAGGACGAGGAGCTTCGTGTCGTGCTTGTAGTTCAGAGGACTAGATGATGCTTGTTAGAAATTTCAGGCAGAGAGTAGATTAAAGGTGCCGAACTCACGGGAATGGGATAGGCGAGAACTTGCGGCTCTCGAGCCAGTGGACGGTTGCAGTGTAGATGGCTACGGCCTCCTCGGCGCTGATGTATGGCCCATCCTTGAGATAGCCGTGCTGACGCTCCTGCTCGGCCTTCAAGTACAAACGCGTGAGACGACCCAGATTCTTCTTGACGACAGCCTTGTCAACCGTTGCGCCACGTCGGATACGTTCACGGTTGTAGTGAGCGACAGACGTCCACCAATCGGCCTTACTCTTGATGTACCGCAGGATGATGTTCTCGATCGCCGTGGGCATACCGGGAACCTTCCAAGGAATGTTTGCCTTCCAGCACCGCCAGGCCTCAGATAAGTGCTGCAGGATAGTCTTCGCCTTGTTCTGCTTGATCGACTCTGGCATCATATCGAGAATGTCGTGCATAACGGCGGCACGAAGCTCGAGATCGTAGTGGGACTCAACTCGCTGCTTGGTCACCGTCTTCGCGATACCCTTGCTGTTTCGGCCCTCAAACTGACGCGCGAGAAGGTTACCGAGCCTACACATCGCAGATAAGCGACACTTCGCAGAATAGGACATAAAGCAACGCACCATCGCTCAAGAAGGGGGACAATACCACGCATGAAAAATAGCCACACACGCCATCCAGGTGCCCAAAACCCACAGCCAGGACCCTTGCCAACGGGGCCAGTGTTGAAGCGGTAGTAGATCAGATGCTTCAGGTCCTTCGTCATCCGGACTTGCCTCATAAGCTACAACAATTGGTCAGACCATGTCCATGGGACGCTTTCGGACAGAGACGAACCTTGTACTTGTACCGGTACATGCCAGTCAAGGCGCCGATGTGCCCAAAGATATACTGAAGGGCGTCCGCGAGCTGGAACGCGTCGACGTTGCCGAGACGGAATTGAACGTGCGCATCCACGACAAGCTTAGTCAAGCGCAGAATTTCACGACACAAATGGAATGCGTTTCCGAATCGCGACTTCTTACGCTCCTTCGTCGTGAGGGTCCTGGAAACCACCGGGTCAAACCCATGCGCAAACAAGCAGTGTCATCACTTACTTGACTGGCTTCAAGTTCATGTTGTAGTCGAGATGCAGGTAGTTCAAGTTCTATGCAAACTATGAGAACGACACAACATTTCGAGTGAACGAACACTTACCTTCCGGTGAATGAGGAGGTTCAGCATGTTGTAGCCCTGACGGCACACCTGCAGACCGGCCTCCACCCAGTCGAGGCGCGTCGTCTGGAAGAACTTCGTCGCCTTCAGCTGGCGGAAGAGGTTCTTCTTCGTCATCGCCTTCTCAGGGCGCGTGTGAAGCTCGTTGAGGACGAAGCACTTCAGAAGCTTCTGGTACGAGACGCGGACCTTAACCGGCTGGCCAGGCGGGCAGTGCTCGAGATACCAGTTCTTGACGAGTGGAATGTCCTGAGCACGACGCATGCGACCGGAACGGCGGTTGTAGGGCTCGGGCGCCCACCACAACGCGATAGCGTCGGCGGTGAGGTCATTCTCCAATGGCCTGTCCTCCAAGAAGGGCTCAAGATCTTCTGGTAACTCGAAATCGTCGTCGTCCGCGCCGTTGGGCCCGAAGATGGTATCCTCGTGTGATACGAGCGGCTGAGAGTTGAAACCGCGCAGCGAGATGGGGTTGATGAGGGGGTCGAAGTAGAATGCCGGAAGATCTGGGTCGTCGGTGCGGATGTACACACTCTTCGGGGTGTGGTAAGGGGCGATGTGGACGGAGCGGGGGAGGGAGTTGTACAAGTGCGGGAACGCGACGCGATACTCAGTACGAATTTGCTGCCGAATGATCACCTTGTTAATGTCGTTGAACTCGTTCCAGTCCTCGTCGAATGTGTCCATGTCGCGGTAGAGTGGCTCGAACTTGGGGCCCCCGGGAATGGCCATGTTCAACGCCTTCGCGGTGAAGAACGACCTCTTATCAAACAGATACGACGAGTTGCTGTCCGTATGGTCGGAAAGGAGCGTCCTTCCTAGGCGATAGAGGTTGGCCATAATGGGAAGCGTCAGGTTCCAGTACCGGTAGGACGACCCATTGACATGAGGTGTGTCGATGAGAGGCTTGGGGTCGTAAAACCAGTCGTGAATGGCAGCGTCCTCCTCTTCCTCGAGATCCAGCTGGATAGCCTCCAACGGTTCAACATCCAGAACGTTGTCACCATAGTCGAGAGGGGGTTCCTCGTCATCGAATGGCGGGAACCGCATGCGCTTGAAATGCCTACGGTCGCGCTTTTCCCTGCGCATAGCGACCCACATGGAGCTCCATTGCGCGTGGTAGACGGGTTCGATGACCCGTGGAATCTCGTTGACGAACGTGATTGCGCCCGTGATGTGGTAGAGGACTGGGACCTCCCGGACTTGCTCCCATGGGTAAGGGATGTTCTCCAAGAGCTTCATGACGGCGTGGGGTACGTACTTCAGAGCACCAAGATGTACACGCTTGTCGTTGCGGAACTTGCGGTTACTCATGTCGCCGTGGTCCTTGATAATTTTACGGACATGCTCTGGAGGAAGATCCTACGGAAGAATGAGCACTGACGCGTTATATGTGCAAGCAATCATACATACCTGCTTGCCCATGTCCACGAATCCACCTTTCCTCTTTTCGCCATACCGCTTCCTCTGCATTTGAATCCATTTCTGGGACTTTTGTGCGAGAACCTCGGGAGGCATACGCGAGCTTGAAGCTTCGCCTGGACCTGGTTGAGAAGCCATTCCAGGAGGTGGAGGAGGCATGCCCAGCATGCCTGGAGGGGGCAGGGGCATTCGCATGCCCGGAGGGGGAGGGGGCATTCGGGGAGGGTAGCTCATCGTCGGGGATGAGAGGAAGGTTGGGGCCTGCTCACGAAGCGCTTCCTTCGTTGTTGACGCGTGTTGTCACGTGATCCTTTCAGAGCCTTATCTTCGTTTTGAACTCCGCAAGTACGGTTCCGCCCTAACTCTCCTTTCGGAGAATCAAGAGCTCCGACTCACAATGAACTACTCAGACTCTTTGAGGAAGCTTGACAAAAACACTATGAACTTGTCAGAGGTCCAGAAGGCGTGAATTAGTGTACGTGAGTAGGATCTACTAAACTATTCTACAAGAGTCTGCCGCTAGAGTTTCACACCAGTGTGAATGGCAGCAATCCCACCCCAGAGGTCTGTCCAAGCCCCACCAGCCCCTTCATGCATTGCGCCAGTAGCGAACCCAGCGTCCGCGATCATTTGCGCGAACTTGGGTTGGGGAGGGAAACGGCGAATGCTCTCGACCAGGTACTGGTACGAATCACGGTCGCCTGCGAGGATCGTTCCAAGGACGGGAATGACTTGGAATGAGTATTGATCATATACACTGGTCGCGGAAAGGAATATGTCAGTCTGAGTGGACAGCGACCATGGACCAAAGCTGTGACTCACGCGCGGAAGAGAGGGTTGGTGACGTTACTGAATTCCAGGCAAGCAAACGTTCCACCTGGCTTGAGAACTCGGTGGGCCTCTTTCAAAACGTCAGGAATAGAAGTGACGTTGCGAATGCCAAAAGCGATGGTGTAGAGGTCGAAGGAGTTCGAGGGGAAGTCGGACTCGGGCAGTTCTTGCGCATTAGCCTCCTTGAACGCGACTTGGGGAGCTAGTGAAGGCGTCATGAGTATAACAACGCATTAAGTGGAGCCCTGACGACAGGCACGCGAACACTGCGTGGGAAGTGTCGAGAGACAACTCACTGTTGTGATACATGGTCTTTTTGAACCGCTTGAACCCCTCCTTCAACATCTCCCCGTTGATGTCCGACACGAGCACACTCGTCTCCCTGTCCGCGTACTTCTCCCGAGCATGGTCAAGGATGCGAAGCGCAATGTCCCCCGTGCCGCCCGCGACGTCGAGACACTTGAGCGGTCCCCGTGCGCCCGGCCGCAGGCGCGACACGAACTCGTCCTTCCAGATGCGGTGGACGCCCATCGACATCGCGTCGTTCATAAGGTCGTAGTTGGACGCGACGCTGTCGAACACGCTCCGCACGAGCGACTCCTTCTCCTCCTCGCGCACCGTCTGGAAACCGAAGTGGGTCGTGCGCTCGTCGAAACCAGAACCGGGGCTGGAACTAGAGCTGGCGGTCGGGGCGGTACTTGGGCTAGAAGTCGGGGCATTTTGGTGCGCGTAACGCACGGTGACGAAGCTGGACGAGGAAGTGGAAGGGCGAGAGGCGGCAAGAAACGACCTCGCGGGCCAAACGCGGAGGCTTCGCTGCATGATGGAGGGGGTGAGAGACGTTGTCCGCCGGGGTGCACGGGAGCAAGTAACCAAGCAGTACGAGTGTGATTGGGCACTGACGCCGGTAAACCGTAACGGCGCGCTGCCGGCCCGCATTTTCAGATCTCTCTCCGTACCACCAGCTCCCAACGCCCGTCCCCCCGCTCGTCACGATGGTCTCTAGTGCAACGGACAAAGGAAAAGGTCGGGCGCTTACCGAAGACCTCGACGACGAAGAGAACCCCATTCACGTTTCAGCCGACGACTCCAGTAGCTCAAACTCAGCTAGCTCCACCTCAGATTCAGACTCGGACTCGGACTCGGACTCAGAGTCTTCTACGTCTTCGGGATCTGACTCTGAAGACAATGTCACAGAAGAATTCCTAGAGTCCCTGCTCAACAAGGCTCGCCAAAACGCCCGGGCGAAAGCAAAAGCTGCGGAGAGTGGAGGCGGAGAAGAGGATTTCATCAAACTGGGTGGGGACGACGACGATCAGGAAGAAGCGTACGTTCATGCCTAATCCTCGCATTTTCCCGGTGGTATTCAGGGCAGCTGTCCATGAATGCAGGCCATTACCACCTCTCGACACCAGCTCCCTGCCTTCTCTATATATTACTCTACCCGAAAAACGCGGTGAAGGATCCGCAACCCTTCATGACCCAGACGTAGAACGGGTGCAAAAAGCTGCATCCTCGATTACCGCTCCTTCAGCCCCCGCCCCTCCACCCACGGCGACAAAGGACAGTAAAAAGCTCACCAAAAAGGAGCTCAAGAAGGTCCGTACATCTAGACTGCATGTATGCCCAACTAAGTGTACTCATTTTCTTCCTTTGAGACAGCAGAAGCAAAAGACCGCTGGTCCCGGGTGGTTCGACCTCCCAGCACCTCCCGAGTCTGAGCTTCCTAGGCTCTACCGCGAGGTGGAAGCACTGCGCCTGCACAAGCAGCTCGACCCGAAGCAGTTCTATCGCAAAGACCCGGGTGAAGGCAAGGGCATCAAGGGTCTCCCGAAGCACTTTGCCGTACGTCCACGAACGCCTTGCCGTTTCTTTGTCTCGGAACCGGAGGGTGCTGACGGGTATCACTGGGTAGATTGGCACTATCCTCCCAACGGACTCGCCGTTTGGCGGCGCACGCCCAGATAACCTGCCGCGTTCGAGCCGGAAGCGCACGTTGGTGGACGAGCTTGTGGACGACGCAGAGGCCAAAAGCTACGCTAAGAAGAAATTCAAGGAGCTTCAGACTGTGCGCGGGGCGAAGGGGAAGGGCACCCTTGCCGCGAAGAAGGCACTCCGAAAACCCAAATGGTAGTACAAGATTGGGTGTTGTCTCGTCGGCACTGCAACTTTGTACGCACCGCGACTTGCATATTACCGACAACTTGTGAGAGTATCTAGGTTGTAATCTTCTCACCGATGGCTTTATATACCCGATTTCTTCTCCTGTTTCCTTCCGTGCCCCTTTCGCCATCCTCCTCAAGAAACCCTATGTTCCTCAACAGAGCTCAACGAAGGGCGACATCGCGTGAGTCTCTCGCGTCGCCTTGACGTCTTATGCCTCAGATAACCCTCGCCGCCTGGGACGCAGTGTAAGTCGATCTTCAACACACTGTCCACAAAGGGCTTCCAAGTTATTCGATCTGAACGCGATTGGAAACATGGCCCCTTCCATTGTTTCGGAGGAGGCGGATGATGACTGTCTCCTGTAGAGAAAAGTGGGCAAGTCTGCACCGCAACTGCGATCACTAGACATCGAGCTTCCTCGACGACGACGATTTCATGGTGGGTCCGCCCTGCTAAAGGAATCTGCATCTCCCGTCACTTACACCATATCGAGTCACCCGCGCGTGCTGTAGGATCTTTCTCGACAATCTGCTACTGATGGAACTCCTTCACCTCGCTTTATGTTTTGAGCCCGGTCCGGGTTGGCCTTTTCCGAAGCCTCTCGAGAAGGAAAATGTAACCTGGGATAGGTTTTTCCGGTTGCTGGCTTCCATATCCACGCTTCGCGTTCTTGAGGTCTCGTCCTGCAAGCCCACCTGGGTGCGGATACACGGAAAGCCCTCTTTCTTCAACAACATCACGGAGTTACCAGTCCGTCAGTGCGGCTCTTGACTGATATGAGCCTGCCATATAGGCACCGGTGGTGATTCACAGGCGACGATCGATGACGACTGGGAGGCATCGAAGCACATCCAGATAGGGCCCGAAGTTAGCGAGCAAAGAGGTTTTGACTTCCACTCGACGACGGGTCCGAGAGGTGAGCGGTGGTGCTTCCACGGTTGCAAGTGCTGACTGAAAACACCAACAAGCTTTTTATATGACGTGTTCAACTATAATACTTATACGAAATTTGCAGAAGTTACATGACTGTGCCCATGAAGCCGGTCCGTCGTTCTTTACTGAATCTCAGGCTACGTAGCTGCTCGATCCTTGCGTCAAAGACAGACACAGCGGAATAATATACTTCCACTGTGTCTGTCTTTGACTCAAGGAACGGACAGTGTTGCGTGCAACGAAGGCGTATCCTTGCTCTCAGTGCAGGCTAGCTGTCGGTTGCATTTCAAACCTCACGATTCAGCCCAACTCACGTTCTCTCGCCTCGAGAATGTCCTCGTTTGGACATCCGCCATCCGCACTCAATTATCCGCCTTCCGCACTCAATTATCCGCCTTCCGCACTCAATTACTCGCCGTCCGCACGAGCCGTCCGCACTCTATTCACGCTCCGCTCGTCGAGGGGGTTAAAAGCCCTGGATCCGCGACACATCCGCCATCTCACTTTTCCTCTCTTCCTCATCCGCCCCCGCTCATCCCACATCCATCTCTCCTCCACCTTCTTCAAATATGTCTTCCTACACCTACATCGCTCGCGCCACATTCAAGACCCCCTTCGGCAGACGCATGGTTCCGGAATCCAAGGACGGAGTCGTCCGAGACTATAATCTCTGGGAGGATTGCGACGAGCAGGCTCGCGCATCCAGGCAAGCGTTCATCGCCCGTCATCTCCGTCGTACCTCCCTCGCTGCTTCTTCATCCCCCAGATCTGGCGCGTCCGACGCGTCCGACGCCGACCCTGCCGACACAGTGACCGAGAGGGCCTCCCGCGGGCAGAGTGGCTCTCTGGCCCGCGGCGTGGACCGCCCTCAAGGTGAGGGGGCGCACGACGGTGCGGAGCTCGCTCGCCTGGCGGCCGCTAGGCTGGCGGTCGCGCGGCTGAGCCTGCACCCACCGGCGCGGCGTCCCATTCGGTGCCCGGTGAGTATGGCCTTCGTGGCCGAAGAGGCGGCCCGGGCACAGCGCAAGGCGGCAGAAGAGGCGGACCGGAAGCAGCGCACGGCGGCGGGGCATGTGATGAGTCGGGAGGAAGAGGACGAGCTGTGCGCGATGCTGGAGCGCCTCACGCTCGAGGGCGACGAAGATGAGGCCACAGCTGGCGCTGGCGCTGTAGAGGTGGTGAGCAAGGCGACGCCGATGCCCAGTGCGGCGACGACGGCCATGGACCTCCCTCCGCCCCACTGGGCGCGCGGGCGCAAGGTGTCGCGGCCTCCGATGCACCTCCAGCGGCTGTCCGACAAGCGACGGGCCCACGTCCGGCGCGTGGTGCTTGCTCTCCTCCATCCCGAAGAGCAGACGAGGCGTGCGGCCGAGGTGGAGGTGGCGGCACTGGTCGGGCTCTCGAGCAAAGGGCAGGCGCGGCCGGGTGTGCAGGTGCGGGTGGCTCCCGTCCCTGTGCGCAAGGTCGTGTCTATCTCTACGCGTCGGGGTCAGGTCGGTGTCGGGCGGGCATGAAGGGCGTCGGGAGCGGAGGGTTTGGTATGTCGTCATCTCGCTCGTATCTGGGATTTGCAGAGGCTGACAGTTCCTCCAGCGCGGGCGCATCCTTCTGTGGACGGAACACGGACTTGGATTCAGATTCGGACATGTATTGGACTCGGATACGGACACGGACATGGACACGGATTCGGACTCGGACTCGAACATTGACTCAGACCCCGCTTTGTTGTATACCCGGTTTCGTGCGTCCCGAATGGCCACTGGCTCGCTGCTTTCCAACTCTGCCTGGTGTGAGTGTGAACATCTTTGGCGATTCAAGCAGCAAACCAATTCTGCATGACTGTCCTGGATCCCTTAGGGGTGAAAAGATGGTCCACGGCAATTGCTCCACCAAAAAAAAAACAATTCTGCATGATTACATTTGGGGACCACCACGCAGCGTGGACATTGCTCTCAAGTCAGCCTCATTTCGGAGAGCCCCATAAATAACACATGAACGGATGTGAACCTCACTACGGCCCCAGGTTTCGGCTTGTTATGTCTGATAGAAACAACTTGTCATCCGCGTGCGACGCAGCTCAACAATGGGAAGCGGGTCCGAAAATTGCGTTCGTATAGCATACAGCCGTAATCGCAGCCAATCCTTCGTAGATGCCCGACAGTCAGTCGTCCCGATACAAGAAAAACAACCCCACCACCCTATCTCGCGCCCCTATGCTCTCTAACAGGAGTACATCTTGCTTCGCCCTGCGCCGGTCTTACGAGGCCGTCTTGCGCTTCTTCCGCACCTGCAGCACCGTGACTGGCGCCGCGCTCGCCGCCGGCGCGGCCTGCCCTGTCGTGCTCGTCCTAGTCGAGGCGGTGGTCTTCGGCGCTAGAGGGGGGTTCCGCACTGCGATACATCCGTAGATGAAGTCCGCGTACGTCTCCGGGTGGCGACCGGGTCGGGGAACGGGTTTGGCGAGATCTCGGGCAGCGCCGCCCCGCTTCGCGCCCTCGCGCGGAGGTGCGAGCGGCGCGCGGAGGGGTGCGCGGCACCTCCAATGTTGCGGGGTGTGCGGGTTCTGGGGTGCGTGGGCGCTCCGTGCTGTCCTCATCTACAGTGCGGGGGGCGGGGGTGGCGGCGACAGAGGCAGGGGCGGGGAGGACGGGGCCATCCTGACAGAGGCCACGGATGGCAGCTTCGATCGTCTCCGTGGCACGCACTGCGTACTCGCGCGTCGAGAACTCGTTTTGTTTCATGAGGGCCGAGATGACGCGCTCGACCATCTTCACCGCGACTTGCCCTGGCTTCGGCGCGAGTGGGGATGGGAGAGACTTCTTGTCCTGATCGGGCGGGGGTGGGGTGGAGACGGCGAGGGTGAAGAAACCAGTGACCGCCCCAGCGACGCACTCTTGACGGAAGGACATGCGCTCCCAGAACTCATCGGGCACGACTTGGGAGAGCTCGCCTTGGATGTGCGGTTTATCATCTTTGTCCCTTTCTTTCTCCGTGCCCTTCTCCGCCTCCTTGTCTTTTCCCGCCTCATCCACTTCGCTCTCGTCTGCGGCCTTCGCAGACGCGGTCGAGTTTGGTGGCCGCGGACGCTTCTTCTGCGGCGACCGGACCGCCTCGTTCTGGTTCGTATGCGCGATCTCGTCCAGGAAGCGTGACTTGGGGTCGTCGTCGAACCACGGGATGTAGTTGCCCAGGTTGTGCGGCGCCGCGGGGTCCGCGCCGCGCGGGCAGGGCAGCGGGATCTCGTCCTGCGCGTACGGGTGGCCGTACGCCCACGGGACCGCGGACGCCGCGCCACCCTCGCCCGCGGGCGCGCGCGTGAGGGTGTAGAACGCCTCGTGCTCGGAGTAGCCTGGCAGGACGTACCACAGCCGGACGGCCCCAGTGCCCTTCAGGCTGTCCGCCACGCCCGTCGCGACCTCCCCGTAGAGCCGCTTCCACCATGCGCAGAGTCGTACGTCGGACAAGGGGCGCTTGCCTTCGTACTCGCTCGAGTTTGGGAAGAGGTACTGGTTTTGCGCGCGCGCGAAGAGCTGGATCCAGAGGTGCTGGACAGGAAGAGGGCGGGTGACGGGATCCGCATAGAAGGAAAGGAATGCATGGACGAGGATGGGTGTGGGGGATGGGGAGGTGGCGTGACCTGAGGAGTCGACCTTAGAGACGTACAGGATGCCACAGGACGTGGTCGGGACGTGGTAGACCATGGCCTCGATGGCTGTCGTCAGAACGCATGGGGCATCGGCGTCCGTGCCTTGCTCGGAGAGCAGAATGAAGACATGCTGGAGGTATGTCCGTGGTCGGGGGTGGGCGTATGGGAAGAGGCCTGTGTGCTTTCTTGGGGCGGAGGTGAGGACATGGACGTGGAACGTACGCGTTCCTGGAAGGTCGGCGAGGGCCGCCAAAAGCTTGTCGCGTAGACTCATCGAAAGAGGCTATGGGCAGGCGCAGAACCACATAGTACATGCGGGTGGAGGAGGGAAAGGAGGCGCAGAAAGGCAACGAGTTGACGCAGGCATCGAGGACGACTTGAATCAAGCCGCGGTTCCCAGAACGAGCGCTCGCATGACGCTCGCAATCGGGAACTGCCGAGACCTTTTCAGTTGATTCCAGTCGAAAAAAACAGGACCATTTATTGTGTAATCAGAGGCCAACTCTACTACAAATCGGCAACGTTCGCGAAAGAGATAATTGCACTGGAGTCCAGCTGACCTGATCAGTAGCGATGGTTTGCAACTCACTTTCACAAACAAAGTCCCCGCTGCAGCGATGTTCGTATTTGCGGTAGCCTGGGGGTGTCTTCCTTTCCTACATCCATCACCTCAAACTCAGGCGTAGTATATCCTCGGGAGCAAATGACGCCATCGAGCCCGCGACCAGCGGAGTGTGCCGCGCCGCGGTCCTGTAGTGCCTCCCCGATCTTCGCACTCTGAGGAACCGTAGCTCTGGGGGCGGGAGCTGGTCGAGGAGTGAACGGACGCATGAGATCATGTTGGGAAGCGAGGGTGGTCGGCGCCCCGTAGCCTGGAACTTGAGAGTGACGAGTCATCTCCGCGAAGTCGACTGTACACAGTGGCAATGAGGTGACAGTGATACGACATAGAGGAGCAGCACCTACCTAGACTGTATGGCTCATCCACCGCGCAGGAAAGGGACAGATCTTCGATTATAGGCGTATATAGGCGCATGACTGCTGTTGCGCTAGTGGAGTTAAGCGTGAAAATCGGATACTCGATCTGCAATATGCTCCATATGGACATCGTCCGCGTTTTGCCAGGTTGAAGTACTCACCTGCAAGGTTATGAGCCATAGAGGCTCGTGTGTAAGCTGGCCGTGGAGCGCATCGTCCCGGTTCTCCAAGCAAACATTGCTGAATGTCCGTGCATCGTAGAACCCGCAAGGTAGGGACCTCAAGAGGCAATTGTTGAAAAAATTTGCAGTCTATAAAAGCACGTTGATTGAAGAGCCAGCTCGCGCAGGGCCTTGTACTGCCACAGACAATCTTGTGCCGATACCCGGTGACGTATGGGGGAATCGTAAACTCCCATGTCTTCACTGTTCAGCAAATCTGCGAGTGTCATCGACGCAGTCATTCACGAGCGGCTCGACACACCCGGTGAAATCTTTTGAAATTTGATGTGGGGTCAATGTATGCCGTTTGTATGATGTGCTGAAACTGTGGAGCGGCCAACGGTCGCGGACGACGAGGGTGCAGAATAGATGGTGGAACAAGCGCTGTTGTCTTCGGCGTTTCGCCCACGCGACTATCTTCCAACAGAGGTTGCAGCGATATCGCGAAGGTGTCTTGCAGACTGATATCGAGAACGACTGATAATACAATGACGGTGTCGTGTTAAGAATACAGCTTTCACGGAGGCGGCCCTTGCCAATGATACAATACAGTACCCTGGACGACGCGGGGATGAGAAGAGAGACGGGTCTGAGGAACAGGACCACTCACCGTACTGTTCTCCTTTATAACGATCTTGCGATTGACGAGCGCAATCAGGCACTTGTTCGCCCTTGCTTGGTTAAGCTCAGGCAGCCTGACGAATGCCATGACTGCGGCGAGCTCGCTCAACGGCGCGCAGGGAGCACATGGATGGATGCACTCACTATTGAACGCGTCTCCCGGGTTGTCCAAAAACTTCTCGATGACCTGCTCGATGTTCCTCCGCAGGTTCGGGTCGTCGCCTCTGAACTCCAAAGGTAGAGCGGCAAGGATCTTCTCCAGCTCCAAGCCACGCTCGCGCTTTTCCTTCGCCGTCAGCTTGCGTGGCCCTTTCCTCTTCAATATGGACTTGGGTTTATCCGCAAAGTCCGGCTGGGTGGACATCGTCGCATCTGTGGTCGCCGTGTGGTCGCCCGCGGAGCGGTCGGTGGTGGTAGTCTTCTCGGGTGTGGGGGGTCGCCGGGCGGCGGCGGCGGTCTCAGCCGCTCGGATGGCTTCGAGGGCGGCGCGCGCATCTTCCTCTGCACGTGGAGTCGCGTCAAAGGACGCTCGGAGAATCAACAAGAACCACATACTCACCTGCTCTCCGGGATGCTAAGGCAAAAGATGCATCGCTCGGTGCCTTGTCCCTCAGCGTCGCGCAGAGTCTCTACCAAAAGAGCACTCACTTGGGGAAAGTCCGTGGTGAGGGCGTGCATGTTCATCACGTACAGCAAGCTCGCGAAGCTCTCGTTGAAGACCGCTAGCGATCTCTCCAGGGTGCAGAGGCCTTCGGCGTTGGTCTGAAGGGTCTCGGCTTCGTCGATCAGCTCCGCGAGCGCGGGTTCGAGAAAACCGAGTCCATGGGGGGCGTCAGGGTATGCACCTGAGCGCGACAGGCGGGAAAGCGATCCTTGGGAGAGTCTTCGGAGAGGTGTGCGTGGTGTTGGTGGTGGCATGGATGGGGGAAGCTGCAGACTGCCCACATGTACAGAAGCAGAGTTCAGCTTGACGTCAGATCTGAGCGTATATAATCACGTGAGTCGCAGGTATGGCGTCTACTTCCTCTGATTCGAACTGCGATGGCCACCCTCGATAACACCGCCCGCCATCCCGACGATGCCGCTAGGTAACTACTCCGTCGACTGTCGTTACACCTCCAGGATGCTCAGCCAGTCGCAGCCCCCCGGCCCCAGCCCGGTTCGTCACCGAGCTGGTTTATTCCGTGGTTGCTGGTGACAGGATCACCCCGAACAACTCAAGGAGTGCGCACAGCTCTTCACTCAGAACTATGGTATCTGGGGGAGCGCTGCGCCGACGCCATTGCGGCCCGGTGAGTGCCTTTAAACATGCGCTCCTCAACCTTGTCTTGAACCTCTCGCAGGTGGGCGGGTCAGTCTGAAACCCAACGTATTGCGTGTGAAATGTCTGGGCGATCCCAGCTCCACGATTGTCGTGCGCGCGTTTGCCAATGGCTCGGAGCTGGTGGGGCACGCTTTTGCGACGAAATGGCTGTACACAGGAAATGAGGCTCCCTACAATGATGGTGAGTCACCGCCCGTACATCTTCTTTTGCGTCTTACGCTCTTCTGCAGGGCGGAGCTGTGTCGGGTGGGTTACGCAACTCGTTGTCGCAAAGCACCTGCGCCGACAGTGGATCGCCACCTCGCTCCTGAGCTTCCTCAAGAACACCTCGTGGTTCAAGGATGTTGTTATGATGGGTTTGATGTCGTCTCATCCCGCTGCGTGCAACGCGCTCAGCAAGCTTATCTGTACGTGTTCTCGAGTCAAAATATTTTATCGCACTTATTGTCATGCATAGATCGTGCCCCAATGAAGTCGACTTCAGTTTCATGCGCCAGTATGCGCCGTCGGTACTTGGCTGCTCCTCCGTGTCGTACGTAAAGGAGGCTCGTCTCGCCGGCGCCTTCCTGGAGGGCGATACCGACCCACAGGCTGCATACGAAGCTTTCACAGACTTCTGGGTAGATCATGGCGAGCCGAACACAGTGCTGCAGGCCTACATGCAGAAGGGGAAATGGTCATCTGGGCCTCTCAGCGAAGGCCATGAGTTCCTCATCTTGGTTCCCATCCAGTAGTTCCAACTCCCGCTCAGGATCGTCGTTCTCGTCATTGTTTTTATGCACCTCCCATGCTTACGTATGCACCCTCCTCATGCTTGCTCTTGTTGTCCTTGTCTCTTGCAATGCTGTCTGGATCGCACTTCATGTAACATACTGACGTTCCGCACTTGGCGTTCTCATCGTGTATTAGTGCTTAACCAGCCATCTCAAGTTCCTCCCCAACTGCTCGGTAGTATATATATGTTTTTGGATATGTAACGGCTGTACCAGGGTGGATGTCTTCACTTGAGGCCCTGGATTTACGGCTGGCCAGTTCGTGTCGTAGACTCAAGAGAGGGACGAGAGGCTGCTGGGTCATATTTGTCCATGCGTCGGATGAGCTCTGGAATGAAACCGACTTGAGAGCGGCGGATCCCATGGCTTGAACACTGCATAGCGGTCTCAAGGCGCGTGATGATGCAGAATACAAATTGGGTGAGCTGTCAAAGATGTTCACACTCACGCCAAGCAGAGTTGGAAAGCAGCGAGCCAGTGGCCATTCGGGACGCACGAAACCGGGTATACAACAAAGCTCCGAGTCCGAGTCCGAGTCCATGTCCGTGTCCGTATCCGAGTCCAGTCCATGTCCGAATACGAATGCAAGTCCGAATCTGAATGCAAGTCCGTGTTCCGCCCACAGAAGGATGCGCCCGCGCTGGAGAAACTGTCAGCCTCTGCAAATCCTAGACACGAGCGAGATGACGACATACCAAACCCTCCGTGCCCGACGACCTTCACACCCGCCCGACACCGGCCTGGCCCCGACGCGCAGAGATAGACACGACCTTGCGCACAGGGACGGAAGCCACCCGCACCTGCACACCCGGCCGCGCCTGCCCTTTGCTCGAGAGCCCGACCAGGGCCGCTGCCTCCACCTCCGCCGCACGCCTCGTCTGCTCTTCGGGCTGCAGGAGGGCAAGCACCACGCGCCGGACGTGGGCCTGTCGCTGGTCGGACAGCCGCTGGAGATGCATGGGAGTCCGCGACACCTTGCACGCGCGCGCGTGGGGCGGCGGAGCGACGTCCACGACCGTCGTCGCCGCCGTGCCCAGCACCGGTACCTCTGCGGCGGCAGCACCAGCGAGTTCCTCTTCTTCGTCGCGCTCGAGCGAGAGGTCCGCCAGCATCGCGCACACCTCGTCCTCTTCCTCCTGATCCATCGCATCTTCCGCCGCCTTGCGCCTCATCCGGTCCGCCTCTTCCACTGCCGCGCGCTGCTTCCGGTCCGCCTCTTCGGCCGCCTTGCGCTGCTCCCGGACGGCCTCTTCAGCCGCGAAGGCCATACTCACCGGGCACTCGATGGGGAGCGGCGACGGAGGGTACAGGCTCAGCCTGGCGACCGCCAGCCTAGCGGCCGCCAGGCGAGCGAGCTCCGCACCGTCGTGCACCCCGTCACCTCGAGGGCGGTCCACGCCGCGGGCCAGAGAGCCACTCTGCCCGTGGGAGGCCCTCTCGGTCACTGTGTCGGCAGGGTCGGCGTCGGACGCGTCGGACGCGCCAGATCTGGGGGATGAAGAAGCAGCGAGGGAGGTACGACGGAGACGATGGGCGATGAACGCTTGCCTGGATGCGCGAGCCTGCTCGTCGCAATCCTCCCAGAGATTATAGTCTCGGACGACTCCGTCCTTGGACTCCGGAACCATGCGTCGGCCGAAGGGGGTCTTGAATGTGGCGCGAGCGATGTAGGTGTAGGAAGACATGTTTGAGGAAGGTGGAGGAGAGATGGATGTCGGATGAGAGGGGGCGGATGAGGAAGAAGAGAGGAAAGACGATATGGCGGATGTCTCGCGGATCCGGGGCTTTTAATCCCCTCGACGAGCGGAGCGCGAATAGAGTGCGGACGGCTCGTGCGGACGGCGAGTAATTGAGTGCGGAAGGCGGATAATTGAGTGCGGATGGCGGATGTCCAAACGAGGACATTCCCGAGGCGAGAGAACGTGAGTTGGGCTGAATCGTGAGGGTTGAAATGCAGTCGACTGCTGCGATACTGTAGTCCTTGCATCCAGAGCGAAGAAAACGGAGGCAGACCAAGATGAGAGGATTTATATAGGGTACGGCGACAACGTGGGGGTACGAAGCAGAGAGACTTTCGGACGGACAGGTGAGTCGCCCCGGCGCCTGCTGGGAGACTGCGGACTGAAGAAGCGCCGTTGGGCGTCATGGGCATTGGGCACCTTTCTCAGCCCCTATGTAAGTTAGTACTTACTTACCTTGCGTCTACAGTCTTCTACAGTCCATGGACATGAACGCTCGGAGCAAATACTTCCTTGAAATTTTAACATTTATCATGACAACTCTTTGCCGACTCATGAATTCTCCGCGAACAGAGCGTCCCCGCTTGGTGGGGGGACTTCATGCCATTGCCGGGGGACGGCCCATCTCAGCCTTCAGAAGGTGAGCATCGCTTCTATCGGTGATTTGCTCCACATCGGTGACCACACACCATACGGATACGTGTATTGCCAGCTGTTCGTCGTCCTGATGCCACTAGTTGGACTCCGCTTATTGTCTGCCGTTCTCAGGCTGAATGCATGTGCTTGAAGTTTGAAGCCGCATGGCAGCGATTCAGCAATGCGTCAATCCAGCTCGTCGTGGTTGCAGAAGGCACTTCTGTCACTCAGCGCACACGAATCATGGCTATCGTGCACCCCGTTGATGGTTTTTGTTTTTGTTCTTTAACGGTTCAAACGTTGACTCCTAGCACCCCGTTCAGGTACTCATGTGATCCCTTGACTTGCTCGGTCGGAATCCCTGCAAGTCTCTTAATTCCCGACGACCTCAAATTGATTCATTTCCATCCCCCCGTCGTAAATGCAAACTTCGCACTCACCATCTGTCAGCCTCCCCATCCTTCGACCCCACAACGGTGTGAAGGGTCTCCAGCCCATACTTGATGTACGGCAGTTGCCCGCAGTGAACTCTCCGCTCTTCTCGAAGCTTAAGCTCCTGGATATCGGAGCAGGTGAGCACATGCCACTGCTCTGCATATAGTATGACGGATATGCGGCCCGTTCTTACTAGGTTTCCTCCTCAGTCTCGTGCTCAACGCAGAGCCATTGGCTCCAGAGGCCTGGTGAAGAAGCGTGCGATCAGCACAACCGGACAAAGCGGAATTGACGCTGCGCCCAGAGACTTCTAAGTTTCACCTTAGACGGCGCCGAGCCTCTCACGCCTGCGGTCTGCTCCCAGGGATGGTATCAGCTTCGGCGGATTCTGGCGGAGTTGCGTAACGGCCTTGCGCCATAAGTAAAACGCAAACACCAGAAGCCCTCCCCGCCTGCTCCGCACGTCCACCACCCATGTCCTAGGCCGACCTTGCCCTCAGATCCTTCACTGTGAACAACCGGCCAACCATGGGTTCACTCGACAACACCTTCGGAGCTGCGCTTATTGGGCTCGTCGTGGAAGCAACGTCAGTTCCTCCCTCTGTGCCCATCTCGCTGCCGGGTATTAATTGCTGACAATTGCCTCTGATCAGGTTATTCGGCATCACGTTGGTGCAGGCGTGCGTGAAAATTGTTCGCGGTGCCAGCATCGGTGAGCTGAAATAAAACATTCCATAGCTTTTTCTATTTCAGGTCCGTTTCACCTACAATAAGTTGAGAAGCGCAACTTAGCTGGTTACGCGATAGGAACTACGGATCCTCCGACCATTGGTTCACTAAAGCACTCGTGCGTCAATCCGTGCATATCGCTTGTTCTCTCTGAAATCCGACAGTCGCACTCCGCAGGTTATTTTTCTCACGTGAGGACGCTTTCGCATGCTTCTATGACACAATGCTAAACTCCTCAAATGCAGACTGGTAGACACCTTACACCTCGTCCTTTGCGTCTACACAGTGTACTGGTTAGTGTCCGCTCCATCCTCTGTGCGCATAGAGTAACCACATCACAGGTATCTCGTGACACACTTTGGCGACTCCGGTAATCTTGAACTGGTCGTGTGGTGAGTTATGTCGTCGAAAGTCCTTTCGGATGAGTTCTTACACTTGGCCTGCCATGTTTAGGAGCTTGACTGTAAGTCGGGTAGAAAGCCTTACCCCGTCGTGCCTGACATCATTCCTGCAGGTGCAGACGGACTTTCAGGTGACGAGGCTCCACACACTGCATTCCATGGCCGTTCACCATCTTATCCGCTATACAACAGACTCTCGTGGCCGTCACGGTCGAGTGGTGAGCAAGAAAACCGGGTTATCAGGTCCTGCTTTCTGATACACGGGTCGTACCATGCAGCTTCTTCGCACGGCGACTATGGCTGAGTAAGTCGTACTTGTTCAATAACTGATCCGATCGCCTCAATATCTCGATTCAGTGAGCAAGAACCGGTTCATCGCCGCAAGCATTGTAAGTCACTCTCGTCCAAGCGGGACATATCGCTCAGACTGCACGCAAAATGTTGCAGATCGTGCTGTCTATAGGACAGATTAGTGAGTGCTGCAACTGGAATCGTTGACGAGGAGCGGCAATTTGAATGACACGTTGTGTCCGCACCCGTAGTCGCCGTAGTTGGTGAGCTTTCCTATCTGGACCGGGTCCACATTATCAACTCACAAGATATATGTTGCAGTGTTCACCGTGGACGCGTGAGTTTCCGGCCTATTCGAGACTGGGCTAGCGTGGCTGACCTGGAGTTCCTCCAGCTTCCGCCTCGGCGAATTTGCGAAGTTCAGTAGTTTGACGGTTCGCATCCTCTATATATTTCATGCGCGCGGAACCGGTTTCTAACACCTTTGTATTTGCGCCTGACAGTGGGAGATCATCCTCGGGCTCGGCGGCTCCACGGTCGCCGACATCATCATCGCGGTGGCAATGTGCTACTATCTGTACCGTAGACGTACTGGCTTGCGGAGGTACGCGCACCCTGCTCCGACTTGCACGCCGCGACAAGGCCTAACCTAACCCGTTCCCGCCAGGACGGACTCGTTGGTCACTGCGCTGATGGTCTACAGCGTGAACAGCGGGATGACGACCAGGTGCGTCAGACTCTTCGTTTCCCGCCGCCCGTACGTCCCACTCACGAGCGGTCGCGGTCGCGGTCGCGGCTCACCTAGCGTCATCGCGACGCTCTCACTCATTCTGGTGCGTGCTCGGAGCCCCGACCCGCGCCGGCACGTAACCAAACTCACCCGCGGCGCGCACAGTTCCTCGCCATGCCCACGAACCTCATCTGGATCGCCGTCTTCTGGCTCATCGGCAAATGTGAGCGCCCCCTTCGCGCGCGCCCGCACGACCCGTGCTCACTAGTCGCTCCCCCCACCCTTCGTTAACCCGCCCTGCCGCAGGCTACGTCAACTCCTTCCTCGCCCTGTACGTCCCCCTCCCCCCAGGGATTCTCCCCACCCTCGTCCCCGGCTGACAGAGAGCGCCGCCTCCCTCGGTCCCCCGGCACCATGACAGCCTCAACAGCCGCGACCACCTCCGCGACCGCGCGCACCACGGCGGCGTCGTCCCGCTCAGCTCCTTCGCCGCGCGCCTCTCCCGCTCGGGCACGCCCCCGCCGGGGCTCAGCCCGCGGGGGTCCCGGGGGCTGGCAAACGCCGCGAAGGCCGCGAGCCTCGGCGTGGACCGCGGCGGGCTCGAGGTGAGCGTCGCGCGGGAGGTCGTCGTGGCCGTGGACTCGGGCCTCGGCGACGACGAGTCTCCGGTCCACTCGAAGGGGAGCGGCCTCTCGGCGGCGGGCGTCTGAGCGTTGCGCCGGTGACGGTTCGGTGCGTGGAAGGGGACCCGGATGTGCAAAGGGCGCGCGGTGTATGACGATAGGATACTATACTTTGGCAGTGGACTGGACCAGGACGTCAATATTTCAATGCTGATCGGGAGGTGGTTGAGAACCCTGCACCGCATGAAACCGCGGATTTCCCAAGGTGGGGAATGAGCGCGGAATGAGTAAATTCCTGGCAAATTCCTTGAGACCTCCACGCAGATTCCCGCGGGTTGGGAATTCGCACTTAATGGCCCCCTTCCTTACATATTCCCCCGTCATTCCGAGAACATTCCTCGTGCATTCCTTCCAAGTGGAATCCAGACCCCGTGAGGGTCATGTATATTGGGCCATGCATTTATTATGGGATAACCGTACGTAGGGCGCCTGTCGCGCGCCGCGCGCGCGCGGCTTCGTGCTGTCGATGCGCGCGCGGCGGGTGCAGACGCGCGCTTCGACGTCGGTATTCGTTCGCGCGGCATTGCGGATCGCGGCTGGACAGGCCGCTGAGTATGTACGCATAAGGAGTGAACAGTGCATGTATCCTTAAACACATTGTTCGTATCAAAGAGAGATGGGCTGTGCGAACAGCGGGGCAAGCTCGCGCTGGCCTCCTCTCGTACCAACCCCGACCCCACTACGTTGCGCTTCTGCTTGCCTTCGATCTCCCCCAACGACTGTGCCAGGCGATGCCTGGGAACGACGCAGGCCCTAGCGGCGGGGGGAGGAACTTCACTGGCACAGATCTCCCTCAACCGGGCCTTCAGCGACTAAACGGGGCGATTCAAGAGATCGAACGACTCACCAGAGCACTTGAAAACCACGTTGAAAAGACGGCCACCTTAATCAGTGTCCTCCGCCACGATAACAACATCACGCGTGCAAAACTTGAGGTCGCCACCGACCGCATCAACTTTCTTGAAGAGTTCTTGGAGATTGAGCCAGATGACGGAGAGGAGGGAGCGGCGCAAGACCCACAAGATGCGAGTGTCATGGGAGGAGATGGCAGTGGTGATGCGACGGCAGCGGCAGTGAGCAAGCAGTTGTGTGCGAATACACGTGCCATAGTCAGTCATTGAGCTCGCCAGGTACGAACAGACGACTCACCTCGTAGTATCAGAGAGCGACCAACGACGCGTTCAAAATCTGGATGGGGGTTACAAATCTCTCCAAGGCGGCCGATCTACCTGGTATCCCTGGGCCGGGAGAAGAGGCCCCACTGGTACCGACCGGGCAGCACGCTGGCACTCGTCTCGTCAGGTTCAACTGGCTCCAGAATGCGACATACCCAATGAATGCTCGAGGCATTGAGACCCTGACGACGGCTCTGAGGGCGCATGGAAACTCGTACGTTCCTGGCTTCGGAGAGGACCTCGAGAAGATCTTCGATGCCGACCTGAAAAACCGCGTCATCACTAAGTTCAAAGCCCTCGCGGCGAACTGGAAGCGCATAGAGAAGAGCGCTGGGAAAGCACGCGCACCTGCGGAGTCGGAGCCTGTAGATGTAGAGGATGCGCAGCAAGCAGCTGACAATGATCCTCTTATGGATCGCAAGATTGCTCGTTCTCGGGCTAAACCAGTGAGTTCTTGTCAGTGCATCTCTGAGGGCGATGAATACGTGTTTACATACTACGTGCCATGCGCAGAAACAGGAACAGCGCAAACGTAAAAGCGCGGGTACGAAGTGGGCAGAGCCGAAGTATGAGACCGCATTCACTGAAAACGCGGCCTCGGACGATGAAGACATGTCGGAGAGCGAGGTCGTGGCTGGAGAGAAGACTTGTTATGTCAGTCGGCCGCCGTGGTTCCGATCAGCAATGGTAAGCTCTCTTGGGACAGGCGACGTGGAGGACGGAGATGCTTACCTACTAGTATCATGTTAGCTTCAGGAGTGCTACAACGATCTCGACCTGCGGAACGATCCTGAGCCAGATCGCGCAGCTCTGCTCATCAAGCGGAGGAAGGGACCGGTAAAACTCACTGCTGTACCTCCAAGGGCGCAGACGCTGAAGAATCGCCTGCGCGTGTGGATGATCACCGAGGACGCTCTCGAAGGGAACCCGCACTGGTTGACGGGGGGCCGAGTCGCACAGAACGGGAAGTTGTGGGGAGATGAAGACGATCCAGCGGATGATAGCACAGCGAGGGGAACGAAGAGGAAGGGGGAGTCGTCCAAGAACAGTGGTGGTAAGAAAAAGAAGCGTCCTGCTGAGGACATGAGTAAGGTACAAGCGGCTGAGGCTAGTCGCGCGGCACTCGCACGAGGGGCAGATGATGACGACCTCTTCGGGAACATGACACAGGTGTGGGGGACTTGACGCGCTTTCATGCGGCTTATCAATCTTATAGTTCTTATTCGAGGTTGTCAAACCACGTATCATTGGGCTCGAGTCCGGTCTGTGCGCGTGCGTGTTAAGCCGGTGTATGCGGGGTATAAGGTAAACTCACGCGATCGAACGAGTGAACAACCCAGAGGTTTCGGCGCAATCCAGGCCCAGTATGGGCCGTGATTGGTACGATCGCCACTGCGGCAGCAAGCCAGGACGTTGGAATGATCTCGACTGGGTGATACTGTTCGGCATATGCAACAGAACATCAGGAAAAAACCATTTGCACGAGAGCGCCGGGCCGAACTCGCGGAGACTCACGTGCCCCGAGTGATGCGCGGGAGGGCTCCGGAGCACTCTGGAGCAACCACCGATGACCTCGAGGGACCCCATTCCCCCTCTGTAGCCGTCGGTAACGGCGGTACGACACCGTCATGTTGCCGTCGGTAACGGCCATACGAGCTCGTACGAGTTCCGGTCGTGTAGCCCGTCGGTAACGGTCGTACGAGCTCCCGTTATGTACCCCGTCCGAGACGGTCGTACGAGCTCCCTCAGGCGGCACCCACCATATTTCTGGTAATGAATGTAGCACGTAGCCACGTACGTTCTGAGCCCAGAATGCCCGCTTTTACGGCCGCGCGTGCGGTGGTTACCGCGCGGGGATGCACACACTGCCGGAGCTCGTACGAGCGCGTACCCCGTCTGAGACGGTCGTACGAGCTCCCTCAGGCGGCACCCACCATATTTCCGGTAATGAATGTAGCACGTAGCCACGTACGTTCTCAGCACAGAGTGCCCGCTTTTACGGCCGCGCGTGCGGTGGTTACCGCGCGGGGATGCACACACTGCCGGAGCTCGTACGAGCGCGTACCCCGTCCGAGACGGTCGTACGAGCTCCCTCAGGCGGCACCCACCATATTTCCGGTAATGAATGTAGCACGTAGCCACGTACGTTCTGAGCCCAGAATGCCCGCTTTTACGGCCGCGCGTGCGGTGGTTACCGCGCACCGAGGAAAACAGTGCCAGAACCTGTATGAGCTCCCTCTGGCGGCATACACCGGAATTGCGGTAATGGATGCAGTAATAGCCGCTTATGTGCCGAGGACAGAACATGTCGTTTTATTGCCGTGCGTGCGGTGGTTTACTGTGTGGTGAGAAAAACACTCCCGGAGCTCGTTGTATTCGCAAAGCAAGTCAATTACATAAAAACCCAAAGCGTAATCGATATAACGCACAGAAGCATATTCAAAGCTTTTCTATACTCTACCAACCAAGCAAAGACATAGTGTATTTCAACACCATATCACGGTCCGCGCGCTACTCACGGTCGGAGATGTGTTTCAACAAGCGTTTGAAGGCGGGAGGAGCGACCCCACGATCCCCTTTGTCAATATCCATCCTCTCATAAGTTGGGCGCAGGGTCGGATCCTGGAGCTGCCGCGTGAAAGCCGGCGGTGATGACGAGGAGGTGGAGGGGACGCCAAGGCTCCGAGCGAATTCCGGTGGCGAGGAAGACGGCGGGAGTTCGAGACCACGCGTGAATTCCGGTGGCGAGGAAGACGGCGGGAGTTCGAGACCACGCGTGAATTCCGGTGGCGTGAGTTCAGCCACACCTGAGAGACCTTGTTCGCGAGTGAACATTGGCAGTGTGGAGGTAGGCGTTGACGGGCGGGCGAGTTGCCGGGTGAATGCCGGTGGTGATTGCACTACCGGTGCAAGCGTTCCACGGAAGACCGGCGGCGAGGAAGTTCCGAGGGCGAGCTCTCGGGTGAATGCCGGGGTGGAGGGTGTAGCAGTCACGGGCATTCTGAGTTCCCGAGCAGACCATGAGGGCGGCGAATCGGGCATTGAGGGGTGCGCCAGCGGTCGTGAAAACGGGGGCGGTGAGGAGAGCGATGTCGATGGAATGGAAAGACCCCGCGTGAATGACGGCGGCGGAGAGGGGTGAATGGCGAGCTCGCGGGTGAATGCCGGTGGGGAGTGCACGGCAGTCGCAGGTGCTGCGAATTGCCATGGAAAACCGACAACGCCGGGTCGGACGTGGCTACCAACCCAGCTGAGACCGCACCCATCAGGCCGCCCTGCCAGCCGGCGGTGAACCACTTTGATGGGGCGGTTGAGGAAGAGGAAGGGGAGTTGAGTGTCCGGGTGAACACCGGCGGTGGTGGAGTTGATGAGGAGGCGAGAAGTCCCCCATGCGTGGAAGCCGATGGCAAAGGGGCTAGCTCACGCGTGAATGCCGGCGGTGGCGATGGCGCAAGGGCTAGCCTACGTGTGAATGCCGGGGGTTGCAAAGGGGGCGTCGAGGGGCGCGCCAGCGTCCGGGTGAAGACTGGTGGAGAGTCGAGAATTATGGGGGACACGAGTGCCGAGTCCACGACCGGCGGGGGCGGGGCTAGTTCACGCGTGAATGCCGGGGGTTGCAAAGGGGGCGTCGAGGGGTGCGCCAGCGTCCGGGTGAAGACTGGTGGAGAGTGGAGAATGGTGGGGGACGCAACCCCGAGTCCGCTACCGGCGATAGCGAGCGGTGAATTTCCTCAACGGACGTGGATGACGCAAATGCCGAGTCCACCCCCGGCGATGGCGAGCAACGATCCTTCTCGTCAGAAGTGGCCGGTAACGACACACTTCGTGCTCCCCCCTGAATCTCCCACAAGCTCAGCTTGTGATCTTCCACGATGACCGGTTTCTAAAGAAGATAAATTTGTTAGAGATGCAGAGGCGAACGGCCATGAACACTCACTATGGGGTAGTGTTCCACTATACCATAGAAGACTTCTATGCGATGTGTTGGCTCTGTTTCGCGCGAGAAGGCTTTGACACAGTCGAAGATGTTACTAAGCAGGGCTACCGCAACGGCAAGACCAGACGGGAAAGGGCCGGCTTCACGGAAATATTCGTGAACAAACCAGTCGGTGTGAGTCTGGCGGACCGACACTTCTACGGTATGAGCGATTCGGATTGCTGTTCGCTTGGCAATCTCGAGAATGCCGTCATGATCGTTTTCGGGGACGCAGTGACCAATTCGGATCTCGTCACCGGGGATGTCGATGAGTACGACTATCCAGTCACCGCGAATACGCCACGGCAGGCAGATGACGCTGTCAGTAGTAAAGTCGCCACGTGCCGCGAGTCTGCCGAAGAGGTCCAGCAAGGCTACCGGTGACAGTTGCGTCACGATAGCGGAATAGATGTGGAAAGGGCGGGGGATGACGTGGATATTATTCCTCACGACAGCTACGACTGCGTCCATCAAGTCGTCATTGAGGTCGCAGTCGTCGGTGGTCAATTGCGAGAAGAGGTCGCACCAAGGGTGGAGCAGCGCCGGCAGCTCTAGAATGGGCTCAAGGTCTCTTTCGATGACTTCTGTGTTGACGTCTTCCTGTCGTCCATATTCGCTGACCCACTCCATTCCACGCTCGACGTTGGACCGAACGGTATGGACGTTACGCAGGCGTCGCCACAAGTCCAATAACCAGAGGGGTAGCGGAGTGCCGCGATCGCCGGGATGGATTGCCGAGCGGAAGGTGCTCGGCAATGCTCGGACAATATCCACCTTCGGTATTGGAACGGAAGTGGCGGTGGAGTAGTGGTCTACGAAAAAGACCCACGGTGGCAGACTTTCGGCGGCGACGGGTGGGGCGGTTGAGTACGAGATGGGGCTTCCGGATGCCCAGGCCCGTGGGGCTACTCCAGAGCAGAATCGCTGGTTGAGAAGCTGGCGTACAGTTGTGGCGTCCGAGGGGACTACCTGTTGGATCAGCTTCTTCGGTGCTGTCTTTGTCTCCCAGTCGGCGAAAGACACGTCGAGGATGTCCTCGTACTGTGCAGGTATTTCGGCATCTACAAACAATTCAGGAGTGTTGGCAGACGTGGCTTTGCCGACACGTACCGTCGACCGGTGATGGAACTACAATGGCCGGGGTATTAGATTTGGTTGTGGAGCAATACAGCTACACGTTACCTAGAACTCGAAGGCTATATTTCGTTGTCATTCTTGCAGTGGCGTGTGTTGAGACAGAGGGGAGGTTAAAATTGTGCGAGAGGGGTGAGGAGGAGCAGATGAATTACGTTTGGTTCGACTGGCGGCAGTGCCTAACTCCGCGTGTGATCCCGATACAGATCGGAAGACTGTTACGTCATCAATGGCATGTTGAAAGACGTGGCGTCTGTGTTCAAACTCTCCCACTTCCAACCACCGAGTTGACAACCCGCACACGCGCCTCTACCTTATCACCGCGTCGCACAGTCTCCCTCCATCACTACCGAACATCTCCCGACATGTCCGCCACGCCCTCCACGATGGAAATGCTGACAGTGTGCCGCGCCGCCACGAAGATCCACTACGCACTCTGTCGCCGTCCGAATCAGACCGACAAGGGCGAGAAGTTGGCAAACTGGTTCAAAAACTTCTTCGCCGCGCTCGACAGCGCGTACGACTTCCAGGCAGAGTACAAGTTCAACACCTGGCCGTGCTACACCCTCGGCGCGTTCTACGAGTACGAAAAAGGCAGGCGAGTCAAAGAATACAAGGCGTCTCCTTTCAATATCGTACCCATTGCCGACACCATGGCCGCCAAGAAGGCTGGGTACGACTTCGATTTGAAGATCGTCGGTAATGATCACGGCGACATATGGGTCCTCCCAACCGATGAAATTGACCTTGGCTGGTGTTACGACCGTAAGTGTGCGATTTTTTAAATCCTCTTTCAAATTTTCTGAATGCCGGTTTGAGTAGACGCGACTGTCACGAACGCGCCCACATCGCAGGGCAAAAACGTTGCCACTGAAGGTGCGCTATCAATTTTCTTCTCTCCTGGTCTAAGCCGCTAATGATGCATTCTAGGCGCTAAGAAGTTGGGCGGCACGAGGTCCGGAAATGCGAAGAGTGCCGGAAGTGCCACGATTGCCGGTGGGTCGGAGACTGCCGGTGGCGAAGAGACAGCCGGTTCGTCGAAGACCACCGGGGCATCAAAGACTGCCGGTGCATCCAAGACTACCGGCACGCCGAACATTTCCGGTCTTCCGGACACTTCCGGCAACACGAACGTGCCCGAGAGTTCCACCACCGGCACGACTCGGAACAGCACGGTCAAGAGGTTTCACGCAAGGATGTCCAGGACCACTAAAAGTAAGTCCACGCGAAGATCGCTCATAGTAGATCTAATTGCGTTCTTCAGAACCTGCACCAACCGGGAAGGCGGGGTGCGTACAACACTCTGTATACGTCACAGATAGTATCATACTGATTTTGTACCAGCAGTCGTAAGACGAACAAAGACAAGAAGGGCAAGGGTCGGGCTACGGCCCAGCCGACCACCGACAATGAAGTCGGCGATGCGGCAGAGGAAGATAATGACGAGAGTGAGGAGGATATTCCTATCGAAGGTATATATGGTTCCCATCGGCGACCCTTCTAACAATGAAAAACTAACGCCCGATCAGACGTTCGCAAAACCCGGAAGAAGGTCGTGACCTTCAAAGACCCCGACACTCCGGCAGCGCCGAACAAGAGGAGGGCCCCATCCAGAACGCCAGACGAACGGAAGAAGGCGCCGACGACACAGCCCAGGGCCAACACCGGTTCTCCAGATGCACCCCCGATCAAGGACGACGAGGACGCCACCACGAAGAAGAAGGTGAAGAGGGTAACTCGGCCGAAACACCCTGGGAACATTGCGCCCGAACCCAACTTTGAGCCCTTCCCGAACCACAAAGATCGGATACCCGTGGGGGTCATTAAGAAGGACGGGGTAAGCCTGCTAAGCCCGATATCTCATTACCGACCTCACCGATGATTTGATTTACAGCCGAATCAGCACCTCCGTTGTGAGCGCTGCAAAGCCGGCGGTACCGACTGCCGGTTCTTCGTCTTCGACGGGACATACTGCTGTGGCTGCCGAGTCAAGAAGGTGGCCTGCGAAAACTCGCCAATCGCGCACGGAAAGCTCGCAGCTGCGGCATACCGGGCGTACCGGGCTGCCGTTCAATTGGCGAACCCAGCGAGGTATCCGGATCCGGTTTTGCTCTCCCGCCTATTGTTGGGTCTACAGGACTGCGACATCGTGAACTGGTTTTTTGACTGGTTCTGGGACTTTTACGAGCTGAACGACGAGGAACGCGACAGGAGGATCGCAAACTCGGCATACCATCTCGAGCTCCATGTGGAGGGGTGGACAACTCCGATCAAGAGAATTCCCGGTGATGTCGAGGTTACCAAGGTAATTACGATTTCCGTCAACGTGTTCATGTCTGCTAATGATGTTTTAGGACTCGGTTGATTATCCGAAACCTCGCAGGGAAAGAAAGTCTGGCAGGGGCAACAAGTCTTCTCACACCAGTATGTATTTTTTTGTCCGGAGTGCTGGGTCCTGATTACCTATACTATAGCAGAGGAGGTCGTCGACACTGACGCGGAGATGACGGAGGCCGAAGGAGGTCAGTCCCGCAGCGCCGGTATATTGATTACTGGCTCTGCGATAGTTCCATCACCGCTTGCTCGGTGCTCATCCCTTCGGCTTAGACGACCGTGGCTCTTCCGAACCGCCTGCCAAGAAGAGGGCGTTAACGGAAGATCCAAGTCCGTTCCATCAACGCACTCTCACGTGCGTCCTCCATCGCCGGCATTGGATCCGCGCAACCAGCCGCCTCCGCCACCTGGTATGTCCTTTTTCTTGCAACCTGGTGTCGGCTCATACCGCGCCAGGTTTCGACTTTCGAAATGTTCCATTGACAACTCGCGTGCCAGTGGACCCCTTGCGCGACTTCCAGCCTGAATCACATGTGGCCTTTCCCACAGTCGAAGCCACTATGCGCGCGATGCAAGCCCAGATGAACGAGATGGCGCGCGAAATTGCGATTCTCAGAGCGGCCATGATCCCAGTAGGTCCATTTCCTTGGCCCATAACAGCATGCTAATAGAGCGGCGGTCTAGATCAGTCCGGTAATGCCTTTGCCGGTGGTCCGTTCATGTGGCCGGCAATCCCGAACGGTGCGTCCGGCAATGATTGCTCACCTGCCATGATGGGCTGATTACATTTTGCCTAGTCAACCCGTTCGCCCAGTATCAGGCTGGGTTTTCCGGCCACGGTGGGACGAATACTCACACAACGGCATGTACTTCAATCATCAAGCCCATGCTGCTGGTCTTTCCGGTGCCAATCAGCGGGGAGTACCGCAGGCATATGGAGGCATCGCCGACGTCAACCAATATGGCATCCAGAACGGCATGCAGTCCGCCTCCCTTCTGGTGTGTGATGGAATTTTGGTACGCCTCACTTTCATGCTAAGCATTTTCCAGGTTCTACCCCCTCTTTGGGTATGGACTGGGCCGAGATCCCTGTCGCCGCTAGTGCCGGCAACACCGGTCAGTTCGGTAATGGTCCGCTCCACGCTCCGGCGGTGTCCGGCAATGGCACTGGTGGCCTTGTCCCCCAGTTCCGACCATCTGGCCCGTGCCGGCACTGACCATGGACGACGGCCGTCGACACAACACCGCGGGAACGGTTTTACCTCCTGCGGACCTGTCGGCACCACCCCCAAGGCCGACTCCCCTTCTCCGCCTGCTGTTGCCGTCCCTCTCCCGGTCAATGAGCTTGGTGCGAGTACATCGCCATTTTCCCCAACACCGCCACCGCCGCACGATACACAGGACGGCAAGACCTCCGAGGCCGACGGTGGCGAGGTCTCGAAGACAGACGCTCCTGCCGCCACTTCTGAGGAGCCTGCGACGGCCCACATCGAAGACATGGAAGCCAAGTCCGATGCCGGGAGCGATCCTGACGCCGATGGACAGGACGAGCTGGGCCCCAATGCCGAAGTGGAGGGTGAGATTCGTGTCGGTATTCCGTCGGTAAAGGAATCGGTAACGTTGTCCCAGGAGGCCGGTGAGGAGCAGGACATGGACATCTCCGCTTGAGTAGTCGTTGCTCCGTTGTACTATATATATTGCATTCTCTCCTCCTGGTGTCTACTTAATATCGAACGTTCATTAAAAACGTTCACTAATGCACTCTGTTCCATGCGCGATGAATGCGGTTGTGTCGGCTGATCATTGTCCAACCTTTCAATTTCTGAGCGAGAATCCCGAGGACCGGATGTCAATACCGAACAACATGGAACGTTCCCGTAACAGTCCCCATGGAAGGCACCGTATGTGTACGGCCGTTCCGGTAACGTTATGTATGGCCGGTAGCCGATCCAAGGCATTGCCCTGCCCTTTGCCAACTCTGTCAAACTCTCAGCATTGCACGGATACATGCACGGCCTCTTCGGCATAGAGGCATGTCTTCCGACGGCCTTCGGCTCACCTCCCGTTTGCGCTGCACTACGGGTCGGACCGTGCCTGTGCCGTCTTGCCAGGCTTGCCGAAACACTCCATGTGTAACAACGTCGTCCACGGGCGCTCCTACGTCCACGACGTCCACGGGCGCCTCTACGTCAGTGGTTCTGAGCACGTTATATGCACTCCACCAGTATAAATATTGATTAAGAGGTTTTTGGATGACATGGGCCAATGCTTTAGTGCCTGTGGCAAATTCTAGTAGCCATAGCAAATAGCGTTCACCGCCTACGAGATATGTCATAGAAAAATGACATTGGTATCACCATATGCTGGCACACTCCCAAACGTACGCAGATAGCGGATAGGCCAGTATTATATTGAGCTAACGTCTCCGGGTAATATACACCGCCCTCGACCCCGCCAATATACGCCAAATATACCAATTGTTTTCTTTGCAGTAGAGATGCACACACCATGGCTGTCCTCACATTCAGGCGACCCTGGTGTGAAATAGCGAGTTCAACACATTATAAATTGCCTTGAAACCAATGTCCCCATTTTAAGGAGCATCTGTACAGAAATGCGTGTTGTATTGCGTTTGTTTTTATTTCAAAACATACTCAGTACTGATGGCCTCACGAACTATTCCATATATCGAACAATGGCAACATGTTTCCTTGGATAGTATGTACAATATGCAGCAAACATTTTGTCAAAAGGCTTCGAACTCGCGGAGATATGCGATTGGTGTCGACGAAGTGCTTTGCCATAAAGACGTCGGTTTCCTCTCCTGTTCACTCCCTCAAACGCAACAATGTGCCATATATCACCGCACAGTGCTCTGATCGCCGAGATTTTTGCGGCATCGGAACACTGTGGCATGTGTCTTACAATATCCAAGGTTATACGCATCCCTCTGTGTTGACACGCAGGGGATACCACAATTCATGGGTTTTGAACAAAGGTCAGGAAAAGAACGCTTGGAGCCATTAGCGATGTCGCGTCTATTCGCCGGTTATCTGAGTGCGGTAGAGCCCTAGTGGCATACGGCTGAACACATACCGATTTTCATATATGTTTATTACCTATCTGCAAGCAGTACAACCATCCCACCACGTTAGAAAACGTTTGTGGGAGGTGAGATCGTGTTTGAGAAGCTCACAGTCGCTCGACAGCAACATCAACCTTGGTCTACCAAATTGTTCCCCCATTCATGCTATGGAATTTATACGGTGAAATGATTTGAATGAGTACGTAGTCAATGACCTCTGTACGTGTTGAATGTGTCCTCCCTTCATTGTTCAAACTCGAGAGGCGCAACACCCTGAGCGTGCAGGCCGACTGCGAGAAATGCATTGCCGGTTTATCTTGCACTTCCGATATTACCGGATTTGATTCTTCCGGTCGCAGTTTGAACGGCGGCGGTTAAGCTCCAGTCGGCAACCCTCAATGCCGGAGCTGACCTTCATTTCCGGGTCCCAATATATTCTCTATCTCATCCAATCGTGACCGGCCTCGTTCACGATGCTACAGATAGAAGGTGGCTCAACGCGTTATCATAATCTGTTGGCAGACTCATGGCATGCTCGTCGTCCTCTTGCACTCATGTCGAACGACAACTGTCGACCAGGGAGTAATCTCCACATCCTCATTCTCAACACATGCAAGAGGCTTTGGCGGCACGTCTGCGATACAATGCAAGTGATAATGTTCACCCCTTTCGCGAGGTTCAGTCTCCTGTTGGGTTGGATCACCGATTATTTGCTGCCGTTCTTCAAGCTGCGGATCGGATTCATGCAGCGTGCAGCTGCCAATGTGAGAGTCGTCTTATATTACATGCGCGTACCTGCACTGAAGTTGGGCTAGATAACGTGGACTGGAAGCTAGAGGAGTAATGAATATGACTCCGAAGACCCGCGGTGTAGCCACGGAGCAACAGAATGACCAACTGAAACAGGCGTTTCCGGTGGATCTGCCGGGAGAGTCCGGTGTTCCACCGGCAATCCATGTCCCAGCTACCATCGCCGATTCTGACGGTGTCATTCTCGCATGGATTCTTCCCAACCTCCTCCCAGTGGATATACAGGTTTGTAACATCGAGACGTATATTAAAACTTGCTAATCAACATCCATTCAAGACAGACCTGTGGCGGTCAACGGACGGCCTTGCTCCAATTCTTGACAAGCCATCACCGAACACCGATTCGTGGCGTCTCTGGAAGGAGAACTTCAAGCACGACAAACACACACTCTGCGGTCTTCTCAGTATCGCACCGCAGATGGTTCCTCAAGGAGTACGTACTCTGTAATATTTGGTTGGAAATACTAATGAATTTTCGCAGGACGAAACGGGCCAAAGCCCTCGAAGGGCTTTGCTGAGCGTGAAGTGCAGGAATGGCTGGAACGCATTACCGAAGTCGGTGCTATCTCGACGCGGTGATGCAAATCGTCGCTCCAACGCAGTACCGGCAGATCACGGAATTCCTGAACGAACATGTCGCCCACACATTCCCTGGCCGGTCACCGGGATTGCACTGCAAATTATATGGAACCGGAAGACCACCTATCATCGCGACCAGAATAGCTTCCATTTGTGGTACGACCTCCTGGTCACTGTTGGCAACTACGGTGACCAGGCATACCTCGGACTGCGCGGTCTCGGTTACTCGGTCCCATATTCGCCTGGCACTGTAGCCGTTATATTGGCCAAATACGTCGAGCATGGAGTGCCCGAAGTGCAGGATACTCGAGTCGCGATTTCATGGTACAATCGCCGGGAGATGGTCAGGGTATGGGGTGGGAAGGAGATGTCGACGACTGCCGAATCAAATGTTCAGTCGCTGATGCGTTCGGTAATGGACTCGGTATTCGCTCGTGGACTCTGAAACTTATCTGACATGCTGGAACTCATCATCAAACACACGCATTACAGCGCAGCTAGGGACATGTATCACAATGAAAACCGTCACTGGGTCTTTGTACGCTTCCGAAGTTGGCCACCCTCGCCGGCTGTCCCTGACCTTTGGCGTGTTGTCCGCTGCCTTGCCCCTGTATCATTGCCGGATGAACCACCTGGCGCCTGCTTCGGTACATCCACTGCTCTGGTTGGCGGAGTGGACGTGATCTTGACTCCCGCCGCGAGCCCCGCGGCAGTGACCTGGACTGCACGTGTGGACCGCCGCTAGATAAGCCACATTAGCGCACCGGTTATGCCGAGTGACCGTGTACTATACCGGTGGTTGTTGAAGCTGCTTGGGCGCAGCCCCCGCAACCTTCGTGCCGGTGGTTCCCTCGGTTTCGTCGGTTGTTCCATTGCCGGGCAATGTCGAGGAGGATGGTCCAGCACCTAGAGAGATTAGCGGTGCTGGTTATAAGCCATGAGACATTGTAGCCCTTATTACCGAAGCACTCACCGTTGTCCGCAGCTTTCCCCTTCTTCTTCACTGGGCGTGGCATCGGACCGGTCCGTTTCGGCTTCCACCCAGCTTCGAGCGTCAGCTCCATCATATCGCAGAGGACATTCATGCGCTCGGGAAGGATCCTTTGAGGAGATTACTTGCGCCGCAACGCAATAGCGTCAAGGCGCTCTGCCCGAAATCATCTCCGCTGTCGAATTCCGGCGGAGGGGACTCTCTCGGAAGTCGTTCGCTTGACGGGAGTCTCGGGCGAGGAGTCCAAACACCAAGCAGATCCTTTGCACCGAGACGCGGTCAAGATCCTCGCGGACCGATTGATCGCCGATCCAGTCGAGCAGTCGGACCACCTCTTGTGCGTCGTTGTAGAGATCATGGCCAACAAACCCGTGGACGTTAGCCCATGTTGCCCACGGAGCGGCTGGAATGGGTGGAATGTCCACCTTCGTCTCGAGCTATGATAGTGATATTATTATTATGTCTTCGGCACTGAAGTCGCCCACTCACCGCCTTGGGCTACACGGGTCAGGAGGTTCTGGTACTGGCGTCTCGGCGCACAAGCTCTCGAGGAACGGGACGACCCCGCCGGGTTTGACACCATACGGTGCCGGACGCTCCGCCGGAAGTACGGGTTGTTCGACGCACAACCGGCGAACGAGGCCTGACGGCGGTGGTGTCCTCACGTCGACGTACCTGGGCCGTCATAGTCTTCCGACGCAGCAGTGGGTGTCTCGTCAATGCCGGTGTCCTCGAGCGACTTCCGAACCTCATCGCCGTCGCCATCCTCGTCTTCCTCCTCGTTCTTTCCGACCCTCCTTGTCACTGTCGGTATCGTCCCCGGACTCGTCGTGATCACCATCACCAGATTGGAGCTCTTCGAACTCGTCCTCTTCTCGGTCCTCCTTATCAGCCTCGTTCTCGAAGAAGTTGTCGTTCTCCTCGTCGGGAGGAGGGTCCCTTCCCTTTGCCCTTGCCCTTGCGCTTCGCCGTCTTGCCCCGTTTACGACTCGTACGCTTCCCGGTGGAATACTCGCCATCCGTGTTCCTCTTGGACTTGCCGCCCCGCCTAGACTTTTTGGACGGACCAGCTTCGGCACCGTTTCCGGAAACGCTCTCGGTAACGTCGTCCACATACAGTGCTCGGTACTGACCGGGGATATGATCAGCGGTGGGCTTGTGCAGTCCGCGCAAGAGGTGAAAGCGGCCCTCCGGAACTTGAAACACCTCCCCCGGGCCAGGCTCAGCGTAATCTTCCGGTGCCGGCAATGATGCCTCTGTCTGGAGGATGTACTGGAACCAGTTATTCTGAGCCTTGATCGACATCTTGCTCATGCAGTCGAACTTATCCTTGAATTCGGACGTTAAATAGTCTTCTGGGATGTACTTTTCGAGTTCCGGTTTAATGGTGCTCCATGGGACAGAGTTGAGCAGCACACCGTCCCCAGTGGCAAGGCCTATCACCGAGACTTAGTCGGTAATACACTAGAATTGTGGTTACTGACTGAGATGGAGCCGGAAAAAGTCGCAACCGTGGGCGTAAACTTCTTTGCTCGTCATCTTCTTGCCATTGTGACTAGAGTGAAATGGCTGCGGTAGACCGTACATGTGTTTGAATGCCACGGTGGATGAGCGATCCCGCCGTTGCCGACGGAATAGGTTTTGGTCTCTGAGCGCCTGTGTGTTCGGCAATAAGCGGCAATGAATCGTAAATGCGCAAGACCTTTACCGGAGGGTCAGCATCACCGATCATGCCGAGCAGCCTACTGAAGGTCTCCAAGCAGGCCACCTTCGTGTTCGTGTCCCAGAGTTGGTGCTTTTGCAAGGCGTCGGCCGTCTCCATGTACTGTGTGGTGTCGTCGCTGCCGACTGATTCAGTACTCATGAAAGGGATTAAGGGATTTCTTTACAAATGCGTATTGACCTGACCGCCAATAGCTGGGCGGGTGGTGTATACAAAGACCGCGGCACCACAAACGCGGAACATGAATTTGATGAACTCTTCGACGATGTGGACCATATTCTTGTTTGCGTAGCTAAAATATAATCAACACCGACAGTGGCACACTTGCAAACGCATCCATACTCTCGCTGAAAGTCCGGAGGCGGTGGCTTCGTGTTGTACTCGGCAGCCAAGTCCAGCCACTCCTCTTGCTCCTCCTCGTCAAGTTTCTTCCACATCTCCGCCGCCTGGCTGTTCTTCATGCCAAAACTGGCGTCCTTGCCTGCCTTCTCCTCAACGTCTTTGAAATGCTTACTGTACCAGAGGCCGCGGCCGGTGAACAGCCTGAGACCGCACCAGTCCGGTGTTCCCTCCTGGCGGTCGGCAGTGTGGTTGCTGAACCACAGCGAACATTTCTACGCAGATTAAGAAAAGAGTTTGTGTCGAAATCACGTAGGGACTCACCTTTTGCACGAAGCCCGCCAAGAACGGGGTGTCAAGCCCCCGCCGCTGCAGAAAGACCTCCACCAAGTTTTTCTCGATTGTCCGGCGGGTTGCCGTCTGTGCAGGCTTCCACTTCTCTATCCCTTTTCGCATCTCCGAAACCTCGGAATTCTTCCACTGGAAATCCGCAAATGGGTCTTCGGGAACGTTTTCGGTAGTCGACATGGTGCAAGCAGAGTGAGAAAGATGGTGGAGTGAGAGATCTAGGGAATAATTGATGCGTCGAGGACAGTCAATCCATCTCAGACCCGGAATTTTTTGTATACATTTATTTGGTCCTGTTTCAACTCAGCGAACAGTAGGAGTATATCTCTGCCGACTGCTTGATACCATCGATATCAGTGAGCTTTCCCCTCACTCATCTGTCCTCTCGCTCTCCCATCATGCCCCTCGCCAACCCCCAGCAAGCTCGAGTACTCAATACTACAACTTCGCAAACATATTACACAAAGGACGGCTCCAGGCGCACAAAGAAACGCAGGATCGACCCAGGCCCGCCGGTTTACGCACCGGCCGGCCAAGAGGACTACCGGAGCGGGCCCTCACGAGTGCCGGATCCGACACCTCAATCAGACACACGTGACGATGAAACCACTTGGGAGATGCCTGAAGTTACCCAGCTGGGGCCCGGTGAGAAAAAGTCTACATACAAGGCAATTATCCTCGGCATTGTCTGGCTCCCTGCGCTGACAGTTCGTGTAGAAGCAAGTGACCATGCACGAAGAATGGTTACCTCTGGCCCCATTGTTCTTGCGAAGACTCATAGAACGTTGGAAGCCGGTAGACAAAGAAGACAAGTGCAAATGTGGTGGAATATTGGCCTGGCGTTGTCGAACGTGCTTGGGTCTACCAATGTTCTGTTCCAAGTGCTGCAGGCAGGCACATCTCCACCTAGTGCACCACCGCGTTGATGTGTG